AAGAATAAAATAATAAATTATATAAATAAGAAAAGAATTAAGGGATTAATCTTCTTAGAGGGAGATATAGTCCTACTCGCGATAAAAAATATTAAAATAAAATAATAAAATAAAAAACTTAATTATAAATATATTAGACCCTATAAAATTAAGCGAAAGATCTTAAAATATAACTATAAACTAGACTTACCTCCTAAGGTTAAGCTCTATTTAATCTTTTATATTTTATTACTTAAAATAATAAATATTATTATTATTAAAATTAATAATAAACTAGAAATAGTAGTTAATAGACTAGAAGAATATAATATAGAAAGTATCCTTAATATAAATAAAATTAATAATAAAATAATATATTTTATTAAATAGAAAGATTACCTTAACTTTAAAAATATATAAGAATTACTTAAATACCTTACTAGTATATAATGCCTTCTAAAGGACTTCTACCGGCGATATCAGAAGGAAAAATAAATTCAAGGCTAATAGCGCTCTAGTTAATAGTATCCATAATACCTATAGTTTACGCGGCAACTATAGCCTTTAACTCTACTCTCTTAGTCTCCTCTAACTTATCTAAAGAATATAGGCCCCGGATAGCTATCTTAATGCCCTTAGTACGTAATTAATATTTCTAATAATAAAGCCGGGTTAAATAAGCCAAAACCTCGTTTATTCTCGCTTAAGCCTCCTAGGCTTCCCGCTATAAATATAAGAAGTCCTCCTTAGTATACTCCTCCTCGGAATTAAGGCGATTAGACTCCTAGTAAATATAATTTACTTAGAAGCTATTAATAATAAAAACCCCATAGGTAGGAATATATAAATAAGCACTAGAAATATTTGCCAATATATCGCAAGAAAGACTATAATAAGTATACTCCCTATAGCGATTTGATTTCTTAGGTAAGGCTATATAATAAAGGCTATGGGAATAATAAAATAAATAAGGCATAATTTTAAATCTAAAATAATTAATAATATCGCCTAGTTTAATAATAGCTAACTGCTTCTTAGAAAGAGTAGGATAATTAGATATATTAATAAAAGATTTTTATAGGTTTAAGATAGGTATATATATATAAAGAAATTAAGGTCGCGGATATAGCCTTAAGGATAAGACTAATAGAGGGGAGATATTATATTATGGCCTAAAGAGACCCCTAGGTCATATAATAAGAAAAACCTATATTACCTCGCTAATTATAAAAGGATTAAAATAGATTATAACCTACGGCCATAATCCCCTCTAATCTAGTAAGTAGGATCATAATAGCTTAGGCCCTATAAGTTATAATCTATTATGATCTATCCCCTCGCATAAAGTATATAGGATATACTTATTATACTTTCTTATATAATAGCTATAGTAGCTATTAATATAACTTAGTTATACTTAATACCTTTAAGTATATTACTAGACGTAATATTATATTAACCTTTAAGGCTACGTAATATAATCTAGTGCTAATATAAACTAATATAACTGGCTTATCCCTTAGGAAATATCCTCTCGTCATATCCTATAGAAAATATATATAAATCAAAGAGATATTACTCTTATAGCCCCGCCGGCGATCTAAGAAAAATCCCCTATCGCTATTAGCTATATAAGAGAGATTAAAAATATTATTTTTTATCCCTTATAATCTTAGTATATAATTAGCTAAATTATAGTCTTATAATAATTAGGGCTAGTATTAAACTAATAATTAGATATTATATTTCCTTTAGAAATTACTAAAAGCTCGCTAGAATAATAATTTAAATATTAATAAAGCTAGACTAGTCTATAATATATTAAAGGGACTTATTCCTAGCTTCTAAGGGAAATAAAGTAATATCTCTTAGGAATATAAGACTCTAAAGAGTAAGCTATATTATCTAAGGGACTTCTAATATACTTTTTAAGATAAATATAATCTCTTAGGTAAGAATTATAATCCTTAGACTAAGAGACTTAAGATTAATTAAGATAATATTAAGAAACTAAAAGAAAAGAACCTATAGTATAGGAAAAAGGTAATAGAGGGTTTTCTTATTAGTCCCTATATAATTATTAATTCTTAGGAGGAAATCTTCTCTAATAATCTACTAATAGGTTATCTTATCGCTATAGCTTTAAATAAGAATATATAGGCAAGCTACGAGGCAAGAGGCATAAAAGATAGAGATTTTAATATTATAATAATTAATAATAATAATTAGGAAGCTTAAGAAGAAATAGAAGATAAAATTAAGGTTAAAGATAAGATAAAAGATAATATAAATAATTTACTATAAAGTTAGGTTCCTAATCCCTTAAATCTTCCTAATTCCTTATAGCTTCTTATTTCTTTACTTAAGGAAATAGACTTATAGCTAATCCCTATAGCCTCTTATATATCTATAAGAGGTATAAGTCCTTCTTTATTATACCTACGAGAGTAATAATATATTACTATCTCTAAGTATTAGCTATAGGCTTTATTATTATTAAGGAAGAAATCAAAGAATATAAGCTTAATTATAATAAAAGAGCTAAAGGAGTTATTATATAATAATTCTTATAAGAGCCTTTCCTTCTTAGCGTAGCTAATTAGGTTAGAAGACTTAGAGAAAGCTATTAGTAATTACTTAGAGATAATTAAAGAAGCTTATAGTATGCCTTATACTATAAGGGTAATTAGGTTATTTAAAGATATAAGGAATATAATAATATAAAATGCCCTAGGTTTAAAAGAGGTAAAAAAAGCTTAGGTTAAGAGCGAGATTAGCCCGATAAAATAAAGCCCTATGGTTTATATATTTAAAAGATAAAGCTATATAGTATTCTACCTACTAAGGGGGTATTTTATATATAAATTAACCTTAATTTAAGTACTTTATTATTAACTTTAATTTAGCTATTATAAACCTATTTTTATAACTTTAAATTACCCCTTATTGCTTTTAGCCTCGCTATAGCCCCTCTCTTCCTTTTCTTCTTTTACCTTCTTTACTTCCCTTGCCCTCGCCTCTACCTTCTCTCTTAATAGTTTCCTTACCTCTATTTCCTCTATAGTAATAACGATTTCTAGCCTCTTCTTCCTCTCTTTCTCTTCTTATTCGCAATATTTTATAATATCCCTTCTAGACCTCCTCCGCAATTACCCTCTATAGCCTAAATAAAAACTATATAGGCACGAAGTTATTTATATACCTCTTAGCCGCCTATATCGCTACCTAGGCCCAAGGGAAGCTATTTAGGTATAAGTAAAGATTAAGATTATGCTTATTAGGCTCTAGGCTATCTCCTAAGATAAAATTCTATAGACTAATAACTATAAGTACGATATAATATTAATCTTAAATATTATATTCCGCGGCGCTATGCCTTATAATCTTAAACTTCCTCTTTACCTAGCTAAAGATCTACTCTATAATAACTCAAAGCTAGGCATACTAAAGGTTATATATCTCCTTTTTATTCTATAGCTAATAATTAGTAGCTTCCTAGTCTTAGAGATAATATCTAGTCTCTAAGAAGGGAATTAAGATCCCTCTTCTTAAGCTAAAGCTAATATTAGCGATATAAAAATATATTAAGGGGATTTATAGGTTAATTATCTATATAATTTAAATAAGAGAAAAGTTATTAATAGATCTCTCTATACCTATAAGGATATATATAAAGAACCTATCGAAGTTTACTATAGCGAGAATATTCTATAATATATTATTCTTCCTTAATTAATATCTTCTTTAATAACGCTTAGGCATAAATATAGGTATATAATATCTATCTATAGCCCTAATAGCGCTATTAAATACTCTTATCTTCAGGGATAACTCTATAAAAATTAATAAATTAAGAAGATAATTAATTAGCTATATAATAAAGTATATATATAGTTATTAAAGAGGTTTAATAAGTTTATAAAAGATATTTAAGATAATTCCTTAGCTAATATAGAAGTAAAAAATAATATTCCTTTATAGCTCTCTATATATAAATATCTATAATATTATTATTAACTTCTACTTAAGAGATAAGCGCCTATTACTATAAGCAAAGGTATTAATCCTTAATTATTAATAGAGGGCTTAAAATAGGGCTTATAATATATAGAATAAATACTTAAATATATTATTATCCCTAGTAAATAGCTATAAAATATATTCCCTTATAAGATAAATATTAATCCGGGGATAATAATAGCGGTAGCCTCGCTAGTTTAATCTCTCTTCCTTAATAGCTCTAAAAAAGCATAATAAGATAAGAGCTTTATAGTAATTAATAATAACTTTATCTTTTTCTATAATAAAGTAAAGAAAATCCTTATTATTAAGAAGGCTATTATTATTAATTAAGTTTATAATTTCCTTATTTTCCTTATCTTTAATTAATATTATTAAAGATAATTAGAGTTATATATTACTAATTATACCCTCTCTCGCTAGGAATAATCTAAGCCCGAGAAATAGCTATAATCTTTATCTTTATTGCCGATATAAGTAAGCTAAAGCCCCCGGCTAGTATATAATATACTAGTAGTATTATTCTAGGTAGGTATATATTTAGGATAGTTAATTCTTATATCCCCTGCGAAAATAGGTGCTAAATCGAGGAAAGTATATCCCCTTATTTATTTATATGAAAAATAGGGGAATAGGGAACTCCTATTCTGGGTTTATGATTAGGACCTAAAGCCCCTGGCTCTTAGGACAATCACGTGCCCCGCATAATAAGCATGACAAGCAATGTCAAGTCCGCAAAACACTAGAGAGAAATGCTAGGATAGTAGGTGCATCTAAGAAATTTGTTCTGAAAAGGGAGTTGTAATATATCTGAAACCAAAGCTCGATCCTTGTATCCAGTTTTCAGATTTTTTTGTGTACTAAGCCTCGGTACAGCGATTCCTTCGTTACGCAGGATGTTAACATAAATAAACCAACCTTGCTCTGTTGGTTGTGTCTTGTCACCTGCACTTCTACCTATTTCCAAGAGAAATCTCTCATTTTGTTTGAACTCTGAAATCATGGGCCTTCTAGACTTTCCAACAGAGGCGCAGCTTGCAATAGCTGAATTACTACCCCTATGCGACTTGTCCGCCTTATCCATGACTAGCAAGGGCTTGCGTCATGTTGTCGAACCTCGCATCTACTCATCAATCAAGATGAAATGGACACTGCAAGATCACCCACCCATCATGTTACTCCTACGAACCATCCTCAAAAGACCAGACTTAGGAGGCCACATTCGACGCCTGGAACTTGACGGTGAAGGGTTTCTTTTACCTTCAAGGCAGTGGATACCTCAGAATCCCGCTGCACTACCGAATATCGTTCATCTCCAGGTCGAAGACCTCTATAGGGTCGCTAATTCCGCAGGAGCGGAAGAAAATACCAGTTCTTGGGTCCATGAAGCCCAATCTGGGTCGCCTAATGCCGTTGTAGCATTTCTTTTAAGTCTATCACCAAACTTGCAATGGCTTTCCCTTTCTTGCAACTGGACCAACGAAATCAAATACATCGGACTTGTATTCAGATCAGCCCTCTGCAAGACTGCCATGGACGACCTTTCGCCACAATTACCTACCTATGACTTACTGAAACACGTCGAGTTCGCCCCCAGGGTCGATACAGAAAACTTTCCGGGCCCAGAGAACACGCTGGAGGCCTTGAGTCTATTTTACTTGCCCAATCTCGAACACCTGACAGTCTGCATTGATAACCCGATCGAGTTTTCTTGGCCATGTTCGGCCCCGCCGAACCCGCTATTGCTGACTTCCCTTGAGTTGGATCGGATAAGGGAAACCCGCCTTGAGCCATTGTTGTCTGCTCTTAAAAACCTGCGGAAGTTACAATACAACTGGTTCTTCCAGGCTGATATGGACCCCAAAGTCAGTAACAGCGTAGTCAGGTTGGATACAATGGCGACAGCATTGGCGGTACTCAAGGACACACTAACCGAGTTGACCATCACGGGAGAAACACAGCCGGCGTTGTCTTTGTCGGAATACGATCCACCTGACGTCACCTTTCAAGGCTCGTTGGGCCAGCTTTCCCAGCTGCACAGGCTTAAACGAATGCATATTCCGTGGGTGTTTGTGATGGGCATGAGCGACCCTTCTCCTGGTCGGATCGGCTCCATACTCCCGCCTAGTCTCGAATGTCTCCGACTTCCGGCGTATGTGTGGTGCACCGATGACAACGAGTGGCATGATGAACTGATCTTTGCTGCCGTCAAGTCGGAGCTGGAGAGCGGAGGATTGTCTGGAATGGAACATTTGAAAAGGATTACCCTCCCTGGCTCCTACCACATGAATGAAGAGGAGAGTGAGTGCTGGAGAGAGCTGGAAAGCCTTGGTGCACGGTTAGGTCTTGAGTTGATAAATACAGACCCGGGAACTAGGAACCAGTGATGTTTAAAGTCAAGAGATTCTGCAATGAAAGCCACACTACCTAAGCTTAGTCTTGTACCATATATCTACTGACCGTGAGTTATAAAATCCATGTCTCCTCGATCTTTCTTGGCATGGCATCACCCCCCAGAAGTGTCCTTACCAGAGCCTCAACGCTCACTGCCTACTCCATAATACCTTCTCATTGTCATTGCAGGGGTGCATTTGGATCTGCCCAATTTTCTTGATGCCTCCTGCTATCTCATCGAGATCGTATGGCTCCTCCTGAACATCGTTCTGGAAGTAGTCCACATCGATGTTTGCATGCTTGACCAGTAGGTTGCATCCCCAAACATCCTTCGACAACGTTAGAAAGAGGGCAGGCCATATTTGTATGATAAGATGCTGACTCACGTCGCGATCCACGGGAGGATTTGAGTCTAGGACAGTTCCGCATCCAGGAATAATTCTATGACCTCCTGTCATTCGGATGACTGTACTTACTCGGGCCTTTGGAGCTAGATCGGCTATCTTCTTGTCGTGTATTTGATAGTACTGAAAGAATGTCGAAACCTCACCACATTTCCGTTGACGGAAATGATCTTGGGTTGCTTTTTGTTCGTTTTCGGGCTCTTGAGAGAGGACTTGGTCTCTCCAGGCTGTCTGACAGAGGTCTAAGGTCTGACTAACAGGATTATCGGGATATCTGCTGAGAAACGCAACCGAACCCTTCTGTGACGAGGCCAGAATGATTTCGTTGTCGAAGGCCATGATCGTCATAACCCCTGGGAGGCGTCGGGGTCTCCCGGTTCTTGCCTCGTTCTCGGGGTCGTATTGCATAATGTCTTCGGCCATTTCGTCGAAGGCGTCAAAGGCTATCTGTTTGAGCTGGCCCGAAGTAATCGAAGATACCGGTTCATTAAAGACCAGATAAGTAGAAAAGACCCATTTGTGGGCGGTTTCACTTTTTAGCCTCTTGTTCCGGCCCCCATTTGTTGCCAGGGCATAGTCGAGCCGGACCTTGAGATCACCCTTCGGTTGGCGATTTCTGGAAAAGTCGGCTGCTTCGAGAAAGTGACTGAAGGCAAGGAGCAGTACAAGAAGTACTAGGGGGTGGGAAAAGGTCAAGCCGGCCATTGTGGAAATGAGGGAAGCTTTGTGTTACGAGGAAAGAGTATGGTATGAAAGGCCAGTGCTGACCAGAGTGGTAAAGAAATACTAAGGGAGGGTAATATAAGCAACCATGATAGCAATTAGTTCTCCTAAGGGCAGAACCATCAAGAGTCAAGCACATCCGACGTGGATTTGGAATGGTGATTCGACTCCCGAGCACGAAAGACCCAACGCTCGCTGTAGATGAAACAGGCCCTAGTTCAATGCACAGCCATCAGTATCCCTGTGGGCTGTTGGGCACGGGCTTCGGGGAAATGCAATATATTTGACTCGGTCCCATGTGGACCGCGTTACAGGTTAAATATGGGACTGGTCTGGCGATCTATTTGGTTAATGAACCAATCACCTGTTGCGAAGAACCGCCCGGAAGTTCCGTGTAGGGGCCACCATGGATACGACCAACAACCAACAACCAACGACCAACAGCCCATGACCAACAACCAACAACCGGAGCCAACGACCAACAACAAGCGGCAGCATGACTATGAAACAGGGCTGTGGGCTGGCGATGCGCATGAACTGATCCTTTGTCTGATTTAGATATTCTTGTCACATGAGTGGCTATGAGCACTGTCCTGGTGTTCTGAGCCTTTACCTAACTCGGGGAAATAGATCAACGGTTGAAGGGGGCTGAAGTTGCAATCCCTTGCATTTTCTCGTATTCCCCTATTCCCCTATTCCCCTATTCCCCTATTCCCTCTACCAACAGAACGTAGCACCAACAACACCCTCACCAACACAGCTCCAGTATTGTATAGTATCTATTGGTTATCCATAAATAATTTGATGCAGGAACATCGCTCTATGCGCCACTGGGTCCGAATTAGGGCCGTCAACTCCCGGACCCAACATGGTTCGCGGGTTACCTGTTCGAGTTCTGTTCTCCTGTAGAGCGCTCGGTACAATACACCTTGGATGCAGCCAGGTTATTAAAGTGCCTTGGAAAAGCATACATCCTGCCTCTATCTGCCATTTTGAGTAGAGTATCCTTCATTTCATTCTATTTCTAGTATATTTGACTCATGATGGAGCTCAGTACGCTTTGTCATTACCTGGCCTTGTTTGCCGCTTCTGGCACAGCAGTCGCCCGCCCGGCGTTGGGAGAAGTCGGATCAATACCCATGTCAAGTTTGTTCTCAAGGGCTACAGATGAGGACTTTTACTTTGATGACCTGTCTTCGATCAAGAAGATTGCAGCCATTGGAGACTCGTATTCGGCCGGGATAGGGGCTGGTGACAGACTAAAAGGCCCAGGTGGTGAGTAGCTTCTTGTCTTGGCATGACGAATGATGCTAATGTTTGATCAAGATTCCGAATGCGCCCGATACGATCATTCATACCCATATCTTGTCAACGGAGACGAACGGCTTGCTGATCCAACCAAGAGAAAATTCCAGTTCGAGTCGTGTTCAGGGGCGGTTGTTCAGGACGTGATTGATGACCAGATTCCTGCGCTCGACTCGGGCCAGGAAGTTATTCTTCTCTCTGCCGGTTTGTTGCCCTGATGGCTCAATGGTGACGCAGTGGCTCACATATGCTAGGTGGCAACGATGCGGAGCTTGTCAACATCCTCAACCAATGCGTTTTCCAATGGCTAGCCTTTAGCGATGCCCAGTGGTTCATCGGGAAGATTGCAAGCTGGAAGGGCGACAAGTGGGCTGTCGGGTGGGACTGGAACAAATATTCGCGTGGATGCGAAGGACAGCTCAAGGTGTCAGAGAACATCATCCGCAGTGACGAGTTCGGGAAGAGACTCGATACTATGATCGAGGCCGCCAAGAAGAAGTTGTCGCCAGAGTAAGAGATCCTTTGGTAATCCTTTCGTGGACTAGCACTAACTTTTTTGTTCCTCAGTGGCATGATATACTATACTGGGTATGTTGCCACCTCGTCAGGTGGACTAGTGGCTGACGAAATCCAACAGTTACGCCAAGTTCTTCGGGACCGACTACGACACGGCATGCAACAAAGTGAGCTGGACAGTATGGATCTTTGTACGTTGTAGACTTTGATGTGCTCCCATGCTCAGACTGACTGTTCAATGCAGAAAGCCTACAGCCGATTGCAAGATGTCATCACTTTGAAAGCGAGCAACCGGCGCTGGATGAATTTTCTCGTTGAGCTCATGAACAAACAGCTGGTAAGTCTAGCATCTCGCTTCTGTTTGATGTGGCCTTCTTCTAAACAACTCTGCTAGGAGGCGGCTGTTGCACGGGCGGGTGACAAGGTCAAGTTTGTTGACTATGATGACCTTGTCGGAGCTTTCAATGGGCGCTTCTGTGAGCCTGGCGTCGATGAATCAACCGTGGATAGCAATACGAGGTAGGTCTCAGTTGGTTACCTAACAAAAAGGAAACATGCTGAGCATCACAGGCCAGAATTAATGTTCTACGAGCTCAACTCGCTGGATCCGTGGGGCAAGTATCCTTGGAAACGAGGAACAAGCAGCTACCACAACGGAACCTTCGCCGCTGAGATGAATATTCTCTCTCAAGCGATGCAGTACGTTGATGATAGTGCCGAGTTCAGACATGATCGTCTCATAGATGACGACGGGTCTTCATCGAAAGAAATCGAGACAGTCTCAACTCTAGATGACGACGAAGACAGTGTATCTAACTCGCTACCTGACGGGTAAGACCTCAAACCTAGGAATGAAGATAAGAACTGACTGCTAGACTTACAGGTATGGGCGCGTCTTTCACCCGCAGATCTTGCTGCATAAGCTCATCGCGAACCTTGTCCTTTTTCACATGTCAAATCACCGGGCGAAAGAAGACGGGCAAGATACTGTGCCTATGGAGGATGAGAGTTCTGGCTCTTGCTCCATTGATCTGCCCGACGGAGACGTCGTTTTGAAGTACAAGCAAACCGAAGCTGGGGAGCCTGTGAAGAAAGGCACAAAGCTGCGGATTCTTCCAGTGGGCGATTCCATCACCGTCGGATACTTGAGCGACAGGAATGGCGGCGACGGTAACGGCTACCGGGGCCGGCTCAAGAAGGATTTGTCTGGTAGGAGCACAAATCAGCCCGATAGTGTATGTTGTATACTGACATTAGAACCAGGTGATGAAGTTGTCTTTGCGGGGACAGAGTCATCCGGCACAATGAGTGATGGTTACTACGTAAGTCATCTCTGCAAAGCAACACAACACTGCTAACTGAGAACCAACAGGCAGCTTGGTCTGGAAAGACCATTCAGTACATATCTGATCATGTCCGTCCGTCATTGGAGCAACGGCCAAATATCATCCTGTTAGCAGCAGGGACGAACGACATGAACCCGAACCGCGGCATTTCCAAAGAAGGGAACGACCCCAAGGGAGCTGCTGATCGACTGGGAAAGCTGGTCGACAAGATGATCAAGGAGTGTCCGGACGCCACCATCCTAGTTGCGATGATCATCAACACCTGTGACGAGAAGCAGAGTCCAGCAACGAAAGAGTTCCAGAAACTCATTCCCGACGTGGTCAAGTCACGGAGGGAAGATGGTCACCAGGTCCTCGCAGTCGACTTCACCACCTTCAAGACGAGCGATTTGCAGGACTGTATCCATCCCACGAACTCAGGTTACAAGCTCATGGGCGACTATTGGTACAGCTTCATTCACCAGATCCCCACCAGCTGGATCAAAAAGCCCGTCGGGTCCGACCCCAACAGCGGCGGAAGCGGCAACAACGGTGGCATTGACAAGAACATCCCTGCTCCCGACTGGGGGAAGAGTCCGATCGAAGTTACTTCAAAGGAAACCGTGGCTGATGCAGCCGAGTCGGCAAAAGGGGGGGAGAGTTGGACTGCCTGTAACAAAAACCCCATTTGGAAGGGTGCGGGAAAGATTGCTCAGGGTAACGTGGGCCACAACGGTGACTGGAAGTACCACAAGAATTGGGTTGCCGAGGGAGAGGTTGCTGAGGGACTTGGGTGGGACACTCGCTATGTCCGTCTTCACGACATGAACGGCGACGGAAAGGCCGGTGAGTTGAACATTGAGAGGTCCTATTTTGTCTTCGGCTGTGCTGACCAATGTCATTAGACTATGTTTGGATTCATCCCGAGACCGGAGAGATCAGATGTTGGCTCAACAACTTGCCCAAGCCATGGTCTCCAGCAGGCAACAACAACAGCATTATTGGCAGTGGCGTGGGCCCAGCAGAGACCATCTTCCTTGCGGTAAGATATCCATGACTTCTCAACTAGGTGGACTAAACTAACATTTACACAGGACATGAACGGAGACGGCGTAAGTATCGGGTTCATTGACACAGATCATGGCTAAACTTCGATCAGATGGACGATTATCTTGTTGTTGATCCAGATAATGGCTCAGTCCGGGTCTGGTGGAACTATGGTCCCGACGATAACTGGGTCAACGGCTGGAAGTTTGTGCCCGGGGGCCAGATCGCGTCAAGCGTTCCACATGCCAACCTCGAGACTATACGATTCCCTGATGTCAATGGCGACGGCAGGGCTGACTATGTGTACATCGGCGAAGGGGGATCCTTGAAACACCACATGAACACTGGGTCGGCTGGAGGGCAAGATGTGCTCTTCCATGCCATGGGTGGTATTGCAACGGGCGCCGTGAGGAACTTGTCTAACCTGGTATTCGCTGATGTGAGTTTCCCCTGCCTCAATGGCCATACGCGGTGAGAACTGACTTGCTTGTTAGATGAACGGTGATGGCCGAGATGGTAAGAACCTCGTGAAGTATCTTGCTGTATGTAACTAACAAACGACAGACTACCTGATCTGGGATGACGACGGTGGTCTCACTGGCTTTCTCAACCAGCCGACGAACCGAGAAGGTGTGCCTCTCTTTATCAACCAAGGCGACCCCAAGACGATCGCAGATGGCATCAAGAAGGACCCGAGCACCATCAGGCTGGCTGACATGGACGGAGATGGCAAAGACGACTATGTTTATGTTGGCAAGAATGGCGCCCTGTCTGTATGGTACAATCGGGGAACAACAGACGACTCCATGACGATTGACGGTCTACGCTTTGCGGATATTGACGGTGATGGGGTAAGTGTTCACTTTACGAAATCTTTGGGCATCATTCTAATCATGAACCCCAGATCGATGACTACATCTGGCTAGACCCCAAGTCGGGAGCTCCAACTGTCTAGTAAGTTGACCGATTACCAACAACCTTCAATAATCTGACCTTGGCGCAGTCTCAATGCTGGAGTGGATGACGGGGACTCCCTGGGTTGGGCTTGGAAGCCACTGAATGGCGGCAAGGCCATTGCTTCCGGGGCGGCGCCGGCCCATCAAGTTGTTTTTGGCGATATCAATGGGTAAGTCCTTGGTCCCAGTTATAAGTTGATGTTTCAGATGACTTACGGGATACAAGGGATGGGCTTGATGACTACCTAGACCTGGACGACAAAACTGGCTTGCTTAAGGCCTACTTGAACGTGGGTGAAGACAAGGGCTCCGAGTATGGGTGGAAGTTCAGGCCTATTGGTACCATAGCGTCTGGCCTCGGACCTGGCAAGAGGGTCAGAATTGCCGACATTGATGGTGATGGGGTAAGATATCGGGTCTCCAAACCCTCTATAAAGCGACGCACTGACTTCTCTTCAGCGTGATGACTACATCTACCTCAAAGACAACGGAGGTACCACCATCTACCGAAATGTCTACCACCCTGAACACACAGGCGACAGGTACAAGCCGCTTCCAGAGGCAGACGCCTCCGGCATCAACCAGTCACCCGATGAGATTGAATTTATCGATCTCAACGGCGATGGCAAGGCAGATTACGTCTGGACACGCAAACTCGACGGTCGTGTCAGGGTCTGGTACAACGACTATCCCAACAAACCTACCTGGCGGGAAGCCGGTGAGATTGCTGGTGGAGTCGGAACCTCCGGTGCCAACGTTCGATACGGGACGCTTTCATCGACCGGCCGTGCAGATTACATTCCTGTTGATCCCAAGACCGGTGCTATTGCCGCATGGCTGAATGGCTGCAACGGCTTTGATGCCTCAGAGAAGAAACACAAGATCACCATTTTCCAGAGGAATGTGCATGGAAACAAGAGGATGTGGGGCATCACCGAGTACCCTTTGGATGGAAAGCAGCCTAAAGACCATTGCGACTTAACGGGCAAGTATTCTCGAAGCTCGCAGATCAGTCCCAATGATCCCGACGACGCTGAGTACCCGACTTTGGTTACGAACAATGACAAGATATACGGCAAGGAATGTTACTACGTTGGCTCACCTTATTCGGTAGGTCAGTTGTATTGTGATGGTGTCAGTGGGATTGTATGCTACAAGGACCCAGACCATTGGAAAAGCAAGGGTTGCGGTGGGTGGTCATATCGGATCTCCTTATCATGTAAATGGTAGTTTACGTCGTGTTCTTTTTCTTAGTTGAAGCCTGGCCCTTGATGGGATAGATGAGGCAGAGATCGTAAATGGTAGTTTGTTTTCCCGTCGTCGGCATACTATTCATAGTTTCCTGGGGATTTCTTTATACATGTGATACAGTATATCTCTCATATCTCGAACGTCTTGAGCTTCTTGCCCCCATCGACTCAGTATTTGGATTGCCAGCTCCACGATACCTTGCCATTCGGGAGGTGGCTGTACTCGATGCGGATGAAGGGAGGCTGCAAGAATCAAGCATGCAGCAGTAAATATGTTGCGACAAACGAACCAAATACCACCATGCCTCCCGGAGAAAGAACATCGTTGAACAGTCGTGACGCAAATCTGTATCTCTTTCGCTGCCAGAGAAAGAGCCTCTGATGGAATATTTTCATCCTCGGCGGCATGGAGAACGTAGTAGAGGATCGGTCGCAAAGTGTACTCGCGCCATAGTGATGCTCGTGCTTGTAACCCTTGGGCAAGCTCATCGTCCGGGAAAATGTTTTCCTCGAATTGGACGAGAGCCGGAATTTGGCGATGCCTAAGACGGCGGGCCTGTCAGTGGCAATACTGGCGAATTGGGTGTAGATATCGCTTACCACGAGGATACTTGGCCATCACATTCGTAGTACTGACGGATCAAATAGGCAGGGTTCTCCATCCAGTACTCCGGACCTTGGCTATAAAGGAGATTCAAAGTCTCGTCTACCGTCCGCCGGACCGAGATCTCGGCAAGGTAGTAATACCAACCTTGTTCGTTGATTCGCCTTTGCTTATCGAGGGAGCTAGGAGTCGAGCCGTCAGTGTTGGGTGAAGCGTCATCGAAGAGATTGTCAGGTGGCGAAGGGAAGGCATCAGGATAAGAGAAATTTTCCAAGCTCCCTGGTGTTTCGCCAAGTTCAAACACAAGTTCACTAAGAATGTGTGAGTAAAGCCCAAAAGACAAGTCAAAGCCCGAACCTTTCAGCCCGGAGGCAAGACCAGAAAAGCCGTTGTTCCAAGTGGTGGTTTTCGGGATTCAAGTCATTAAACGGGGCCAAGGGCCGTTCGCCTCGTTGTAGCAATCGAGTCACAAGGCGACTACAGGCTTGTTGAATGTGATGCCATGCCCTCAGTGGACGCAAAGCTGTCTTTTCGAACATGCCAGCAAGGAAAAAGCATTGGATATCCTGGATCGAGTTTCCAAGTAGCCCGAGCCGTTTCTGTGCAGCCACATAATAGGCCTCTGCCTCAGCTTGGTCTTCGGCCTCTGTTAGGGCTTGTAGCTGGGCCTCATCAAACGGGCGTAGCTGCTCCCTTGGTTTGATCCAAGGGGTAGCGTAAGAGCCCAGAGCACAGGCTAGCAGCTATCCATTTCGCGTTAGTGAGTGCACCATGGCACAGATAAATAGGCAGTCCCAATAACTCACCACCAGGCAGGTCGAAGAGTCCCAATCAAGGCCGTGTCCGGTGGCTCGGCGGGCGTCACGTAATAATTCTTGATCATCAAGAATTGGGTTACGAGGATGTGCTGTAACGAGAAACTTCTCACAGAGGGGGACCAAGGCATGCTCGTTCATACCCCTCCCATCTGTTGTTCCTTGGATCTTCCGGACCTCTCTATACTCCGGGCTGAACAGAAAGGAGTCGATATTCGCGGCGGATTGGGGGATGACGTTGGCTAGACAAGGCCACTTGAGAAGACCCTCGCATCGCAATGCTGCATATGGAAATCGGCGCCCTTTTGATGAATTATTGTTGGCGATGTGGGAGAACCTTGCCCAAGGATTCGGAGTCGTAGGAGGGAAAATGTTTGCCGTCGCAGGAGAGTCCCGCCCTTCCGTTGCTATGATGGGCGGCAAGGCGATATAGCTCTTATGGGAGTCCCTGAGTAGGATCTCTTTAATCTCTTCCAGACGGGCTATGACTTCTCCGTTCGAAGCAGCGTCGTGTTGCACTTGCCCGGATGCCGGCTCAATCGTCTGCTGAACATCTTTGTAGATGCACGTGGCATTGTTGCGAACACAGAAACCGCAGCGCGGGCGAGCGCTATCGCATTTTGTCTTTCTCACTCGGCAGAATTGACATGCCTCGGCGGCGCGTTTACGCTGAGCAAAGTGTGTCGTGTTGAGGCGTCTTCGCTTTGGGTGGACCTCAAGGTGGCCCTGGTCTTGGTTGGCGGCAGGGCGATGAACTGGGGGATTCCGAGCCCCGAGAGACGAAAGAGACACAGGCGGTGAATCCTCTTGCCGAGGGGAGGCGGTTGACGATTCTGACATGACTACTACATGCTGTGATGCTAGACGGAAGCACGGGTAGGCGGCAAGACGGAAGGGTGGCTTTTCGTAAAAGCGGAGGTTGAAGGGTTCGCCATTTTATTAGTTTGTGACGTGCTCAGGAACCGGGGGAGTGCGGGGTACAGGCTTTCCGGAACTTCAGCTTCGTTCCCCGGCAAGACATGCGGCATTAGGCTCAGGACCGATATTGAGTAAATAAACTACCATATTTTGCTCCCCTGCCATCAATTGATGTATCGACGGGTGGAAAAGAAGCTGCCTGGCTTGACAGAGGGAATATGGACAGGAGATAGATCCATGTGACTAACAATTGGACTGGGAAGTAGGAGTGAGATATCTTCAACAGCGGATTACAGCCATAACGTCTGCCTCGAGTGTGGCACTTCAAATCTAAAGCATCTTCGATGCATTCTGCGAATAGCTATATGAAGTACTGGTGCACATGATGTTTCCAAGCTACTGTCTATGGACGATGGCCCAACATAGGAGTCGGTATCATCCCTGTTTCCGAATAATACTGCTCCCAGTGAAAGATCATCTCTTCCAGGATATCTAGCCGCCCAGCAGCGAGATCTGACAGCTCAGACGGATCCTTCTCAACGTCATACAGCTCCCACTCATTCTTTCCACGCGGCGCGCTGATCCAAACCGCTTTCCAGTTGCCCTTTCTGATTGCCTTGTGATTTAGAAACTCCCAGCCGTGAATATCAACCTCTTCATCATACACGCCAACTCTTGCGTCGTTACCAGATGACAGGTGATTGACCCAGGATTTGCCTCGGGGCGGTACCACCTCGCGTCCACGAAAGGTTTTGCCTGGGTGAGGCACATCCGCTAGCTGTAGGATTGTTGGCAGAATATCCATGACGCTCGTGAAGGAGTCCGTGACGGCACCAAGTTTTGTGGGCCATTGAGGGTAGGATACTATGCATGGGCAACGGATGCCGCCCTCGAGAACCCAGGACTTCATACCCCTACTAGGAGCTGTAGAAGCGCAGGCCCAGCGTGGTCCTGTTTGAATCAACATGTGATCTAAATTACCATCATGATTGTTGTTTAACTTACCATACCAAACGAAGGAATCTGGACGACCAATATTTTCGAGGCTGTTGTTGTAGTATTTGTCGAATATGTAGGCCATCGTCTTAGTACCGCCCATAATCTGCAGTAACCATGTCAGAGTAAAGTCCATAGCAAAACGGAAGAATGAAGCATATACTGACCGGCGCTGCCTCTATCGAGGCTCCTTCTGCTCCGTTGTCCGACATGAAGAGGACAAACGTGTTGTCTAGTTCGCCGGTTTCCTTCAGATGTCCCAACACCCGCCCTACGTCATCGTCAACCATCTCCACCATGGCAGCATACACCTCCATTGCCCGGGCTGATCTAGCTTTGGCTTCTGCTGTCATGGAGCTCCATTCGTAACCCTGTACGCCTACGGGGTCTGGTATTTGGGCAGTCTGGCTCACAAGACCGAGTTCGATAAGACGGCGTAGGCGGGAAGCGGCTAGGTGATCTGGACCTTGGTCGTATTTGCCGTCTGTGTTGCATCAGCAGAGAGTCTATTTGACAGGGAGAAGAATACGTACGGTACTTGTCCACAATATGCTTAGGCGCCTGGAGTGGCCAGTGTGGCGCCGTGAAAGCCAAGGTTGCGAAAAATGGCTTCTGTTTCTCCTCTTCCGTCCTGAACCTGAACTTGTCAAGCATCTTATCCGTAAAGGTGGTTGTTGAGTAGAAGTCCTTCGGAAGATCCTCATGGTCGAAAAATGCTCCATCCTCCATCCAGTGTCCTTTGCTCGAGAGGGCGGGGAAATAGACGTCGTCTTGAAGCTGAGGCTCATAGCCAAAGTGGTTGCCAGCGCCGGGGAGAAACGAGAAATCTCTGCTAAACCCTCGCGAGGAGGGGGAGAACTCCTTGGTCAGGCCGAGGTGCCTGTAGAAAGCGGAATATCAGCATTGCGATTGGCCGTTAGAAACCGAATGATGGCTTTACCATTTACCAGAAAATATTGTGTGATAACCACCATCCTGAAGTACCTCTGGGAGAGCAGCCACTCTCCAGTTGAGGTATCCTTCATACCCTGGCTTGTCCTTGAAGTACTCTTTGAACGACATCATATACTCTACCATTTCTCCAAGACCGGCGATATGGTTGTCAGTACCAGAAAAAAGCATGGATCGCGTTGGTGAGCAGGCAGCCGCAGTATGGAAGTTGGTCATTCGAACGCCACCCTGCGCCAGCTTGTCGAGGTTGGGAGTGTTGATCTCTGAGCCATAGCAGCCAAGATCAGAGAAACCGAGATCATCGGCGACGATTATGAGAAAGTTCGGCCGCTTCGTCATGATGGGCTGATGTTTAGGTTCGGGGATAGTAGTCGATACTGTCGTCTTGCTCGGAGAGTTGGACTCGATAATGAGAAGAGGATGTTTCGCCTTGTTCTTACTTGATGACGAAATTGAGACAAAACAATTCCTCATCCTTGTAGGAAAAAAGACGAATGGTCATATTAATAATTCCCCAAATGCTGTAACGAGATTAGACACATTAGTAGCGTAGAGGAGCCAAATAAGCCATCAACTGACACTGACACGGAAAGACGGGTAAGCGGGAGTGTCCCACTGAGTCCAATGGTAAGCGAACATGAAGAGGGGTCGTCCGCAACGGAACGGCGGGCGGGTAGACGGGTAGGATGCGCCATGAGCTTGTCATGTGCCCTCAGCCCCAGAAGCCAAGAGACGCTAGCAAGATTTCTGGAGATCAAGACGACTTCAAGCGATGTTGGGTCGGTGTATCTTTGGGACGATGTGGGCCTGGACTTTGCAAACTTCGCTCCATCTCTTGCGCTCAGTATGGAAATGCCGATTGCACCATTCTGGCTATGGATGAAGAGCTGAGTTGAAGACCTCTATATAAACAAGATCGTGTTCCGAAGCTTTCTATACATCATCTCAATCCACCAAACAACCTCTCAAGGCCTCATAGTTCTGCACCATGACAACTCAAAAACACGGCCTCGACTTGCGCGCCACCTTCAACGTCCGGCTGACGTTGACGGTATTGCTGATTGCATTCTCTCAGTTCAACTTTGGGTTCGAGATGTCCGTCTTCTCTGGAACCCAAGCAATGAACTACTTTGAGAAGCAATTTGGTACATGGAGCCCGACTGCGAAGAAGCACATCATCGATCCTCAATGGCTGTCTCTGTTCAATTCACTCCCATACATCAGCTTCATGATCGGTATGTTTCAGACCCGGACCCAGTCCCTCCCCATCACCCGCTAACAACGATACAGGTCTCCTTGCGGGCAGCTATGTCAGCAACCGCTGGGGCAGGCGTATGTGTGTTTTCACCATGAGTATTTGGGCCATCGCCGCAGCTGCCATTGTCGTCACTGCAAAGAATAGGGACCATCTCTTAGCTGGTCGCGTTCTCAACTGTTCGTGTTGCCACCTTTTGTTGCTCACTTGAGAGCAGACAAGTTAACAAGTCTCATCTCATAGACGTCTACATCGGCATGGAACTTGCCGTGGTCCCCATCTACCAATCCGAAATCGTACCTGCGCGATCTAGAGGCTTTGTTGTATCCACTTACCAGACCAGTGTCATTGTAAGTCTTTTCCCCGCGATCTGGCCAAGCCCCTCCAAAGAAAGGGGCTACTTGAGGTGGGTACTGATCAGAAGTATAGCTTGGCGGCCTTATTGTGAGCATTATTACTCGTGGAACTAGCGATATCCAAAGCAATGCGTCGTGGCAGATCCCGTACGGCCTCTTTTTCTTCGTCCCAACCATCGTCGCCAGTGCTATCTGGTTTGTCCCAGAGGTAGGCCCCTCCGTATTCTGCCCTTTTTGTTCTAGGTAAGGCTAACAATATGTCAACTCTCAGTCTCCTCGTTGGCTCGCCGGCAAGGCTCGTCATGAGGAAGGCCTCGCAGCACTTCGCAAGCTCAGGGAGGGCAAGATGACCGAAGATGGGATCGTGTCAGAGTACGGCCTCTTGGAAACCGCTTCGTCCCGCTACCAAGAGAAAGGAACGTTCAAGGAACTGTTCTGGAAGGCCAATATTCGTCAAACATTTATTGTCATCGGTATCAACTTCTTCCTCCAGACGACTGGCTACACCTTTCATTTGGTGTATGGCTCTGTCTACATCAAGTCACTGGGCACGATCAACCCTTTCAACATCAACTTGATCAAGTCCTTTGTCGCTCTTGTCGTGGCCATCGCGACCATGTGGGGCTGCGATATTGTTGGACGACGGTCAGTAACCCTCAAGGCATGATCAACATATTGGCTAACCGCTAGCATTAGACGCCTTTTGATGATCGGAGGTTCGATTCAAGCCGTAGCTCTGATGGCGATGGGCATCATTGGAACGGTTGTCCCAGCCTCCAACGCAAAGAACTCGGCCATTGTAGCCATGATGATCGTCTTTGTTGTGGGCTGGACGTGTGGATGGTCGCCAAACTCACATATTCTAAGCGCGGAGATCCCGAATCAGAGGCTGCGAGACATGTCTTACAGGGCCGGGTCTGTGATTAACGTAATCATGCAGTAAGTGTCACCTCAAACATCCCATGGGTCTTTGAACAGATTGCTGATATTGCCGCGTTACTCCAGATTTGTCACCGCATTCACTCTCCCGTATCTTCTGTTCCCGCCTTACGCAAATCTCCAGTCAAAGGTCGGCTTCATCTACGGTTCGTTCGCCGTGCTTGCCGTGCTATTCACCTACTTCTGCATTCCAGAGCTTCAAGGGCGTACACTGGAAGAAATCGAGCAATTGTTCGCGATGAACATCCCCATCAGACGGTTCAAGGACACGAAGACGCTATCAGGTGCCAGGGTCTCTGAGGACATTGAAGCTGATGCCAAGGATGATAAGTCAATTGCTTGATTCAACTATCAAGTCTCTATTAAATAAGTACTCTTGCTAGAATTAATTACCTATCATGCACTGGTTATTTATATGAAGAAGTAGTAAATAATACAAGAAGGAAGTTTTACAGCATCCCGAATCGCCTCAGCACTAAGCCTCTCCTCTCAACCCCTAGGTCCCTACCCAGCCATCAAAGCGCCTAGGTAGCCTTGGTCACCACGCCAGACTTGAGAACAACATCCTTCACGATAACCTGACCACCGTTGATGTCGGTAACACGGACATAGGCAGTGTCACCAGGGAGAGTCTTGTCGTCAAAAATGTACATGTTGGGATCATGAAGGGTGCAAACTTGCCAGGTCTTGCCGTTGTCGCTGCTGACCTCAACCTTCTTGGTGCGGAGGACAGCATTCTCAATAGTGGCAGCGAACCAGTACTTAGAAGCTCCTTTGTGCATGTGAACTTGAAGAGATGACGACTCTGGAAGAGGGCATTTTATCCATTCCCATTCAATGCCGTCAACTCCACCTCCGGAATAACCCTTGGTCAGCTTCGACCAGGTCGACGGGGTCATATCAAGATGAGTAGCATTTCCGCCAGTCCTGTTGGTTACCTAGGAAAGAGTTAGTTGTGTATCTACTACAAGGGCCGGAACCCCAGGAAAAGGACCAGTTCTCACCATGATCTTCAAAGTGACACCCTTGTAAGTGACGGAAATACAACCGCCGCAGTTGGCACCATCATTCCAGATATCATCCGAGACGCAGGTAGAACCATCCAGACTCGAGGGCAAATCGTAGTCGACAAAGCTACAGGCGCCACTTTGCCAGCAGTCTTCCTCGGTACAGCCATCGGACAGACCATACCGAGTTCCCAAGCCCGTGAAGACTTCAGAGGTGGAGGCTTCCTCAGAGACAGGGGCTGAAGAAGCAGCGGAGGCTGCAGGCTTCACAACAGCCTTGACAACAGACGTACTAGTGGCCTTAGACTTGGCGATGGTGGAAAGGGTTGAATGGGGAGTTTTAGTGACAGGATCGGCATGGGAAACAGCAGTATTTGGCTTCTGGTGCCTGCAAGCAGAAGCATCAACGACATCGGACACAGACGCCAGCGCCGTGACAAGGAGGGGCAACAACTTGTTGAATTGCATTTCGAATAAGGTAGAAAATAAAGAACGACTTAATGAAGAGAATCAAGCAAAAGTCGACTGCGATGCACGAAAGAACTTGAGAAGCAACGCAATGCAGACAATTCAGACAGACCTCTATTATACATTTGTAGCACTCAGTATCATCATATCACGCCGCGTCTCTAACATGGATAACTCGGAATCAAGTGAGCAGACTCGTAATCAACTAGAATTGGCTTTAATTACTACAGGTTTCACGGCTTGGGCGGCACGTATGTTGTTTAATTAACATGTTGAGATCATCTGCACATAGGGAGCGGTTCGAGTTTGACAGCAGCCTCCAAGAACTAACCATATCACAGATGTACTAGCTACCTCGCAAGTTTAGTGGGATTCTACCCTGTCAAACCAGGCCGAGGTGATTGCCGAACATCCGATTCAGAGCGGATATCAGTTGGAAAGCTGATGCCGTGTCCGTAGGTGGGCTGAAACGACTACGTTGTAAACGAGGTTCTGAAACAGCTGAAGGATCTGAGGCCCCACCGAGTTCTCTGCCAAACGATCCAAGTGAGGAGAAAGTAGCGAAGAAGAGAGAGCACTGATAACGCCACAACGCGGTAGGATGTCTCGAGTAGATTGATCCCGCTTTTCATCTGTCAAGGCTAGCAAGGGATAACTCGCTCTAGTTACTCGGCAAGAGGCAGCCTTCCACGATCTCCCCTAAAGCTGTAGAGGGTCGAGGAAGAGGTGCGCAAGATGCGCGAGAGCGGATGGCTGTGAGATGCACTGGTCAGTAAGTAAGCAACAAAGATCGAACTATGTGACACGGCATACTTCTCTGGTGAAAAATTTGTGAAAAGTTCCTCCTTGTGAACTTGGTGATGCTTCAAAAAAACATCCTTGAAAAGTTTCTCGTTAAGGTCAAGATAGCGAAGAACGAAATACGACGTTATCGACCCTAACTGGTCCAATCGTGGAGAGGAAATACGCCAAGGACGTTTAATAAACGAAAACCAAGGGTACAAATTCGGCGGCGACGGCCCCATGTTCTGTTTCCAGAGGCTCGGGGTTCAATTTAGGCAGATGACCCCTGCTCCAGGTCGTAGAAAATGAAACGTGAGGCTCGGCTGCATTCTTCCTCCAATGGGGCCAGGGCCAATTCCAGAAGAACACCAAAGAAACAACGGACCGTGCTTCTCCGAATGATACACTAGTGATGCCGAATAACATCAAAATTTGGCATTAACGGAGTTAATGTATAATGTCCTGCTCCGTACTTCTCTTCGTAGCACTTGCCACCCGCCCATGGTCAACTTTGCTCTCCTTTCCTCTCTATTCCTCGCACATTCTCTCTTCCTACTGCAGGACATCGCTCTCTTTTGACTTTCTTCCATTCTCTCAAACTATCAACAGCTCAACATGAAGTTCTCTTCTTTCCTCTTCGCAGCCTCGCTGGTCGCGGCCGCCCCCGCCAACGTCGAGCCCCGTCAGTCCCCAAATAGCATCAACAAGCTCATCATCAACAAGGGCAAAAAGTACTACGGCACCATCACCGACCCCAACCTCCTCAGTAACCAGAAGAACAATGCCATCATCAAGGCCAACTTTGGCCAGGTTACTGCCGAGAACAGCATGAAGTGGGATGCCACTGAGCCCCAGCGTGGCCAGTTCAACTTTGCTGGTGCCGACCAGGTCGTCAACTTTGCCCAACAGAATGGCCTAAAGGTCCGAGGCCATACCCTTCTCTGGCACTCGCAGCTGCCTCAGTGGGTCCAGAGCATCAATGACCGCAACACTCTTACTCAGGTCATTGAGAACCACATCAAGACCGTTGCTGGTCGCTACAAGGGCAAGATCTACGCCTGGGTAAGCACGCATTCATCTAACCAGAGATTCCCTGAGAAGGTGACTAACTGAATTAGGATGTCGTCAACGAGATCTTCGAGTGGGATGGTCGTCTCCGTGACTCCGTCTTCTCTCGCGTCCTCGGTGAGGACTTTGTTGGCATCGCCTTCAGAGCCGCCAGAGCCGCTGATCCCAATGCCAAACTATACATCAACGACTACAGCCTCGACTCGGCCAACGCCGCCAAGGTCACCACCGGCATGGTCGCTCATGTTAAGAAGTGGATCGCCGCTGGCATCCCCATTGATGGCATCGGCTCCCAGACTCACCTGGACCCCGGCGCTGCTTCCGGCATCCAGGGCGCTCTCCAAGCTCTTGCCGGCTCTGGTGTCTCTGAGGTTGCCATCACCGAGCTTGACATTGCTAGTGCCCCTGCCAACGACTACGCCACCGTTACTAAGGCCTGCCTCAACGTCCCCAAGTGCGTCGGCATCACCGTCTGGGGTGTCCGTGATCAGGACTCGTGGCGTACCGGCAAGAACCCTCTCCTCTTTGATAACAACTACTCGCCCAAGCCTGCCTACGACGCTGTTGTCCAGGCTCTCAGGTAAATACGACATGCCTGGCAAGACGCTTTCAGCATGTATCCCGCGGCTACATTTTGGGATTGTTTGAAAGCAAGTCGAGAGTTGCGAGCTATGGTCTACGGTCCGCGCCTTTCTTTCTTTGTATATTGTAGTTTTGGAGTATATATCTTCTGTGATGGAATGAGGAAGCCATGCCCCCTGGAGACACAAACAACATGGCTACCCTCCTGGCTAGGCTCCAGTAACCCACGAAGCATTGTAAATAACAGCCCCATGCTGTGCAAAGGCTTTCAGGACTGTATTTATTTGCTCCCTGAGCGTCATCTTGAGGCTCGAGGGCTCGGGCTTCATAACAAGTACGGTCTGGCTTCACAAGGTCAAGATCTCCGTGATGGCTCAACCTTCTCACACCCACCGACAACTAAGTTTGCCACAAGAACTGACTGTTGCATCAAGCCAGTAAACTCAACTTCTAGGGTCACAAAGGGGGTCCATAGGTTCTAATCTGGGTCCTTGTCAAGTGGCTTGATGCCGAGATTGCGCTGTATTTTCGACCTCGATGCCATAGCCGAAGATGAAAGGGATGAGGGTGTGTCATTTTCCTCCTGAGCCCAAATGAGTGGAGTTTATGTCAACCCATTTCCTTCTATGGGGGATGTTCTTTACAAATGGAAAAGATTCCGGGCTCTCAATGATCTCTTGACACCATCGCCTTGACCAATCATTAAGCAGTGAAACACCAGTGTTAATCGCTTTCCTACCCATTCTTCTCTGAGCTTAAACAATCAGAGAGCTGGCGAAACGATCTGGAGAATCCAGCTTCAAAAGAGAAACTTCGCACAGATCGGCTCTGTGTTGTATTCCCAAAGAACATAGGGGGTGAGATCTCCACAAGCCATCCCGGCCTCTGTCTCAGGTGCGTGGGCTACTGAAACAGAGGTCATGAGTAACGGCTGACCTATCTCGTAGGTAGCGGTCACCGAATCATTAGGCTTTCAATCTTCAGCGGCAACGTGGAGACATGAACAGGAGTTCCAGATTAACTACCTTTGACACCTCGGTTAGCATCTGAAGGATTGTTGAGTCGACCGTTCAGGAACTGCTCAAAGTGCCATCATGGCAATCATCTACTGGAATTCTTCGATCTTGGTCAACCTATCGAACCTCACAGTTCCTTAATACATGTCGTTGAAGACCATCACATGTTCTGTTCCTCCCGCTGTCAACGCACTGACATTTGGTCTAGACCTCACTAAAGTTGACTCCTTTACCGGCGTCTCGGGCCAAGAACTCTCGGGATGTGGGCGCAGGCCCCAGGGGTCCTCAGTAGAGGAATTAAGATCCGCCGAGCTAACGGCCCCAGCATCTGATGCAAGCGGCTGAAGAACTACACGAGGGTTCCCTGTCACTAAATTAAGGAACATTTAGAGGAGCGGGGGCATGGTATGCCAAGCTGAACTTCTGAAATGGGAAAGGCCAGCGGCTTCATTCACCGGCACTTCTTGGTATTGCATCTTTGAAACATGCTTATCCTTTAGCCCATTGTGAATGGCATGTCGTCGTAGAGCGGGTAGAAGGAATCATGATATATAAAGACATGACGGTCCCTCAACATCAGAATTTTTCGTTCCTCACTATCGCTTCCTCATCTCATTTCATTCATTCGTTTCTCAGAGCTAGTCTCTATTCCATTCACTCTTTTACTGCCAACCTCCTTGCTACAGCATTCTCTTCAAGACACAATCTCTCACTTTAACTACCAACTCAACTCCAGCAATCATGAAGTTCTCTGTCGCTTCTGCCGTCCTGGCTTCCGTCGCCTCCGTCTACGGTCACTACACCTTTGACCAGCTTGTTGTCAACGATGCCCTCGAGGGCAGCGCCAACACCTACATTCGCAAGCACCAGAACAGTTACATGCCCACCAAGTTCAAGAACCCTCCTTCCGGCTCCATCACTCCTCTCGATGCCGACTTCTCTTGCAACAAGGGAGCGGTCCCTGCTGCGCAGGTCTTCAAGGTCAAGGCTGGCGACAAGGTTGGCCTGAAGATGGCCTACGGTGGCACCGGCATGGAGCACCCCGGACCTTCCCAGGTCTATGTCAGCCCCGTCTCCGATGCTGCCAGCAGTGATGGCAGCGGTGACTGGTACAAGATCCACCAGACTCTGATCTGCAAGGCTGGAAACGCCGAGTCCCTGCGCACTGATGCTTGGTGCACCTGGAAGGAGGACCAAGTCTGGTTCAACGTGCCTTCATCCATCCCCGATGGCCAGTACCTCGTCCGTGGCGAGCACATTGGTCTCCATGGCGCTCACAACGGCGAGGCCGAGTTCTACTATGCCTGTGCTCAGATTGAGGTCGCTGGCAACACCGCCACCAGCATTCCCGGCCAGAGCGTCAAGATTCCTGGTGTCTACAAGGAGTCCGACGAGGCTGTCAACTTCAGCCTCTGGGGATCTTCCACCTCCTACCCCGTCGCCCCTGGCCCTGATGTCATTCCTGGTGGCACTATCCGTGGTACTGCTGATGGTGCCACTGGCGATGTTACTGAGACTGTTGCCGGTGGCGAGTCGGACTCTGGCTCTGCTCCTGTCAATACTCCTGCCCCTACTTCTGCCGTTGGCAATACTACAGCTCCTGCTTCCACCTCTGCCGCTCCTGCTTCTGAGGCTACTGATTTCGACACCGATGCCGGATCAGCCAGCCCCTCGACCGGCTCGGGCAGCGGATGCTCTTCCAGCTTCCATGCTCGCCGTATGAGGTCTATCAAGGCTTAAAGGGCCGATCTAGAGAGACGACGTGGTATGCTTGAGTCCACACAAGGTGGATTGTCATGCTACAGGATTTGAAGGGGTTGAACATAGTCGTTGCCTAGACTGGCTTCTAGACGCGGCGGTTTATATAGTTTGAGGGTGAATCGTGTGTCTTTCGAGATAGCTGCTAGTATTGTACATTAGGCATATATTTACACATACAAATTTTCTAAGACTCTGTCCATCACCATGAAGTTTCCATTAGAGATCATTCGCCACAACCGTAGGCCACAGTCATTAAAACATAACTACATCGAAACCCGACGCCACAGAACACTGAAAGGGTTACTCCGTGCCTACCCACATAGGTAGGTTGTCCATATAGGATTGGCTGCTCACGTCAGCTTCCTGGAAAGTGGAGATACAGGTCGGACATCAGCATAAGCCTGGAGAATGGTGACCTGGGATCGCCCGAAGAGGCTTACAGGTGATGGTGACCTTTACTGCTTCAGACTGTTTTCTTAAGTGTCACCAGATCATTTTTCTATTGATGATAAAGCAGAATGGAGGAACCAACTACCTAGTTCCTAGTGTTAAGAATGTCTACTTACACCAGAGGAGCATTCCGAGCTGGTATAGGTTCATGTGACGTTGATGTCTTTAAAGGTGGTAACACAGTTGCCATAGAGATTGTATAGTAAAAGAACACTTTGTGCTCCCTTCTAGGCCAGTCTTCTATTTGTTCAGAAATGGAGGGGATGGTTATATATACACTCCGAACTCACAGTACCAATACTTTCAACGCGAGTAGCGAGGTTGCTAGGCAAATCTGCAGCACAGTTTCGCAGCACTTCATGCCATATATCAGACCAGAAAATTGACAGTCCAATCGAGTATCTTTCATTCATCTAGATGAGTATTGATCATGGCATAGAGAATGCGTTCCTCAAGACCCATAACCACCCTTTTCCAACGGCTGACTTCAAATCTTCGCAAACATCTGATCCAAAATTTCGGTTGAACCTCAACACTGCTGCGGTAACGAAGCTCCCAAGTAGCTCCTAAACCTGCAGCAATCGTGCAAGGACTCAGGGTGCGACTCTGCCCAGAAGGAAAAGGGCTTGCTTGTTGCTAAAGTTGGGCACATCTCCCATGATTTCAGCGGCCTCGGGCCCCGCGAAGGCATTCTTGACTTGGTCCGCATCTCCCCATTCGACGACGGATCCGAATGCGTAGGGACTTGGCGAACCGTCCAATCCAGCAGTAAATTGCGTTGCCGACCAGCTCTTGACGCCGTATTTGCCCCAGCGCTCTTGAATTAGAGGCATGTGCTTGGAGACGTAGTAGTCGAAGTCGTATTTGGCATCAGGCTCATTGGGAAAGAGAACGGTGATGGTGAAGGCCATGTTGGTGGTGATTTCGAGGGTGGGTTGAGTAATAGGAGAAATGAAGAGACTCAAGTTTGCTTTCGTGGTGTGCCAGTAAAGTTAACAATGATGAAGAATGGCTCGTACTTCTAATAGACAGAACATTGGCAAGGAGCTACCGAGTCTTTATGCATAAGCTGCCCGTGTCAACGGTTTCGAGTTGCTTCTTCGATCACGGAGTTAGCGGAGGTAAATGTAATCAACAACTAACTTGATTTGAAGCTTTGGGATTAAAGTTTGACATTAACAGCCGATGGTTCGTATTGCAAGGTAGGTTGCAGGGACATCAAGTTTGTTTTCGGCGTTAAGAGACACACTAGCTGAGTCGCTTTTCGGCAGTCGTGATAAGTCCGAAAAATGGCTTCTACAAAAAGGCATTCTCTTATTCTATAATACCTTATCTAAGCCCCAAAGTAACGAAAACAACACGTCCAGTATCTTTACTCTTTGTCTATCGACATCATGTCTACCAAGCAGAAGCTTCTTGTCGTCCTTACATCTCAGGATGTCCTCCCCACACGGGCCAACATGAAGACGGGATGGTATCTCCCCGAGTTGGTTCACCCATACAATGACCTTGCTCCCCATGTGGACCTTATTATGGCTTCACCTAAGGGAGGCGAAGCTCCTATTGACCCGTATTCGATTGAGGATGCCAAGAATGATGAAGCTTGCCAAGTCTTTCTCAAAGAGAAGGGGCATGTTTGGAAGAACACACAAAAGCTTGAGAGCTTCCTTGGCAAGTCTGATGAGTATGCCGGTATCTTTTTCGTCGGAGGCCACGGACGTACGTTCTTTTTTCCCTCAATCACAATGAGACACTAACAAGGTAATCAAGCCATGTTCGACCTAGCCGTAGATGGCACGTCACACGCTCTGATTCGCGAATTTTACGAATCCGGCAAGTTGGTCTCAGCCGTCTGCCACGGTCCAGCTGCCTTGGCCAATGTCAAGCTATCAGATGGAACCTACATGGTCGATGGCCAGACAGTCACCGGCTTCTCCAATGCCGAGGAGGAGGCATATAAATTCACCGACGCAATGCCTTTCTTGCTTGAAGATAAGCTGCAGGAACACGGTGGCCATTACGAGAAGGCTGATCAGCTTTTTGGCGTCAAGGTCGTTACCAGCGGCAAGAGTGAGAACCTTATCACTGGCCAGAATCCTCCCAGTGCTGGAGTCATTGGCAAAGTCTTGTCGGAGGCCATTCGCAAGCGTGCTGTCTAAGTCACGGGCGAATGCAAGTTGCAGTCTTTGTTCTCTTGAAACACTATTGTATTGTCAAGTCCTTGTACTATATAGATCGCAAGTTTCTTGTCACGCTGGTTCCGAAACTTTTACCATCGGCAGCCAATGCCAGATGTCTTCCCATGGCACACATGCTGATGCGGAGAGCCCAATGAGAGGTCGGCGTCAACCCCCTTACATAATGGTCAGCAATGAATCACAACCTCGTATGAATACGTCATCAAACGTCGACAGCCCAAGTTCCCCATCCTCGTATCTATCTTTGACCTGCAATCACTCGCAATCCATCTGATCCTCCTCCTACATCAATCTCGGAAGGGGGCATCCTTCCCGCCTATCGAGAATGGCCGATCCTCTTCCAGATTCAGACCAAGACGAGCACCAGTCGACAGAATCAGGACACGACCAGTTGGATCGTTATTGCCTTGAACTAGTGCAGCGGCTCAATGACGAACTAAAGGACAACCTCTTGGCCGTCCATCTTTTCGGTTCGGCTGGATACAGCGCATACCAGCCTGGCATCAGTGACATTGACGTCTATGCAATTATAAATGAGCCGATATCCGATTATTTTCACCTGGCTCACCTCATCAGCAATCACTCTTTGCCCTGTCCAGCACGCAAACTTGAGTTTGTCCTCTTCACCAAGGCCAATGCAGCCCGACAATCGCCCGATCCCAAGTTCGAAATGAACTTCAACACCGGCAAGGGTATGGAAGACTACATCAACTTGGATTCCCATACTGAGCCACGATTCTGGTTCTTACTCGATATCGCCGTTGGTCGCGAGCTAGGCAAGTCAATCTTTGGACCGCCGCCCGATACGCTCTTTGCGGCCCCGTCATCGGAATGCGTGTTTGATTGCATGATCGAGTCTTTATCCTGGCACCGCCAAAATGGCCCTGTGGATCACAACGGTATTCTCAATGCGTGCCGACAGTTGAGGTACGAAAAGACTTCTATATGGGGCTCCAAGAAGGATGGCGGCAACTGGGTCCTTGAAAACTACGACTGTCCCAACATCGTTACCCTGGCCATGGATTCCCGACATTCAGAAACGCAATTGCCGCCAGACCTAGGGCTTGACTTCCTGGATTTTGTGGAAGACGAGATCAAACGAGACAAGGTGGCAGATGAGGAGGGTTAATGTGGAAAGGAGGCACTTACGCGATGGACATGAAATAACAGGGAAATTGTATTAATCATGGGACCGTGGCTGAACTTCTATACTTTTGATCCCACGGAGGAGAAACGTACTTATCCAAGGCCTGGGGCTAAAGTGTCCAATTTTGTTCCCCCTAAATAGTATATCTACCTTAGTATTCAACTTTTGTTCTCAATCTTTCTCCATACTTGTACGACATAACTATCATGCCAATCATACCCAAGGATATCCCTGCGAGTAGTGTATTACCCCATCCTTGGTCCAATGCCTCATACATCTTCGGGCCAGCAAGTGGCAAAAGGGCGCCGCCGACACTTCTCAGAACAGTGTTGGCCGCAGTAGCACTCGCAGCGTAAACAGGGAACGCGTCGACCAAGTAGGTGCTCACGGAACTAAAAACCGTGATCATCCCGAAGCCGATGAGGAATGTGCCAATAATTGGCACAAACCAGAAGACTCGGAACTGAGCCGTCCAGCCATATACCAACAGCCCAATAGGGATGATTGCGCTGCAGGGAATCATGAGGGGAATACGATACTCTGGTTTCATCTCTCCGCCTTTTTTAGCCAGTCTCTTCACAATAGCGTCCGAGAGCAAGCCAAAGACGAAGAGTCCAACAATCTGACCACTACCAAAGCCCAGGTAAACAAGTCCGACGTTAGTGACTATTCCATATCTGGTCCTGAAGACTTCAGACACCGTGGTGAACAGCAGGTAAAGAGTACCGTAAGCGATAGCAGTCAGGAGAGAAAGGCCGAAAACGATGGGCGACAGAAAGAGCATCTTCAATGGACGAGCCAGGCTTTTCTTGAGGAGCTGATTCTTCGTGTCGGAAGCGAGGGTGGAAGAGACCTGCTCAGTGCCGTGTAACTTTTGCAGTTTCCTTTCCTTCTTCTTTAGCAGAGTTGGATGGTGAGTCTCCTTCTGAATGAAGAGGCAAACAGCTAGAACAGCACCAGTCTACGTTGGCCAGTGTCAGCAAAAAGAAATTGTTGTTGAAGGATGCCTAATCTTACCATAATAACAAGGAGCCAAAAGTTCCACCTCCAGCCCAAACTTCTAGAGACATATGCCCCGACTGCAGGTCCAAGACTCGGGCCCAGCAGTACTGGCATATTCCATATGGCCATCGCTCGGCCTCTTTCCACCTGCCTGAAACAATCTGCGACGCTAGCCGGGCCAAGAGTCAAGGGACATGCACCCACCAGTCCAGTGAGCAGACGGAAGATGATGAACATGGGCATGTTGACAGACAATGCGCATGCGATGTTTGTCAGGAGAAAGAGAAACATGCAAATATGGTATACTGGAAGACGGCCATAAAGCTCGCTGAGTGGAGCGAGGAATAAAGGGCCAAAAGCATACCCAAGAAGGTATATTGATACCGAGAATGAGCCTATGTTAGGGTTTGTTTCACTCATATCGTCCATAATGAGTTGGACAGCGGGTGCAATCATGGAAGATGCAAAGGGCCTAAGAGTTGAGATCAGCGCAAGATTCTGGTGTTGCCGTCAGGGGCCACAAACGTCAGTAGGGTCAACGTCGACACCGCCATGGTATTGATCCATCGCTTGGACTTTGGCCAGTTCAGTGGCATCTCAGGATCGTCTGGTCCATCCCAATCGATTGGGCCCGTGTCCGACTGACTTGACCCCGATTGCGCCTCCTTTTCTGTTGGTGTTGGGGTTGGGGAAGTGCCATTCTCCAGCTCCAACTCAGTGCGCGCTGTCATGACTGTCGGGGGCCAAATCTCAAATGTCGGATAACGTGATGTCGCCAGATGAACCGCAGTGTTCTTGAGGTGATGGTGAAGGGGCCGTTGATTGCTTCTCGTCAAAGAATTGAGGGTTGCAGTAGTATTTAAACTACCATTTGACTCAATTTCTAAGCTGGCAGTATCTCTAAAGTCCGAGAGAGTTCTTTGAGGCAAGAAATCGTAAATGGAGAACGCCAAGGTAGAATCATGATCATCTCCTCCCCCAGATCACTCTCTGGAGACTGAGACAGCTGAGACCAATCAGCGAGCAGCACTTAAGTCCGGGCGTCCGTGTTAGCCATCGGGGAGCCTCCCCGACACAAGCAACTTTAGACTGGAGCTAACGTCAGCAAGTTGCATGCGCTAGCCAGGGTCAGCTTGGCGAGATTGGCCAACCGCTTCCGGGGTCGTTGTCTCAAATGACCCACCCAAAAGTGAAGACATAGGGTAGGGAGACGATTTCTCATGAACAAGTCCAGATGGCATAAAAATCACGGTTTTGATGGACTGCTGAAAGTTTTGGAGTGATCTATGAATGAAGGAGATTTTATATGCAATTTTTTAAGTACTGAAAGGTCAGATTTCGCGCCAATTGTCGGGCTTTGTGATATCATGGTTTGGTGTCGCGAACTCTTGAAAAAGTCGTACGGTTTCCATCCCCTGTTCAAGCAGCCAAAGTAAAGCTCCCATCACGTGAAAGCTCAACGGCGCCTTATGTCAGCACCACATGACGTCATTTCAGTATTTAAAAAAAGACTAACCTTCGCCCTCTCAACCCCACACACGTTACGCCCACCTCGTGATAGCCTCATTTGCTGGCAGTTGGACCACCAACCATCGCGCCAAATTTTCGTGAGAATCACGGCCTGTATCATGCAAAAATGAAAATCTGAGCTGCGCGACTACGGTTCTTGATCTAAATAGGGTCTCAAAGCGAGTCAATTCGCAACAATAAGAAGAACGCCACGAATACATGGAATACTGAAATGATTCATTATTTGTTGTCTGCAAGAAACTCAAAGCCCGGACCAACACGTCGTTTCCATCACCTCCAGCTTCCCTTCCACCAATATCTTCTGACTACTGGACCCTACAAGCACCCTGTACACTCCCTTCTCACAGACCCAGCAATGCATCTCCTCGTCCCAAAACGCCGTTGCAAACCGATCCAGTGGTATTTGAACCAGCTGCGTTTCCCCAGGTTGTAGGTGTACCTTCTTGAACCCTTTGAGCTCCTTCTTGGGCCTCGCGATAGAGGATGTTGCCTCGTCGGGGGCGATGTACAGCTGAACGGCTTCAGCTCCAGCAACTGTACCCGAGTTTGTGACTTCCAAGTTCACGTGTAAGGATGTGACGCTTAGATTCGAGTACGTAAACGTTGTGTATGAGAGGCCATGGCTGTGCGCATAATGTTAGCTCAATTCTTTGCGTCTCAGCATGAACAAGAAGGAGTCATCCTACCCGAAAGGATAGAGCACGTCTCGATCCACCTTCTCGTAATATCGGTATCCAACGTAGATGTCCTCACCGTATATGACACGTCCCCTCTCGCTTCCGAAGTTGAGATATGTTGGTGTGTCCTCGATTCGTCTTGGGAAAGAGAGTGGCAGTTTCCCGCTAGGACAAATCTTGCCGAAAATAACGTCGGCGATGCCGTTGCCAGTCTCATTACCCCCCATCCAGGCATGCAGATGCGTCTTGGCGCGCGTAGCCCAAGGCAACATGTTGAAGGGTGTACCGCTCTGTGACACAATGATGGTGTCGGGTGCTGCATCTAAGACGGCGGAGATAAGTTGACGAAGGAATCCTGGCAGCTCCATGTGCTGACGGTCAAAACCCTCGGATTCTTGATCTCTTGTCAAGCCAGCGCATAGAATCGCCACATCTGCTTGTGTTGCAGCATCAACAGCTGCTCGGATGGATGCCTCAGGGTCAATCACTCTCACGAGACCGAGCCGTCCTGCACCTCCACCGAAGTTGACCACACCAGGCTTGACGAGTTTGGATGAAGGTGCACTTTCGTATTCGACTTTGATCCTGTACTTCTGACCCTGAATGATGTGTATCTCGGCCTTTTCCTCCAGAGTGCCCTTGCCGAAGAAAAAGGTGCCGCCTCGCTGCACAGCAGTGTTGTCGATCAACAGCTGGCCGTCGACGTAAACTCGGGCTGAACCATATACAGCCAAACCAAACTCGAAAGGCCCTGTAGCTTGCCCAACAAAGTCGCCCTCCACTTCAGCGTAGAACAACTTTTCCAACTTCGGATGTGAATAGCCCATGAGTTGCCATGAAGACTCGGGTAATAAGCTCTCGTCGATGATTTCGCGATCCGGGACGGTGGGAGGTTCTCGGTAGAAGCGTATTCGCAGACCAGGGCGTCCATCTGGTGTCATGACGCCCGAAGCTTGGAGGAGAGGGTTCCAACCACTTGCCGAAGCGCCGATTTCGTACTTGACGTCGACATCGGGTGGTAGTTGGTCGACAATTCCTTCAAAAGGAGAAACGGTGTAGTATGGCTGGAGATGTGCTGACCCTCCACCACAAAACGACGTGTTCTTCATGTTAGGTCCAATAAGGGCGATGCTCTTGAATGACCGTTTGAGAGGTAGTAGGCCCCCCTCGTTCTTCATCAAGACGACACCATCACCGGCTAGTTGCCGATTGAGCTGTCTGTCTTCGGGAAAGTCTCGACCGCCTTCTTCAGAAGCCACAGCAACCTTGTTGCCTCTTTGCACAAACTCCAGCACGCTGCGTGCTCGTGTATCTATCATCGTCCGTGATACCTTTCGCGTTGATACTGCAAGGTCCAGTAGTTGGCCGCGTTGCCTGGTCGGTCCCGGCATCTCGAGGTCTAGTCCTGCGTTGAGAGCTTCGGCGGTTGAGTAGGTACCGAACCTGGAAGGATCGTTGTTAGTCTCAAACTTAACGTGAACCCAATGCTGTGTTAGTGACGTACCAATCGCTCATGATCAGCCCCTTCCATTGCCACTCCTCTCGGAGAAGACCATCTAATAGATCTCGACTTTCGGATACATGTTTTCCGTTGACTTTGTTGTAGCAAGACATGACAGCTCCAGGTGCGGCGTCTCGGAGGGCTATTTGGAAGGGGAGCATGTGGATCTCTCTCAAGGCGCGCTCGCTCACCACGACGCTGACCCCAACTCTTTCGTGTTCTTGGTCATTAGCTAGCCAATGCTTGATAACGGACACAACTCCTGTTGACTGAACGCCCTTGATGTATGCGGCAGCCAGCTTGCCTGTGGCATAAGGGTCCTCTGCCATGGACTCGAAGCCGCGACCACCTAGCGGAGAGCGTTGGATACAGACTGTTGGCCCAAGCCAGCAGTGTGCACCCTTTGCTATGCACTCGTTGCCTATTAGAGTGCCTGCCTGGTACAGGAGATCTTGATCCCATGTGGCCGCCAGACCAGTACCACAAGGCAAACATGCTGCTGGCACGCCGTCGATGAACTTGGTTCCTCGCACGCCGTTCGGCCCATCGCTCACGCGGACTGAGGGAACGTTAAATCTCGGGAGAGGAGTTGTGTGCCAAAAATCTCGGCCTGCGTCGCAGCACAAGTCAGTATATAATTTGGATCCAAAGATTCGGAGATCAAGACTTACCAGACAACAACGAGATCTTTTCTGAAACGGATGCATTTTTGATGACATGCTCAATGTCAAAGTCGCTTGGAGCCTCAGAAGGAGCTTGCACTTTCAGAACCATGATTGTGGTGGTCCAAGGGAGGATGTTCAGAAAACAATGGCGAATATGAAGCTTCAAGGCCTAGAACAGTGTCCCTTGTCGCCCGGGCCGGTATCAAGACTGCCACCACACTTATATTCCAGGTAAAAGTCAAATGGCCCGTACGCACACTGGATTAGAGGCCCAGGCCCTTGCCCAGGCCTGACTTGGCTAAATGGTGGGCCTGGGGTTGCTGTATGTACCGTCGGGGAGCCTCCCCGATCATAATTCTCAGGGGTGGAGAAACACCAAGGAGAAGTAGATGATCAATTGCCTACTCTAGTGGAGTCGGGTAATCCAAACTTGACGCCAATATCGCTTCCACTACCTGTTTAAGGTTGGAGGCTCCCCCATTCGGCTCGTCAAACTGTGGCTGATTTGAGTCCACAGCCTGTCTAACCCTGTCTCTCCATGTTTCTGGCAGAATGACATTCTGCACAATACGGACCGCTTGTGCCTCATCCGCTTGGGTTTGAGCTCTGTGAACAGCCGCCAGGGTTAGACATGAACTGGCTGTCATGCGGATGGTGTACCAAGCGCCCTGGTGCCGATGACCCACGACTTGACCCAGCTTGAGCATGCAGAATTGTAAACATTGAGATGCAAACGAGATAACCGGGGTATGGATTGAAGGATCCATTCCGTCCACAAGTCGATCCACGCAAAGCCGGACGAACGGCCGTGATACAAGCTCACGAAGGGTGAAAAACCGGTGCCGCAAGACAAAGATCATGGCGTTTGGATGAAAGTCAATTTGGTAGCCCTCTGGGATGTCAAAGTAAAAGATTGGCGGCAACGACGAGTACCAGTCAAAGATCTGAGTTTCCATCATCTCCGCTCGGGAGATCATGCGGCGAACCTGCTTTTCCGTTGGAGTTGTGGGAACCTCTGAGTTCATCTGGAGTAGCCGGTTGATGAGGTGTCTTGCCGCGATCTCACTGAGGTAGTAATACCAGCTCCGCTCTCGCTCCGTTGTATCGGGATCTAACGGATGCGAGCCGAGACTTGGGGGCTGGGGAAACGCCAGGGGGAAATACGCGTTGTCGAGGACCGAGGGGCTCGGCAACGGTAATTCTAACCGTAGCTCGCATTCCGACTTCCAGATGGTAAAGTAGAGGGCTTGCATAATGGTGAGTTCGTTGGAGGAAGAGTCAGCTTGGTTGATGAGTTCGCCATGAGGAAAGTGTGTCAAGCTGAGACTATGCCATGCTGTGCCGGCAAGGCTGAAGTGCTTCCATGCCTCGAGAGGTTCGAGTCGATGCATGTACCAGATGCCTGCCAGACATAGGCATTGGACGGCCTGAACACTGCTCTGTCCTGACGCATAACCAAGACGTTTGATGGCAACATTCCAAAATTGCATTGACAGGTCCAACTCGGCGCTCTCTCCTGCCTTTTGGCCTGGCGTAGATGACAGGGACATCTCGTCTCCCCTAACAGACTCGGGATAAGGCTCGGTGATGGCAGCATTGGCGCATACCAAGGCCACCAGGCACGTCTGTGTAGACCAGTCAAGCCCGTCCTCGGCAACTTGTAGCATCATACGATGCAGGTCACTTAGGTCCAGGATCGGGTTCTTGGTGTGGAGAGTATCGATGTACTTTGACTCCAGCTGCGCGAGTTGAGGATAGCTTGTATCCGGTAGAGAGTAACTACCCATGTTCGGAGGGTTCCGTTGGGCGAAAAGGCATTGTGTGGGCCGGTCTGCGGCGAAGATTTCCCAGTCGAGGATTGATTCAACCCCCTGAGGTCGTACCGTAGCATGATGTGTTAGGCTCTCTGGCCCCCCAGATTGATGATGATACTCGGAGACTGACTGGGGCACATAGGGTGAGGAGTCTATGACTTGAGCGGGTGATTGCTGCTGGTAGTGTTGAAGAGGCTGTTGACTCTCCACCAATCTTGTCAGCTTGTGAATTGCCTGTAGGATCTCGGCCCCCGAAACTGAGCTACTGTTAATCAAGACATGGTTAGCAAGCCACTCGTGAATGAAGATCTGCACCAACCAAGGAACTCGGATCTTACCCCGCATCTTCTTCGTCCGGATAGACACAGACCAAATGGCGCCTTAAGCAAAACCCACAGGTCGGCCGACGGTTGTCGCACCTGGTCTTGCGGAGGCGACATTTTTCACATGCGGTAATGCCCCGAGGTTTGGGGAACGGGACTTGGCCCCCGCCATTTTGACGGGTCGTCGTTGGACTGTTGTGGCTAGTCATGGAGGCTGGCCAACGGTGCTGACGGCGGTTGTGATAGGGACTGAAGATATCGGGGAGGACCCGATGAAGCGAAGATCAAATATGAATCCGAGAATCCTACAGTGGACGACGTTGAGCAGGGGAGAGGCGCCCTGGGGCCATTTAAATGCATCGGGGAGCCTCCCCGATCTGGAGGGGGCACCAGTAGCGCCACCACAGTGACCACACTAGCCAAGCAAGGCTTCCACCACCAATACGATCCTGTACCAAGCGAGGAGAAGCGAGCACAATATTCGAACCATTCTCCATTGTCGCAAGTTATTCCAAGCCATGTGATGGAAGGAACTTCAAGTGGATGCATCCCGACTATGGTTGGCCACACCGGCTAACTCCATCCCTGATCTTCTCGTTCCTTCACAGCTCAATGCCCTCCCCGCATCCCCATCTCCCCCAGGTCTAGGCTCGATCTAGCCTCCCCGCAACTTTAACCATGGGACCAGGAGGCGACAGTAGCTCCGGTCCTCGGTCCTGAACCCATCCATGGCCTGACCTCACCACCAACAAGTTTGCATCAAGTCGGCTTCCCCTTGCCATGGCTCGACTCTGACATTGATGCAACTTGGCAGGGTTATAAATATTCCTCAGTAACCCGGGTATTTGAGTTATCTTGGCCAGCAATCAGCACGACTCGTCAAGAAAAGCCCAATTGCAGACTTTTCAGCCCCTTCATTTTGCAACTCTACAGGCATCATGGGCCTTTTCAACAGGAAGAAGGAGAAGAAAGATGCCGCGGAAAACACTGTTGGGCCAGATCTACTCAAGGTAATACCGACATCGCCAGTTGACACCAGTTTATGAGTCTTTGTGCAACCGATGCTGACTTGACCCAACTCACAGGTTCTTCCCAACATAGACGTGCCGTGGTATCGAACGAAGCACCTCCTCCTGCTAAACTTGATCCTTCTTGTTCCTCTTTTCAGTTCCTCTGCTGTCGGCTATGATGGTTAGTCCTCTCCGGGTCTATGAGTTGCTATACAAAGGCTAACGACGGCGCGTGTAATCTAGGCTCTATGATGAACGGTCTCCAGACACTCCCACAGTGGCGAGGATTCTTCAACAACCCTCCCGCTCCGCTTCTTGGAGCCATCAACGCAGTCTATCCCGTTTGCAAGATTCTCGGCCTGGTCCCTGCTACCTTGATCTCGGATAAATGGGGTCGTAAGACGCCAATCTACATTGGTCTTGTTGCTCTCGTCTTTGGACCAGCTATTCAAGCAGCATCCATGAACCTCCCCATGTTCATCGTGTCCAGAGGTCTCATTGGATTTGCTACAGTCTTCCCTCAGGTGGCCTGCCCGATTCTCGTGTCCGAACTGTCTTATCCGACCCACAGAGGCAAAATGACGGCCCTGTACAACACCTTCTTTTACTTTGGTGCCATTGGAGCGGCTTGGATCACCTACGGAACCTTCAAGATTCAGTCTACCTGGGCTTGGCGTATTCCCTCGGCATTGCAGGCAGCCATTCCATTTTGTCAGCTTCTGTTCATCTACTGGGTCCCTGAATCTCCTCGGTTAGTAGAAAGCCAGCCAGCGGAACGACGATTTGCTAACCAACATCACTAATTAGATGGCTCATTGCCAATGGCAAAAAGGAACAGGCTGTTGCTCTTCTCACCAAGTGGCATGCGGCCGGACAGACAGCCTCTCCTCTTGTCGAGTACGAGATTACCGAGATCGAAAAGGCCCTCGAACTGGAGCGCAACCAAGAGTCATCTGTCTCATGGTTGACCCTTGTCCAAACCGGTCCTATGCGCAAGCGAACTTTCATCGCCTTTATCCTCGGCTTCTTTAGTCAGTGGAACGGTATCAGTGTTGTGACATACTACCTGACTCTTGTCCTCAACACTATCGGAATCACCGCCGTGCAGGATCAGACCTTGATCAATGGCCTGCTTCAGCTCTTCAACTTTGCTGCCGCCGTTTTTGCCGGTGCTATGATGGTTGATCGATTTGGACGTCGAAGACTGCTGCTGGTATCTACTATTGGTCTCGGCTTCAGCTACATCGCCTGGACGGCCCTGACGAGTTACTTCATCAGGAGCCACGACGAATCGGCTGGTCGAGCTGTTGTGGCATTCATCTTCATCGCCTTTTTCTTCTATGACATTGCTTGGACACCACTCCCGCAGGCATATACCATCGAGATCTTCCCCTTCCTGACTCGCAGCCGCGGCTTGACCACCGAGCTTACGTCCTCCTACATCGGCCTGATCACCGCCCAGCTGATCAACCCCGTTGGATTGGCTGCTATTGGATGGAGGTACTACATCGTGTTCTGCTGCATCTTGGCTGCTCTGTCCACGCTCATCTACTTTGTCTTCCCCGAGACCAAGGGCCGCACATTGGAGCAGATCACCGAGATCTTTGATGGAAAGAGTATTACTGTGGCTGCTGAAGATCTTGTTAGCAAGGGTGGAGTTGTACAGGAGGTTGAGATGCCAGGCAAGCGTGACAGCGTGGATGTCTAAGTACCGAAGAGTTTTCGTTGGATGGCCTCTACGTGGCGGTGGAGTAAGAGACAGGGCCTCTAAGCACTTTAGAAGATGGCCGGTTGCCGTTTGCAAGAGACAGTGTTGGGCATAGTGGGAAGAAGACAACTGGTGCTGCGCAATAAAGGTATATACTATATGTTTATGCGAATGTGAAATGTTCTAAGAGAGAGGATAGCCACATGTTTTACAGGTTCTCTTCCTTCCATGTTGTGCCCTAGAAGCATATCCGTAGTCCGTCTTCAGTGCATCCCCTTAATTCAGGGCCTTGCCTCCATGATTCCAAGTCCATTTAGACGGTAGCCATTAGTTCTTGATGGACTTGAGAATGACCTCGAAAGCCTTCTGGCTAATCACAAACGTGGGAGCAACAGGGAATCCACCCGGAGTGCGAGGGAAGATGGACGCGTCAACGACACGGAGCCCGTCAACTCCATTGACCTTGAAGTTGGAGTCAACACAGTAATCCTTGTCGCCAGCAGGACCCATGCGGCAAGTAGAGGTAGCGTGATGGCTAAAAGCTTCGTCCATGATTCCCTGGCGGACGTCAACACTGGGAGGAGGCTCGATGACCGTAAACGGGGCATAAGGCTCTCCGGTCGCGTTAAAGATTTGCATGGTGTGCTCGACAGCCTCCTGAATAGCCTGGAGATCACGGTCGCCCTTCTGAGAAAAGAAGTTGAAGTTGATCTCCGGGGCTTCTCTGGGATCCGCCGAGCGAAGTGTGATGGTTCCAGCCTGGTTGCCAGTCTGCATCTTGACGACGGACCAGAACCACGAGGTGGGAGGGGCCTGGTACGTGGAGTATCCGGGGAAGTAACCGCGGAATACGACGCCGGCAGCTCCGAAGAGGAACAGATCCGACTCGTCGGTCTCACTGACGCTGGACTTGTAAAGAAGACCAAGGGGTGCTGCGCCTTCGCCATAGGGTCCGGTGTGGGACTGGTTCCACTCCTGCAGACAAACATCGTCGGCCTCGAGGGAAAAGTCGCATTGAGCAAAGGGGTTGTTCTCCCAGGGGATAGATGCCTCGACAGTAACACCACCCTCGTAGTTATCCTGGAGATAGTTGCCCTGAGAACTCATTGTTAGCATCGTATGATCTCGCAATATTGCTGAAGGGAACTCACCACAGCAGGAAGGTCCACCACGACATCGATATCGTGGCTCTCAAGCTCCTCACGAGGTCCAACACCGCTGAGCTTGAGAATCTGGGGCGTGTTGAACGTGCCTCCAGCAACAATGACTTCCCGAGAAGCAGTGACGTTCATCAACTGACCCGACTCGGACTCATCGTACCGCTTGTCAGCCGAGTACAAGCCCTCGCCCTTAAGGTACTCGACGCCGTAGGCTCTTGGCTTTCCGTCCTTGCCATCCTTAAACAGGACGCGAGTCGCAAGAGACTGCGTGCTGAGAGTCAGAGGATACTTGGGAGATCCATCTTTGTTCTTTGCGATAAGGGTCTCATGGAGGTATCTCCAAGATCCAGTGCGCTGCCTCAAAGCATCAATGTGGAGAGGAAGCTGGTAGAGACCAGGAGTATATCGACCAGGCCCAATGCCGTTAATGTCCCTCTGCATAAGAGTTCCGATCTCTTCCGCATCTTCGACTTCAATATCCTCGGTCAGGCGGAATGCATGGGTCAAGACCTCGACAACGCCAGGACGCTCAGTGATGTAGGAGATGTTGTTTCGGTTGCTCTGTGACATGTCAGTTGTCATGCTTTGGGAATGGTTTGTATGCGAAATGACGTACGCCAATGAAACCATCAAAGCCGTGGCCAGGGGTACCCTCAGGAGCATAAGTGCAGTCCTCCAGCTCGACAAAGAGACGCCTCATGTTGTCAGAGCTCCAGGACTTGTCTCCAGTGAGTTCAGCGATGTAGTTCCAGTCGCTCTCAGGCGGTAGGGCAAAGTTCATGGCGTTAAGTTGAGCAGAGCCGCCGACGGTGGCACCTCTGGGGTAGAGAATTCCAAGGCTGTAGGGGTTAGCATGACAACTTCTTTCGGAAAAGGTACTCATTGGGGCACTTACGGCTCTGCACCCTCCGGTGGATCAAGTCCATACCACAGCGTCCCGTTTGAAAGCCGATAGGTATACTTGGAGTCACGGCGTGCTTGCGTCTCGTTCTGGTAATGGTTCACGTAGAACGACCAAGACATGCTGGGGTCCTCTGAAACATTATCCGCGCTGATTTTCTGGTTAGCTGCCAAACCCCAAGTAATTTGAGTGTGCTGGCAACTTACAATGATGGAAGACGCTGCAACAACGTGTCACCTTTGTCATCTCCAGCCTCAATCAGGAAGACGGAATGACCAGCGCGAGCCAGGTTTGCACTGCAAAGGATAGTCAGTAGCCTGTTGACACAATGCTATTTGGAAATCAACTTACGCCAGAGTGCCACCACCTGGGCCTGAGCCAATGATGACAAACTCATAGTCGGCTGTCTTGTTGTTGTTGTTGTTGTTGTTGTTGGTTGGGAGGGCAGCAGCCAGCCCGCAGAGGAGGCTAGGAACCAGCAACTTCATCGTATTCAGTTTTCGTTCTTGTTCTGTTGTTGGTGTTTCTGTGCTTGTTGGTCAATGGAAACATCTGGGACTCAACGTCTGTTTTATACTTCTTTAACTCATCCAGACTCAAGCGAGACTCAGGCCTTTCTGCTTACAATTACGTCGTACGCAGGCATTACCAAAGTCCTCAACGTGTGGAGTCGTAACCCTGCGGCTGTGCACGAGATGCATCGTCAACCATGAACTACCTTGAGCAATAGATTCAAGGAACTCCATCCGTACCACTCTGCCTCGGATCACGTTAACGTCCAATGATGATCATCTAGGTCCCCTGGTTAAGCATAAGCCAGCGCGTTACATCTACAGGGCCGCCAAGGCTCAGAGTGTAAGACTCCCCACCGGCCCTTACGTGTCGTCGGATTTATCGAGCAAGAAAACCCGCATCTCCGATAAAGCTGACTCCGGCTTTCCAACCAGCGATTTCCGACGAGATGTGTAATCCCGTGCCCGAATTAACTGCGTTTAAGCTTATGTCAAAGGTCATCACCCTAATTTCCCATTATTATTGTAATGATGACAAGAAGCCGTCAACCATAACAGCAAAAGACGCGGTTCTCTAAATTTCGCAGAATGACATGCTACTCTATAACCTATTCTATCTACCACCATCAACTTCAACTGCTCCTCAGTTGCCTTGTCCCCTCTAATGCACTAATGTAGTCCGCGGGCCTCACGTTGAGCCATGAAAAGACTTTCCGGTCTGACCTTCCTGTCAGGGCGGATAAAGGTACCATTCCCCGACGCCCCATTCGTTCCTCTACAACCGATACACCAGTTGATACCAAGCGGCGGCGACTGGACAACGGCCTCGCCCCTCAGATTCCACCCAACACCAGCATTGATCGTCCAACCATGACCTGTGCCATTGGAAGCTCGATTGACAAAGAGAGTTGGCACTGATGTCATCTCGACGAGTAATCCATGCGCCCATCTTTCATGAGGGTAAATGGTCTGTATGTCCGACATGGTGGAGTGGCGAATGACCGTGTTCGGTCCTGCAGCCAGAGAGTCTGTTGCCACAGAAAAACACCTGGCGGTTGGGAGACCGACCTGCTTGCAGTCTTGGACAAGGACCTGGGAGCCCTGAAGCAAGATATCGACGGGAAGAGCTCTTCCTTCAATGTCTTGATTCCGATTCATCTCAACCTCTTGAATGGTGATTCGAGAAGCGTCGACATCAATATCAAAGAAGCGATTGAAGCCTTCCAACTTTAGCCCTCTTGCCCAGCTGTCGACTGTCCATGCTGGGAACTTGACTGCCGCAAAGTTGCAAGTCTCGTTACTTAGGGGGGCCCCAGAACAGGTATTGGGAACTTGGATGCGAAGATTTTGAAGTCCCATCTCCGAGTACAGCGCCGGAGGCTTGTATACCCAGACCTCGGGACTCATGTACTTTGAATAAAGAGCATCTGTCAATGGTATCTGAAGCGTGAGCTTCGTGCCATCGATGGCCTTGATCACATTCGGTGACATGATCTTCTTGTTCACCTGTTGTTCACTTAGTATGTAATCATCTATATGGGGCAAGGGGGATTGCCGTACCGTTATCCATGTTTGTGCGTCGCCATCTCGTACCAAGTCACCCATTCCGTTAGAATTGATCCAAGATTCTGTCGCAGCCCTGGATATATAAACGGTTTGGTTGACCGAGAGGCTGGTGTTGCTTTGGATGTTCACTATGGACGAGCCGATGGGAACATAGTTGTCGATGATTGCTGATTTGGCCCCAAACTGTGCCTTGGAAGCGTTGCCAACACTCCCAAGAGTAAAGACTGGGCTGGATGGCTGTCCTTTCAGGATCAAGGTGGTTTCGCCAGTGTTGGATCCTCTGACAGTGACGTGGCTGCGAAGCTGAATGCCAGCACTGATGTGGAAGCTACCTGATGGGAGCTCAACAACACCTCCGCCACTAAGGGCAACAGAGTCAATAGCCTTCTGTATCAGGGGTCTTATATCATCATAGGACTTGTTGGGGAAAGAGAGGGTGACGGCGGCAGTGTTGACAGTTGGAAGTGATACCTCGGAGTTGTGGTAGCCAGAAAAACTGAAGTCGGGGAACTTGTCCCCGTTGGGAGTCTCAATGGAGCGCCAATCAACCATAGATTTGTATCTGTTATCGCAGACGAAATAAACAGTCAGAGAGACTGCCAGTATCGTCACGATTAGGAGATGTAACATGTCCGCAGTGAGGCTCAGCGTAAAATTGTCCGAGATGCTGCAGAGAGGGGAGGAAGAAAGTCCCCAAATGCAACGGGAACGACCAGAGTTCGGAGAATTCACCCCTGTAAGGAAATCAGAAAATGATTGATTGCTTCCATGCCTTGCCTCTGTGACTGGAATGGATGGCCTAGTCTAGATCGTCGGAAATGGCTAGCGGCGACGCTCAATGTAACCCCGCGTCGTCACAAGTGATAGAGTTTAATGTGGTTAGGTCCTTTCTATCACAACTCACTACCCTGTAGGGCCTATGCCCAAGACCGGAGGTTTTTGTCGTGTCACTTCTCACTTGTCAGATGCAAGAAGCGTTCGATCACAGTCTTTGGTCTCGGGGACTTAATTCTAGAGCTATATCTTGGAGGCAGCCCTTTCATCCCGACTTTCGGGCTAAAGAGAGGAGTGGGCTAGAACTGGGCCTGGCCTCGGGTTGAAGACAGAAACGGTTGCATGAAAACGCTCTGGGTATCCTGTTCGCAACGATTGATCGCGAAGAGAGAAGTAGGAGCACACCATGGTGTCTAACCGAGACAAGAGATTTCGGCTGCCTGTAGGGTAACTTGGGTTTTCCGTGGCAAATCTTTTCCCACCGGGCATAGATCAGAGAGGTGACACGAGATGGGATCTTTATGTGTTACTCGAGAGGTGAGGACGGTTGAATCGAGAAGATAAGAGGAGATTATCTCGAAGATCAATAGAAAGGCCCTTGCTTACCTTAGGCCTCCCAACGGCGTTTCGATCTGCAAAGCCTCCCGCTTCTTTGTTAAGCCCTGTCCTGATCGTAAATTCTGCCTGTTATCGCCGATCTGCGCGTAAGGGCCACTTCGCCCGTACTCACTAACCATGGCCGCTAATTAGGCTTGGGTTTCGGACGCGTATTCTAAATTGGCAGCACCGAGAAACGCTAGCTAGGCTGGTGCAATAATGGTTGAGTCTCACGAAGATTGCGACCTCCCTCTCAAAGGGCCGAACGCGGTCGGAGCACGACTGTGTATGCTAAGTCGCGGCCTGGAGGACATGCTTTATTCGGAATGAGCCGTCGAGGCGAAGCAACAGGCACAAGAAGCATATAACGGCCAATATTAACGCCTCTGTTGACAAATGGAACGGTTGCTGGATACGGGCGCTTCATACGGAGGTCTCCGCTGTCAGTCAAGTTGGTGGACCTGCCTGGATGACTAGCTTGCCACCTCCGCAAGGCAAATAGACACGGTAAATGTTGGGTGCAATGACAGGAATGTATAATACTCGCGCCGTTTAATAGTAGACACTAGTCAGTCTCCCCTCTCCCACCCCGGTGGGTCATGGCCGGTCACTGCCGTGAATGGCTGAAGAATGTGGGACCATGGCTCTCTACTCGTATCTCCTGATGCCAAGTTTTCCCAAGTTCAAAGACGGCTTGGCGTCTTGCTCCCGCCGGGTCCAGACGGTTCAGGAACTCTGCGGTTGCGGCGTCTTACCACGTGCCACTGCCAGGTGCCGGGAATGCAAGGAACGGACCCCCAGGAGGTCTTTGCGGTCTAGACAAAGTATTGGCTTGGGCTAAAGTTTGTTTAAGTGACAATGGGCCATAGCTTAGACCACGGGCACCTGGGAGGTTTCTCGCCCCGATCTTGCTGCCGTGATGGTTACATCTTCCCGACGCCCGTAGTTCACCACCACTATGCAGGAACACCAACAATGTGGAAGTCCGTGCTGAAGGGGACAGAGCTAGGATAGGAACCCGGACAGCCATACCGAAGCCAGGCTGATACCTTGCGGAAGAGGAGGCAGTAGCTGCAGACAGGGGGATTTAAGAAACTGCGCTGCTGAGTCGTAACGCCGCAAACTCCGGCACGTCCCTAAATTCTCTCACCTCAGATCTTTGATTTGTATTGCTAAGATTGGCGAAACCGCCATGGCTTCCTGGCCCCTGACCTACGACACAGGATAGGCAAGTCGAAGCGTTCAACGACGTAGATGGCCAAAGCACAGACGAAGTTTGATGGTGATGGGATATCAAATCAGGTGCAACTCTATGATTGTCTATTTCTAATCTGACTGAGCGAGACTAGTCTAGTACTCTAGTTGGCCGAAGCGTCCCGCTGCCGCATCCATCGTTTCCCCGAGACTTCCGGAGCTCCTGTTCCTTTTTGGTGACGCGTGCGTTATTCTATGTCATAGCCTTCAGCAATACTGGGAGTACAACTTGGAGCACGGTCCTTCCTCCGATCCGGCCCTGTATAGACTGGTTTTAGAGGCGTGATTTCTCCTTTCTCCGCAGCGGATAGCTCATCAGTTGTGAGGGGCGCCGTCACATCCTCTGGTTCTGTCGTGGCGGCATCACCTGCGGGAGGCGCTGATGAAGCTGTCACTCCAGACATGCCCCATACTGATGTCATTGTTAGTCTCGCGATTTCAGGATGAGGCGTTGATTGAACGTACCTTGACTCCCAAGATTGGTAGCGACTTTTGTGAAGATGATGACGCTCATGAATGGAGATATCATTTTGTTGATGCAGTATCCCAGTATCAGTTTGTGCCCGCGTTTTCTTAACTCGGATTCCAGAAGAATTGAGCAAAAGAACCAGACAGAAGGCACTTGGCCAATGATCAACATGGGCATAAGTTTCATGATACTGGCATGATGGGTCAGACTTTTGATGAACAGAATTGTGTTCAAGACCCGGTAGTAGACCATGCTGAGTCGGATAACTTCGATCGAGGCGGCGATGCGAGTCAGCGGGATCATATTTTCTCCGGCAAGATAGAAATAGTTGTTGAAGTAGGCGTTTGAGCCCCAGCGACGTCGTTGACTCAGATAATGCGCGACGGATTGCGGCGCCACTGTCTCACTGACAGCGTCGGGTACGAAGAGTGTTCGGAGATGTTTTCCTTGGGACAACATCGAGTATGTGAGCCTTCTGTCGGTGCCCTGTATGATGTTAGTAAAGAGATAAAAATGCGCGTCTGCAAGGTTGCACTTACAAGGTATTGAACTTGGTGAGATATCACCATGTATCCAGTAACAGGTTCGGCGTATTTTCGAATAGCACCGGCCATTTCTTCTCTGACCGCAATCATTGTGATGCATCCTGGAAGGCAGGTTACCTTGCCAACGATTCCTTCTGCTCGTCTTCTTACGTATTGACCGAACGTGTACTATGACCGTTAGTGATCGCCGGGATGTTTCGTTTCAGTCAACTGAGACACTCACCTGAAACTGTTGATATAAATTCCAAAAAGACCATTCAAACCCCGGTTCTAGTTCTACTAGAACCAATCCACAGGCAGCAATTGCATTTTTGTCCCTGGCGATCGCATTTGCAAGAAGGGCGACTGCTCCCTTGTAAATGGTGGAGTCCGCGTCGGTGCAAAAGACCATATCGAAACCATTGAAATTCTCGCCCTCGGTGAGAACAGGGAGGATTTCTTCCCAGATCTCCTTTCGTAGAAGCTTGGTATAAAGAGGAGAATTGTCGCGTGCGTAGTTGAAGAGGTCGTGGCAGAGGATGAGAGAGTCCTTCTTGCCTGCATTCTTGACTTTTTCGATGACAATGACCGGCACATCCATCATGAAGCCGGCGAGGACACGAAGAACGCCCTTCTTCCATTTGAGAGAAACATAAGGACGCTCAAATCCACTGACAATCCGGGTCATGTGCGATTTCACATCCCGAGGCTTGCCGTCAAGGATGACAACCATGACCTGACGATGAGGTTCGACACCATTGTCCCGAAGGGAGTAGATGGTCTTGACGATTTGCTCCTCACTCTCTGAGTATGCGGGGATTAAAGAGAGAATCCAGCGCTGTTCGACTTCCTTGGGTGGTCGAAACTTGTGGTAGATGGCAATGGTCATCATGCCAAGTGGTGAAAGAATGGCTGACAAGAAGTCCTTGCTTTTGATGAAAAGAATGGTGACAAAGATGAGCTTGCTCTTCTTGCCAAAAAAGGCCGTCATGGTCATGCAAATGTTGATCAAAATGATGATGCCGAGAAAAATCATTCTCTGATTCCGCAGATCTCTGGGCGTAAGAATGCGAGCAGGATCAACAGGATCTTCGATGGGAGGGTAGCCACATGTCTCAACAGTGTCCCTGGGACCTGGAGGTGGCTCCTCAACAACAGTCTTCTGACTTGCTGCATCTTGATCTCGTGTTGATGGTCGTTGAGGAACATCATCACCAGACGTTGTGATGCCCGTTGTCGAAGGCGTGGTGACATGCATGACTGTTGTTGAAGCTCGTAGTCTGGTTTACGATGTGCCATGAAGTTTGGAGATGGAGGCGTTTGGTCTAAGAAATGTATAATAACTAGTAGCTTCAACAGAATTTGCCGCCGGCCGGTGTAGTAAAAGGGCCCGACCCCGAGGGGCGAGGTGAATGGTGTCAATAGCCTTGGTCAAATTCCGGCGACGTTGAACCGTCGGTGGTCAGATTTTTTTCCCTCAATGTGATAGATAGCATCAATACTAGACGGGTGCTATACATAACGCGCACTAGACGTTACGTACTGGTTGCAGGAGAATCAATATTACGGCGCATATCGTTCCCACCAGATGGTCTGATCACCTACCTTACACGAAAAAAGATGTGAGGTTTGCCAAGAAGACTAAAAAACGGCACCAGACTTTTCCCGGAATTCATCCAAACTTGCCCATCTCGGGTTAATGACCAAATGTCAACCCCTGATGGCGCTCTCCGGTTCCCCGCCTCCACGTTCCATAGACCTGCCCTGAGCGTTGCTCAAGTTTTGACGGCGTTGAACAAGAACTGTCAATGCACTATAGTACCGGGACTATGGTTACGGCCGTCGTGGAGCAGTGGCATTGAACTGGAATGGTTGGGCCCTACCCACATTCCACAGGCTTGACTTAGAGTTGGGGCGGCATGGCGATAGCTTTTGGACCAGTCCAAGCCTTGAATCATTCACTCCCTATATCACCGCTCCCTAAAACCCGCCCTTGTTCCCGTAAAGAGCCTAACCGTAACGCCTTCAGTATAGACTGAGGGATAGGTAGGTGGGTGTGGATCATAGAACACGGCCGAACCCCAGAGCCTCAGAGTTCATCGGTCTAACAACCTGAAGTGGGTTAGGCGGTTGAAATCAACGGGCCTAGAAGTGTGATGAAAACGAACTCTACACTTGGCATTCATCAAAAGTGCCGCATAGCCAAGCGAGAACGTTCGATTGAAAGATGCCGTCTCCGGGTGTAAGTTGATTGGTGTCATGTCAAGAGGTCTAGGCTGATTAGAGTGCTGACGAAGAATGGCGCCTGAGGCCCAGGACCGCCATGCCGCACGCGGCTTGCCACGAACTCGCTTGGTGTCTAAGCCCAGAAAATGGAGACAGCACTTTATCAAAGTGCTGGAGAACGGGTGGCGGCGGAGCTTACCGCGTGGTGCGTGCGTGCCATAGTGTCCATAGTGTAGGGCTCGTCGACTTGGGCGCAAACGTCAAAGTCCACTTGGGAAGATGTCGAGAGATTTGGAAAAAACTTGCCCATCTTAGCGCCCGCCGACTTCCAGTCAGTCTATACCGAGTGCTGTTAATCAAGGTGGACGCTAGAGACGCCAACTTACCACATCGCCACCGTATTCCCAGTCGATAGAATGCAACCAGCAGAGACTTGCACAATGCCATCTTTCGCCATTACTCAAGTCGACGGTCTAGACTGTTCTCTGCAACTTAATGTCTGTCGATGAGAGGAATAACGCCCTATACCCGGTGCGTTAGGAGCGTGATAGTCCAGTTGAAGTATGATATCGCCATTATAGCCATGCATGTCTCACCTATATAAGTATCACAGTCCCGGCTGTCTGGTTCAGATCATCATCACAACAACTACTTCACAATCCTCCCAAGAGTACCATCTCAGAGTATCATCTCTAACACTCACAACACTTTCAATCATGTCTCCCTTCATCAAGCTTGCCCACCGGGCCCTTCCCCGCGAGTCTACCATCATGGAGCACAAGTGGATCAAGCTCAACAAGGCTCCTCAGACTGAGACGCCTGCTGAGCCTACTCCTCTTGTCGCTGTCATTGGTGTTGGCTTCGTTGGCACTGGCCTTGTTGATTCTTTCTCTGCCAAGTACGACATTCTTGGCTACGACGTCAGCGAAGAGAGAGTCAAGGACTTGAGGGTTGAGTTTGAGGCCAGACCCAACGTCAGCTTCACCTCCAACGAGTCTGATCTCAAGCTGGCAACTCACTTTCTCATCTCTGTCCCCACTCTTCTTCTTTCCGACAAGTCTATCAACCTCTCTTATCTGAAGAGTGCACTCGACAAGGTCAACAGATTGGCTCAACCCGGCTCGACCATTGTCATTGAGAGCTCAGTCGCCATTGGCATGACTCGTGAGCTTCTTGGACCTATTGCCAAGTCTCGCCGCCTTTTTGCCGGCATGTCTCCAGAGGTAAGCTCACATCTAAACCAACTCCTTCAACATTGAATACTAACATGGATATAGCGCATTGACCCAGGCCGCATTGAGCCTCCCATGAGTACAATTCCCAAAGTTGTCTCTGGTCTTGACGATGTTGTTCCCGGATCTCTCGATGCTATTGTCAGACTTTACGGAAAGGTCTTTGACACTATTGTCCCCGTTTCCAAGCCAGAGGTTGCCGAGATGACCAAGCTCTACGAGAACTGTCAACGAATGATGTGCATCGCCTATGTCAACGAGATGGCTGATGCTTGTATCGGTCTTGGCATTGACCCATACGAGGTCTGCGACGCAGCTGCCAGCAAGCCTTTTGGCTATCTCCCCTTCCAGCCCAGCCTGGGTGTTGGTGGACACTGCATCCCCGTCAACCCTTATTACCTTCTTTCCAACGCCGACTATCCTCTCCTCAAAGCTTGCGCGGAGACCATGAACGAGCGCCCCGCCGCGATTGCTCAACGAATCGTTGATGAATTCTTCGGAACCGCCAAGGATGGCCGCCGAGACTCTGGTTTCGAGATCAGAAAGCGAGTCCTCGTGGTTGGCATGGGCTTCAAGGCAGGACAAAGTCATCTTGTCAACTCTCCCGGACTTGCGTTTGCTCGGGAACTCAACAAGTTCGAGCTCGATGTGTCTTTTGCCGACTCTCTTGTCAGCCAATCAGCCGTGCCTGAAATCGCCAAGCTGGCCGACGAGGACTGGACCAAGGAGAAGTTGAACGAGTTCGACCTGATCGTGGTGAGCTTCAAGCAAACGGGTATGGACTTTGATATCTTGGAGGAGCTGTCGGATGATGTCTCAGTACAGATGTTCTGCCAGTAAATACTTGGATACAGGAAAGATAATTCTGGGGCGTTTTGTTTCTTTGGGTTCAGGTTGAAAGTATCTCTATTATCATAGGAAGGTTTCACTCAATATACATGGTCACTTTAAACTACTTGATTGCGCTTTTGCACTCCCAGTCCTCGTCTTGAATCATCCATATAATAAGAACTGATACCTAATGGCAAAAATACAGTCCTAATGTCCCCTCAAAGGGGTTGGATCTTGACTATGTCTCTATTCTAGTAAAGAAATTCTTCTCTCCCTCCTTGCAAACCACTCCGGCCCGGCGCACCAAACTATCACCAACAGCCAACCGCAGCTTCTCTGCAGTGCTGGGGGCGTCCATGAGCAGAGGCTCTGTGACGTTGTTCATCTCGCGAGCTGCCTTGACAGCTTCCCTCAGAGCGAAGAAGACTGAAGATCCTAAGAAGAGAGGAGGCTCTCCTGTACCTTTGCTGCTCTGGATAGAACGGATCTTCTCCCAGCTGATCGGCTTTCCTTCGGAGTCATGCTGTAAAGTTGAGATGTTGAATACTTGAGGGATATCAGAGAAGCCTATCGTTAATATGTCAGCAAAGAGAGACGTCCAGCAGGTATGAAGCTTTGGATAATACCCACCTGGGATCTTGTATGTTCCAGGACCCTTGGTAAACAGCTCTCCACTCTTCGTCCACAAGGACTCTTCCATTGTGAACAGGCCTTGACCTTGCACAAAGGCTCCTTCAATCTGGCCATAGTCAAGAGCTGGATTTATGGATCGACCAATGTCCATCATGAGATCAGTTCTAAGGACCGTAGAATCTCCAGTCAGGGTGTCCAGCTCGACCTCTGTTATAGCACTGTTGATTGCCAAGTCAGCATACAGACCTCAGTGTTTCATGGAAGCACAACTTACACTCCCTGAGTCCAGTAGTAATACCTGTGCAGTAAAGTCAGTACCGTTGAGAGAAGTATCAAGACTCGGATACTCACATAGGTAGAGGATCTTTCCAGTTTCCCCACACATAACCAATCCGGGGCATCTTCCAGAAACCATTTGCCGCCAGGTTCACCCTGTCGGAATACGCCGCATGCGCAATCTTGGATAGCGGCGCATCATAGCCATACTTCTCTCGGTACGGCTTCAGACGCTCATTGATCTGATCACATGCATTCTTGACCGCCTGTCCATTCAAGTCGCTTCCTGAGGAAGCTGCGGTGGGAGAACCATTGGCGATCTGGTCAGTCTGCGACTCCTTGTTGTAAACCTCGTCCACGCTAACGCCTAGTTCCTCGGCTGCGACCTGGGCCATCTTGGTGTACAGGCCTTGGCCCATCTCGGTGCCTCCATGGTGTAAGAGAACTGAGCCGTCCTCGTAGATTTTGACGTAGGCTGCGGCTTGGTTGAGGCACAGGGCAGTTGCAAAACTGAGGCTATTAGTAAGATATTTAAGTTATACGAGATGGTACAACATAACATACCTGAGGCCAAACTTGGTGGGTATCTTGCTGATGCCTCTCTTCTTGTAGCGATTCTTTGAGTTGAACTCCTTGACCGCCGCCTTCCGCTTCTCGTAGTCAGAAGTGACAGTGAGCTGCTCCAGCATGGTAGGGACATGAAAGTCGTCTGTGATTTCCTGTAAGAACGGAGTTCGTTGCCCAATTTGGTACAGGTTTCGAGTTCGGAGTTCGTCGACGTCAATGTTCAGACCTTCCGAGATGGTGTACATGATGTTCTCGGTGATGTACATCCCTTGAGGACCACCAAAGCCGCGGAATGCTGTGTTGCTGACGGTGTTGGTCTTGCAGACCCATCCTCGGACCCAGGCGTGCGGGATGTAGTAACAATTATCGACGTGAGTACAAGCGCGATCCCTGTCGGATAATGTTAGCATCAACAACATCAAAACGGCCAATGTCGACCAAAGGATGCTTACATCACAGCCGAGCTCATGTCCAGCGTATGACCGGCATTGTTGTAGATATCCACATCCAGGACCTGAATCTTTCCCTGCGAATCAACGCCAACCTTCCAGTGCGATTGGAATGGATGTCTCTGGCCGCTGGTAGCAATATCCTCATCGCGGTTGAGCATCATCCGCACGGGACGAGATTCCTTGCGCGCTGCCAAAGCCACCAGCATGGCAATAGGGGTACTTCTTGACTCCTTGCCGCCATAGGCTCCTCCCATGCGACGGACTCGCATGTTGACCCGACTCATCGGGACACCTAAAACCTGGGCAACAAAGACTTGGTTCTCCATGAGATTCTGTGATGAAACATAAACCTCCATGGAGCCGTCTTCCATGTGGGGAATTGCAAGCGCCGCGTTGGTCTCGAGGTAAAAGTGTTCCTGGCCACCCATCCTCGTAGTTCCTTCAAAGACATGTGCACACTTGCTAAAGGCGTCTTCGAGTGACCCTTCAACGGCATCACCTTTCCTCAGTTGCTTTCCATGCTTGAAAAATCTGTTGGCCTTGATCGCTTCGTCAATGGTGATTATGGAAGGCAGGGCATTGTAGTTGACTTGAACACGATCGGCAGCTGCTCGAGCTTGCAGAGCCGATTCCGCATAGACGAGCCCAATGATTTGTCCATAGAAATGAACTTTGCCGTCAGCGAATAGCTCCTCGTCACGAACAACTGGGCCCCATGTGTTTTGGTTTGATGACAGACTGTTCTTGTCAAGATAGCCTACCACACCTGGCATCTCCAAGGCAGCTGCCCAATCGACAATGAGGATTTCGGCGTGTGCCATCTTGGACATGACTGGTGCACCAAAAAGTTCATTGTGCTGCCGAGGCATGTCATCGACATACTCTGCCTCTCCAGTGCAGTGCTTCAGTGCCGAGAGATGGGGAACTGGTCGTCCTACAGTTCTGGTTCCTCTGTTTTTCATGGAGGCCGTAAAGTTGTCGCGGTTGCCCGAGGATATTTCGCGGTGAATTTCTTGGATTAAATCGGGGTCAACCTTTGCGAGACCCAGCTCACTGACAACTTCGTGCCAGAATCGGAAGAACATGGATATGGTCAGAACTGGTAAAGTGGTCAGCTTCATCTCCTCGCTCGAGTTTTTGGTGTGACAAACCTCTGCGATAATGGGCCATGCCACCAGGCACACCAAAAGGCAGATCGAATTGCTCCAATAGGGCATCGATCGCTGCCTCTAGTGTAGCTGTGTCGGCCCATCGCTTTCCAGCAACGGCTTCTTGTGCCTTGGCGGCAATCACGGTAGTCGGAGCCATTCCACCAAAGGCAAAGCCCGAGTCTTGCACCAAGCCATCTTGATCAAGACGGACTCTCAAACCAGAAGTGACAATGGCAATATCGTCGTCTTTTCTCTTGGCTTGCTTGTAGGCTTTTGTGATTTCCAGAGCATCTTCATCTGCTAGGGGAATGATGATTTGGGTGATGACTCCATCTTCTGGAAGGGCAGTCGTTCGGTAAGACACAAACCAAGATGACAGGGGGATATCAAAGGCCCCAAGCTTCCGCGACAGCACACTTACCCTTGCCCCAGCCGCTAGAAGCACAGGTGCAGAATCTGAAATTGGGCTTGCTGTAGCGAGACTGCCTGCAAGACTGGCCACATTCCGGATCTGACGTCCGGCAAAGTAGCGAAGCTGTTTCCTGAGTGCCTCCAAGGGCAAAGCGCGTCGACCAAGTTTTTGGTACAAGTTGGTGCAAAGGTCTTCCACCTTGGTCAATGATAGGTTGCCCGGAATTGTGATCTCCTTGAGGGCGCTGAGCTTAGCCTGACTCAGTTGACTCGGGTCTTCGTGGCTGTTTAACTCGGGAATATCTGCCGCAAAGACGGAGACACGGTAGTTCATCTTTTTAAATCTGACTTCGATCTGGGTCTCACTGGCGCCGCCCACGATTTTGGCCGAGGGATAAACGGCCTTCAACTCGACAAGCTGCTCCAAGCTTGTCGGCCTAAACCAAAGTCGTCGCTCATCTCCATAACAGATTGGTCGAGGCTCATACTTCCAAAGTGAGGGTGGAAATATCGGCTCAGTGGAAGCATCGTATGGCAAGAAGGTAGGCTCCGCGAATGACTTGCCAGGTGAACTCGGTGGTGTAATTTCTGCCTCAGTAGGCTTGGCTGAACCGCAGCCCTTGGCATTGGGATCATCTCGACAGCAACCACCTGGTCGACCACATGATCCGGAACCATGGGTAGCACGAAAAGCGTTTGCATCGGCTTCCTCCGTGTCCGGAGTACTTGGGTCGGAGGTTTCTTTGTGGCCATTGCTTTCTGCAATAACTCCGTTCAAATCTTCTGTGATGAACGTCCGAGCGGCTTCGAGAATTGGCTTGTAGCCAGTCTAAGAGCAGGTTAGCAACGTTCTCAAGTCGGAGAAAGTCTCATGATAACATACACATCGACAAAGATTTCCGTCGAGGTGACCCTGGAGCTCGACGTCGGAGTTTGTAAGATGGAATTTACCGTTCCGATATGAATTTCTGATGAGTGCGTACAAGCTCATGACAATGCCCGGAGTACAGAAACCGCATTGTGTGCCACTACAATTGTCAGAATTGTCTTAGTTTTCAGTTTGATAGTGGAATTGGAAACAGCGTACTGCATCTTCGCCACTCTCTCTTGGAGTGGGTGTGGACGATGGACTGTACCAAGTCCTTCAATGGTAATCAGACTCTTTCCATCCAATCCAACAAGCGGATATAGACAGGCATTGACAGCAAGGTGTCTGACATGTCTGCCAGGCTCAGCCGTTTGCACCACCACAGTACAGGCTCCGCAGCCTCCTTCGCCACATCCTAGCTTTGTTCCCTTCAAGGTATCTTGGGCTCGAATCCAGTCGAGGAGAACCCAGTCGGGATTGGGATTTTTCACGGTCACGGGTCGCCCATTGACAAAGAATCGTAGCTCAGAGCTTTGGTAGGTGGATTTGATAAGAGAGGAAAGCGCCTCGACGGAGCTCTTTGGTGAGCTGGCGCCATCGGTGTCGGATGGGGGCGGCGAAGGGAGAAGGTCCAAGGTCGGTGTGCTGTGCATATTGAGTTGATGATTCGCTAGATTAACCTAAGATAAAGGAATAAATTGAGAGAAGAACGGTCTGGAAGTGGTTGACCTGACAGAAACAAGGAGAAGGGAAGTTTATGGCAGGCAAGTGACTTCAGCAACCCAATAACCGTCAAGTGGAAGCGACGTGAGCGGGAGCGTTGTAACACACACTCAGCCATTCGCTTCAAGCCACCCACTCCCGTTGCCCGCCCGAGGTAGCATTGGCTTTCCTCTACAAACGTCGATCGTAAAGTAAACGAACACGCAGGGGTGGGATGAGGCTGGAGATCTCCTATCCTCAACCCCCACTCCTGCAAGCAACATCCAGTTGCTCTCAACTTATGCATCGTTATCTATGCCGTCACTGTACTTAAATGATATTCCTTCCTCGGCTTTCTTTCCTCTTTCCCCATCTTTTTTCCACGCAGCCTCTCCGCAAACTCACCCTGTCCTTCACACGGACCCCTCCGCTCGGAGAGCGCCATGCAGAATTTCCAAACGCCACTGACAATGCTGGGGTCCAAACGGAAACATCCGTTTGTATAAGGGCTTACTGCGCTGGTCAGTTGGACAAGTTAATTGGGGGCTAGTGAAGTCGTCTTTCGAGAGTGGGATGCTTCCCCTCATTGTTGGCTAATCGGGACTTGAAGAGTGGAGGTACCGAGACTCGCATTGCTCGGTACTTTGCTCACTATCTTACCCCGCATGTTCATCAACCCTCCCACTTCTGTTTCCACTTCCGTTAACTTTCTGATGATAGAGTGATAGAATGATAGAGGCAAGTCCGGACGAACCGGGAATATGAGAAATGGACCAGTTATGAACCAGGAGTAAAATGCTATCAGTGTAATCAAGGAACTTGTTGAGGCGCTAATTGGCCCTTTGTTTGCCAAAGATAAAGGCATATCAATCCCCTGGTCTGTGGCAACTTGGCTGCATAGGGGTGCGCAGGGTCAAGCTTGAGAGTGGAGGTAAATTCTATAGAACTGATAGTTATATGAATATCCACGTTGTTATTTGGTCTAAACATGGAAATATGTGAAGAAGAAGAAATTATTACTTTGCACTGATCCCACGACATTCTATCCCAATATCGCTTTATCAGTGTCATCCGGGAACTCTGCGTATTTGTCCGGTATAGATCGCAACGCAATAGCTTCGTGCAAAAATGTTGTCCGAGTGATGCCGCTAATAAGCGAGGCAGCTGGGCACACCGGCATGGAGATCAGTCGAATCCAGAGCCGGGTAGACATAACTAATCTGGTCAAGGAGAAATGACAGAGGAACCGGCATTCCGTGAGTAGGGACGACACTGTACCAGGTTAGTATCCGCAGGATGTAATGGTGGGGTTAACTCACATGGTGTTGTTGCTCATGCCGTCAGCAACGGCTTGATTAAGCCAGCCGTAAGCGAAGTGAGGGTCAAAGTGTGTAAGGGTGGAGAAGGAATCGGCCTCGTAAGCCAGCATGGTGCTGTTTGCTGAAGGACAGCGAGTAGTGACGATGGAATACGACCAGTCGACGGAATGAGGAGCCTCCTCGTGCCAGATAAAGCGAGCTTGCATCGTGCTGTCGGCGTGAATGTATGGCTTGCCCTCACTATCAAGCCAGATTAGATATAGATCCATCAGTGTGTTGGAAAGAACTCACGTAAAGGTAACGAGCTCGGCACCAGGAATCTGTTTCCAGTATTTGGTGGCAACCTCAGGAACAATGATCTTTGCTCCTAGAGCGACGTACTTATGCACATCGTAGCTATGGTCATGATGATGGTGTGTGAGCTTAACTAGTTAGTAAGGGATCATCCAAGCGAACAGGGGGGTAGAAATCCTACAAAGACATGGGTGATTGGCTTCTTCAGGTTCTCCTTGACCCATCGAATCACGAGGTCTGTTTGATGAGGGGGAGCCTCATACACGATAACACCATCTTCGAAATCCAGAATGAGATGTTCCAGGACTGGGCTGTTTTCAACCAAGAGCTTGTGGGCGTTGGGTAGATCAGGTCCGAGTGTCTCTGTGGTGATGTTGTCATAAGTTCCAGTATAGGGGCCGCTCCAGAGGGCATTGGTCCAGTACTCTCCAATCTCTGCGTGCGAGTATTCCGGAATCTTAGCGGGTGCAGCTCGTGGAGTCGCACTCTTGCTCTCTTCTAGGCCTTCGAAAAAGTCGGCAGAAAAGTCAGGATTCGGGACGACCCTTGAAAAGTCTGTCTGCTCCACAATAGCAGTGCCATTCTGGAAAACGAAACGGTGAGTAGGAAACTGGATTCCATCAACTTCAGTGTAGTTGTAAAGACGCAGATCGCTCTCTGTTCGGCCAAAGATGGCATGGTCTTCAAAAGAGCGGATGATGTAAGGCAGCTTGGTCTCGAGGTCGAAAGCGACAACAATGTCGAGGTGCTGATCGTGAACTGACGGCTTGGGTTAGAAGAGTTCTTGGGTACACAGGGCTCACGTACCAGCTGGGAAATCGACGTTGTTGATAGTAATAGTGGTTCGGGTGAGTCGATGCTTCTCCATCTAGTAGAACATTAGCCGCATATCCGCAACAACAACGAATGTCACGAACATCTAGCAAAAGTCGGGGCGACATCTTGTGAGCCTGGAACAAAAGGTACTCGGCGGGGGCAGCTAATTGAGATGAGTGTATGACTAACAAGAGTTGTCAAGGAACTCACAGTCTGTGTAACCAGCAGTCGCGTTTCCAGGCAAGAAGACGAGATCGTTGCCCTCATTGTAGCAAGCATATCCCTCGGGGCCATCCTTCATGACAAGTGAGAACTGGACAGGCGGGATAGATGGGGTCCCAAAGGCAAAGTAGTCTGGCAATGAGTCAGGAATGGTTATTCTATGTTCAGGAGAAAATTCCTACCGGAGACTTGATAGTTGCGGTCAATTCTCTGGGAAAACCCGTCCTTGAAAGAGTACGAGATGTTTTGGGTACCATGAGATACCACGTATCTATCTTCGTGGAAAAGGTTGTAGTTCTGCATCAAAGTGCTGAGGCGGAAGATCCTGGGTTTGGTCAGCTCCATTCCGTCTCTGGACGGATCCAAAACATCTCCTTACTCATTGGACTCATAAGTGACTCCATGGAGGTTCTGCAGGGCTTTTCTGCCACCAAGAGCTTTGATAGCTTGGTTGAGAAGCAAGTTTGCAGTTTGCACACCTCCATCGCTGCCATTTCGGGCGTAAACGTGAGAGGATGAGCAGCTCCCACAAGCTAGAGCGACTTGTGGTAAGCAAAGTGCAGCAGCGAGAGCTGCGGTTGCAGTTGAGAAAAACATTGCTCGAGCTTAGAAGGGCTGGAAGTGTAGTTGTGGTTGCAAGATACTTCTTAGCAAGACAGCAATACTGCAATGTCTTTATACGCAGAGCTGATTCATGCATATCGGCCGTCCTAATTTTGATTCCAAACCGCAATCATACTATCACAGATCATCCTTGACATTATTAATCTCAGCCTGGCTGTGCTGATCCGACAACGCGGTGCGAATTGACTTGTTTCCCGCTATTTCTTTGTAATCCATCGAGGCTGGGTGAAATAAAGTGCTAGGGACTCCCAAAGGCAACTTCTTTAGTGGCGGAGCGGGCATTCATAAAGGCCGTTGGCAATTCTTTAGTGATGCCCCATGTCCCGGATCTCATCGCGGACCTTTATAACTTCCGCACAGTGGGTGGGTGTAAGCATAGCCTCCATTGCTCCGGCTTACGGGGACTTGGTGACTTCTAATTATATTCCGTTCAAGTGTCTTAGACCTCATCAATGAGAGGAAATTATTTCTCAAGTGGTTTTGCTTTCTAATCTGCATGTTTATTCCTCGTTTTGTTATGATGATTCGAAGACTCTAGGCGAGTCACTGAAGTTGAGGAAAACATGGACATGCTGGGAGTCTTAACTGAAAGGGCTTTCTCTTTCATTATCTAGCCTCAATTTCATCTGGAATCTCCTCCAGGCGGCGAACGATGGTGGGTGATCAGCATTTGCATTGACCATTAACTTAGTATAATCGCAACTTTTCGGCCTCGATCCTCCAAGCCGCTCGTCGTTCCCTAATCTTGTTTTGCTTCGCAAGGCTCAATGGCTTTGATTGGCACTTTTTGGCTTTTTCTTTCAGCTTTTTCCTTGACGTCTTTTTGGCAGGACCAAACAACTCACCCGGCGAGTTAGTTGAATGAGACAATGCTATCTGTCTCAACCTGCCCACAACGGGATGATCTTGATCAGGGTATGTGTACACCGCCAGAATTAATGCAGCCCTTAGTGTAAAATTGGCATCATTCCCAGCGCTGTGGAGTCGAGCAACTGGGCATCGAAGTCGATGCAGCAAGGCACCAAGTGAGCACCGCCAAGGCTGAAACACCTCGTTTGCAACTAGGAGGGTATCGATAACGTCAATGTTGGGATGCGCAAGAGCATATCCGAGAGCATGACATACATCAAGTTCATTTTCGACTGCATGGCCAACAAGGATGACGGGTCGATCTTTAGGTAGTGTTCTGTCAATTCGATGCACAAGTTCGGCTGGTCGTATTGTCGTCGACTCCCCAAAGACAAACCTGTTGGAGGCTTTCTCGATATAAGACTCTGACCCCGTGATGTAGTTTTCAGTCGTGATCAGGTCTTGCCCGTCTTCGCGAGGCTGAGTCAACATTTTGGTGTCGAATGTGGCGATACCAAGCTGGGAGTCCTGACTTTCAAGAAAGCCATTCTTCAAGTTGTTGGTCTGCTCGAAGTCGATTGCCACTATGATAGGCGACGGTTGGTCGGATTCTGATAGGCCAAGAGCTGTTTGCAAAACCTGGAGTCCGTTCCTTGAAACGCTTGCACGCCACCAGTGGCGAGAGCGTGATGGAGACATTTACGCGCTTCCGGGTTGAGGGTGTTGGATGTGACTCCGAGCTCAAAGGCGAGAATTGGCATTTGGCTGGCTTGGGTGGTTCCTTTAAGGTGGTAGTTAAGGCCGACTAAACGCAGCATTAAATGGTTTTAGAGTCGTAAAAACTTTAAGCTTTGCAGCTGCATATCACAGAGTTATGTGTTGCTTGGTGGAGTACAGGCAGAAGCGGATAAAGCCTTTCCACCAGTTGGTTTTCTATGGCTGCTGCCTTACGAAGGCTTATTATTTCTACCGTTTGGTCTTTATACTTCAGATCTGTTCTTTATTATAGTTGCAGCCCGACCCTTGATGGGTTAACTGAGCCCGAAGATCGGTCTTTATACTTCATTGAACTCAACAAAATTACTGTACATAACGCATGCTACCTTTTGCTCCTGTGCTATCGCTTGTGTATCGGTATTTGACCAGCCCGTAACCTCCGTCAACCAATAACATGTATACAAGGAACGTGATGATGCTGTTATTAGAGTACCCTATCCTGGAGTGGTAGAGACAGAGGATTTGGCGCAGAATAAATTCGTACATGCGAAATATGAGAAGAAATCATGATCAGGTATGTCGACACCATATACACACAAAGCTCACCACAACCATCAACTCCCACAACCTGCGGAATTCTCCCGTCACTTTACTCTCCATAAAACATATTTCTCCAATCTTATATGGACTCCAAGAGTCGTCTCGAGCCCAGATAGCCACAATCTCGCCATCGCTGGTGGAACCTTGGATGCTGTTGTCTTTGGCAAGGTCTGGTGATCCAACAGCCAACCTCACCAATTTCCAGCCAGAATTTGCACCCATGCTCGTAACTTCGCTGCCGCGAGTCTGACGCCACTCGAACCTCTCAACAGGTTGGCCCTCTCCAACTTGCATGCCAAACCAATATGTCTCTCGTTTACTGTTGGCGGTACAACACCGCAGCAATTCTTCTCGGGTATCAAGAGTCTCTCCGGGAAACGAGGGGAGACATATGCGATAGTCTTTCTTCCACTTGCCAACACTCTTGGCTGTTGCAAGAATCGGGCTGGATGCGTCTGGGCCCTCATAAAAAATGATGTCGTGGTGATAACCGCTGTGAGGCGCGTGAGCCGCAAATGTGAACCCTGAGTTTGAGTCACTAAGAAGGAGGTGTGTTTGCAAGGTAAGTCGCTTTTCAAATGTCATGGAAAGCCTTTGGGGGATGCCGTTGCTGGCGGTCTCTGGTGATATCTGTGGGACGAGGGTATTTTCAGACTGTAAGTTGCCCATGATGTGTAGTTTTGTCTAGTAATAAATGCAGCGTACTTTGAAGCGAGATGTTGGTTATATATATGTTCTTAAGTTAGGCCTTCTACCATGTGGAGGATCTGCGGCCCTATCACCCGGATCGAATTTATCGCGTGATGTTGGCCTTCACTCTCGTATTTCGCATTCACGACAAAAAGCACGCGACGCAACTACCCGTCGGCCCTCGGTGAAGGACATGAGACATGGACGTCAGGGGTCTTTACACATGCCCAATGAGATCAAGTATCAGTAGAGACAATTAGAGCTAGCCAAGCTGAACCTGGTAGTGGACAAGGGCCATTCTTCTTGGATTGGTCGTGGCGCTCAGGCGCGATAAGATGCCTTGGAAGAGTGCGATTCGCAAGCAACGGTGCCCTTCAGGCTTAACCCATTCTTGTTGTATGCCTATATTAATCAGTTCTATGATCAATAGAGAGACTTTCTGTACCGTAGCAACTATCCGCGCGGAGTTTGTAGCATCAAGTATCCAGATGGGGCTGGGAGGCAAATGGCTTCACAGCACCGATTTGGGATTTAGCATCAACTACCGAGGGTATGGGCAATCCTACGTTACTGATCACGGTTGCTTACCCAAAGCCTATGTCACTGATGGCAAGCACAATAGTTTAATGAAGAAATCCAGAGACATGGAAATGGCTCGATTAAATCGACAGGCATGCATGATAGAGGCAAATTATATTTAACGGAAGTCAGACATGGTCTACCTGGTGACGAAGGAAAAGTCGGTACACCCAAAGCACGATTGTATAGCTTGAGGTATAGGAATGTTATTAATAATAGGTGTAACTCACTTCATGCCGCCATACTCGTTATTAAGAGATGTTAATGAAAGAACACAGTCCCTGGATGGCAACTCGGATTCAATCTATGGCAGTCGCTCTTACGGCATGCGTGATGAGGGCCCAACAATGAAGCTATAGGTATTATTATTCGAGGAAAGACTATGCTTATCTGCATCAGGTCTAGTCATGATGTGACTGTAATCGTGAAAGGTGAACATGCTAAACGAATGAGTGCCCTTAAAAACGACTAGTTCCCCCTCGAATGGCCATACCGACAGAGAGCCGTGCTACCACAAGTACTTAGACTCCGCCTAGGCTAGTTCAAAACACGGAACCTTGGTCCCGTCACGCCAATATCCCAACGAACCTCCACACGATCACCAACACCGACATACTCAACACCGATGAGCTGCCCAGCTGGACAAGGGATCTTTGGCCACCCCTGATAGGCCATAATCCAGGTAGCATTCCCTGGCTTCGGGACCGAAATCCGGCCGACATGGTTGTCTCTGCTCTTGGCTTCTGCCCACTCAGCAATATCGGCAACGGAGAATGTTTGAAGACCGCTTGGGGGATCCGACCAGGTGAAAACGTCGAGAGTCTGTGTGCCTGTAGAGACATCTCGATCCCAGAGCTCAAAGATGAGCTCGCAGGTCTTGCCTTCTGTGCTTTGGTCGAAGTTGAACGTGACGATGGTGGTTGTCTCGTCCGTAGCCTTGCCGTTCTTGACGATCAGAAGCTGATCCTGAGGGTCTTGGATGATCTTGTCGCTCTGGACCCAGCGTCTGTAGGTTCCCGCGGGGAAGATGATGTCTTCAAATTGACGGGTTTCGAGGGCCGGTGCGGCCAAGGTGACAGCCGCAGTAGAAAGGAGGAATGCAAGAAGCTTCATGTTTGCTTTTGGGAGATGGATACTTTTTTTTGAGTTTTATGAAACGGTTGAGACGATGGTGATTGAAGATGGACAGATAAAGAGAGAGCAAGTAGGATTGTTGCCCTTTTATACCTCGATAGTTGTAAGTGTTTCCGTACACCCGCACTATGAGGCCCTAGACATGGAGGGCGCCTCGTATAAGTCGGGTCTATCAATGACGAAATATCTCATTACAGATGCATGCAACCAATGCCAATTGATCAACCCACATTTGCAGATCCTTCGAGCCGCGCAGATCTCCGTTGCTGACCGGATATCCAGAACTTGACTTTGAAGGAGAACACTCCCGAGTTACACTGGTGGATATTCACAGAGACGCATGAGCATGAATCAATTGATGAACCAGACATTACTTTCACAAGAGAGCAAGTATAAAGTCGGATTTGAGAATGCAGGTGAGGGAATGTTGATTCCTAACGGTATTATGCATAATATAGGCTCATCGGCTCGGAGAAATCGTTCAGGCCTTGAGAGGGGTGCCTTGACACGTCATCGGCTCGATCGTGTCTAAATATACCATACTGAACCACCTATTTTTAACAATCCCAAGTACACTTTGACTGGGCGAGTGGAGGCAGGTGACTACGAAGGAGCGCGGCATTAACACTCAGCTCGTCTTCCCCTCAAAGATTTGCGCCTTGGCATCAAGACCAAAGCCGGGATGTCACCCTACACGTATCTCGTGGCTCAGTAAGACGGGCTAACTTGAAGCCATTTTTCTAAATAGGCTTACATGATGGGAATTGCATCTCGATCTTTATGCAGACGTATGCTGGCACGAGTAATTGACTTGGTACTACTGCCGCCGGAGTGCCTGCGCCGATGTCGTCCGGGGTCACCAGGAGAACATTCAGATCAACAGTCACAACAGCCAGCAAACCTCTGCTTCGGTAATGGATATTCTAAGTTGTAAACTATTGAGATCAGACCTCTCTTGATAGGTAGTACTTGCTCGCATTATCACTTATGCTACTCGTCTCAGCATATGTTGTACCCTCCGCAATGATGCCCTTGGAGCTGGACGTCTCGTCCTCAAGACGCCGCCACTTTCCCCCGCTGCTGGTTACCGACATTCTACCCTTGCCGCTTGGTGTGAGATTATCCAGCTGCGTCCCTCCCACATTTATTTGCCCTCCTCCTATCGTGTGTATTTGTTGACCGCTCGACGCGTTGCCAGCTGACTGGCCTTTGGAGGTACCACGACTACGGTCGAAATATCGGGCAAACATTTTCCGAAGAGACGGGAGGGATGCTGCGATGATAGCGATTCCACTTTCTAGTTGACACCAAAGGGAAATATGTCCGTTCCAGTCTGTGAAGGTCAAGTCAGAGAAGATGTCTGTAACAGAAGTAGTCCACTCACAGAGCTTGTCTTTGGTGGCCAGGTAATACTGCAGGTAAGGCGCCCTGACGATCGTAGCCGTGCTTGCAAGAGCACCCAAATCCAGGATGAGCATGACAATTCTCTTCGACCGTCGATTCATCTGCAGCTTTCGTACCACAAAGTAAGGCAAGATGGCGCAGCACCAATCCGTCACGATACCCACAGCCGTCCAGACGTATCCAATGATGACAACTCGATTGAAGTCGCCACATTTTCCAAGCAAAGGGTTCCAGTATGCTCGAACGGGGGTGCAGTAGGTAAGAGAAGCGACTATTCCAACGATTGCCATGACCGTAGCGAGCAATTGCATGATGTAGAGCGTCCAGCGATACTTTAGTTCGACGGTAATCCGAAGTAGCATGAAGACAACCGAGGCTTTGATCAACGGTACCGTAGTCCCGTATGTGACTTGCGAGTAAAGCATGTATTCGGCGCATCGAACCATAACAAGATCGTTGAGTTTGTCGTCCCTCGTTCCAAGGCCAAAGTATGCTGCTTTGACAGCGAATACGCTACTAACGATGAAAGAGCCCTAACAATTAGTTATAGCTGTAACCATGACAGCCTCGAGACTTACATAGGATAACACAGCAAAGGTATCCTTCCATCCCCAATTCGCGGTATATCGCAGCATCCAAGCCCGAACGTAGACCCTCAGAACCATAATAACCGTCGCAATCACCACGAATATTAGAACGACAATGATCAAAACGAGAGCGAAACCTTGTGGTTCGATCGGAGGATGGGCGTAGGCCAGCTTCTGGAGCTGGTTGCCCTGTTCGAGTGTCGACATCTTCAGGAAGCCGCAGGACGAGATGCTAAATCATGCCACTCAGAGAAGAACATTGGGGAGTGCGAATTCTTCAGTAATTTTTAGCTTTCGCTGCCAAGAGACATGGTCAATGATCTGCACTCAGAGCCGGGGTAGAATCCACAGGTAGAATCCACAGCGAAAAGAAAAGGACAACGATGGTATAATACCAGTTCTCTTAGATTCAAGGGTACAATACACTTGCCCCTGTTCCGTATGGAGCCAGTCAGGGTATCCTACAGCTCGCATGCTTCAACAGACCTTGTTCCTGCAGCATGGAAAACCGGATCACCTTTCGGGTCCGGTTCATGTTGCATCCGGGACGTCTCGAGGGAACGCTGTGTTGGTTCTGAGCTTTTTCGTTTCACTTGGCATGAATACAACCAACACAAACTGTATGCAAATGCCAGGAACCCATGATTATCAGCGGATTGATGCAGGACCCCGAGTCTGCAGCCCCTTTTAACCCTGGCTGGAGAATGGAGGCTATTTCCGCATGTCCACTGTCAAAATGGCCCAACGCGCAATTCCATTCGGTATTTGGCCTTGAGTCTCTTGGTTCCAATAACTGCTCATCTATCGTAAACTTGTTCATTCTTCAGCATGGTGAGCTTGCTTGGCTGGGGAACAGCTGCCCCGGAGGCTGTTCCTGGCGACAAAGTCCTTCCTCTCCACTACTTCGATGATACCTCAGTCTGGAGATCATTCATTTTGTACTCCTTGTTCGTATTTGAAGATGTACTAGACACGGATAAAATTCGTCACTCCTTGGAGGACCTAGCCCGAAGGAAAGGTTGGCAGAAACTGGGAGCTCGGCTCCGACGAAACGTACAGTATTCCACTATTGGTTACTCAATACATATTTACTGACTCTCTCTCAGTCCAAAGGTGTTTTAGAGTATCACATCCCCGCCGACTTCGACCAAGACCGGCCGCCCATCGCGTATACCCATATTCAACATGACACGCCGATAGCCGACCACCCCGTTGCTAGTCAAATACCCAAACCAAGCGCAAGACCCTCAATACTCGGTGACCCCGACCAATTCTTGAGTCTCATGCATCCAGAAGGGAGCCCCAAGAAATTAGAAGACTACGTCAACTCGGAAAGACCCCAGCTTGGTCTACACACGGTTTCTTTCAAGGATGCCACTCTCGTGTCTATTTACTGGCCTCACATCATGTTTGATGCGATGGGCAAGAAGGCTCTCTTGACCGCATGGTCATTGACACTTCAAGGACGACAGGGCGAGATTCTGCCTCTTTGTGGCGCCGATAGCGACCCCCTGACAGAGCTTGGTCGGCATCCCACCGAGGTGCACAAGTTGGCGGATCGTCAACTCTCCACATTGGGGCTAGTTCGATATGGCCTCAACCACATCACGGAGTTTGCACTACGCGGAAATGAGACTCGTATTGTATGCGTTCCAGCAGCATTTATGGACAAGTTGAGGGATGAAGCAATGGGAGATGTCCCAGTCGATAGTTCCAGCGACGAAGACACGTTCCTAAGTGATGGTGACATTCTATGCGCTTGGTGGACCCGCATAGCCATCTCACATCTGCCTCAAAACTCGGAGACCAACGTTATCCTTTACAACGCATATTCCCTTCGTTCTGTTCTCGCTGGAGACTTGCTACCAGCCGGCACCTCGTACCTCTCCAACGCCACAGGCTTCATCCATACACCTCTCACCGTCAAAGAGATCTTCACAAAGCCCTTAGGCTACATCGCGTCTCGCATCCGACACTCAATCTCAGAATACGGAACAAGAGAGCAGGTTGAGGCGTTTATGTCCATGGTCAGACAATCACAGGCTCGAACACCACCATTCTTTGGGGATCCGTCGATGCACATGCTCACCTACTCGAACTGGAGCAAAGCCAAGATGTTTGAAACCGACTTTTCAGCAGCGGTAAAGCCAAATAGTCGATCGTCTTCTGACAACCACGTGCCAGGGAGGCCGGCCTACATCCAAAATTGACAATATGGCTTGACCCTCCCTAATGCGTTCCCCATCATGGGCAAGGACACTCAAGGGAACTACTGGCTCTCTGGGTACTTGAACAAGGGTAACTGGGACAAGATTAACGAGATACTCAATAATATCTGAGGCAAATCTAGCGCAACTAAGGCGTGTGAGGCTGTTCACTGGGGCCTGTACTCATAAACCGGGCAATTATAGGATGAGTGGCACTTGAGGTTCCTATCAACTTTATATTACCAGTACAAATACAAATCTGTTATATTACACATGCCTCTCGCTTACCAGTTCAATTAGCTTATACTTTGACATTCAAGGCTCCATCAATGAGTCCCCAGGTATGATCGGCCACCTTCTTCATCTGCCCTTCCGTCCAAATAGCCTTCTTGACAAGGAGACGTCCCTTGTTATCAATGTTACTCCAATACCTCCCCTCTTTCTCTCCCTCTGCGCAACGCTCAGTCACCCCATTCATCAAATATTCGGCACAAGTTTCCGCCGACACGCAGACCAGGTTGGCTCCAACTCGGCCGACAGTCCGCAGATACCAGGGGAGCTCTCTCCAAAGACCCGAACTAACGCCTCCGGGCCATGCATGTGCGAAATGTCTTCGGCCGACCCCGGTGGACTTTTGCTGCGCCGCGTAGTACTGGACCATGGCGTCATTCATGGACATGCAGTGATCTGCCGCCTTGCCAAGACTATAATGCGTCTTGAGGTCGAGATCCTCCCAGATGAGCTTGTCAGGGCTTCCAAGCCATCCATCAAACACGATAATAACCTTGCTATCTTCATTCATGACTGGAAGGAGCTCGCGTATGAGGAGCTGTTTGCCGTAATAATGCAGCGCCATCTTGCGATCGATACCCTCGGGTGTCTCGGTTCTCCCAGCCATCGTCATGATACCCTGAGTCATGATGAGTAGATCGAGTTTCTGGCCTTGAGCTTTGAAATCATCCGTGTACTGCTTGATCTGGCGCATTGACGTTGCCTCAAGTGGTCGAAAGGTGATGTTGGCGTGTGGAATGTTTTGTGGCTTGGTGCGCCCGCTGATGGTGACGATTGAGGTGCTGGCTTCGGAGGCGACACGGCAGGCCATGGCATAGCCGATGCCGCTTGTACCGCCTACTACCAGAGCTCTTACAGTCATTTTTTATCGCTTTATGGGGCGTTGGGGGGTTTGATGATCTTGCGAGAAGAAGGTTGGAGGGGAAGAAGGAGGAATGGGAGCTAACCGTGTTTTAAAATGGTTGTTGGCTGAGATCAGCCATCACCAGTTACGCGTAATTCGCAGCGAAAATTGATTGCCTAGGCGCAGGGCTGGCGCGGCGAGAAGGTGCATTGCCTACCAAAAGGTCACGTCTACTCCCATATTGGGTCTCATCTTAATCGATTGAGAGCATGCCTATCAACTCACCTTCACAGTTTCACCATTCTCCGACAAAGTTGGCTTTCTTCCGGTGGGATTCATTGCCAACCCTCAGAAGCTATATGGTCTACCAAAACGGACAATATCCCCCAGATAGCATTTCGCAGTTAACAGAGTTTAGAGGTAAGGACGTCATACCAGAGGCGCCAATATAATATTTAGAAACGTCTCCAGACCGTGTTGACTTGTAAAATATGTCTGGAGGAGGGTGTGTATTGTCCGCTTTGGCACCTACCCTAGACTTCCAGAATGATCCCTGCCAATTCATAGGCTGCAGGCTTTAAGCGATCTCAGAGCCAAGAGTTTGTGGATCCCTTGTAGGCAGAGCAGGCAGCGAGCCCCATTTGCATGAGCGGAAATTACTCTCTTGTTTAGCCTTAAAAGGAGAAGAAGTTTGCGCGATAGGTGAGCCCTAAGCTCTAAAGCAACTGCTATCATTAGCTTGTCACAGATTCTACCCCATCAGATCCTCTTGCATCGTCATGTCTTCCCCCCCGGCTGGCGATGGCGTCTCCATGCCCCTTTTGCCCGAGATATGGAGCCACATTTGCTCCTTCATGCTGAAGCCGAGCCTATCCAACCTAAGGCTCACCTCGCGCCAGATGAACCACACCGCCCTGCCTCATCTATTCAGGAGCCTACGTCTTGAAGGCTTTGGCGGCTCAGCTGAGCGCGTCATCAACATCGCCAAGTCCCCCAAGCTACGTGGCCTAGTCCGAGAGCTCACCATCGACTCTTGGATCGGGCCTGGCTTTGAGTACAACGCAAACGAGGACTATAAGATCCCTACAGATTTCATGGACGCTTTGCCTTATATCCGCTGCTTTGGAAAGGTTACGACTATGAATCTGCGGTTCAATGAGTTTTGCGGTGACGATGATCGGGACTATTGGCGAACGGAAATCGAAGAGACCTGGTCATTCAGATACAGAATCATTGACACCGTGTGCCACTGTATCGTGGGCATGTGGACCAAAGAGCGACAGGAAAGGATAGACAACAGGGCCGGCCTCGAATACGACCCTGAGTATCCCGAGGATGACCTGGGTGTTCCTCTAGAACATATAATGCCGCTCAAGGAGCTCACCATATCGAACCTGGCAGACTATCCCGATACCGACATCACTAGGTCCAAGGCCTGGAAAAAGCTTCTTTCTCTTGACAGCCTCGTCAACCTCAAGCTCTTCATCGCCACCGAAGTCGAATCCTCTTCACCAGAGTCTGCCGTCTTTTTCGCAGAAAAGTACGAATTCTTCGGCGACCTGCCCAACTCATGGCTCTCGAGCCCCATCACCGACAACCTGCGAGTCTTGTCGCTATTCTACTGCGACTATTGGGGCTGGTTTCCCAAGTTCGACTTCCGCCTCATTAACGAAGGCGGATCGCCATTCCCGCAACTCAAGGTGCTTGCGCTCGGAAACTACGTCTTTAGCCATGACTGGCAGATCGACTGGTTTACAACCATCGGGTCAAAGAATGGCAGCGGAGGGCTAGAGGAGCTTTATCTTGATGACTGTCCCATTTTGACCAGGGCTCAACAGATGGGTCCGCTTAGCCGCAGCGACCCTGGCTATCCCAGGGCCGGGACGGTCATGCAGGACAGCGGGAGGCCTGACAAGTTTGAGTACTCACTGCGATGGCACCAGGTCCTCTCGCGATGGACAGAGTCGATGAAGGCGCTAAAGGTTTTTCGAATGGATCGTGGTGCCTGGAACTCACCTTCGCCAAAGGATGCTAAAATGTTCCTAGAGGATGTAGACGATCATGGCTATCGCGTGGACGAGAGCACGTACCATCGCACTTCCTACAATATCCACCGGAGCTTTGGCGGAGATGGAATTTCGGTGACGGAAGAAACACGCATGCAGTACATAGAGTACGACATCGGCACCGGGCCTAGTCCATGGCTCGAGGCTCGCAGAAAAAGGTGGTTCCCGAGGGATGATGACTTTGTTGTGACTGAGGAGCTGCTAAGCAAGGACGCGGGAGCTTATGAGGCACTTTTTGCTGCCATCAATGCTAGGCAGCAGGATTCAAGAGAGGAGTTGTGATGGAGCCGCTTTACATGGTCAAGGGGCAGGGTCGGGGTCTTCTTTTGTTGTTACATGATTTTATCTCTCGAGGTATGCTTATTAGTCTACTCTCTTTCTCCAACCATCTCTCCCATGGGGAATCTGAGCTATCTCCGAACGGGAGTGACCGCCTCAGCTTTGTTGGGGCCTTGATCTGTGCATCAATCTCCGTCCACGTTGCCATTGAAGTTGTGGGGGGTTGGCACTATAGCCTCAAGGTCCCCCGGTCAAAGTTCGCCTCCAATCCCGTTTTATCCGAATGTCATTAGAACTAGACATTGAACGCTTCCATTGTTCCTTGATACCAATACGCATGCAAATGTCGTCTTGACAGTCTCACCCGATATCGTCCGTATGCGGCAGCCAGAGCTAACCCCGAGGAACGATCGGCGCCCAGAAATAAGCCGCATTCAACACCAAACTTGGCAGTTTCCAGAAGCATTCCAGAAGCATAGTGCTTATTTGAGGCTCCCACTAGCGTCAAATCACGGCAGCCTCAATGAATCCCGCCCGCAGAGCAGCCTCTGACCGCACAACATGCTGATCCCTCCCCGAACCCATGCCTAGTGTTACAGACTTATTCACCTGCGCCATTTTCTTTTTTTCCTTTCCCATCAAGTGAGCTGACTCGCTCCAACAATGACGTTCCCGGAGCCACCCGAGTCACCGTGTAGACCCATATCGTCGAGTGTGGTTATCCACTTAGTCGAAAGGCTCCGAGAAGCCACCGTGCCGAGTATCCGGCACATAGGGACTTGATATCCACAAGGTGTGGGAACCATCCCGACGACGTCCGCCAAATGGCAGGCAGCCCGTTGCCAACTGCCGTGAGCACGTACACTTGGATTCGACATTGACCCTTCATCAAGTCGTCTCAGCAGGATGCTAAAACCCCACAAGGATGGGGTCAAGTGCCTTTAGTGATCCCATGGGGCTCCGCAAGTCATGGGGGTTAAGAATGAGGAGACAAGATTTAGTATATAAAGGGCAGTCTACTCAAATTTCTTTTCGAGGACCACTCATCTTGTCTTTGTCTCTTCAGTGTCGACTTTGCAGAGATGAGCGCGCAGACATACCTTGGTGCCAGCGGCAAGGCGTTGAGCATTCTTCAGCTTGCTCTCGTCGTAGGCCCGGCCTTTGTTATTTTCGGTTACAACCAAGCCGGCATTGGTGGTCTCCTCACTGAGGAAGATTGGGTCAAGACATTCCCCGGGATCGATACCGTCCACAGTGAAGGCTCTGAAAAGAGCCGCAAGTCCACACTGCAGGGCTTTGTCGTTGCAACCTTTGTTATCGGTGCCCTTATCGGTTCCCTGTCTTGTTCCTACACAGGTGACAGGTTTGGTCGACGCAATGTCATCTTCTTTGCTGGCATCTGCACCTTGATTGGAGAGATCCTCGAGGCTTCCTCCTTTGGCCTTGCCCAGTTCATCGTCGGTCGAGTCATCATCGGCCTGGGTGTCGGCCAGCTCAGCTCTATCGTCCCTGTCTGGCTGAGTGAGACTTCTGCAGCAAAGAACCGTGGACGCAGCGTTGTCCTCACTGGACTTTTCATGTGTCTTGGCTACACACTCGAGTCTTGGATCGACCTCGCCTTTTTCGAGTTCAAGCACGGCCCCGTCACCTGGAGACCTCCTATCGCCATCTCCATCGCCTTCTCCATCGTCCTGTTGGCTTCTGTCTATGCACTCCCGGAAAGCCCTCGATGGCTAGTCCTCAAGAACCGATCTGAAGAAGCCCGACATGTCGTCTCAGCTCTTCGAGGTCTTCCTGAAGATGCACTCGAGGTTCAAGCTGAAGTGGCTGGTATCGAGCACTCTCTCGAAGAGACGAGCCAGGGTGGAGCCACTCTGGGAGACATGCTCAAGATGGGCGACGATAAGCTTCTCTACCGATTCTGTCTTTGCATCATGCTTCAGTTCTATCAGCAAGCCTCTGGCTCAAACCTGGTGTCGGTCTATGCACCAATTCTCTTCCAGCAAAACCTGGGCATGAGCAGCGAGATGTCTCGTGTTCTCTCCGGAGGCGCTCTTACATGGAAGTTCCTCTCATCCTTTGTCGCCTTCTTCACCATCGATCGTTTCGGTCGTCGAGCCGTCTTCATCATCAGCGGAGTTGGAATGTCGGCCTGCATGGCTGCACTCGCAATCACGACTTCATTTGGCAAGGACAACCACCCTGCTATGATCGCGGCTGGCTGCTTCCTTTACCTCTACAACACCTGGGTCCCTATTGGCTTCCTTGGCGCCAATTTCCTCTACTGCACCGAAGTCGCGCCTATTCGTCTGCGAATGGCCATGTCGTCCATTTCGACAGCCAACCATTGGCTATGGTATGTCACTTCAACTCTTTACAAAGCACCGCAACTAACATTCCTATAGGAACTTTGTGATTGTCATGGTCACTCCCGTGGCCATCAACACTATCGGATGGCAATACTACATTGTGTTTGCCGTCATCGCCGCATGCATCCCTGTCTCGGTTTACTTCCTGTTCCCTGAGACTATGGGCCGAAACCTGGAGGAGATTGAGCTCCTGTTTAAGGACTCTCCATCGGTGTGGTCGACTGTCAAGTTTGCCAAGAATCGACCAATTGCTATGCCTCAAGAGTTTGTGGGAGGAAAGGAAAAGAGCGATCACATTGAGGGTGATGATGAATGAGGATGCAATTGTCAAACTTGTAAGGCATGAGAGACCTAAATTGTTCCTCTTTTACGAAATAGACGACCGCCATGTCCCATTGGCCCACGGCTGTCCCAAAGGCCAGTCTAGGCCATCACCATCATCACCAATAGTCCTTGGAAAATAGGTAGTTGATCATGGTTGGTGAATAGGCACTGCCCATTGACTCGGGTTGCGAATGGTGACAAAAGCTCAGATAGCATGAACAAACAATGGTAAAAAAAAAAAAATTTCCAAGAATTCCAGATCGGATCAGGCGGATGCCCGTGCTTTTTACCTTTGCCCGCGTTTCTTTAGTTGCGAAAAATTCCAAGTGATCGACATGCCATGATCCAGTTCCTCGCTTATAATTCGTGGACCTGTTGATCAATTCTTCCACCCGGAGAAACCGACAAACAAGTATTGACTAAGTTAACAGCAGAAAAAGAAGTGATGGACAGGCTTAATTAACTCCCCCGCCTGATCAAGACCATTTTCCCCTCACTCTATGCGCAACTATAACTCTTATGCGCGCGAATCCAGTCCCGGCGCTTCAAATCTGCCAGGGCACCGTGGCCTTTATCCTGGCTTAAATGTAACCTTGCCCCGGACGATGCTTGACCGATCAGGAACCTCATACGAGCTTAGATACCCCGAGGCACGAGAACTTCTCCGCGTTGTCTTCTCCGCATCGGCGCTACTAACTAATAAGAGCGGGATGAAGTGCGGGTTAGTCGACTTTAACGTCTGGGCACTTGGGTGTACATGATGCGGAGAGGCTTGATTGATCCATGATTGGGCCGCTTGACTATTGTCTGTATATGGTTTCGGGGAATATCTCTTTTAGGCTGCGTTGTATGACTTTGCTGTTAATATTAACTGGAGGTTAGTATTGCCGACCATCGGCTGCAGGCACGTCATGGGCAGATCGTGGTGATATAAAGCCTGGCCACTGCCGACATAAGATGTTACTCTCCCAGACACAGACCTCTCAGACTTTGTCTGCCCGACTTCGACATGGTCTCCCTCAAGTCGATTCTCGCCGCTGCGGCCTATGTCGCGACGGTCGGAGCTGTCAACATCAAGGTATCTAACTCGGATGGAAATGCCACAAGTGGCCATCAATATGGCTTCCTCCACGAAGTAAGGTTCTATCAAACTATTTCAAGGGCCGGCAGCTGACTATTTGTGTCAAGGACATCAATAACTCTGGAGATGGTGGAATCTATGCTGAACTCATCCGCAACCGAGCTTTCCAGTACAGCAACAAGTACCCTGTCTCTCTAGACGGATGGCACTCGGTCAATGGCGCCCAACTATCTCTAAACCGTCTCAAGGAACCACTTTCCGATGCCCTTCCCGTGTCTTTGAACGTCAAGGCCGGAAGCAAGAAGGAAAAGTCCATTGGTTTCTTCAATGACGGCTACTGGGGAATGGATGTGAAGAAGCAGACTTATACAGGCTCTTTCTGGGTCAAGGGTGCCTACAAGGGAAAGTTCACCGCCTCGCTGCAGTCTAACCTCACCAAGGATGTTTTTGGCTCTGTTGATATCAAGTCCAAGTCCGTTGCCAATGACTGGACTGAGCACAAGTTTGAGCTCATCCCCAAGAAGGATGCTCCCAACAGTAACAACACTTTTGCCATCACCTTCAACTCCAAGGTAGCTATTAAAATCACCTCGATAACCCATGTTGGAGTTTTGCTAACTAGGACAGGGCGTCTCTGGCGGGTCTCTTGACTTCAACCTGATCAGTCTATTCCCTCCTACTTACAAGGGCCGTAAGAACGGACTGAGAATCGACATTGCCGAGGCTCTTGAGGGCCTGCATCCTGTTAGTCCCCCACAAATATATACATTGTTCTCAATATGCTGACCCAACCTTACCAGAGCCTGCTTCGCTTCCCCGGCGGCAACATGCTGGAGGGATCAACCAACAAGACCTGGTGGGACTGGAAGGACACTCTTGGCCCTCTTCGTTACCGAAAGGGTTTCGAGGGTGTCTGGGACTACCAGCAGACCCACGGTCTTGGTCTCGTGGAGTACCTTGAATGGGCTGAGGATATGCAACTGGAGATTGGTGAGATCCTTTTCTTCAATACAACTCGAGGCACATCTAACATGATTTCTCTTAGTGGTTGGCGTCTACGCGGGCTTGGCCCTTAATGGCGATGTCACCCCCAAGGAAGACTTCCAGGCCATCATCGACGACGCCCTCGACGAAATCGAGTTCATTCGCGGCCCTGCTGACTCCAAATGGGGCAAGCGTCGAGCCGAACTTGGTCACCCAGAGCCATTTAAGCTTCATTACGTCGAGATTGGAAACGAAGACTGGTTGGCGGGTTATCCCGGTGGATGGACGAGTTACAAGGAGTACCGCTTCCCCATGTTCCTCAAGGCCATCACCGACGCCTACGATGACATTACCGTCATTTCTTCTGGCGCGACTAGTGATGGCGATGGCTTTGACATTCCTGCTCCTGGAATTGGTGACTATCACCCTTACCGCACGCCTAATGCCCTGGTCGACGAGTTCGACCGGTTTGACAACGACATTGGCCACATCGTCGGAGAAGTCGCTGCCACTCATCCCAACGGTGGAATTGGCTGGGACGGTGATTTAATGAAGTTTCCTTGGTGGATAGGAACCGTTGGCGAGGCTGTGTCTCTGATCGGCTACGAGAGAAATGCTGATCGCATTCCTGGAACCTTCTACGCCCCTGTCCTCCGCAACATGAACCGCTGGCAGTGGGCTGTCACCATCGTTCAGTTCGCCGCAGACCCCGCTATGACAACACGTTCCACTAGTTGGTACGTATGGGAGCTCTTTGCTGCCCATCCCATGACCCATACTCTGCCTGCGTCCGCCGACTTCGACCCTCTCTTCTATGTTTCTGGAAAGAACGAGGACGAAGGCACATTCATTTGGAAGGGTGCCGCCTACAACACTACTAAGGGAGCCGACGTGCCTGTCTCTCTGTCTTTCGAAGGTGTTGAGGCTGGTGCCGAGGCCGACCTCACCTTGTTGACAAACGCCAAGGACGACCCCTTTGCCTACAACGACCCCCACACTGGTGTCAACATTGTGAACAGCACAAGTATCGTACTCGAAGCTGATAAGGATGGAATCTTCAAGTTCAGCCTCCCAGAGCTGAGTGTTGCTGTCTTGGAGACCAAGTCGACAGGAAAGAGCTTGAGAAAGCGTACTCTTGGAAAAGCCTTTACGTCTTAAGGGCCATGTGTCATTGGAACATAGAAGTTGATTGGGTTGCGTTCAACAGAAGTTCAATCCAAAAATTTTATTGCGACGGGCTAGAATTTAACTTGTGACGGCATTTTGGGAGTGAATTGTTCGCAGTTAGGGGGGGTCACGTGGCTAGAGGTTGTATTCACATGATGTAGCACGTGGGATATCACGGGGTCACCATAACGGTATTTAATACTACTACACTCTTTCTTTAGTGCTATCCTACTCCTAGGCAACCTTTTCCTCCCGGGCCTACAACTCAGCATCTACAACAATAACAGCATTATCAAAAATCTGAAGATACTATAACACTTACAGTGCAGGTGATAGGCATGTGCTTTTAAAGCTGTAGATATCGATTTGAAAACTAGCTTATTTGATACTATACCCACGATGTTGTATTTTGCTGGCAAGAGGGGAGGAAACTGCCAATATTTCCCCATCTATGGCATGCCCGTGATACCTCAGGATTGTGGCAAACAGCCACAGTAAAACCGCAACCATCCATCACCCTCCTCACGGACGCCAACTGGGCAAAACCTCCGACTCCTGATGATTCCGCTCCTTTGAACCAGAATCATCTGAAATATTCACACGTAAAAAATGCTTTTACTAGAGCACCATCCCTTCCCACATGCTATCTATGACCTAGTCTTGTGACTTTGCCGTTCATGCAGGAGGCCGACCAGTAATGAGGGGTAAACTCGAGTTACACACGATTTTCAGCTTCACTTTCTGAGATCATTGCTTCAAACTCTCTTCTCTTCTTATCTCTTCCTACTCCATCAATTACCCATGGGGATTTAAAAGCTGCTCTGGCCTTCATACATGGAACAAGACCCCGAGATGGCCGGACAGGCTGAACACCCAAAATGGTGGCGTCGCAGGTTTCCGTGGCATCGCACACAATACAGAGGATCTCTTCTCTTCAATCTCGCATCTTTCATTCTTCCAGCTCTCTATGGAACACTTTCCAAGCTCTGGGTTGCCAACATTGACGCCTCCATGGTGGTAACGACAGATGCATACACCTACATGAACACCGCCGCTGAGGCTGTCAACGAAGGTCTTCCAAGAGCTGCTTGGGTCATTATCGGAGACAAGGCATCACGGGATCTTGCAAAGCGTCTTCAGTTGACACATACCCTGATTGCATTTCAATCACTTGCAGGATTCATCTTGAGCATCGTCTTCCTTGCCGCAGCTCCGGCATTCGCAAGGCGCTTCGTGCCCTCTGAAGTCCGAGACGCGAGTTTGACATATATACGCATTTCATCGTTCACTGTGTTTAGCGGGATCCTCGAGACTGCTGTCGCAACATCAACGCGAGCTCTGGACAAGCCCGATATCCCTCTAGCCATCAGCTCGGTCAAATTTGCTATCAACATCATGCTCGATTTTCTTCTGATTTCGAAGTGGCACGTGGGATCATTCACCCCAACCGTCAACATGCAAGGCACTATCCAACTAGTCTGCAATCTTGTGGCTTCCTTCGTCGGACTCGCTTACTTTCTATGGTCAAATACTCGCACTCTCCTGAGAGAGTTGCGACGAGAGGCTCAGCCACATCGTCGACTACGTCCAAGCTTCCAAGCACTCAAAGTTTTCCTTCGTCCTGGCCTCATTTTCTTTACCGAATCCGCCGTGAGGAACGCACTCTACCTCTGGCTAGTTACAACCATTGTCGCACTCGGTTCCGTCTACTCCACGGCTTGGGGTGTTTTCAACACCATTCGCTGGGGTCTCGTAATGGTCCCCGTTCAAGCACTAGAAGCAACTGCTCTTCAATTCATCGGCCACAATTGGGGAGAATGGAGGAGAAAAGTGGGCGTCAACATGCGAAGACCCAAGGCCAGCTGGAAAGATATTCTCGTTATCATACGGCCTTCGCTGAAGTCCCTGGTTCTTGCGATTGTCTTTGAGGTTCCGCTTGCCATCTTTCTCACCTTGTACGGCGCCTATTCGTTCGCATCCTATCTCAGCGGCTCCGATGAAGTTGCAGAAGTCACGGCATACATGTGGCGAACTCTTGATTGGTGTTATGTGTTCTATGCCATGTCGACTCAGCTAGCCACGATCTTACTTGCAACCCGACCAAAGTGGTACCTCTATCAAAGCCTCGCCAGCAATCTTCTCTATGTTCTACCATGGGCCATTGCTTGCCAAGTTGCTCACTTAGATACGGATAGTGCTTGGTGGTATCACAGTTGGGTTTTTGGCGGCAGTCTAGTTTTCAGTTTTGGAATTATTCTGATTCTTGATTCGCTCTGGGCTTGGACTTTGCTCCGAGGGAAGGCCAAATTGGAGGTGTTTAGAGAGTGATTTCGGTACAATGGATGTGCCTTGAAGCATGAATATTCAAGAAAGAGCTCGAGGTGGTAAAAGGAGAGACTCTCGTCGGAAGCGCTTATTCCCACCATTCTTTCTTTTCCGACACTTTTATTCTTTATCATCTTCATTCTTAATTCTGCTTTTCCATCGTTTTTCAATGCTTGATACAAGCTCTAGTCACACAGAGCCATTAATTCCCCAGATAGTACGGAGTATGCAACCCGACGTTGATGTAACTAGAAGATATGGCGCAATCTCAATGTGACATCACCTCATCGCATTTGCGTATATCGCAGCCAAACAGCACCAATGTCTTAGTAATAATGGAGAACATCCTTGAGTTGGATATTTTAAGAGTTCATATTCTTACTTTACACTTCAAATCTTCAAAAACCGCAGAATAACAGAAGCATCATGTCCGCCACTGTCGTCATTACCCCAGCCGCCCCGGCTCCTCCTGGACAGCCTGATATCGCATACGCTCCAGACTACGCCAAGTTCCAAGCGCGCCAAGCTCAAAGACTCAAGTCCGAAACCTTGCCTTCGACTCTTCCTGAGGGATTTCCAACCCAGTTGACGGGCGATCTGGTCTGGGATGGAGAATCAGTTGCTCAATCTTATGATTGGGCGTATGTTCTGTCCCCGGACCAGACGAATGAGATTGATCAAGCATTGAAACATTTCCAAGGTAGCCACAATTCCGCTTCTTATAATTTCATGTGAACCTGATCACTCTTATAGCTCTCGATATCCCTCTTGGTCAGATCTCTCCTGAAACCTTCCCTCTGCCTCAATTGCATGCCGAGCTACGCAAACTTTCAGATGAGCTCCACACAGGACATGGCTTCTTTGTGATTCGCGGTCTCGATGTTGACAAGTACAGCCGACAAGAGAACATCATCATCTATGTTGGAATCTCTTCACACATCGCAGGCCAACGAGGGCGCCAGGACAGCAAGTTCAACGGCAAGCCTGCTGATGTCGTCCTGACTCACATCAAGGATCTTAGCTCGGGTCAGGAGAAGGGCGCGATTGGAAGCCCGGCATACACGACTGACAAGCAAGTCTTTCACACCGATACTGGAGACATCGTCTCCCTCTTCTGTCTTGAGACTGCCTTGGAAGGTGGAGCTAGTAGACTGGCCAGCACATGGCGCGTCTACAATGAGATTGCCAAAACTCGACCTGACCTGATTCATACACTCTCTCAGAACTGGGACGTTGAAATGTGAGGATAGAACTCTTGCCCCGGATCTGGGTAGCAGTTGGGTATCGTGCTGACCCATATCAGCTTCACAAACGCGGACAAGAAGTTTGCTACACGGCCACTTCTCTATCACCAAAAGGCTACGGCGACGACCCCAGAGAGGGTGGCCTTGCAGTATGCCCGCCGATACTTTGTCGGATTCGGAGCCCTCCCACGAAGCCACGACATTCCTCCCATCACTGAAGCTCAAGCTGAAGCTCTGGATACTCTTCACTTCCTTGGAGAAAAGTTGAGCGTTTCGACCAATTTCCAAAAAGGCGACATGCAATACGTCAACAACCTGGCCGTCTTTCATGCTCGAGATGGCTTTACGGATTCGCCGACCCAACAGTAAGTGCCAGGGATGCGAACCACGGGCCGTTACTAGGCTAACAATTCTCTTAGGCGACATCTTCTGCGGCTCTGGCTTCGAGACCCAAAGAATGCATGGGAAACTCCAGAGGCTCTGAAATCGCGGTGGGCGGAATTATACGATGGTGTTACGGCAGAGGCTGAGGTTTTCCCGTCGGAGCCTTATATCCGGAGTTCCAGCAACAAGGCGAGGTAATGATTGTCAATGGCACTTTTGTTCGTGGAGGCGTGATTGGCTCCGCATTTTAGGTGTCAGGCTGTGCTCGAATGTCACATGCGACCGTCTTCTGTAGAGCACTGCGAAGATCGGCTCAAAAGGTCCGGAGAAATAAAAACGCAGGTCTCAAAAAAAGGGGGCCAATGCCAATGTGCTGCTCACATCATGATGCCACTTTGAGTGTTCGCAAACTCGGCAAACATGAAAATGATGACAACCGAAAAGACTTGCAACGTTCAAGTTGGGCCCAGGTCGAATTTATCCTCAATCGGGTTCTCAGGTGCTGGTGCTGACAGGTCGTGTCGGAACAGGCGATCGCAATCTCGGGGCATTGAGAGACCTAATTTCGGGCAAGCCATGCCAAAGCGGTTCTAGAAAAGCTCCCGTCACTGCTACGCTCGTTGGAGCATTGACATGCCAGTTACATCAATAAACTAAGGTATGTTTTTTAATGATGAAACCGTTCAAGATATAAAAAGCCACTGGGTTACCATTTTGGTGTGACGCTTCATGAACGCCAAGAGACACTGCCCTCCCTGCCTGTCAATCTGCAGAGAGCATCAACTCTCCACTGCCTCCTGGCATTTCCACCATCTCGCATGTCGACCAATGATGCCCAACTCTCGAGTTGCCTGGCAACCAGGATCTTCCCTTGGCGTGTTCCAAGCCAAGGCAAATACGAAGATTAGTCAGGTTTCTAAATATGGGATTGGCTACTCTGCCTTGTAAAAGTGGGTGCCCCCGGATTAACCCCTTTAACGCGTCAGCCGGATCAACTCGACCTTTTAAATAAAACCGAACCATCGCCTGTTGAGTTTCTGTCAGACTCGATTCTGCCATCATCAAGTTCTCTCGTTATTCTTCTATTCAATCGGTCGCTATTTGCGTCTTTCGTTACATTTGAACGTATCTAATATCCATCCTAATCACCGTCGCCATGTCCACCACCACCACCACCGCGGCTGCCACTGCCACCACGGCATGCACCAACCTCTACGACTCTCCCAACCAGGACACCACCTGCGCCATGCCCTACACCGGAAACCACACCGATATCATGAAGAAGTGCTGTGGTGATGCTCAGATCGTCAGCTACCACAACGACTGCGGCATCTACTGTGTTGCCCTCGACCAGACCATCAGCGATCTCGCCGACTGCCTCTACGAGAACGGTGCTCCCTGGGAGGCCGTCTTCTGCAGTGTCCCCAAGAGCGTTTCCTCCTCCGTTGCCTCCAAGACCAAGGACGCCGCCGTCCCTGCCTCCGCTCAGGCTTCCGTCATCTCTGGCGGCGACGATGACAAGGATAGCAATGACAAGGACAGCGACGACAGCGACAGCACTGCCTCTGGTACTGCCAGCTCCGCCAGCTCAACCTCCACCGGCAACGCCGCTGCCGGTATCGTTCCCCAGTCCAGCGTCAGCACCCTTGGTCTTACCATCGGTGCTCTCCTGTTCTCCTCAATGGCTCTCGGTGCCTTCAACATTTAAGAGCCTCTAGGTTCTTTGTTTGTCTTTCTCGCATTTAAAACTACAGCCTTTTGCATCAATCATCGAGGCGGCATTGGCATACATCCGGATATCATAATGGGGTCATTGTACACATACACGTTATTGTATAGTTAAAATTGGTAGTCGTTCATTGCCACAACAGACAAATTGTCTCCAATTGCTTGTTTCCTCTTCATGTGACGTTCTTCGCATCCCCAATGCCCGTCCAGACAGTCAATTAATCCCGTTTGAGGCCAACTCGTCCCGCTTTCCTCAACCCTAGTAGTCCAACAATCGTGCAGAGTAGCATCATGCCAAACATCGTCCAAAAGCTGGCCCTATACCCTTGCATGAGCGCAACCACTTTGCCTTTACTATTTGAGTCCTTTGTCACTTGTGTGGATATCACCTGAAGGATAGCTAGACCCAGCGCACTTCCGAACTGTGCGGCTGTGTGTGTTGAACACTGCCCCTGCGAGTGCCTGCGTATCTTCGGGGAAGACATCGGTAATGATGATCAAACCAACCGTAAAGAGTGCATCACAACTAATAGGTTGTAATATCTGTGCCACAAATGCATTGCCCCAATAAGGCCAAGAGGGGTCGATAACAGCCATGAGTAAAGGAGAGCCGGCACAGAGTACCGACGTGACAGTGACGATCCAAATAGCAGGAATCTTGTGGACGAAAAGACCCACGCCGATATTGACAAGTGCAGCAACTAGTGTGCAGGGCAAGATTCGGATGGACGTTTGAAGAGCTGGCAGGTGCTGGATCTCTTGAAAACTAGGTCTTGTTAGAGAAGGTTATGCCCTTAGGTACGAATCAACTTACAACAAGCTGCAGAACAGTTCCATAGAATTTAGGACAGCAAATGACAGTGCAATAGTGACGCAAATACTAGAAAAGGTCGAATTTTTCCAAAGGGAGTTTGGGATCAAAGCTGGCTTCTTCACTAGAACCTGACGATGAACCCAACCGACAAAGGCGAGAAAAGCAATTGTGCTTAGACAAAGCATAACGATGCTCCCAGGCTGACGAATTATTTCCACATCCGCACTCAGAACCCTAGATAGACTTGTAAGTCAAAGTCCAGGATGCCTTAGGTCGAGGGAGACTTACGCTAGTAGATAACACAGCAGTGTCATGAATGTAGATGCGAGGATGGCGCCAGCCCAATCGACTTTGGTTCGAAAATCTCGTAGAATATCGTTCAGACTGCGGTCATCCTGCCTTGTCGGAAGTGCCCACAAGCCCACAACAGAAAAGAAGAGAGTCAAGGCCCCTGAAAGGTACCATCCCGCTCGCCAGCCAATAGTATCAGCAAAGACACCGCCTAGAACCAAGCCAATCGAGAAACCAAGAGGCTGACTTAGACCAAGGAAAGAAAACGCCATGTTGCGGCCTCGGCCGTGAGGAAGAACCTGCGTGATGATAGCAACTGACGAGGCAAGATGCATTCCCAAGCCGATTCCTTGAAGAGCCCGGAAAGCAACGAGTTCCGTTCCTTGACGAGATACCCCTGATCCAATCATCAGAGCTCCGCTCGCAAAGCAACCAACAAGATCAACCCATCTTGGCCCCAGGACATCGGCAATCGCTCCAGCCAGCAGCAGACTAGAAGCTGTCGCCAGGCCAGAGACTGATGCCGGCCAAAAGGCTAAAGAGGGTGGTAGTTGAAGGTCTTTTGTGATTGCTGGTAATCCGATGATAACCAGACCGTTGATAAGACTGGAGGTGAAGGTGACGCCTGACAACTGAATCGTTATGACTACCTTTTTGAGGCCAGAAACCTCGCTAGCTTTGCCGGTATCGGACTCTAAGCTGTCATCAGAGGTATCCGAAATTGTCGACGGGACGAGTTCTTCTTCTGATGATTCATCGCTGTCATGAGCCACGACTACCTGCGTCTGCGTCGACATGCTGGCCAGGGGGGTTGCACTTGTTTGCTAGAAAAAGGACAGATCAATGGTGGAATGGGCAAGTTTTTCAGTTCTCCAGAGAAAACGTTGAGTGATGGGATCCTATGACACATGAGAATTGCGCCTTGGCCGAGTTCGGGCGAAATATCACCAAGGTTTAGATACAACAAATTTTGGTCTCTAGTTGCAACGGCGAGAAAACTAGAACTAGAACTAACTTACCAGGGTTTAGTACAACGAGATGAGTTGTTGATGTATCGAGATGTTGTTCAGCTATCGGATGTTTGGATCCTAGGTATTACCTTAAAATAACTACTGTCCTATCCAAAAACAGGACAGTCTAGTTCTGCAATTAGTCGAGTTAAGTACTATGAAAAACGATAATTATCCTTGTTTTCAGCATTGTGCCTAGCATCTGAGGTTAAAAAGTGTCTACCAAGCTAGCTAGTCTATATGCGCATCACGATTGACGTAGACTAAAGACATCTTGTGCAACATCGACACGATAATTAACCTTTTTACGATAATTTTTACAAGAAAACACTATCGTTAAATATATCTTACGTAGTAGATATAGACTTGATGGCCTTTGTGAAGGCTGCTTTGTTCGGTATGTGTTGCTCAAGCACTTGTCCCTACCTACCCTATGAAGGAGTGTTGCACTCGACCCTCTTCTTCCATAACTAACCTTAATTTTTGTCCCAGTATTCGAAGTAGCAGTGTTGATCAAACTAGGGGGAATTATCCTTTAACTCGACACTGCGGTTACTAACGGGTATACGTGCTTTCTCATAGTCGCTCAAATTGACTTCCCTATGGTCCCTCAACACAGATAATATGAATGACATCCTAGTGCCCCAACGATCCCTATCATACGCAAGCATTCATCTAGCAATCTTCTACTTTCATATCTCTTCATTATCTATTATTGCCATTGCCCTTCCATCATTAGTCACCATCGCACCCTCTTTCAGATTCAATTAATGCATAAACATGCAGCATCTCTCTTCCTAAGTATAAGACGTCATTGTCATGTTGACTGTCTCACTCCTGTGTTACACGACTAGATGTGCGCGAATTACAAAAGCAGATGCATGCAGTTACCAGAGATACACTATTCACATTCCACCACATCAACCTCGCCGGTTGCGCTCTGCTAAGGGCAGGAAACAAAGCAAGAAATCAAGGAATGAGGCAAGCACATCGCCTTTCACAAGTCCAGACTCTGCGGTCGCCGATGGTGCCAAACCAATAGCGTTAAGCCATTGTCTAAGACACGAACCCCCTCCTCAAATGACAGGGCGTTCCAGCATTCCTTAGACATGTGCCGCACCGTCCCTCATATGAAGGGGCACGGAAATTCCTTCCTCCACTCAGTTTCCGCCCTTATTGCAATAAAGATCTTCACGCGGGAACTGCCCGTCCCGCCCGTCAAGGGAATCCTCCATGAATGGTTGGGTTTCAGGTAGTTGATTGCACGACGAGGACTTCACCTTGTAGGGCCGCGACAACCGATCTTTAGCGAGAAAGAAAACAATCAGGGGCAGTGGAGTCAACAGGGCTAGTATTGACCGAATAGATTTTGTCAATATTCAATGTCTAGTCTCTACCAGAACTTGCCGCGTCTAGACCACTGTCCCCGCTGGAAACCATGGAAGACTCAGGAGTAATTTTTCATAAAACGCGACACAGAAAATTGATTGTAACGGGGCAACAGTGGTGAATGAATTGCCCTAAATGAAGCATAATCAACAGAGTTACCATTATGTCGAATTCATTGATGCCATGGCCCAAGTGCTAGAAGTGTTGGTCGACAGAAATGACACCTTTCCTCAAGGAGATTTCTTCGGTGACAAGCTTTTCTTCGCCTACCCTTGATCCAATGGGGGATTTTTTTGCTAGGAAAAACGTGTATTCGATAAACTCTCGCTTCCAACGGTAAACCGGTAAAAGAAGAACTACTAATATTTTAAAACCGGAACCACTTCAAACCATGCACAGTTGTTCGGTGAGTCACTTCTTCTCATACAGGCGGAAATTGTGTCGACCCATGCATAGCAATAGCTGCCACTATGAAATGCTTAACTAGAGGGAGACTCCACAGTCCAGGGTAAGAGGAGATCATCACTTAATATCGAAGGTATTCGGATCTCGGCCCGCTGCTGGACACATGGGGATGCCATAAATAGTGCATGCGGGTTGTATTCTTTAGCACAAGATGCAAATTTAGTGTGGCTACTTTCATCACTAATCACTGGGTAAACAGAAGTGAAGAGACAGGCAGACATCTGAATGATGATTCCCAATAAGCTCGATAGCATGCGTATAGTCCTGCTTTGACACAATATCTGCCAGTCATCACCGAGCCCCCAGCCCCAGCCTCTGTCCCAGACAGTCACGACCTGCAGATCTCGGGGTGCCCATATCTGCTTGATCTATACCAACGCTTTCGGAAAACAGCTTGCACAACACCAGCACTATGCGTCTAATCCAAAGCTATGCAGCCTGCTGCGAATGGTTGACAGTTCTGAATGCAACGGTGCATAATCGTTCACAGGCTCAAGCTACCCAAGTAAACAGGCTCTGTCACCGAAGACGGAAACCACCACACTAAAGATGAGACAATGCCCCTGAGGCTTACGCGTCAGGACGACTGTATCATCTCAGGACTGGACGGAACCGGTCCATGGGAGACGCCGAGAGCAGAGCCGCTCAGGGGGCAAAAACAACAAGCAAGATAAGCTTCGACTGCATCTTCATGTCTGGAAGCCTCCTCTAGAGAAAGGGTCATGATGCGTGGAATGACATCGACTTCATCTACGAGTGGACAAGAATGTCGCTGGACGGGGCATCTCAACGTCCAAGGGGAAGCGCCCTGTGACTGATAATCGCCGTTTAATCTGCCAAGAATCCAGGCATGCCATGTTTAATCCTGTTGGCCCAGTTCCGAAAAGCCACTCGGATGTCTGCTACATGCCTGGAGGCCAGCCATCCAGAGCCATGGATTCCCTCGTTGGTGGTGGCCTCAGGCTAGACCCGAGATGCCCTGCATCCGAATTCTCGTCTCTCGTTGGTGTCTGGGGCTGTTTCCGAAGAATTCTACAGAGACTATCTGTATCCTGTGCCTGTCAATCTCCCAGCTAGAAGGTGCCACAGGGTATTACCATTCCTATCTAGTCGTTAGCTCAGCCCAGAGACCTCATCCAGGTCCGATATGGCTTGGCCGGTTGAAAACAGGTCAGGGGGCGCGTTAGACATGCGAACTTTAATTTGGTTCAAGAGAGTGGCAGGTCTTGCAGCAGGATTTGATCTCGATGGAATCCGATGGCATTGTTGTAGAGATCGCCTCAAACAGAGACGCAGGGCGACTTAGCAATGTGACTCTCCGCTTGAAGACGCGAACGGACAAGGCTAGAATAGTTAGCCCCTCTAGCAACCAGGTTCCATGTGGTATGAGCAGGGGCTTTGAGAAATGAATATGATGCCTCCTTCAAGTCTAGACTACTTTCGATAGCCTTGGTCACGCCTGTCAGGGTGAGACATTGTCTGTAGTCGCCCACGTTTAGCGAGGAACGGGTAGGCAGGGCAGCCGCCCTTGCATGCTTTCAGTGGTGGGAACACAAGGGAGCGGAATGCAAGAGGCTTTTGGTTCGAAAACGATGAACTTGAGGAGAAAAACAGACAAACAGAAGGGACCAGAATTTTGTATATATATCAGTCCAACTTCTTGTCCAGAAGCTTACCATCTCGTCCTCCATTCTCCATCCATTGAGGAACAGGTCACTCGTTTCAACATCTTTCGTTCCCTTACCACTTTCGCTTAATTGTCTTTTCAAAAGCAACTTCAGCATGCGTTTCTCACTTGCCTTGCTCGGGGCCATCGCCCCGAGTGTCCTCGCCCAGGGGGTCCGCTTCACCAACACCAGCACGCCCGCCGTCACCACCACTGAGGCGACATCATCCAACCCCACCTCGACCGACGCTCCAGTCTCTCAGCCTGTCGACCTCGGCTCTGCTTCCCTCGGCCCCGGCGCCAGCTTTGTCACTGGTCCCAACGGCGGAGTGGCCATGTAAGTTGACGTTGAGTCGATTGGATATCCCACCACTAATCTCGTGCAGTCTACTGATCCCTCCGCCTTTCGGTTTCGCATCATTTGGTGTTTCCGGTGGCCTTCCCTTTGGAATCAACATCGGAGATCTCATCAGGATTCTCTTCGACATTCTCGTCGCACTCCTCGATTCACTCTCCAAGCGTGCTGATGACACTGGCTGCACCCTCGATGTCCGTGTCAATGGCGCTTCCGTTTACAACGAGGCCCTTCTTCTCAACGGCGGCAACTACCAGTCCCTCCAGAGTGGTGACTCCCAGGCCGGCGCTGATGCTCCTGAGCTTGAGTTCATCCAGAGCTGCGGTGCCAACCCTGTTGCCTTGACTGTTGCCAACGTTGCTGTCGGTGCCAACGGTGCTTCCAACACTGGCGGTGGTAACCCCACTGTCGATCCCACTGCGACTGATGACACTCCCACCGGTACTGAGACTGACGGCTCCGAGCCCACTGGCACCGAGACTGATGGCTCTGAACCCACTGGCACCGAGACCGATGGCTCCGAGCCCACTGGTACTGAGACTGATGGTTCTGAGCCTACCGGTACCGAGACTGACGGCTCTGAGCCTACTGGAACTGAGACCGACGGCTCTGGGCCCACCGGTACTGAGACTGACGGTTCTGAACCCACCGGTACTGAGACTGACGGTTCTGAACCCACCGGCACCGAGACCGATGGCTCTGCTACTGGTACTGAGACTGATGGCTCTGAGCCCACTGGCACTGAGACTGATGGCTCTGAGCCCACTGGCACTGAGACTGATGGCTCTGAGCCCACTGGCACTGAGACTGATGGCTCTGAGCCCACTGGCACTGAGACTGACGGTGCTGCCACTGGTACCGAGACCGACGGCTCTGCTACCGGCACTGAGACCGATGGTTCTGGTACTGCCACTGGTACCGAGACCGATGCTACCACCACCGCCAGCTCCGTCCCCGGCTTCCCTCCTACCGTCAACGGCTTCGTCTTCTTCGGTTGCACTGGCTCTTCCGCCGGCTTCCCCACCTTTGTGCTCGGTCTTTCCAGCCCCCAGATGGATATCGACCTCTGCAGCTCTACCTGCCAAGGCAGCAACTACTTTGGTGTTTACGACACGTGAGTTCCTTAACCCCTTACTCTAACAAGCCAGTCTTCTAACATACAACAGTGACTGCTACTGCGGTGAAGAGATTGATGAAGACAACACCGACATCGTTTCCTCTGATCAGTGTGACATTGAGTGCCCTGGCGATGACTCTCAGAACTGCGGTGGTGACGCTCCCGCTACCCGCCGTAGCCGCATCCAGGCCCGCCAGAACGTCCCCAACAGCATCCGCCTGACCGTCTACATCTCTGCTGAGTTCGCCGGCCCCGGTACCAGCATCTTCGTCACCGATGTTATCACCGCCACCGTCACTGACCAGATGACCCTGACCACCACCTTTGTCACCACCCTCACCGGCCCTGCTACCACCCAGACTGCTACCGTCACTGCCATCTACGAGTGCTTCAACGGCCGCTGCTTCCCTCAGGATGGCGGCTTCAACCTGCCCGGAGGCTCTGGTGGCCGCATCGTCTACGTCTTCAAGCCCTACCCCGGTGAGGACTGCGACGGCCAGACTGTCTACATCCCCGAGTCCTGCAACTGCAAGGGTGGCAGCCACTACGTCCCCATCATCTGCACAAGCGACGCCTGCCACGGAAAGACCGTCTACAAGCCCGAGCAGACCAAGCACATTGGCGGCGGCGACATCGTCTTCACTCCCGTTGACTGCCACGTTTGCAAGGATGGCAACGTCATCTACAAGCCCTGGGAGGATGACTACGATATCATTGGTGCCCCTGGCTGCACTGGTTCCAGCTGCCCTCCTACCTGGACCCCTGGTCACGGTTCTTCTGCTCCCGGCGGTGGTTCTTCCGCTCCTGGTGGCGGCTCCAGCTCTCACGGTGGCTCTGACTGTGTTGGTGATCACTGCTATCCTGCCGGCGGCTCTGCTCCTGGTGGTGGTTCTTCTTCCCCTGGCGGCGGCTCGTCTGCTCCCGGTGGCGGCTCGTCTGCTCCCGGTGGCGGTTCTTCTGCCCCTGGCGGTGGATCTTCTGCTCCTGGTGGTGGTTCCTCTGCTCCCGGTGGTGGCTCCTCCGCTCCCGGTGGTGGCTCCTCTGCCCCTGGTGGCGGTTCTTCTGCCCCCGGCTCTGGTGACTCTGCCGCTCCTGGCGGTGGTGACTCTGCTCCCGGCGGTGGTGACTCTGCTGCTCCCGGCGGCGGCTCTGCTGCTCCTGGCGGTGGTGAGGCCACTGGCACCAAGGGCTCCGGCAGTGACTCTACCGGTGGTGAGACCAGCGGCGAGGCCGACGGCACCAAGCCTGTCACCGTGTCCGGTGCCGGCAAGCAGGCTGTCAGCATCATTGCCGTCCTCGCCAGCATCTTCGCTGCTGCCCTTTAAAAAAGCTGCTTGCACTTTTAGAATTCGTTTCAGGATCTGATGTCATGTCTTTCTTCTTATTTTTGTGTGCGCCCTCTTTTTTCAATGCTCGGAGCCTGGGAGGGATAATACTTGATGGTGGATCTGTTTCTTGGCCACCTGTTTGTACTTAGACCTGCGCGAACTTCAATTCCACCGAGATCATTGTTTAATAATGATTTAATTCAATCTGTATCTATTACTCGCTCTTCTCGTGCTCATCTGTGACTATTTCTCCTGGCATTAACTGTTCTGCAGTGGCCTTGACTCGATTAAGGGGCCTCCATGATAAGCAATGCACCTGGCTTGAGAGCCTCTTGTGTATTCTGTAACTCCCTTCCCTCACTTACCATACTGACTTTACTATATGGACGTTCTGAAGGTAAGCTAGATAAAAGATTATTACACAATGAAGTTAACGATGGCATTCAGAGTTCAGGGGGCCAGCTCATTCAAGTTTATTATTGTTATTCTAGACTTTTCTCATTTCTTTATTGACCTCAAGCTTATAACACTCTATATATCATTGTTATGAGTCCTTCATCACACTAGCTGACCTCTCCATCTCTAGTGGTTTTGCCTCATCGATACTCTCATTCATCAAGCATCTCCTTCTCACTGCCCAGGCACTCGTTACATGCCCTACCACCCACCACGTGAAAAGCACAGGTAATGCAACTTCATTCTGTGCCCTGCATCCACCTGACCATATCGTCATGAGAAGAGTCCAAGTGTTATGCGCAGGCAACGCATACGACCAACGATAGAAGCCTGCCGAGAGCTCAAACGGCCAAATCGTGCTGGCGACATTGAGGATGATCCAGGTGAGGAAAAAGAAGGCGAAGAACTTGATTGGAACAACCACATCAAGTACTGAATCCACGATGAGGTAGTTAACTTCCATGTAAAGCCAGAGGCACATCCAGGTCTCAAAGAACTGGCCTCTAGAGGCTCCCCAGTCTTCGCGGAATGCCCAGATATAACCAGACATGCAAATTCCGCACATCAAGGTGTATACCTTGCTGATTATCAACCGTACAGCGTATATATCGCGCTTCGAAAGCTTGGCAAATACGCCAGTCTCAGTAAAAATGCCGTTCATAGCCATGGAAAAGAAGAATTGCATCAAGATCGGCATAACCATCGAGACAGTGTTAAACAGAACACGCGATCCTTGGCTCGTAGGCATGAGGTCGATGGAAGAAGCCTCAATTGGATTGAGAAAAACATTAGAAGAAATGGGGTCGCTGAGATTAACCGCTAAGCGTGCCTCGTTGGCAACACGACAGTAGATCCGAGAGGCTGCGCTGACAAGGGCCCTCATGCCTGGGTCGATAATGGAAGAAGTGATGACCGGATAGTAGACTCCGTTGAATATGTAAGAAACTGTTTTTCTCGGGTCATAATAAGTTGTATTTTTCCCCTGAATAGCGTCCATGAGACGAGTCGACGCGTCGGCGTGGGTGTAGATAGCTCCCCAATAGCCACCCTTGCAAACAGCTTCCTGCAGTAAGTCTGGATTGGGATACTCAGATATCGACCGGTACTCAAGAGTCGGAAACGTTTTTGCTTCAAGCGCTTGATATGCGAGGGACAATGATTTTCCAATTTCAACACCATCATAGTCAACCGCCAGCACTTTCAAAGCCTGAGCTCGGGAGCCTGATTTAAAGAGGACGCCGTAGAGGTAGGACATGTTTGCCAGGAAGAGAAGCTGCAGAATTATTCCCACAATGGTGACTGGTATTATGAACTGGGGCCATCTTTGGGTCCAATAAGGAGAGCGAAACGGTTTTCGGGAGGAGGACCGTGGCGGGAATAGGGACATGGTAGATCGGAGGTAGCCCAACCTATGAGAGACCAGCAATCAGGCGGAGGTATAGATCTTATATGAAATGAGAGTAAACAGTAGGTGATTCGAAATACGAAAAGGAGCCCAAGGCATTTTAAACAAATATCATTCCTCATCATGGGCTGGCAAAATCAGGTGGTGTTACCAAGCCAGGGGAGGGGGCCTAGCTCGAGATCGCGAACCGGATCAAGTTGATCCAAATCTTTACGAGCTTCCAAGATGTCTTCCAGCAACATCAGTGCGTCTATAAGCGAAAATCAGGGCTTGATGCTTTGACATCTTTCGACTTGGAGTCAAGGTTCATCGTGCCCAGCCAACAACAGAGTCCGCCCCTTCCAATGTCTCCGCTAACATGCCCCAAGCGTCGTCATGAGCCCTGATGGAGACTTCCAAATTGCCGATGAGTAAGCGGCAGATGTTGAAGAACCGCCAAACGCCGAGTACCGAGTGGCCTGACAGGGCATGGTCCACTTGTCACCACTCTTGAGTTGATTCAGGACCTAGTTAAGATTTCATCCCTCGGTATTGACCTTGGGTTTGCCAAAGATGTTCTTCTCGAATCACTGACTAATGTTCCGGGACAGAGAGTGTGCTCCCAGTAACTCCTTTCACCTATCAGCTTTTGGAGCTCAGTCTTTCGATGTTCCAGAGTTGAATCTGGGCAGTGAGTCGGTACGCAGTAACGTCAATAAGGGTATTCACATACAAGCAGGACGACGAATGTAGAAACGTGCAAAGTTAGGAAAGCTATCAAATCGAACGAAGCCCACAGTCCTCTGACATCCAGCCTCCGTCTCCCCCATCTCTTTACCTACCATCTTACGACTCGGGCGTCGGCTTTGGCGTCGGCTCCAAGTCATCATTCTGGATGGAATTATACTTGCCAGGAAGTATTTGGCTAACCACATCTCAGCTAGCATCCCTTTGGTGATGTCCTTTAGATAGCAGTTGAGCGGGACTCCAGAGGTAGCATCAGGAACCTTGGTCACGTAGTCCTCCAGCGCTGTCATGAGCGAATTGATATCCAACACCTTGTTCTGCCCGTCATCAATATCTCCCAGTGCTGAAAGAGCGGACTTGATCTCACTGCCCTTTAGGGACATCATCTTGGCCCCTGTCCGTGCAGCATCCGCTGCCTCTCCAACCGACGACTGTTCGGCAGCTGTCGCGTTCTGGACACTGGCAATAGCGTCCATGCTCGACTTGGGATCAAACTCGGCAAACTCTTTGACACCCATGGCTACGTTGTTGGCCACGATAGACGGTATGACACCCATCGAGATCAAGGTTACGTGCGACCAAATCAGGCCATTGAGCGCTTAACAATCACCAGCTGAAGAGGGCGCAATCAGCATCACATCTTCATGATTTGTCTATTGACTACTGGGGAATTTTAGCAAACAATCATCCATCTTAGTTTCCGTACGTCCGGCTTGACCTCGTCATCAACATCCATCCAAGAACCGTAAAGCACAAAGCATTGAATCTTAGTTTGTTCCGGCTTGCACTACTGCCTCTAAAGTCTACTTAAAGTATCGACTCCGCACTCAGCTGGCTCACGCCAAATTTCATGATAGACGCATTCAAACTGCACCTACAGTGGCATTCTTTTCTCACCCAGGACAACAACAACAACAACAGCCCAGCCTCATCCTCAAAATGCGCCACTTCCTTTGCTTTTCGCTGGCTACACTTCTGCTTCAGTAAGCCAACATCATCTGTCCGGCAATGACTTTGATCCAGCCTACTAACACCTCCAGTCCTACACATGGTCAGATCAATAACCAACATCTATTAACTGATGACGTTAGGATCCAGGAGGACACCAAGTCCCTACCATTCGCCATCTCTAAGCCTTTTTGCGTACATGATAAGGCAAGGCTCACTCGCGGGTTTGAAGCCGCCACGTTGATGGCTCGTTTTGCACTTGACTGGATAGACACGAAGCCCACTAAGGTATTCGAAAAGTACTTCGAACTCGGTGACAAAGCAAAGGTCAAGGCTGTCTTTGAATCCATCATTGGGGATCGAAACACCTATCTCTCAGGCAATGGCAGGCTTAAAAATGTCCATTTCACATATTTGGATATTTACGGCGACTGCGACTCTAAAACCAACCCTCAGCCTGGGTCCATACTCATGTACACTTCCAGGTGGGACACCGAGGTAGAGAAACCGAGCTTCATTGTTGTGTGCCCCCAGCTGTGGGCAATCCCTTTTCCCGACATGAATGACATCAAGTGTGAGCAAGTTTGCACCGCTCAGTCGTGCACTTTGTCATATCGGATGAGGAGTATAGGCGAGTTCGTTCTTCATGAACTCATGTAAGTTTCCCATCTCCTTGGTGAAAGAATATCAAGAAGCTATACATCGGTAGTTTGCTTACATCCTTCAACAGCCACCTAACGTCTATGATCGATCCCATGTGAGTCTTTTCTAGATTGCAGAGTCCCAACAATGACTAACAGGCTGTGTAGACCAAGCGGATGGCCCAAAGACGAATGGATTCTCGACCAGAAAATGAAGAACCCAGACGGCCACGACCCTGCCGAAGTTTACATCTATGGCACTTATCACGCCCAGAAGGCCGTCAAGAGTAAGGACAAGAAGGAAGTGAAAAGGGCGTTCTATAACGCAGATAATTATGCCATGTTTGCAAGGGTAAGCGCTCATTTCACTTTCTTCTTCAGCTGCTTCAAGAGATCTAACAGTGACTATAGGAAGCGTACTTCAGGGGGCGTTGCTCCAAACAGGACTTTAAGGATCCTACCGCCTTTGAGCCAGACCCTCGTGTATCGAAACCGAAGAAGATTGGCGCACTGTCGGTCGAGTGGCTTTGAGATGAGAAGTCGAGACGAGAACAAGGACAGCGACGCGAATTGGGTGCTTGCTTAGGGAGCGGTGGGAAACGGCCAAGGTATGCGAGAGTAGCTCAACATGGTTGATGCGATTGCCTCCCGTGTCTACTCAATTGTCTTGTGCTGCGAGGTTTCCATATTCAGTACAATACAAAGCTTTCAATGCCGATTAAATTAATGCAAGGTCGAGTGCAGAAACCAGCGGGAGTCAGCAGTGCTAGAATCCAGCATCAAATATCAGATGTAGACACCATAGGGAAGGTTCAGCTTGCGTCCCAACTGGAACTAAATGCATTTCTATCCAACGCCTTACCATGTCAAAGCCTTCTCCTCACTCCAATGACATGAACCTTGCTTCAGAGTCTTCATCCAGATTCTCCGATGTTCTACATCAGTGACAATATCCATGTTGCACACCCGAGACGAACTTGGAATGTCAAACTGAGTATAAACTTGCCCCAGCCCCTCCTCCTCCACACGAATCACCTCCTCAACCACAAGAGCAGCACCTATACTATCCCAAACAGCCTCTCGTCTTGGAGCCGCTGTCAATATCGAGACTGCGCGGCGACGGACGAGTGGATGTCGACATTTGAGTGCCACGTAGTACAAGAGCGGAACAGTTCCAATATCGACAGAGAACTGCGTTGTTGCCGTTGACGATAGAAGTTCCCCCGCCTTGTTCACGATGTTTGTAAAGTCCTCCACAAACGAGTCAAAGTAAATCTCGTCATCAGAGAAGCTGGCAATAAATATCATGTGCGCAGTGTGATGCCAGAGCTTCATGATCGTGACCCTTGGACTCTCTTGCTCCTCCACATCTTGAGTCAAGAGAAAAGCATCAAAGTTTTGCAACCACTCTGCCAGACGACGCTCGAGATTCAAGGACTTAGAGTAGCGTAGTGAACGTTCCAGCTTGCGGGACACTGAATCCGGAACGACGTATGCCAGGAGAATATCAAGAGCCTTTCTGGCTTGTTGGAGACTTGTAAAGGGCTCTGAGGTTTCCTCTTCTGGTAACGGCATGTGACACGGCAAATCTTGTATCATGGTCCGGGCCTGAAGAACCAAGCTTGTCCACAGTGGTCCGAGTTGGGTTCGAATCATGTATCCGCCTGGAGATGATACCGATGTCCCATTAACGAGAGGTCGTTTGCCTTCTGCCCATTGTGACATGACGAGCAAGCTGCTTCTCAAATGCGTTTGAGCAGCAGAATAGTCACCTCTCAACCACTCAAACGTGACACAAAGGATAGAACAGAGCAAGGTGATTTCCAGGTTAGCCCAGCCCTGAGTTGTTATATGTTTGTTGAGAAGACCGATGCCGGTACCATATTCGCCGATTGCCCTTTGCCTTAGCGTCAACGTAGATGAAGGATAACTTGACTCGGTGTGAGCAGTGTGAAAGCTTTCGTGGAGAGAACTGAGAGCGACGACCATTTGCCGGACGCACGGCTCACGGCGGCTGATTTGGAGAATCAAGGTACTCCATAGATCGCTCTCAAAGAATCCACAAAGTTCCGGGGCGGTCTTATTCCGAAAGTAGTCCAGGGCTCGACACCCCTGCTCCGATAGAAGGGGGCCTGCAGATAGAACAAGGGAGCCAGTTGATGCAGACAGTGGCGGCGACGTTGATGCCTCTCTCAGAGCCAGAGGTGCTTCGTTTGTCGATTCCTTAACGGTGTATCCGTCGCACTTCCGACCAGTCTTCGTACAGCGCTCACAAGCCGGCCTAGTACGATCACACCTAACGCGACGGATACTGAAAGCAACATTAGTAGCTGCATGAGCATAAGGCTGAGCAAGGGATAGTTAAGCATACCGGCAAACTCCACATCCCAATTTAGAACGCGTATGCTTGGCCCTCTTTCGCGGAGGGCGGGCGTTAGCAGCGTCTGTCGACATGGTCTTAAACGCGCGGTACCAAAACGTCCAAATACCACGGAAGATAAAGGAGAGATTCGAGTGGCTCGATCAGACCAAAACATGAAAAGATGTGAGTCTTCGGCCTCGGACATGATCATCTCTCCTTTGTGTCCGCGAATGCATGTTCCGCAGTGGAGATAATCTCACCAGTTACACAATCTGATTGGTCTGTTCGTCTAAAAGCCAATCGCTTCTTGAAAGGCCATCCCTGTCTGGGAATAGTGTGGGTTTTGAGCTTACACACAGAGAGCGCGGTGACGGCATGTTATAACGAGCCGCGTGGCTCATGGGAAAGCATTCTGCGTGCTAGAATCAAGTGCATAGCCATTCTGATGTACAGGCAAATAAGCTCTGATTGGTCAGTTCGTTTAATGATAGACCTCATGTTTTCATGTTGGAATATTTAAGAATGGAGAGCCTGCAGATGAGAGCACCACTTGTCAAGCTCAACCACGCCTCGAAACAGCACAGAATAGGATTAACAACATCTTTTCAATTAGTTTCAAGTTTGTTACACGTTTTAAAAGGCAGTATACTCTACGCACGCTCATCATGACTATGGACATTCCCAACCTAGGCGGCAACGCCTTCTTCCTCGCTTGCCACGCCCTCCTCATACTCCCCCAAATCTACTACGGCATCCGTCACAAAACATGGGGTTTCCTCTTCGGAATGTTCTGCGGTCATGTACTCGAGATAATTGGTTATGTTGCTCGGGTACGGATGCATTATCTACATGACGAATTCTTAATGTGAGTCTCGACCTTCTCTGAGATTGGCCTCCCCTCTAATGCAATATAGGTACATCGTCACCTTGACTATTGGCCCTGCATTCTTCAGCGCAGCCATCTATCTCTGCCTAGCTCGAATCATCACTGTCTACGGCGAAGGCTTCTCCCGCTTTAGCCCCCGTACATACACCATCACGTTTATGATTGCCGACTTTGTCGCTCTCATCTTCCAAGCTGCTGGAGGAGCAATTCTCGGAGGCGAAGACCGGACCAAGACTGATGCAGGCCTTGCCATCATCAAGACTGGACTTGCGGCTCACTTGGCTGCCATCTCCATCTTTGTCATCCTGGCGAGTGAGCTTGGGTTCCGGATTCATCGTAACCGAGACGCCTGGAACCCCAACTTTAGGGAGTTGCAGCGATCCTGGCGATTCAAGATGTTTCTCATCTGTAAGTCGCAGTCAAATACATGAGTCATAGCACCCTTCTAACAATGCATAGGCCTTGCGGCTGCTACCCTTTGCATCCTGATCAGAACCTCGTACCGAGTTGCAGAGCTCAGTGGTGGCTACGACAGCAAGTTGGCCAACGACGAAACAGCATTCATGATCCTCGAGGGCGCCATGATTATCGTCGCCACGGCATGTCTACTTGCCGGACATCCCGGTGTCTGCTTCGAGGGTCGCTGGGAAGAAGCCGATTTCCAGCTGAGAAAGACCGATGAGTCTGGCCAGTTTGAAAAGACAGAGTCCGACCCAGTCCCCCTGTCACATGTCTGATCACTACGATTAAACCTGGATTCGGGAAGATAGAAAGGCCGTGGTGAATTATTGGGATTTGGGATAGTATAGACTGGGTTTTCCTTTGTTAGTGGGAGGGACTAAGGATAGACAGCCTAGCCACCAAAGGGCGGCTGGGAGGCGACTGGGACACTGAATTATTTTGATACACAGTAATAGACATTCACATTGAAATTCGCATCTACGCACATTGCTATGAGTTTGATACATGGGAAGGTAATCTAGACCATGATGAATTTCGCGATAATATGTGCTTCGCCTGCTATTAACAATCTAGATGGGCACGTGAAAGCAAGAGAATGACAGCTCCTACCCGTCAATCTTGGTGACAGCCTGATTTGCAATCTTTCCATCACCGCCAGCTCTATCAATACTAGCACCGTCCCCCTCGATCTTATCGTTGTTCTCCTCATCCTCCACCCTCGAGACATTGCTAGGAGCATCATAACCATACTTGACAAGCTGGGGATTTCGGCTTCCCCACCACAACAGACCGAGCTGCACAAGAATCGTGCCGAATGTAAAGGCTGTGGAAAGAGGGAATCCGATTGGATACTTCGGGGCATCAGAAACCCTAAAGGCACGGAGAGGAATGGTAGCGTGACCAATGTAGACAATCATGACAGTAAGAGCCACGATGATAGCTCTAGCCTCAGGCTCCTTTCGAAGCAGTTCCGCAAACCATGCCATAAACGACGGACTTCCAGCGTTGGTTGCATATGTCATGAAGTAGAAACCCATGACGACTTTGTGGTCTGAAGGCCAAGCGCAAAGAACACTGAGCATGATGCCATGGAAAAAAGCAGAACCCACACTGATCTGCCATCGCCAGTGCTTCCAGTCAGAAAGACCGTTCAGAACCAGATTGGTAAAAATCTGGAGAGCGTAACCGCCGAGTGGGAGAATGTTGACCTGATAGGTGCTATACATGCGATTTCCAGCACTGTCGACCAGACTCTCGAGGTAGAGCACAAAGTACGAGTTAGCACGATGCGCCCAGGCGCTCATAGCAAAGGCGAGCAGGTAAAAGTATGTGACGGGGTGAACGATGAGCTTCCGAAGCTTCTGCTTCAAGACGGAAGCGGGTATGAGCTTGGAAGTGTTCGCGCCGAATTCACCCATTCGCTGACGCGAAAGAGCCTTTTCCTCCTGCGTCAACCACTTGGCGCGAGTGTAAGCCGGAGTATCAGGGATTATGAAGAATCCAATGATTCCCTGGCCGATGGTGATGGCACCGGAGATGATAAAGAGCCACTGCCATCCAGCGATGCCGTGGACGCCGTTCATGTTGCGGTAGAGGGCAGCCTGCAGAGCTCCGAGGAACATGGCACCAGCCACATCAGAGACGTTGAAGAAAGCGATGCGGAGGGCGAGTTCGGTTGGTGTGTACCAGTTGAAGATGAGAGAGACGACACTGGGCCAAAACACGGCAGAGAAGAGGCCAAGGAAGAAACGCAGGGCGTAGATGGTATGGGCGTTGGTGGCTTTGCAGGTGCTGCATTCTAGTTAGTCGAATATCCTCGTCAGTTCGGGTATAACTTACAATGTGACAAAGAGTCCCCAGATAATTTCGCAGCAAGGAAGAAACAGCGAAGGTCGAACCTATATATGTTAGTCGTTGCATCGCTAAAAGTACTGCTTCAAAACTCACCTTGGTCTGAGCAAGCTGGCCAGGAACAAGCCCAATAGCATAACCAATAGAGAAAAAAGTATTAAACTCGACCAGCTCATTTCCATACAAGCTCAAAGCCTCTCTCATTCCCGAGACATAGGCCTGCGTAGTTGCTGACTGGTCCATCTCCTTCATGATGCCTGCCAGGAACGCCCAGGTGAGGAGGAGGCAATCAAGCTTGAAGAGCAGGACATGTTTGGGATCGCGGAAATACGGTATCTTCTTTGCAATGTGCTTGAAGATGCCGGATTGAACAGGCTGAGAGGTTTCTGTGGTGGCATCAGGAGATGCTGGTACTGAAGCGTTGGCCATGTTGCACGGCTATCTCTCGCTTGTGCCGATGATCTCAAAGAGAAGCTCTCACATCCGATTTACAAAAACCTCCAACCAAAGAAGGAACCAACATTTTATATAAAAACATATTGTCGTAAGTCACATCGCTCACCTGAGGTTCGCAGGGGATCCGCGGCCTCGTTTTTTCCCTTTCCAAGTCGTCGTGCATCTCAAGATGGTCAATTAGCGGAGATTCGGCCCACGAGCGACATGTTGCGTCCTTTGAGCGGCAAATGACGACATTGGCAGATTCCCCAAAGGGGGAATTGTAATCGGGGGCAGCCGATGCGACACGACAGTTGCAGCGCTTACCCTTAAGCTTATTACCTTAATCGCGATGGGTGTGGACGATTGTATCGAGCTGTGCCGCAATGATCAACGGGGAGGATATGGACATGGCGTGGCTGCGTGGCTTGCTTTGAGAGGCGAACAGCTGGGGCCAGACGCGGGTGATCGCTACGGGCGCGATCCGGTATGGCTTGGATAGGGAACTCTTTCGTACATAAAAGAGCGGGCTTGCCTCCGACATTGATTGAGAATCCCTACCTTGCCTTGACGTGAGTTGAACTCTGCTGTTTGACGCTGTTACTCGTGCTGCAAGTTCTCTGCGGGCTTCCCCCGGTCCCCTGTGCAAGATGGGCACGCGATCAGGATAGACAACGCGAGTTTTTGATGTCGCAAGAGATGCTACGATTTATATGAGACGACTTTTTTTCTCCAAGCCTAGCATTTGAGTAGAAATATTGGCACACGCTGTGGTTGCAATGAAGAATTTCGCCTCTAGCGACAAAGGATTAAGCTCGCGAGACCGGGCTCAACGCGACACGGTGATCGCATTAGAGAAGACCGATGGAACCACTCTAGAACAAAGATTAAAGTGACAGGTTTGACAGGTATTCTAGTCTATTTGATCAACCAACAGTGGCTTATTTTAGAGCCCAAATGTCAGCGCGATCCATGGTTCACGGGCGCAACGTCAAGATTTAGCTTGTCTGACCTCGTCTGCCTACCCTAGAGCATCGGACCGAGCCGCTTTTTCCCCATGTCAATCGAGATATCAAGACCGATAGAGGAAATGATATCTCAGAAATTCGGTTAAATGATTTGTAGCATTTTATACTGATGCCTTACTACTACGTTGACGGCATTATCACATATAAGCGAGATTTCTGCTGATTTTTAACACTTGTCGTGACAACGGTACGCCCAACCACGAAAGTCAAGCTAACGTCGCAGCAACACCAAAATGAGCGCCTCGGCATTGGACCTTCTCGAAGCCGTAAGCGCCCCTCACATTATCCCCATGGAAGATTCGAAAAAGAAATGAAACAAAAAGCAAAAAGCCTCAGACTCCATCTCGAGGCAGTGACGTCACAAGTTGGAGACAGCAGCCCTCAATCTCACACGCTAACCACACGATGCATATAAAAACGCACTCCACCAAATGGTCAAAAACTTGGTCCTACCCTCACTCCACGAGCCTTGGTCACGATGGGAGCATGAATATGTCATTGTGGAACATCAACTCCAATTCTGGCCTCAACAGCATCCTCCTCACAGACGATATCCCCCCTTCCAAAATTGATCCATCGTGCAATGTTGGCCCATTTGCATGACAAAAGACAAAACACAATACGTACTCCATCGCCAAGCATCGCATCGCAGAGGCGCAGCTGCATTACCCACCATCCTGAGTCCCGGACACTCCGTTGTGAAACGTAAGGGCGACAGACGGTGGGTTGCCATACCGTAAAAATCTCCACAGGCATAAAAAAGCCTCGACCAGAATCAGAATCAGAATCAGGTGTGGGCTGAGCAGAGCCTCTCTTGGCTCATGTGCATGCACTCGGGAATCTATTTATGTATCCCGTCGAGATCCTGGAGGTATCACAATGCACCACTCTTACCGCATGGAATTGCAAGCGCGTGGTCAATGTCAGAGAGTGGAAAGACGGGGTGGAAACGGAGGATGGGGAATGGAGTGGCGCATGATAACAGTCTCCATCATATAATGGAGGAGTTGGGCATTGAAGCTCCATAAGTAGGGCAAAATGGAGGCGAGTGGGATGATGGTACGGGGTCGGAGATGGGGTAGACCAACTCACTCCACCAGTCCGTAACATATCGAACGAAACCCATGGCGAGTTCACGATACGATACTCCGTACTCCGGCCGGAGATTCGTGGCGTTGTTGTTGAAGAGGCAGCCAGGGCAAGGAGCCCGGATACGGCCACCGAACACACAGCAACCAACAGATTTCTTGGCTATTAGCAAGGGCTGGGATTAACTGAACCGGTGGGGAATCTTCTTTTCTTCTGCGGCAAGAAAGGCAAGCAAGCCATCGATACGACCGCCGGCAGCAGGCAGGGCTTCTGTACATGAACCGAACGGTTCCATTCCCCATTCGCTTCGGCCAGAACGGTCTGGTCTCGGTCAAGGGACCCATGGGGGACTGACGATTCATTACTCGCGCGGCCGCCCGCGTTGCGTTGCGTTGCCTTGTCACCCAACGGAACACGTCCGTTTTCTCTAGCGCGGCTACTACAAGTAATTAATTATGGATACAATGAAAAACTTCTAGAGCGCGTTCCGTCCGTAACCGAGCTTTTCCCAGATCAGACAAGGGGAGAGGAGGGGACTGAGGGACCCCCCCTGGAAAGCGGGATTTCTCTTCAGCTGTGTCTCGTCTTTCCTTGGTCCCCCCCTGAGTGTGAAGAGAGAGAGAGGGAAAGCCTTGACCAAGACCTTTTCTTCACTTCTTCTTTGTTTGGTTCAAGGCCCGTGATTATCTTGTCTGCATCGGCTTCTGATTCGGTACCTGCGAGTACACACACACAACAAGACACATCCCACCACCCACCGACCTTACCAAACCGACCGACCGGATCGATCGATCACCACCACCCCTTACAATCTGTCCTGTCTGCGGCAGAGCACAAAAAATGTCTGGCCTCGACGCTCCTGAAGTTGCCGCCGCCTACGATGCCGTGCGATCGGACAAGGATGAGACCAACTGGCTCCTCATCTCGTACGCATCAGCCGTCGGCAACAAGCTGAGCCTCACAAAGACGGGCACAGGCGGTCTGTCGGAGCTGGTGAAGGAGCTGGACGACGGTCAAGTCCAGTACGGCTACGTGCGCGTCGAGTACGCCAACGACAAGGAGAGCACGCGCGTCAAGTTCGTGCTCGTGGTCTGGATTGGCGAGAGCACAAAGGTGATGCGCAAGGCTAGGGTCAGCATCGAGAGCGGCGACGTCAAGCGCCAGCTCGCTCACCACAGCATCGCCGTCACCACGGGGGACCGAGGAGAGCTGGACGAGAGGGACATTGTGACGCGGCTGAGGAAGGCTGGCGGTGCTGATTACAACGGAGGACGGGGCTGATACCGACGGTGAACGGGCAACGGCTAGTATCAGCCTCCCGGGGGAGAGTTAGAAACAGGCATCGGATCACACTACCGATCACGTGCCGGTAATTGTCTGCTGGAATACCGGTTCAGGCTCAAGAGCACGCGACTATAGGAAGGGGGGGATGATGGTGTTTAGATAAGGAGAAGAGCAAAGCCAGAGAGAGGCCCCCGTCATGTCTGGGAACTGTTCCAGGACGTACACACACACACACACACACACACACACAACAGCAATCATCGACTATCACGAACGCAGCCACACGGAGTTCCAGCCGGCAGTCCCAGACTTGATCCATTCGAGCGCTAACCCAGATACTGGTAATTCCCATCAAGACATACAGGAAGAGCACGGTTCCCCATGGTCTGACGATTTGATATGATGGGGTCATCAAACCATCAAACAGGATCAAGGGTTGTTTTGAAAGCACCAGTCCCTCTGAGCCCTTTGCCCCCGTCCTTGACTGCCGTCATCTGTGTTTCCATAATCATGTCGATAATTGCGTTCCACTGTTTCTTATCCCACAATCGCATTATCCCACAGATACACACTCACACTCACACACTCGCACACCCTTCCAGAAAGCCAATTCTCAGCTCTAATGTTGTGCTACCCAACTTGCAATAAACAACCTCTACGCCGATTCGTCCATCTTGTAGCCATTACATGTGATTGATTGGAAGCCTCGTATTACCACCGAAAAGACCTGCTTGACACAAAGTCCAATTGGATAGATCCTCACCCTTGGCTGAAAGCTTGGCCCAGAACCACCTGGACCCCAAGCAAAACCCTGGCCACCCCATCAGTAACCTCCTTCCGGTTTGGGCCATCAACCCCGAACGCTCGTTCGGCCAGGCCGCCCGGTGCGCCCACTATCCCCCATGTAGCTGACCCAGGGTTATGACGTCTGGGGCTCCCACTCGCCGTGCTTCCCCGTCAGGGTCTCGCCGAGAGCGTTACGTTTTCGGGCATCGTGGAAAACGCCTCAGAAGGAAAATCCCCCCTCCACAGATTTGGAGAGTCCAGCACTCCAGCAGGGTGCCCCACGCTGGGTAAGCACTGCCAAGGATCATGATCGAATAGGCTTTCGAGCCGTGCCACACCTCGGCCTGCGGCGTTGGGTTGAGGCACAAGTCAAAACGACGCCTGTCCGCGGGCTTTATTTTCTGTACTAGACTTCTCTCGAACCGTTCCTTGTCTACAATCCCTTCCCTTTCTTTCTCCGACGTCCCGAGAGAAACAATCTCGGTCAACAATACCGTCAACACCGTCCCTTACCGTGTTATCCTATCCTACCCTTGGCGGTGCCACGTGTGGAATCACTCCCCTTGCCTCCGCACCCGCATTATCATTCCTTTTTCCTGACCCCGAACATCCTCCCCCCCTGTCACACACCTTATCTTCTCGGTCTTGTCTTTTCCGTCCCTTGTCTAGTGTGCCCTCTCGCGACTCGTCGCATTGCCACTACCTGAACCTACTAATTCACCTGCATCCCCTCCCCCATCCCATCGGATCCTCCTCTTGGCTTTCCTCTTTCGCAACAACCATTCCTTTTTCTTTTTCTTCCTCTTTATCCTCCTCTCCCTCTCAATCCCTCGACGGGAAGACCTCAATCCGATCCCTCGACTCGTCTCTCAAACTCTGGAGCGATCCTAATACCAACTCCACGGCTGGTCTCGACAATCTCTCCCACCTCGCCATACCCCCCCGTCATGTCGTCGCCCATCGACAAGCGCGACTCGGCTAGCAGCAGCAACGGAGCCATGGATCCCAAATCTGAGCAGGTGCGCCGAGGCTCCAAGGCCTCGGTCGGCAACACTGCTGGCGCCGACCAGCTTCTTGAGAACCTTGGTTACAAGCCTGAGTTGTCGCGCAACCGCTCGACTCTCCAGGTCGCCTTCATGTCCTTCGTCCTGGCCTCGATCCCCTACGGTCTTGCGACTACCCTGGTGTACCCCCTCATCGGCGGCGGTCCCGTCAACATCATCTGGGGTTGGGTTGCCGTGTCTCTCATCATCGTCTGTGTTGCCGCTTCTCTGGGTGAAATCACCAGCGTCTATCCTACTGCCGGAGGTACTTACCGTGTTCCGTCCCCTCAACTTTTACCGTGTTGCTCTATATCCCTTCCGGCTCGCGACCCTTTCTTATTTTTCCCTTGCTATTCTTAATGTGACCATGTGATTGATCGCGTATTAGGTGTCTACTACCAGGCCTTCATGCTTGCTCCCGCCCGCTGGCGGCGAATTGCAAGCTGGATCTGCGGCTGGCTGTACGTTGTGGGAAACATCACCATCACTCTTGCTGTGAACTTTGGTACCGCCCTGTTCTTTGTCGGCTGCATCAACGTCTTTGAAAAGTCGGACGGCTCTGGTGTCTTGTCGGGCGAGGCCTACCAGGTCTTCCTGATCTTCCTCGCCCTCACCCTGCTGTGCAATGCCGTCTCTTCTCTGGGTAACCGCTGGCTTCCCTGGATCGACGTGAGATCCTTCTTGTGCTCTCCTTCCTGTGAACCTTGCTAACTCGCAATGCGTAAAGACTGCTGCCATATTCTGGACCTTTGCTGGTGTTATTGCCATCGTTGTCTGCGTCCTCGCCATCGCCAAGAACGGTCGCCACGATGCCAAGTATGTCTTCACTCACTTCGAGGTTAACTCTGGCTGGCCTGATGGCTGGTCCTTCTGCGTTGGTCTTCTCCACGCCGCCTACGCTACCTCTTCCACTGGCATGATCATCTCGTGAGTCTCCCGGCAGTCAATTTGCTATGATACGCCAACCCAGGTGTACTAACATGGTCCTAGCATGTGCGAGGAGGTCCAGCAGCCTTCCACCCAGGTGCCTAAGGCCATGGTCGCCACCATCTTCATCAACACCTTTGCCGGTCTCCTCTTCCTCATCCCTCTGGTCTTCGTCCTCCCCGAAATCACCGACCTCATCGCCAGCGCGCAGCCCGTGCCCGTCATCATCAAGAGCGCCGTTGGCTCTTCCGGCGGTGCCTTTGGTCTCGTCTTCCCCCTCATGGTCCTCGCCATCATCTGCGGTATCGGCTGCACCACCGCTACCTCGCGATGCATCTGGGCCTTTGCCCGTGACGGTGCCATTCCCGGTGCTCGGTTGTGGTCCAAGGTTAACCACCAGCTCGACGTTCCCCTCAACGCCATGATGCTCAGCATGGTTGTCCAGATCATCCTGGGTGTCATCTACTTTGGTTCTTCGGCTGCCTTCAACGCCTTCTCAGGTGTCGGTGTCATCTGCCTGACTGCCTCTTACGCCACCCCCATTGCCATCTCTCTGGCCACTGGCCGCAAGCAGGTCAAGACTGGATCCTTCTACCTCGGCACTTTTGGTACCGTCGCCAACGTCATTGCCATTGGTATGTGTTCATCTCCTGAAACTTGGTGACAACCACTAACTTACTCTTTAGCCTGGTCCCTTCTGGCCCTGCCTCTGTTCTGCATGCCCTCCGCCATCCCCGTCACCGCCGAGACTGTCAACTACGCCCCCGTGGTGTTTGTGTTTGCCTGCCTCGTCTCCGGAATCTGGTACTGGGTCTGGGGCCACAAGAACTACGCTGGTCCCCCTACCCACGAGGAGTAAATCCACCAACCTGGTAGGATCTAGCTGCCTTGCAATCTGCTTCAGCCCTTTCCGCCTCACCTTTTTGAGGAGTACATTATAGTGTTTGGAGAACGCCGGCGCGACATGTTTGATACCCCCTCATCTGCTCGACATCAAGGGCTGTGGACGCTCTCTAAGCAAGAAAGAAGATATGTTGAATAATATGAGATCCGTTCGAGCTTTGCTTCATCCCATGACCTTGAGTCGGGCTTGATGTCTGGAACACCTCGATAAAGAAGTCGAGCCAGGATCAGTACATAGTTTTATAATACCAAGCATTATGGCTTCCCACGTTGCCAAGGCGTATATCACAAGTTATCTCACTACGCCTTTCGTGTGTGCTCCAAGCAAGACCATTTCACAGTGTTGACTCGTACCAATAGCATGAAGACAGAATAATGTTTTACGGTATGAGCTTTGATGCATTGATGTTCATGTCCGCTCTTTGCTCATATGAGCAATGTCCTATTGAAGAGAGGTGTTATGATCATGAGTAGTAGCCCAACGCAACCAACAGCTGTCTCGGTCCCGTCGGTATAGTCAAGTGGCACGCCCTAAGGCAAACAGGTATCAAAATACTCTTAATCAAGCCAAGCGAGACGTAAGGTTTCCATGAGACATAGCTCCCAGCAATGAGTGAGATCCATAACGTGAACCGTACCCATGCCAATTATTAACTTGCCATTCATTATTCTTGTAATCGGGCCAGTAGCCTCGTCGGCCAACCCTGCTAGACTCATGTACTAGCTCATCATCCTCATGATGGACATACATTCCCATGGCTTGAGACCACCTACCTTTCTGGTCCAACCACGCCCTCTACGTTTTCTAGAAGGGATAGGTATAATTTACAGTATCCCAAAGCAAAACGTCTAAATCGTCAATATAGCCATTATGGATAAAGATATCCTGCCTGATAGTCTCCTCAAGTGGGACCATGGGGGATATAACACAGCGGCACCATGCCAAAATCGCATACTGAAGATGTGCATCAGTTGCTGATGGCCAGAGTTTTGTTGCACACTGAGTCATTGAGAGGCTGGATATGGTATCTACCTCTAAACTAACGTGATGGTTACTGAGTATCATGGCAGTTCGAAGGGCGGGATCAGCCACGCCAACAAGAAGCACAGTTAAGAGCACGGTTATCAACATATGCGGATATGGTATCTCTGAGACTCTGCTTAGACTGCGCTTAGGGCCCTAGCATTAACTCTGCCTAAAGCTTGGGAATAGAGCCAATTCCAAGAGGAAAATATGGTGCACACAGGCTTCTCCGTCTCTCACCTCAAACACATGATAACCCCTGCTTTCCAGACTGGACCGGGATCCCGATGAATCAAAGCCACCTATGATGATATTTGCTCTCTCCCAAGACATAAGTGTTTGACTAGTGTCCTTATGCGTGCTAACTAAGCCATTGGAACTCTTGGACCTAGACGAAATGGAATGGGTGTTTTTCTTCTCGAAAGGCAAGAATAACTTTGGAGGCTTATGCTTCAACAGGCTCGAAATCTTTTTGTAGTGTACCCCTTAATTGGAAACATCACACGAGCCATTAAGCTTTCAATACAGTTCCATGCCAACGCCGTCTCCCCGGGGCCCCAGGTGGTAACCAATCCTTGTGGCATAGCTGACAAGGCTAGGGAACTGACGGCAAGGCTGAGCAAGATACAGGTATTGTTAGAAGTAACGAGATCTAGGGTCGTCTTCTCGAATCCCTTTGCGTAGATGGGATATTCTCAAGAAGCGATGTAGTAGAGCTTGTGTGCAATGCATCAAGGACTACCGTTGCCTGGTTTACAACGCCAGCTTGTTCTCTTAGCCCAAAAAGCATCCATAAAGCACCCGACGAGCTTCAGGTGTAACTAATATGTCACCACGCTGAGCACAATGGGTATGTTGGGTTTCAAGGCGGAGACTTGAGGTTGTCTCCTTAGAGTCAGGATATATCAGCCAGAGTGAGCTCCGAAACATCCAGTCAGAACTTCGGAAATGAGCCTTCAACATCCCCTGCTTATGGCATAGGGCACCATGTATCAATAATTCTTATTATGAACTCACTTCACCATTCTCTAAACCTCCCATACAATATGGAGTAAGGGAATCATGATCCTAGGCCTCAGATATCTGATGATCAGAGACAGCCTGATTACGATAAAAAGAATATCTATTCCTTTGTAGAGCTAACCTAATATTCTCCCCAGTATAGAGTTTTCAATTTATTTCAGAAGTCCACTAATTACTCACAAGTGGAAACACCTTCAAAGTGACAGACAGCTGGTTTGTCAGCTTCTACGGGTAGCAGAGACCATGATAAAGATACGAATATCTCCATACATGACATGTTCCCCCCATGTGTTTATCCATGCCGTGTTCCGTCTTGGGAGGGAGGTGCATTTATCCGGAAAGGGGGATATAAGATGGCGTAGTAAGGCAAGGACGCGACTGCAGCTGGCCGGATTATCTCTCTCGGTAGGACACCCTCCCTACCAATCTCCAGACATGGGTTGCTTTACTTCCGAATCCTGTTACATTGAAAATCTGGGGCAAACAGTGATGAGGCTGCGCCATTACCGAGAGTAAACGGGCTCATACTCGGCTCCGAGATCAACCTATGTCTATCTGCTTGAATACCCAGTCAAAGCCACAACGTGAGCATCTTTTCTTCGACCTATCAAAATAAGCTCAATTATTCTTCCCCGCAAAGTATGTAGGGTCTCGGCTTCTGGAAAATGCATCGTGTTCAAGTTCCGTACAGCTGCTGTACCACTCTTCTCCAGAGCATCACAGCCCAAGTATCATGCCCCTATACCCTCACATCAGCTCCTGAAAAGCAGCTCCGAGTCACGTCATATATGCAGTAGAGGGCCTCAATAAACCACCACAGGGGATCGTGTGAGTCGCATCCCCAGACGGATAGCTTCGGATGATTGTCAAGACATGAACAGGTGATCACTGCTTCAGAAATCCTGCCATCGGCCGTCAGCACAATAAAGGGATTCCACAGGCCACTGTATCTGTGGCAAATCTGTGCAACATTACCGGTGAACACGTTCAGGGAAAGAAGGTGGCCAGGGGATGGAGGGGCGCCACGCATATGCCGTGATACCATGCCCTTTCCTTCGGGCCCTGGCACGCATTTTTCTTCTTTCCATGTCCTGCATGATATCCATGGGCCCATTACCTGTTTACCGGCTGAGGCTGGTAATATTCGGTCAGTAGAGGTTGTCCCCAGGTCTCGTGATGATTTGCATGACATGCAGTGGTTGAGTCGAGATTCTTGGATAATTGGCCTGAATCGTACAGCGACAGTCCGGTCAAGCCGGCTCACAACCAGTCGTCAACAAGCGCAGGACGTGTCAACCGGCTTCCATGGGATTGGTAATCAGTCATCGTAGGTGGTACAATAGCGTGGCTCTGGCTTCCAGCTTCTTGGCTGTATCACTTGAAAGTGTTGCATGGAGAAGCATCAACGGACACTCACCGGTTCGAGACGCGGCTTTGAATTGCGATCGACCCATTGCTTACTCGAGAGCATCATTGTACAGGTACTTTACTCCTGCCTCAACATTGGGGTCATTGGCAACTGCTGGAGTAAGCAACTCCAAGTATATCAACATTCAGCCTAATGTACAACCCCGATAATGCTGCTTCACCATTGAGCCGGTTTACACAACAGCAAGAGACTTTGTGCAACGTTCATATCAGCATAGAACATTCACTATTAATTCATCAATTCTACCGAATAACCGACCTCGAGGTCACACAGCTGCCCCTGTCTTCAGCTCATGCTCCAGGCCATGTTCCCCTCAAAGGGGGGGAGTCAGATGGCCCGGGCCGTCGACAATGGGTGTGTACAAAAAAGATGAGGAGTAAAGGAGATCTAGAACTGGTCAGATATATACTTTCAACGTGCACTAGTGCGTTGCTCCGACTTCAAAGGTGAGAAAAAACTGATGGGACGCTCAGACGGGGAGGTCGTGTCAAAGGCCGTTGAGGGCGCTTGTCATCTGGTGCTGGCACACATCACAAGACCCATTGGGGCAAGGCTCAGGTGCCTGGACAGCGAGGAGGGTTTTAAACCTTGGGGGAAGGCTACCCTATCCGAGCCCAGGGCTGCGTCCTCCGGATCGTCCAGCGTAGCGTCTGAGATGGTTACATCTGCCCGCTTGCTGCAACGCATATCCGAGGAGGTGAGCATCTGCCGAGAGCGAATGACTTGGATTGAAGATCAATGCAAAAAGACACGGTTCAAGACTATCGACACTAGCAAATTCCCTCCGATAGAGCCTCCTCCTCCTCCTCCCTTGCATGCGTGCCGTCCCCGAGTCGAGTCGTGAGGAGGCAGACGGGATGAGGCGGTGAAGGAGGCTCCCGTGTGCAATGGTTACAACGGGCTTGGGCTGGGCAACGCTCCGTGTGGCGGTCGTGAATTAACTTAGATTGTGGTGGCTCGCGCGATGTTATGCTGTTGGTGCCACCGACTGAGGGGAAGCTTCGAGACTGACTTCAACAAAAGCTGGTGGCAAAGCAGCGTCTCATTCAATTGATCTCTTGCGTTAAATTTGGAGGGATGAGATAATTACGTAAATGAGGAAAAAAGGTTAGAATGAGGGATATATCATCACCAAGAAAAGAGATGAGATACTTCTTCTCTGTGCCAGTTGCATGTTGTGGCGGTTATTTCGAGGTTGCGTCCCCCAACTATGGTACTACTGTATCATAGCACACTTCTCCTCCCTACAACTAGCTAACAAAGGCCCGGAAAGTGGGCTCCGGGGGGGATCCAAGAGCGCGGCGACGGTGGTGCTAGAGGCTCGTCTACCCGCCTTGGTGAGACCATCTGAACGGGCCAGTATTAGCTCCGGCCCCTCTTTCTCTTGGGGCACTGCAGGCGCTGAAATGCTTGGCATTGGATCTTGGTAGCAATCCGTGTTGGACTCACCGTGCGCCCCAAGCAATTCCTGGCCCACTCGGCCGACTAGTATCTTTATTTACGCGATTCACATACTAGAGCCCGATGACTGGGACCTTGAATCGATGCACAATACGTCATTCACTGTCATCTTGATCGCCGATGGGAAAGGGGGAGCAAACCCTGGAGGAAAAAGAACCAGGTCTTGAAGACATGCAAGCAAAAAATGAAGATATTCGTTGGGGACCAAACAACCAAAAATCAAACCTAGAAATAGAAGAAAAAAGAGAGTGTGTGGTGTCGTCCCCTGTGCCTGGGTCCAAAAGAGAAAAAAGAGGCAAACCTATCCGTAAACTGATCAAGACCTTGCTGATCCGAGGCCCGAGCCTCATGGGCCGGCAACCACTTGGACTCTTTGTGGCTTGCCTTTGAAGTCGTATCCATGAGATGATGGAGGGGGTGATGGCTTGGTAGAGTAGCAGCGGGAGAAAAGGCGTACGCCTCGCGCTGTGGATCGAATGCGGGATGCCCCAACTGGACATGGCCGACTCGTGCAGGGCAGGGCGGCGTCTACACCATCTCACAAGAAGAAACCAGGAGGCAAGGCGGGTAGAGGAGCTCATCAGGCCGATTCGGGACACCGGCCTTATCTGACCGACTGCAGAGGGCATCAGACTGGGCGATCGGCGGGGGATATTAGACCACTCGTAGGTGATTCCCAGACACCTCACACAACCGCCAGAGCCCCAGGGATTTTCGCGGAGGTGGTGTGGAGGAGGCGCGGCGGCGAGGGGTTCTTTAGCGAGCAGGAGGAGAGTCTTGATAACGACAGAGGGGGGAGTTGGTGTAAGAGCAGAGCTCCTGGACCAGACCATCGATGGGTTGTATTTACAGTCCCATCATGTTTGTTGAGAGCAACTCTGTCAAGGGGAGTGTAATGCACTGTAGCCTTTTCATCCGATGGACCCTGTTGATCCGAGAGTCAAACAGAGGAGTTCCCCGCGGGGGATACCTACAGTATTTGGTGATCCTGTCATTCTCAGATCATGGTGCATCAGCATCAGCACACAAACTGACTACCTAGAAAATAGTGGACTTTGCAACTTTCCCATGACCTCTTTCCGAGAGCTCCGATAAATCACACTTTCAAATCCCATCACGTGTGCAGAGTTCATGTCGGCCGAGAGACAAAAAAGCAGGGCAAAACGGTCTCATGAGCAGATGATACCTCCAAGCAGGTTTCACACACTGAGAAAAGCAAAGGTGCATCTGCAGCACAGAAGCACGTTGGCAAGGAAGTAAAAAAGAGGGGGCAAGGGTGGGGTAAAGCCATTCATTCGTAAGAGGGGGATGGACACAGTGGCTTGGATGGCTAACAACTGCCTAGAGCTAGAGAGCCCCAAGCTTGATAGGGTGACATGCAGCAGCAGCTTTCGAGAGGATGATGACATCCGAAGACGACCTCGAGGTGGCTTTTTTCTGCTAGGAGATGTCCAATTTGACAGGGAAGGGTTGGCTGTCTGGTGTTTCTCTCGGTTTCGCTCTGTCCAGCCTCTTCCTTCACCTCCCCCTGGCTTACTGGCCTTACCCTCGTTCCGGCCGTGAGATGCTGCTGCATCACCCCACTAACCGACCGAACCGTCGTAGCCCAGGTCCGGGGCGGAAGATCCGGAAAGCTTGAGGCTCCTCCGCGTGCCGACTCTGTTTGTATCGTCTCCAAAACGACGGGCCCAGCAGAAGAGAGCAACGACTCCAAGCTCAACGACACCCGATAACACGAAACGGATAGCGTCTGACACGGCGCGTGTCGCCTACATAGAGTACGCAGCAATTTTTAGCTGATCGTCAACGTTCCCCGCATTTCGAGACGCCCAGTTTCGCATCCTTCACCCCGGATTGAATGGCAAGATAAGGGAGAGGGATGACGACGAAGCGAGAAGGACTGAACTGACTTGCAGCGCCTAGCGACGCGCAGCAACGCAATTGGCATGTCCGGGGCTCGTCATCTTACGCCAGCAGCAGAAGCACCATCGCCTGTCCCTCTGTCTGTCCCACGGCTAGGCGTTGCTGCATCTTCAGAGCCGAGCGTCTACCCAACCGTGGCTGCGTAGCTTCAGCCTTCAGGGTAGACTACAGAGGGAGGGGGGAAGCCATGGAACATCGGTGAGCGGGAGCGACACCAAACTCTGTTAATCCTGATGAGTGAGCACTGGGCGAGAACCCCAGATCCGGGGTCCAAGCCCCCTTCCCTTGGTGCTTGCTGCTGGTCTCCCTTCTGCCATGTATGAAGGGTCCATCCCGGTGGCCAAAACCTGACCGGCTACAAGCAACCTTTCCCTCTTGGAAAAAGAAGGGGTCCTCCTGAGGGTGTGTCGAACAAAGGCCAGCAAAAGAGGCGAAGAATGTGAGTTGCAGAAAGGAGGCAAGACAGACAGACATGGCGGCGGCGGCAGCACATCATCAATCAATGCACGGCGATCAATATCCACCACACAAACATGCTGTGGCTCATGGATCATAATCACAACGGGGGCAAGTCAAGCGACGATCAGGGTAACAACATCCATCTTTCGTCCAAAGGACCCTTCAAATCCCGGAGATGGAGATAGCCAAGAAGTCTAGACGAAGCGAGGAACGAACGGGCAGACCCCGAAGGAGGGTCGAAGGGCAATCGCGGCTGCTGCGACTTCGGATAAGGGCAAATCATCATATGATGGAGCCTTTTCTGTCACTTGTTATAACCTCAACTATACGCTGGGAACATCAGATCATGGACATTCGCGAGTCCTTCTCGTGGGGCTCTTTGCAGAAATTCAGGGTCCACCAGCCGCAACGACCGGGGCGCGGAAGTGTATTCCCCATCAGAACATGTTTGCTCTGATCTGATAGTGAAAGAGGGGCTGACGATGGTTTCATTTTCAGTTGCAGAGGATCTTTGGAGAGAGAGAGAGAGGGATTGACACAATTTTGACTCTCTGCCATGCATAAGTTTGACACTGATGGTGAGAGTTCGGCGTCTAGATCTCTCGAGATGCAACGCAACACGGCCCCTTCAAAGGTCCCCAGTGGCAAATTGCGGATGAATCTAGAGGCCGAGCTTGAGTCAATCGGCAAGCCAACGGCACGTCAATTGCCTCAAGCAAGAGGTAATCTTCAGGAGTCAACGTCCGTTGGTTGGCGATGGATCAAACCTCTGTTGGCTGATTGCAGTAGTTTGAAGCCATCTTACCATCTGAGGCTGATGTGGACAGATCCTCACTGGCAGTGAACAGTGACAGAAGAGCCAAGGCTAGCAAAGTCGTCAAAACATACCCCCATGTCGTGCCATTCAAGGCCATTGTCTCGAGCCCGTGCTTGAACCTGCTTTGCTTACAATACGAATGAGCTGCCCGTCTGCTGTAACTTGATCAATCTCGGTCTGCAGGCTTGGCTTGGGAGCTCCACCCTCACTCCCTGATCCTTGCTGATTTGACCCCTGGTCGCCAACCAGGGTTGATTTTTCTGCGAAGCGAACGGCCAAAGCCTCACAGGGGGGGCGCGGCGGACCCCCATGCAGGACTCGGGTGTAGCCAATGGCGAAGGCGTGCGAGGCCGTTTTGGAAAAAGGGCATCGAGATGGTCGCATCTCGGATGGACGATTTGCGTGCAGCAGCAGCAGCAAGCAAGGCGCTTGTGCGAAGAGCATGGCCTGCGTGGCGTGCGAAAGACCCGGGCTGATGAGACGCAGGAGATTCGCGGGGGAGAAGGCCACCACCACCACCACCACCAGCAGGCGCTGTGTGCGACTGTGCGTGTGCAGTGCGTGGGAGGAGGCTCTGATAAGCATCCGTCTGTTTTTAGACATTTTTGGCTATCGGTAACCTGGGAGTGTAGGCATCTTTGTTATCAGCTTTGATGGAGGTTGTGTGAATGCCAGTGATAGAAGAACTAGCACCAGGTAGACCAACACCGGAGATGTCTTTATTGCCAGTCAATCAATCAGTTCAACTCTTGATGACAATGAATGATGAGCAAAGAAAAGAGTGAGTAATTGATCTGCTTTGTTAGTATAGTATAGTTTATCGGCCGGCCTTGGTTATCGCCCCGAAGCTATCGGTGAAGCCATCGGAAAATGCCGCCGGAGCTAACGGCGCTCTCAAAGCCTCCGTCGCTTTTGGGGGCCCGCTTTCGCATCTCTCCAAAATCTTCCATCTCCGTTCGCACCGTGTCGGCCGAGCCCTGGTGGTGTCACGGAATGAGGAAGCTAGGCATCATACGAGCAGGGGGTGGTTCGCAGCACAGCTCTACCGGCATCGACTGGGTCTCGCCATTGTACGCAATAGAAACAGATCATCCATGGCGAACCTGTCTGTGGTGTCGCGATGTCGGCCAGGTCCGTCCTGCCCTGCTGTGAATAGGTAACAGTTATGCAAAAGAGCGACATCACTTCTCACAAACGGTCCCGACCGTATGATACGGCGGGGGACGGGATGCGTGTAAATCCCGTCTTGTTAGTCAATGCGACGGTATGTTGGGGAGAGTACGGAGTAGGAGGGGGAGCATCAATTATGGGTGCAGGATCTTGGGGTGATCGAGGTGGAGGGGAGGGGGCAAGCTGAAGATGCGTCAGGACAGAAAGAGGAATGAAGCAATCCTGGACAGCCGGTGAGAGTGGCGATGATGGATGGGCAGGAGTTTTGAAGGGTAAACGGTCTGTGCTTCTATTCTTGTTGGGAAATGGGTGTTGCAGTTGTTGGATGGCAAATCGACAGCAGCTCTCTTCTCTGTCGGGGAACCTTGAAGTCCGCCATGCCATGGCCTCCGACTGTTGCAGCTGGGGTCGTATCATGGCAGGGGATCTTGTGGTTGGTTGGGGCAAGGCAAGCAAGCAGGCGGCTGCAGGGGATCTGTCTGCCTGGAGGAGGAGACTCATGAAGAACCTTTTTGGATGGGGAAGCTCTGGATGTGATTGATTGATTGCTTGCGTGTGGGATTGCGCCAGATGCGCAGAATCCATGCAAGTCTGCAGTACCAAGCTCCAAGACCAAAAATTGCATGTGAAAGGCGTTGGAGCCCATGTATGGTGTACTTGCAAAAACAGTACAAGCCTCTTGGCTGTTGAGTCTTGGCTCTCTCTCTCGCTTGACCATAACGCTCCGCCAGCTAAATTGTGTGCTTCATCTGTTAGCACCGGGGCACAAAAACCTCATGATTTAGTCTTTTATGGTGTCGCGAGGCGTCGACTCGAAGCGATCTAGTGTCATGCGAAGCGAAGAGCTGATAATGACTCTCTGATGGGCCTGGAGAATTTAGCTGCCGTCGGTCGGCCGACGGGGACATAGCTAAAAGAGCGAAAAAGGCGAAAAAAGACGAATCTTGCCCCACCGGTTGAAGCTCACCAGGAGTCGATTATTGGAGACGAAGCTTTCCCCCCTCGTTGTTGGAGGTGAAAATTTTTGGGCCAAACGATTCAGAAGAGGGAACTGGCCCGTGCGTTTACTTATCTCCTGGTCCCGGAGCAGAAACGGCAGATAACTGCAGCCCTAGCAGCACCAATTGAAGCTATATCCTTGCACACTCCGTAATTATTTCCTTTTTTCTCTTTTTCGCACCACAATCAAGCTCATCTCTTCCGTGGGGCTCTGACGCATCACGATCTGAGAAAACTCCACTTAAAGGGCAGGCGATAGAACGATCCAAAGTCCATGACAAAGAAATGGCCAATGTTAGAGTCAGACGGGGATCCCCATATCGTGATGACAAGCAGCAATGACAAGACCTGACTAAGCTGCCGTCGTGCTACAGGCTCGGGGTTGGGGTCCAGAGACATTTTGATGGATGCAGGAAGCGATAGTCGTTTTCGTCTGGGGCAATGGCTTGCAGCGTTAGGCGGGAAAGACAACCGCCATCGTCTTTTCCTGTCTGCGTCTGGCATCCATTGGATTGGATCATTGGACATCCCCCTGCGTCACATCAAAATCGTCCGGTCTGGCTCGCGGCGCTTCGACCTGGGCCGAATTCCTTTCTCCTCCCCCCCTGTGTAACTGTTTACTTACCTGTTGTGTTGTGGTCGTACAAGACCTGGGGGATCGGCGTGTCTCATAAGCCAATCCAATCCGTTGCCCGGCGAGGACGCCATTATACCAAGCCACCGTCTAGCTGACAAGGACCATGATTGCCGGTGAACCTGTGTGTGTGTTCAGACCTTCATCTTGTCAAGTGCCAGCCCGCGACGAGAACTCGGTCCTAGACCCTTTGTGGCTTGGCGCAATCTGTGGCGGGAGGAGCTCAGGAGACTTGAGACGAGACCAGTCACCTCTCTGTGAGCCAGCCCAGCCCAGCAATTGAGCTGAGAGACGGAGATGGGGGCGTCGTCTACAAGAAGGGGGCGTCAGATAACAAGCCACGAGCGTTGAGATCGCATGGGGGGCTTGACGGGGGCTTGCCCCAAACAACAAGCCCATATTCCACGAGAGAGGCTCAGGTCAAACAAACAGACACACACACACAAGACTGTCTCTTCCTTCCCCATCCTCTACCTCCCCAGACCTGGACGACGCCTCTCAACGGTGGGCTCGCAGGCATCCTGAGACAGCACGGGGGAGAAACCCGGACATGGCCTCGGCGTGGTCAAGGCATGGGGCATGGATGATGCTGGGCAACAAGAAAGCCAATTGTAGAGGAGAATGTCTAGGGTTTGCTGCTTCTCGATCACGTCTTGTACCGGTATACGTATACGAACACCATCATCTCTCGATTCTGTGTCAGTCAATTCATCCAATCTCTTGGTCACGGCAGAGAGACGCGATTGCGTGGTGAGACAATGAAAGAATGAGCGCGTGGTTTCTGTGACGACCTACGTCATTGAGGACGACGATGGGTATCAGTTGACATGCATTGGGAGGGTTTCAGCGCGATTGTCTCCTTCTTTCCCCTCACTTGTATGTGTCTCCCTCTCGTGAGCTGCCGTGGGATGGGATGTAAGGCGAATAAGCGAAATGTTTCTGAAGCAATGCATGCTGCCCGTCTCTGTGCAGGAAGCTGTACAGTAGCAGTGCGTGAGCTTCCAATGGGCGGCTACCATGCATCTCTTTGGAGGAGGAGGAGGGCTTCGGCTCGCCTGTAGCCAGACGGCGACTTGTTCACCAATCAAGCACAGTGCCACGGAACTGTGACCTGGGTGGGACTGCGGGCGGTGCTTCTGGCTTGCAGTCGATGCATGCACATTTTACAGCGGCCTTGCAGCAGGCAGAGTGAAAGGATCCCGTCAGCAGCAGCAGCTAGGAGATGGATCTGCCGGTACCATGCCAGTGGCCCATGGGTTGGACAAGGGCAAGGGTGGGAGGGAGCCTCTCTGCCTTGGATGTTTTGGACTTTTTGACGACTGAAGAGACAGGGAGGGAGGTTACTGTCCATCGGAGACTGAACTGAGGCTCGAGGTGGAAAACGTCATGGCTTTCTGCACCTGGCATGTCGGTGAAGGAAGTTTATCTACCATCCATCTCGGATTGTCCTCTTCTCAGATAATACCCTCCAAAGATAAAGTAAAGATGAGGCCATCAAGATCTTGCCGACTTTTCTTCTTTTTTGCCCCCCCTGCCCTTCTTTCAACGGCGCGTCCGGAACCAGCGGGGCGGAGAGCGGAAAGACGGAGACGCGCGAAGGCGATGATTTCCATGGGATGGGATGGGATGGGATGTGCCTGGGCCTGAGCCTTTCTTTCGGAGTCTCCCACTGTGCACTAAGAGTATCCACCTGGAGATGATTTTCCCACACATACCATTTTTTGCAACAGTCCATCCCACGCCTTTAGCTCAACGCCCTTTATTTCTTGTTGTTGGAATGACACCCATGTTAATAATTTGATGGGAATTTTTCGCCTCTTGAGGCATCTCGTAGAGACGAGTAGATCATTGTACACTGTAGCTCGGAAGAATAATACCGATTTCTCTTTCTCCTTCTTCTTCTGTAATACCCTAAACAGTTTCCAGATCATAACCTCACTCAATCTCACTCAAACCATGCACACGCCTCTCACCGATTACTTCCAGATGCACACACCCAACGTAAAAAAAAAAAATAAAAAAAAAGGCGAGAAAAAAACCACCCCCCACCCACACTGAGACATGGGTCTCTTCTTGTGCTCACCACCAAGAATGTACCTTGGCAGCAAAGCAGCAAGCAACAAGAAAAAAAAGAGATGGGAAAAAGCTCAGACCAGGGGCGCGCGCCACGACCGGGGTTTGGTTCTTGGGAGTAACGAGAGACCACCATTCGATGATCTGACTTGAACTTGAGAGTGAGGGTTTCACGCCTTGGAAAGAAAAGACGCCATTCTGGGTTGTTGTGTCGGGTCGCCGTGGTCGCAGATTCATTCATTGCCCTTCTCAACCCCATTCACCATGACGACTGATCTTAATTCGTCTCTTCCTCTGTTCTAAACTTCTTTTTCTCTTTCAAACTTCAAAACTTTCATTCTTGTGTAAACTGCTACAGTAGTTCATCGTCATTCTTTTTTCTTCTCCTTTGTTTCCGGTACATTACGGCGCCGTTCTTTTGGTCTTCTATCTTGTTATCGCCAAAACCCCGACACTTCCATCATCATAACACCACCACTCCATCGCCAATTGTGCACTAAAAAGTCACCGTTTGGTTTGTTACCTGCTCTTCCGGCGCATCCTCAACCCCTGGTCCGCATCCATTTTAGATCTCCGCCTTTCCTGTCGCCATCGCATCCATCCATTGGGTCCCATCGCATCACATCGTGGTCCCCCATCAATTCTTTTTTGGAGATTCGTCGATACGATACGATACCTGTACTGATTATCCTCATATCATTCTTCTCTCCTTTGTTCTCGCCTCCTCTGACGTTTTCTCGACTCCAACCATCCCACACTCTCCGCACGCATACGGTAACCATCAGCATTTCAGGCATCATACTTCAACGTGCTTGCAGATTAAATTCATCATCTACTGCCGGGGATCTTGAAAATCATTCAACTCTGAACTCTGGGCGTTTGTCAATCGTTCCCAATCGTTCTGCAACCAGCTGGTTTTGGCGTTTTGCCGCCGCCCCATCTTCTCAACTCATCAACCATAAGAAAAAGCCTCCTCCAATCTTGTCCCCAACTGTAAAGCCTCCCACCTCAACCGGACACACACTGTCGCCGCCGTCGATAAAGAGGAAGAGAGGAAGAGAAAGAAAAAAAACCAAACCTAACCAGGACGTCCAAGCGTCTCACGGCGTCCGCACTACAGCGGTATGATCCCACCCCTACCTTGAACGCAAACCCACCTACCAAGCCAAGCCAAACCAAACCAAACCAAACCAAACCAAAGCCCTCTCTCGCACCCCATCCCTGTCCCCATCCCATCCGCCGCCGCTCGCACTCAATCCTGCCCATCCCATCCCATCCCATCACACATCCCTGCCCTCCACTACCACCCATCCTGGACGCCGCCAGACGGCCCATGCCTACGCGGCTCTCAACCTTGTCGTGCTAGTCCATGCCGCTCAGGCCGGCCCCGGCGCCTCAGTCCTGGTTCTGCCTCTGCGCGCGGCGAGTAGAGCCAGAGCGCACACAGGCACTCAAAACCACCTGCTCCCCGCAGGCCATCTTGATCTCGTTCAGCACCTCCACCAGCTTTCTTGCTGTCTATGAGTTTATGACTGACTGACTGATTAACGTCTAGTATCAGCAGCCTTTTTTTTCCGGTTTTCTTCTATTCTGGTTCTTGTTTTTTATTGTTGTTTCTTGACCTGCATCTCCATCCCCATCTCATCCGCACCGCCTCGCTCGTATCACTCCTAATCTCGACGACGCCTTTGTTCTCCCCCCGAGTCGAGTCCAACGATAACCAAACCCTCCGGACCACTTCCTCCTGTCTGGAACCTGCGGTGCAACCTGATTGTGATACCTGACAACCTCAATTCCACCTGCCTGGGGTTTTTACGACTACGCGGCTGCTGCGCTTCACGATCTGCTCTGTTGCTGGAATATTGCCAGAGCACCTACCGTGTCGCCAGTTTGCTTCAGTTCCCTCTTACACGCGGTTCATGTAAGTAGGCACGCACACAAACACCAACGCACCACTCGCAATCCATCAATCGCTTCGAGATTCCCGATGAATATTATTTCCCTTCGATGATCTCACGTTTTTTGTCCAAAATCATGATTCGCCACTCAATTATTCATCCTTAGATATGCTGCTGACCAGTGCCTTCCTAATCTTTAGACCCGTCTCGATAGCCTCCTTCCTCCTCCTTCCCGCATGCGCTGAGACTGCCTACCAACACCACAAGGCTTCCATTCCTCGTTGCCTCACCATCCCGATCAATTCGCCTCAGCCCTCACATATTATTCACCTCCACGTGGTATAGCTCCTGGCAACAGCTTCCACGGAATCCTTCCTCTCCCCCCTTTTCTCTCCTCCCTAACTCACATACCCACATTGGGAATGCCTTACACGCCGCCCTCAAATCGATCTCCCGCCTCGTCAGCCTCCTCGTCGCCCGTTGCGAGCCGGCGTTCCTCACTACAGACAGGGACCCGACCAAACCTCCCTAGATCCGCCTCGTACCTCCACAAGCACCGACGAACACCCTCAGCTTCTGCAGTCAGCGATGGATCAACGGGCACGCTGACACCCCAGGGCACATCGGAGGATCTCAAGAGCATGGGCTCGGCCGTACCATCCAACGTCCGCCAGTCTCCTCCCCCTCTGACAGACGACCGAGCCATGCCAATGGGTGCCATTATCTCGCCGCCCGACTCTGCTTCCTCCGGTAGCGATGACGAGGAGCAGGAGCCCCAGATCCGCGGCCGAAAGCTCGACAAGGCGCTTCGAGATGCCGTTAGCCAGATCCCCATGCCACGATCGGCATCCCCCGAGCGATCGCACCCCACACAAGAAAACGGCGATAGCCAGCCTCGTCGGAAAGAGAGTGTTCACCTGAGCTTCAGCACAAGCGCCCTGGGTGACCTCGCCAAGGCGGGACGCAAGAAGGGACATGTTCGCTCCGTCACTGAGCCTCACATTTCTCTGACCAAGTCTGCCGATAACTCATTGTCAGTATCGGAGGAAGAGACCGATGAGGATTTGCAAAAGAAGCCTCAGATGGTGCGAAAGAAGTCGGGCGAACTTGTTCGACCTGCACTTCGCCCCCCCTCCCGACGACGCCCCTCCAGCATGCCTGGTACCCCTGTCTTCTCCAAGGCTGTTCACTTTGACTCACACCTCGAGCATGTACGCCACTTTCTGCAGGTGGACCGCCCTCTTGCTGTGAGTGCTGGCTCTTCACCCATCGACAGCTACGAGAGCGATACCGAGTATCCCTTCCCTGGCAATGGTCAGCAAAAAGTGCGGTCGCCCCCCTACGAGTGGGAGATTCTCACCTCCAACTTTCCCCACGACAACGCCACTCGCAGGGCGTTGCCCGTGCGGCTCGAAAAGGTGTGGCTGTCCAACGACCAAAAGACGCTGCTAGGCTCAGTGGCTGTCGCCAACATCGCGTTCCAGAAGTCGGTTACCTGCCGTTTCACTCTGGACTACTGGAAGACCACCTCGGAGGTTGCCGCTGACTACAGCCACGAGATCCGCCCTCGGGAAACCCCGTTGGGCCACGACCGGTTTACCTTTTCTATCAAGCTGGCTGACACGGCTAACCTCGAGTCCAAGACTCTGTTCCTCTGCGTCCGCTATGCCGTCAATGGACTCGACTACTGGGACAACAACGACTCGAGCAACTTCCAGATTGACTTCCGCAAGAAGCATCTTCCCCAGAACGGGAAGAACAACTTCCAGGGCGCATCTTCCCGCCCGGCTAATGGCCTTCCCCGGAGTAACCGACGCAACGGAGCCTCGACGGTGCCTCGCCCCAAGTCGATGCCTGCTGGCTTCGGCGAGTTTGGCGAGGATGCTAAGCTCAGCTTTGACCAGCCCATCCACGAGTATCTCGGTGAGTCGGGCAACGGTACGTCGGGCCTCCGCCTCAAGTCCAAGTCGGCGGGCAACCTCGCCAGCGATAACATGGCCAAGGGCTTTGGCTCGCCCAGCGGCCTTGCCTTTTCTAACCGTTACGACTTTGGGGCTTCTCTCAGCGCTGCCGTCCAGGCGGCCAAGGATTCTGGCTCCAAGGAGAAGGACGGGCTTTACATGAAGGCCAACGTCCGGAGTGCTAAGCCCACCCTCCCAGTATCGACAACTCAGCCCTCAACACAGGTTCAGAGCCAGACGGCCCACGGGGCGACCTCGCCCAACTCAACCTTGTCCAGCTCCTCGTACGAAGAGCTGGTCAACAAGTACTGCTTTGTACGTGCCCCCGAAGTGCGCCCTGCTTCACCCGCCTCTGGCCCTCGTCCTCCCCTCGGTCGCCAAGATGGTTTCACCCTTCACCTGGATGTACGGGCTGGCACGATAGGCCAGAAGCACAATTGAAGAGTTGGTTACTGACAGTCATTGATGTTGCAGTTTGGATCAAAGCAGTCGAGCCCTAACATGAGGGACGGTACGCTCAGCGGTGCTCGCTTTGATGGTTCTTCTGGAGGTGCTGCTGCTGCCCCTGCTCCTCACCGGAGCAACGTCACAGCTCTTGGAAGTCCCATCGGCAGCATCCATCACGCCGGCCCCGCCGTTCATCATAGTCTTCCGCTGGGACATGGTGTCTACCACCCTTCTTCGGCCCCGTCGACACCCAAAGATGCCTTTCAGGCAAGCGCCGGTTCACCGACACCGAGGACATCCGCCTCGGCAAGGTCCGCCTCACCTGCCTTTATGACATTTGACGGTACGCCGTCGGCCGATATTTCATATCATGTCCAGCAACAGATGATGGATCGGTTCCCCTGGACGGGTGACTCTCACGCTGCCACAGCAATCCGAGGATAGTATCGCGATGCCGATTGTGAATCGAGCTTCATCCTCTGAGACGAGTCAACCTGCAACACTTACTACCAAGAGCAGCTCCAAGACTGTAGTGCTATCTTGGTATTTCTATCAATGACTGTGGACCACTTCTTCAACATGGCCACATCTATCAATCCTCCCTCCTGTCTGTTTGATTCGAGACAGCACACTACACACACGATGTGGCTAGCCTCGGAAGGGTTACTGGAGTATGTTTTTACGGCTTACGGCCAGCAATGTTTGGCGTTTACGGTTTCGGACTTGTCAGCGAGCAAGCAAGCAGCCTGGCATGGCGTGCCGGGCATCCGCATTTGGAGTTTTGGGAGCTGTTTGGGTTTGCTATCGAATGCGCGTTGTTGCCTTTTCCTTATCGCCTCTGATTTACTCTCGTTGTTTTTTTAATCCTGGAACTTTCTGGTCATGTTGGTTGGCCCTCGATCTGGTTGGCTGCTCTGCTCACCGTTGAACGGTCAGAGACATTCATACTTTAATGTGGTTTTGAGGGAGCAGCAAACGGAAGGGTCACTGCAATGGAACACGTCAAGGAAGAGGCTTATACGGAGTCGGGCGATGCAATGCCTTGCCTGCTTAACCCGCGTCAAGATGAGATGTCTCCTGGAGCGTTGGCTTGACTGCGAAGACTGTACACGGCGCAGGGAAAGGAAGGATACGGGAAGGGAAGGGAAGGGAAGGGAAACGGGACAAAAGTTTGCTTCCCTTGAGGAACGCAAGGGATTTTGGGGAGTAGGCCAGACGGATTGATATACACTATACAAGAATGCGATGCATGCAAAGCTAAGAGACTATTTTGCACCTCACTTGTCCTTGATGATTGCCAATGTGAATGTCGTGATGTGATGGTGTTGCGTGTCCTTCAAGTGCCAAGGTCTCGGCCGACGCCGACCCCTCTAAGCGGGCTGTGCTGAGGGAGCTATGGCCTGATTCCTGACTCGCTAAAGATGAGACCTGCCCCGGAACTGCTGGGCTGGATTTGAGCTCTGATTGGCCGGTTCGCCGGTCTTCACGATTGTGATGGTTCCTTTGGTGGACTTGATGTTGATGTTGATCCTGCACACCGAGCGTGCCGAGGGTCTGTCTAGGTCAATCATGCACATTTGGTTTGACTTTTTAGCAAAATCTAACTTGGATGGGAATTTGATACAAATGTGCATTCGATCTAGACGTGTCATTGCGTCCTGCTGGGCGGTCATGGCCATTCCGCACCAGCATCGGACAATTGATGCACTCCGCACCGAGCATCCTCCCATCCTTCTTGGCCAATGCAGATCCCGTTAATTGATTCGCTTAGCAGGCATCCGTATAATCCCAAACCGGCTTCATCTGGGGTTTCACAACCGAAAAGCTCATTGGCCATGTCGCCAAAGAATGACGAGTCCAGCATCAAACTCTGGGGAACGTAGAAAAGGAGGATTCTATGAATGGAGTCAACATTTGAACGAATTTATCGGCCAAGCCACCAGAACGGATACTGTATACGCGTTCTATTGGAGGGTTTGGGTTGATCTGGGAAGAGAGATGGGATATAAACAAGCTCTGTTTCCTGCAGAATGGAGTCAAACCATCAGTCCTTCATTCGTGTCAACTTCTATTAATTTGTTCTCTGTCCGCAATGAAGCTTCTTTCTACACTTTCGCTGTCTTTGGGGACTTTGACGGCTGCCCAGCAATTTGTGCCTCCTCCCAAAGGCCTTCAAGTACTGCAGTCGAGGCTCTTTCAAGGAGCAGAAATCTCGTACAAAAAGGTAGCCTCACCATTGAAGTAATCTTCAGAAGACACGACCATTTGTTGATAATTTGTTCATAGACATCTATCTGCGAGACCACCTGTGGTGTCAACTCTTATAGTGGCTATGTGACTCTACCGAAGCATTTACTCCCGGATGCCAAAGACTGGGACGATGATGTGTCTGCACACCTCTTTTTCTGGTATTTCGGTAAGTCATAGAAAATATCCCCTTTCTAAAAGACCGTGTACTTAATGGCAACATCCAAGAGTCTCGAAACGACCCATGTAACGCACCAACGTCGATCTACCTTGGAGGAGGACCAGGAACAACCTCGTTTGACGGTGCATCTGGTTTTCCATGCCTCTTCAACCCTAACGGAAACTCGACTACCTTAAATGAATTCTCCTGGAACAACAATGTCAATATGTTGTATGTGGACCAGCCCATCGGAACCGGATTCTCATACGCAAAACTGGCCAACGGGACTTTGGAAGTGCTCTCCCACACCTTTACCCCGTCAGAGGACGGTGAGGTTCCAGAGGTGAATGTTACGACTTTTCAAGCAACTCTTGACGTCAGACTCCCTGAAACGGTCCCGAAAACTACTATGAGTGCTGCAAGAACATTTTGGGCTTTTGCTCAAGTTTGGTTCAACGAGTGAGTCGACGAACGAAGCTGGACGCTGCTGGGTTACTGACGTTATCAAGGTTTCCAGAATGGAACACAGAGAGTGATGAGATTTCCTTATGGACTTCATCTGTAAGTGAGCCCAAGTTGGTCTTTTGCTCAAAACTGACCATCTCGATAGTATGGCGGCATGTACGGACCGCATTTCTTTTCCCATTTCCAAGACCAAAACGAACTCATCAAAAATGGAACACCCTCTCTCGAAAATGCAACGACTCTCAACCTCGCAACACTCGGACTAGACGAACCCGGCATAGACTATCGTGCCATGGCAATGGGGTACCCGACGTTCGGTCACAACAACACCTACGGAATCCAGGTTTTGTCAGAAGAGGTGTACGAGGAGCTCATGGCTCAGATTGTAGCCCCTAATGAAGGATGCTACGCTCTCATTGATCGATGCCGTGGGTTGGTATCCGAAGGCGATCCTGAGAGGTTTGGGATGAACGAGACTGTGAATGAAGCGTGCGTGGAGGCGACGAACATGTGCTTTGGAGTGATACAAGGCGCATATGGAGAACTATCTGATGTGAGTCTGAGTTGCCATGACTGAATAACGCCCACGATGTTAATAATTCTAGCGCTCCCCCTTCGACGTTACTGTTTCCAACGTTACAGTGCTCCCATGGCACTACATGGATAATTACTTCAACCAGGCCTGGGTGCAGCAGGAACTTGGCGTGCCTCTCAATTTCACCGCCGACTGGGGACTCATCGCCAAAATCTTTCTTGGAGAAACTGGTGATGCGATGGTTGGTAGCTTTACCACATTGGAAAAGGTGATCAAGCGTGGCGTTAATGTAGCCATCGTGTACGGTGACCGAGACTACCGATGTCCTTGTAAGTACCGCCAAAGTATTACAACTTCCTGATACTGATCTTGTATGCAGGGTATGGCGGTGAGAATGTCAGTTTGGCCCTGGATTTCCAGGATGCCGAAGGGTTCCGTTCCGCGGGCTACGCGTTCATCACAACAAACTCGTCAAACAAAGCCGGCTTCGTACGAGAACACGGTAAACTCTCCTTTTCGCGCATCTTTCAAGCCGGCCACGGCGTACCGGCTTACCAACCCGAAACCATGTACAATCTCTTTGAACGAGCCATGTTTGGCCGCGACGTTGCCACTGGAAAGATCAACCTGGCACAGAACGGGAACCATAGCACCACTGGCCCGAAGAGTGTGGCAGATGTGAGGAACAATGTCACGGAGGTCTTGGAAAACATGTGCTTTGTTCGTCTTCCGGAGAGCTGTACCGATGAGCAGTTGGCTGCTCTGGCAAATGGGACTGCTGTGGTGAAGGATTGGATTGTTGTTGAGCCTCAAGGGAAGAAGCCTAAGCCAATGCAGCAGCACGGCGACAAGGGTGGGGAGGGTTTTTTCTCAAAGCGTACCTGTCATTTTGCAGAACTGCTTCTCAGTTGACGGGATATCATTCACTACTAGCATTTGCTGTCTGAGACAGCTACATCATCTAGTTGAACCTGGACAAATGCCTAGGGTTTTGAAGGTTGAAGTACGCTGTTTTTCTTTTACAAAATAATTTATTTTCTATCTAGAAGTATATAGTACAGTTATAACATGCATACTGGGTCACGAATCTAGACACGTCCCATTTCCCTCCTTGCCCATAATGGTGAGTTGATGCTACTTTATTTAACCTAGGCTGAAGCCGGACTAAGCGCTAGGATGCCTTGTCCTTCAACCACCCTTGGCAGCGATGGGGACATCCATAGTACATGGCCAAGTTCCTATGGAATTTAGTCAAACAAACTTGAGTTCTGTACGCATTCCAAAAAGCTTGAATCACATTTGCAGTATAATTCAGGCAGTGCTTCCAGCCGCAGCCTTCCCCGCGATCTAACTTTGTTATATCGCCCCCGCTCTAGCTGAGCAATGTTTCAGTTCAGCTGCCAATATTTACGCAACTTATCACACGCTAGTGGAATGTGATATCGGTTTGTGGAGAGCTGGATAGTGGTAAAAGCACATATACTCGATCTATAACATGAGATCAAGTATTTGAATACGGCAATAGACGCATATATAGATACTCTCTCTATCATGCCAACAAAGCTCACAACTATGAATATAAAGACCTTCCTACTCGGCTCTTTGAGCCTCCTCCCCCACGCTCATGGAGCGAAACCCGCTCTTCCTACACTGGATCTTCCTTGGGGATCATACCCGGCTACCGTCCTTCCGGCGGACAAAAATGTGCGACGCGTATCGAACTCGTGTACGGACTCAGCTAACAAATGAAAGATCTACCTATTTGAGAATGTCCGCTTCGGAGCCCAGCCGGTACGTTTCGGCGCATCCGATTTCCCAGAGGACAGCAACAGCAGCATCCAAGTAGCCCCCAAAGTTACGGATTGTCTCCAAATCAACCCAGCTCTACTGAGCAATGGACCTGGCGGTAAAAGTCCCCTCGGCGATCCTAACCAGGACCTTGACCCAGACAAGCCGCATACTTCTACGGCGTCCCCCTGGAGTGGAACTGAAGACTGCCTCTTCCTTGACGTCTATGTCCCACGGTCAGTGTTTGACAACCCAGGTTCCCAACCGCTACTGCCCGTAACCGTCTGGTTCTATGGAGGGGCATATGCATTCGGTACAAAGAGGATGAGTACCGGTCCTCTCTACAATGGAAGGTCCCTCATCCAAGCCTCTAATTACACAACCATCTTCGTCGCGGGAAACTATCGGCTTGGAGCTTTTGGGTGGTTGGCTGGCTCCTTCATGCAGACCAACGGCCTGCCCAATGCCGGGCTATACGACCAGAACCTCTTACTCCGATGGGTTCAGAAGTACATTGGCAAGGTCCACGGAGATAACAACACTGTCAGTGCCTGGGGAGAGTCAGCCGGCGGTGGCTCTATCCTCCACCACCTCATCCGAGGGAATGGACAGCAGGATCCGCTGTTCACCCGTTTTGTTACACAAAGTCCTGCCTTTGAATGGGCGTGGGACAACTCAGTCGGCGGCCAGCTGGATCAAGTCTACCAGAACTTCTCAGATTCTCTTGGCTGCCATTCCCCATACGATATCGAATGCATCAGAAACGCGTCAATCCCACTGGAAACCCTGGCGTTGGCGAACGTGAAGCTTTTCGAGAGCGTCAAACAGACTGGGCTTTTCCCCATCGGGCCATCTGTGGACAATGCCTGGATCAAGACGATTCCTACTCTGGCCTTTTCCCAAAGTAGGTAACAACCAACATGCCGTCTTGATGGTGATGCTAATATCTTGACATAGAAAAGTTTTGGACGGGGATCAAATCCGCCATCGTCTCTCACTGCGCGAACGATGCTCAGCGTTTTACCCCAGACAGTGTCAAGGATAACACTACCTTCTACGGGTTCTTGACCAAGTTCCTTCCAGGCGAGAGTTATGGCCCCTTGAGAAAGAAGATTGCAGACCAGTATAACTGTGTGAAGGATTACGGCGGAGACTACAATCTCTGCCTACGCCACGTCATTCGGGACGCATCCTTCACATGCAACACAAGAGATCTCCTCGACGCGTATCCGAAGCAGGCCTACGCCATGAACTATGGCTTTCCCAATGATGACCTGGCATATCATGCAACTGATCTCGTCCCGCTGTTCGCTAATCTCGATATACGGGGACAGATCTTCGTTATGTTTTGGAGAGTGTTCAAATACCCTCTCAAAGAGGCAAACCATTGGGCACTACAGCTGCGCTCAATAGTCATACCAACATATCTGCGGTACTTTTCGTCTTTCGCACGTTATGGAAATACTGATGGTACTGGAAATGCTGGATGGCCGGTCGTTAATGGATCTGGACCACTCTTGTCTAACGTCATGAAGCCTTCAGCGAACGGGTGGAATCTGGTTGAAGATGACCAAAATTCAAAGGACACATGTGCCTTTTGGCAGAGCATAGCGCAGGATATTATGAAACCCCAGCCTCCTCAGGGATGGGAAGCGGAGGAAGCGGATATTGGTACGAATGTCCAAGAGGAGCTTTAAGGGCGATGGGCTACCAAGGGAGTATATGCGACTAGTTACACAAGGGCTCTCGCCTTATTCAAATGCCTAGAACTGAGCAACAAACTTCCCGGTTGTCTAAGTCATCATTAGCTCGTATTCTTCATAGGAAAAGGGGACACTTACACTGCCAAACTTGCTCGTGACATCATTCAGTTGATCAAAGCCCACCGTGTTCACCACTGGCTTCACAGTCCCTCTCCGAACAAACTCAAGAGCCTCTAGCGTGTCAGTCCGCGTACCCACCAAGGTCCCAATGATTCTGATTCCTCGATCCATAATCGTGATGGGGTGTAGAGTCAACAGCTGGTCTGGAGGCGGGATTCCCACGCAAACCAAGGACCCAAAGACAGCAATGAGATCCAGCGCTGTTTGATATGCCTTGCCGGAATTTGCAGTGACGATAACTGCCTTTGCTCCCACCTCGTCGGGAGTTATCTTTTTGAGAGCAGACACAATATCTGGATCCGTAGCGTCAAAGTACGCGTCAGCACCCGCCTTGAGACAGGCTTCCTGAGAAGGTCCGACATCGACAGCAGCAACTTGATATCCCATGGCCTTTGCATACTGCACGGCGAGTCCTCCAACGCCTCCAGCTGCTCCTACAACGGCCACCCACTCTCCTGGAACAGCTCCGCATGTTTTGACCGCCTTGTATGCCGTGACGCCACCGCACAGCACTGGAGCGATGAGTTCATCCGACAGAGCAGGATCCTCGGGAAGAACCAACACGTATCGACTCGGCACGACACAATGCTCAGCAAAAGTTCCATCCCAATTCCGCCCCGAATTCTGAAGTTCGCGACATCTCGTCTCGCCACCAGGCTCACGACAACAGGAGCATTTTCCACAGACATCACGAACCCAAGCAATGCCAACGCGATCACCCGTCTTGACGATACTGGGGTCAACTCCATCACCGATTCGTACAACGCGGCCTACACCCTCGTGGCCGAGGATATCACGGCATGGACCAAGATGACCAGCTGCAAGGCCCATATCGGTGCCGCAGACACCCGTGGCGGAGAGTTTGACGAGGACTTCCCATGGCTTGGGCTTCGGGATTGGTACTGAACGGACTTCAAAGCGGAAGCTGGAGTCTGAACGCTGTGTCTCGTTAGGTTTGGATTACTGATACGAGGGGGTGTGAACTCACGACCACCACAGCAGCCTTGTGGAGAGGCTCTTGAGTTACCGTCATTTGGATTATAAGATAGACAGTGGCTTGATCGGAAAGTATGCAAGGCAACAATGGGCTCTGTTTGCGGACGCGTGCATGCTCATATCCTAGTTGAAGCTACAAAAACGCCGATCAACAAAAAGGTAAGCCGAGGCAGTACGCGTTCTTAAAGTTTGACTCTCGGGCCGCCACGAGCTGGAATGCGGAGGTGGGAAAAGCCCCGGACGCCACAGACGCGGACCAACCTCCAAGTAGGCTTGGTGCCACGTAGTGAAGCCTCACCAAGACTCCTTACCAGGATGCCCCAGACCTGTGATGCGTCTCCATTAATGCCGCGATCCAGTGCCGATGGTCCCCTTGTTTGCGGGGAAGCGATCTGCGAGCTTTGCGGGGTTGTGAAGCCATCGGCGCGGTAGATGCCTTGGTGTTTTCGATTTCTGGTGAGGGGAAGCTCCGTTGCCGATTCTTATCGGATCCATTGTTCCTTGGGGCTAGTTATTGGGTTCTCAAGAGTCGAGGAAATGGGCAATTATAGCCCCGAGAGTAGAATATGTACACTTATAGCTCTTGACTGAGCAATGGCTGAAACATGTTGGAGGTTGGGGTTCCCTGTCGACTCTGGCTCTGGCGGAAGCATCTAAAGGGCAGCGCGATAAGCGCCAACACCTGTGCACAAGATAGTGTTGGTAGTCCTCTTATACGTTTATTGAATGAATCAATTGATTGGGCATTGCGAGTGCTAAATATATCTATAGAAGAATGCGGTGCTAGAAACCCATAGGTTGTCATCGTCAATAATGGCTCAAAATCCACATCTGGGCCATCATGGTTTTGATGAATGCATCTAGGGTCTTTGTGAGATGCACGCACTATATCTGATTTTCGAGTTAATAAATGTCCACCCCAGAGGAGGCTCTGCGTTGTCACATAGAGTTCATGATTAAGTAAAGACTCTACCTAGCCAAGTCAAGGAGCAATATCAACGTCTGAAGGCTATAGTGAAGCTACCAGGATGTTTTCGTTATACATAACCGGAATCCCTTATCCAGCCGAAACCTCCAAGATGCACAACCCTCAATGCAACACCGTGTCCGCTTATCAGACATCGACTTGCATAAAACTGTCCGAATACCTCCCCACCGTGCGCTGTGTTGTTAATGCTACCATGTCCGGGCCCTGTCCGAGCCTCCACATACCCTGCAGCTTGCATTGTTGCATGAGTCGCGGCCCGGGCCATGGTGGGTTTTTGTTTATCAGGTTTTGAAACATGTAGGCAAGCTATCGTTACGTGCAGGTGGAGTTTTATGTGCCATTGAGATATTTAAACCGGTGATTCCGCAGAGACTTTGGCTCAATGCCCTTTGTATTATTCTTGTTTTGTGCCTAACTTGAACATTGACAGAATACACGTTCGATTGACTCAAGATGGCAAGCAATTCCGAGGCCAATCCGTTGACTCTGCCCCCCGGCATCGAGGCCACCGTCTTTCACAAGTTCATCGCGGCTGCCAGGGGGGTCACTGGCTCAGAAAATGTTACCATCATCTCCAAAAAGGAACAGCTGAGCAAGGACCAGTATCTTGACCAGAGCAAAGCCCACGACATGTTTCATATCACCGGCAAATCCTACTTCGTGTCTTCAGCCGTCATCACTCCTCGAGACGTCGCCGAAGTTCAGGCAATGGTCAAACTATGCAACGAATACGAAATTCCGCTTTGGCCATTTTCCATTGGTCGAAACGTTGGCTATGGCGGTGCTGCTCCCCGAGTTCCTGGATCCATTGGACTTGAGCTCGGCAAGCACATGAACAAGGTCCTCAAAGTTGACGTTGATGGAGCGTATGCTCTGGTGGAGCCTGGCGTGACATTCACAGATCTTCACGAATACTTGGTCGCCAACAACCTGAGAGACAAGCTTTGGGTTGATGTTCCTGACCTCGGTGGAGGATCTGTCATTGGCAACACAACTGAGCGCGGTGTTGGCTACACACCATATGGTCTGAGTCCCTGCTATTGTTTAGACTGAAATGCCACTGACTACTCATAGGCGATCACTTCATGATGCACTGCGGCATGGAAGGTAATAATCGAATCTCACTTCTTTGGGCCGGACGGTAAATCTGACACTCATTAGTTGTACTACCTGATGGAACTCTCGTCCGCACGGGAATGGGCGCTCTTCCAAACCCCAATGCCAACCCCAACGCGCCTCCACATGATCAAGAGCCCAACTCGGCCTGGCAACTCTTCAACTACGGCTTTGGCCCGTATAATGATGGTATCTTTACTCAGTCTTCCCTAGGCATCGTGGTTAAGATGGGCGTTTGGCTCATGCCGAACCCGGGTGGTTACCAGTCTTACATGATCACTCTTCCTCGCGACGAGGATCTCCACCAGGCTATCGAGATTATCCGACCTCTCAGGACATCAATGGTTCTTCAGAATGTGCCTACTGTGAGGAGTATCCTCATGGATGCAGCTGTCATGGTAAGTTGGTTATGCCCTTGCTGATGAAAGAGCGTGACTGACAGCTCAAAGGGCACTCGTGCGTCGTATACATCCTCTGAACATCCTCTTACCGACAAGGAACTTGACGAGATCGCCAAGAAGCTCAACCTCGGACGCTGGAACTTTTACGGAGCCCTCTACGGACCTGAGCCCATTAGAAAGGTCATGTGGCAGATCGTCAAGGAGGCTTTCTCGGCTATTCCTGGAGCCAAGTTCTACTTCCCCGAGGACATGCCAAACAATCTCGTCCTACAGACTAGAGACCTCACGCTACAGGGCATTCCCACGACAACTGAGCTGGAGTGGGTGTAAGTTATCAGAGCCAAATTCCTCACAGCCGATCGTTTCTAACTAGCCTCATAGTAAATGGCTCCCTAACGGTGCCCACCTCTTCTTCTCCCCCATCGCTAAAGTCACAGGCGACGACGCCGTAGCCCAGTACGAACTATCCAAGAGGCGCTGCGAAGAGGCCGGCTTTGACTTCATCGGCGACTTTTGCATCGGCATGCGAGAGATGCACCACATCGTCTGTCTAGTCTTTGATCGCGAAGACCCAGACTCGTGCCGCAGGGCCCATTGGCTTATCAGCCAGTTGATCGACGATGCGGCAAAGAGGGGATGGGGAGAGTATAGGACGCATCTGGCGTTGATGGATCAGATTGCGCAGACGTATAATTTCAACAACAATGCGCAGATGCGTCTCAACACTACCATCAAGAATGCCTTGGATCCTAAGGGTATCTTGGCGCCCGGGAAGAATGGGATCTGGCCCAAGGGGTACGATGCTAGCAAGTTTGTGGTTCGCCCAGGGACATTGACTCGAGGACCGAATTTGTAAATGGCTATTTTTCAGCAGATGCCGAGTTGTGGCAAAATATCTACTCTGCGACTGTGCTTTTTACTTTGTTTGAGATATTAAATAGTGATCAACAATTTTGAAATAGTGCTATTCGTCACGCCATTTGAGTAACTGTCTATGGAGCATAGGAGGAAAGATGGCGGTTATTGAACCAAAGCAACTCTTCTAGGCTGCGACCTTGTACATATTAGGTGCAATGCTAGAGTTGTGTAACCAATTGCTATCTCCGCCTCTATGAGAAGGCAAGATACCACCCCGATGCCACCACCACAGTGCTGTCGAATACAAAGACATCGAACATGCGTATATGCAAGCCATCCGACAGCTAGAGACTTGGTTCTGTCTATAATGCCTCATCTATTTTTTCCAGCCAGTCCTATCTAGTCACGCGACCCTAGGTGCAGTTTGTGTGTTGCAGTGGCGCAAGTGTCTTCCTATCAGAACACCACTGTCTAAAGCAACTCGTAGCGCATTCCCTCAGCCTGCTTGCCAAGACCTCTAATGGTTGCTCAGCTCTATTGCATTTTTGTATATTTTTGGCTTGCTGAAATTGTGAAATTGGGTAGAAACAGGGGGTTAAAAGGGAGGAGGTTCTTACACCTTTTTTTCTTCTTGCTTTCTCCTCACTTATGTCCTATTTTCACTATGGCTCAATACCAAGAAATCCGCGATATCGAGACGACTTCTCGACCATTGACTCCCAAGTCATACTCGAACTGCTCAGAGACAATTGTCGATGACCTTGGTCGATACGATGCGTCTCGTGACGAACCCACCAACGAATCTGAAGTAAACCTCTTCCCACTAGAACCTGGGCCGCAACCAGGGCCACGACGACGACGATACAATAGGTGGCGAAGCATCGGAAAACTCCGTTGGTTTACACTCGTGTTCGGCACCCTCGTCAATTTTGCATCTTGCGCGCTTCTCATCTTTCTCTGGGACGGCGCCGACGCTGCCTCGAACCGCAAGGAACCAAAGTCCTTCTGGAACACCATCGTCTTTCGCAAATGGGCTCCCGGTACGGCCACAATCTGCTCTGCTGCTCTTCGTACCTCGATGGCCTTACAACTCGGTGTCGTTGTATCGGCTCTGTCCGCCATTATGCTCGAGACGTGTGGCGTGTGCTTCCAAGACATCCCCATCTTCTCTCCCGAAAGGGCATTGCTTTCAAGTCCCACAAACATTGTTTTGGCGGTTCTGAGACGATCAAAGCGTGGCTTCTCGGGACTCATATACTCCTTCATCATAGTCACCGCAGTCATGGTCATGGTCTTCTCTACCTTCATCTCTACTGTCCTCCTCTCTGACTTCACAACGAAACAGATCGCAGCACCAGCCATTACCGAAAGTCTGAAGCTGACCTTCAATGAAAGCGCCAAGTTCAAAGAAGATAATGGTGTTTCGTACTGGAAATCCAAACCTGCCGCGTGGAGGTTCGCAGAGGTTCAGGTCGGCAAGTCCTCTCCCGGCGACACAGGCGATACCTATCGAGCCATGCTGCCCTTCTTGGACGAATCTTCGAGGACATCGTTGGAGTTTTACTCTGGGCCCGCCATGGTTGTCAATACCCGTACTATCTGTGAGCCGTTGCCCTTGGACGTGTTCAGCATTGAACAGAATGCGTCAAGTGTCACAAAACGACGGCTGCCGGGGAGAATTGGCATTCCCATTTCCAACGAACAAACCTCTCGCTTTGGCGAACAAACCACTCGCTATTCGGGGCCATTGCATGGCTCAGTGGTCTTGCACATAGGTAGAGAGGGCGTCAAGGACACTCATCTATGCCAGATGCACTCAAACACAAGCGATGGTGAAAGCTGGCCTATCTCATTGTGCGTGGGAGTTCCCGACCGAGACCCCATCACCGGCAAGAACGAATCGGACCTCAGCAACGGAAAACCCTATGCCTTCTGGGAGATCATCATCTTCAACACAACTAGAAACATCGAGCAACGAGTCGCTATCACAACCTCTAACCTTGAACATCTACTCCCTCCTTTGAACGAAAGGGCAGACCAACCCCAAAACTGGACGTCAAAGCCTAATGGACTATGGACAACAGCTTATGACAATGGCCTGGAAATGTTCAATGCCTCTATCTGCTACTTCAACGTATATCGACCACGGATATACAATGTTACCATGCGCGGACATGCCATACAATTTGAACCCAATGGCACTTGAAGCATACACCGCCAGCTTGATGTAGAGGAGCCTTCATGGGAAGCTCGTGGCATCCTCAACCTTACGTCTTATGAGGAAGATGACCAAGAGGACTTTGAGGAGGATGTGGACCCAACTTTCAACGTCACCTTGAGCGAGCATCCTGTACAAGCTCGATCCGCTTGGAACATGATGTACGATGGAAAATCCGACTTTAGGTGGAGGGCCCATCGAGATCACGGATCAACCTTTCAGAGTATCCTCCAAGAAAAGGGCGATCCGACTATAGCCATCCAGGCCCTAGGAACTCGGATACACCAGATGATCTATTATGACTGGCTCAAGGACTTTGATCGCGAGTACCAAGTCAAAACGATACACTCGACCGAAACCCTCATCCCAGGACGATGGATTGGACTTATTTCAGTTCTGATTCTTACTGGGGTCCATCTTGTGATAGTTTTTACTACAATCGTGCTTTTCTTGTCAAACACGAATGCTTCCGCACTTGGAAATGTGTGGCAGGCGGCTGCGCAGATTGCCCACACGACTGGCGCCGTAAAATCAGCTGACGGGATGTTGGACAAGGAGGTACACAAGTGGGCAAAGACAACAGGCTTGGATAAGGAGGTGTACTCAGTATCGGAGTCTGCTGAGGGCAATGGGATTGAGATTGGACTTCGGAACCGGAAAAGGGATTGATGGGGACTGTATGGAGTCTAGATCGAACTTACTGATGGTGTGATGCTGGGTGTATGCATTGTATTCTGTGGTGTTATCTCTAGTGTTTGTATATTTGTAAGGCTCCTTTGTGAACATGATGACGTTTTTAAAAGAAGACATGAGAAAGAGTCACTTTTTTTTAAAACTAAACAGCAAATTTATGTATCAAGCGTCAGTAAAAACGGCCGGAAAGCAACGAGACAGTGCTCAGCCTGAATTGGCTCTTGAAGACAGGTACTATATACAGCCCGGCAGGTGCGTAACTTGGACCTTGATAAGGCTAAGTCCCCACTAGGAGGAGTTTTTTAGCACTGATACATTTTAACTCGCCTTATTCTGAATTCACATTGAATCTTCAAATGGGGATATTACGTAGCATATAAAGCTATTAGATCTTTGCTCGAATATTGTAGACGTGTTGGTCTAACCGAGCTCATTGTCGCGATTCAGCTGGCTTGGGGTAGCGATCACAGGCTTAGGAAAGTTGTCGTTCACTTGCTTAATCGCGTCGTCCCTATGTCATTTGGCCCAATCTCTACCATTCCGATACGTTTGGAATGATTCCCCAATCTCTTTTAACCAGGGCTCTAATTCTTTGGCGTCTATATTAGAAAGACGCAATAACCTCATAGCTACCTCGTAGCTAACATTCAACTAATTAGAAAGATCCAGTCTCAGGCGGGGTTACATAATTTAGGAGGACTCGAGGGCAGATTTCGAGACGATCTCGCGCTTTGCAACCCCGCTGAATTGGTGTACCGAGACACCCTTCACCTACAAGCACAATACGTAGCCACACCAACCCTGGTCTTGCCCAATCTTGCCCAACTTTCGCCCGACTTTACCGAAGCTTGCCCAATCTTGCCTGATTTTGCCCGATTTTGCCCAATATCGCCACGTTCTTGCCCAATCACTGCATGGCCCGCCACTTTTGGGGCCAATTACTTTTCTACACGTCGAATATCTGTTTAGCGTTGTGACACAGCATGTAGCATTGTCCAATCATGAGGGAAGTTGACACCTCGAGGGGCTCTCTTGGCACGCTCGAGGACCAAATGTGAAAGGCTGGGCCTCACTGATACTGTTTGCAGACTATAAAAACTCAACATCTCCATCTCCTTACTCTTCATATCTCAGTTCAGATGTAAGCCAGAATTCTAGTTCTTTTAAGTACGGCACTAGCCTTCACGTTTGTCAGTGAGAGGGTAAGAACAATTATCTCCACACACTAGAACATGGAAGGGCTTGAGGCTGACAATTTCAGTTGCTTCAACTATTCTGGAGATGTCTCCAATGATGCTTCAACTCCCACCAGGACCTGTTAGTCTCGAAAAGTTCATCGTCGCATTGGATCACAATGCTCATACAATTATGCAGGGTGGCTTAGTTCTTTGGAACACTTGGTCCTTGGTACTGCTTTTCTACCTTGCAAGAATTTTCCCGGTATCTAACAGGAAAAGCAGACACACCTGATGATTTGACGGCGTTTGGAGAGACTAGCTGTGTCATTGGTAAGAGTTGAAGGTTCTACTTAATTTTGTTGCTGAACTGATATCATGTACCTCCAGCAACAACCGGCGATCTAGAGCCGTCTCAGGGACAGCCATCTCTGTCCACGCCTGCAACTAGTAAGAGGATTATTTTATGAGACTGTTCTCTGTTGATCAAAACGATAGCTTGGAATTACCAATCCTCAGCCCAACCCTCTGGACAAGCTTTATTACCTCTGCTGTGAGACATCAGAGAATTCATGAGATGAGGCAATCGCTGTGATATGAGACTGACGCGTTATAGCCCACAACCAAACTTCGATTGGTCTACGACTTACAGCATGGACGAAGCGGCTCGGGCAAACGAACAACCCCATGCAGGATCGTTCATCCCTATTGACGGGGCACCGGAACCACTCGAACGTATTGGTCAAACCGGCCATGGGACATTACCTCCCAATCCATCAGCGGTGGAGTAAGTCTTGCAAATGGCTGATTAATCCATATTGACATTGCCACAGGAGACACGAAGACAACCAGAATCTCCAGCAAAGATGCCCGCACTCATCCTGCACCAACAAGCGCTTCCGCGACAAAGGCAACCTAGACCGTCATATGCGCGAGGTCCACAGCTCCCAAACCTTCTTTTGCCCAGTCGTGTCTTGCCAACGCAACAAGAGAGGGTTCAATAGAAGGTACAATCTGCTAGATCACCAAAAGAGACGACACAGACAGAACATCCCGGGTATATCGGAGGGACGGTTAAATGGAGACCAAATCTTTCAAGAGAAAGATGATGCTTCGGAGTCAACTCTGGACGGTTCAGCCAAGTCACGTAGAGCCCGCCAGAATGAAGGCACAACGAATGAAGAAGGCTTGCGGGTGAAACTAGAATCGCTTCGAGCGACGAGAGCGGAGCTTGATGAGGATATTGAAGCGCTGGAGAAGGCATTGAGTATTATCGGCAATGATTATTCATAAATCTCTTATAGCACTTGCCGAGGTTCGGTTATTGTAATTCTAGGTTATTGCTATCAAGAACAATGTGGCAAGGAACTTTTCCTAGTGGCCATTTGATGGCGTTGCTGACCGAGAGTTAGTAACCTCGACCTCGCCACGATATAAGACTGGCCCTGGCTAGATATGTCGGAAAGCCCAATTCATTCAGATTGCCATGCCTGGGTCAGCATCCCCATATGCGAGTTTCTTGCCGAGCTTGCTAGCATCCTTCAAGTCAAGGCTGCAACTTGTGAAACACTTGGATGCTTTAGTCCCCATACAGACAAATGATGGGCCGGCAATGATCAAAGTGACGTGGCATCATGAGGAGAGCGCGGAGGGTAGGACGCCTGTCAATCTTAAGCTGTCTGTACGGAGGGAACACAGAGAGAATACCGGTGATGTCAGAGTTTTAATAGTTCTTTCTGCTCAAAAGGGTGAAATGGCTCTTCTGAGGACAGAGAGAGTGTGGAAAATTGTCCTTTAAGTAGAAGGGACTTCTTTAAAAGTTGCAACATCATCTTCATAACAGTTCATGCCTTTGACACTACAGACCCTGCTCCTTAGCGCGCAAACGAGACAAATTCCGCTTGATAGTAGATCTGGGGAAACAGGAAAACCAACTTCATTAGTGCCACATTCCGTCGTCATAACTGACTTTGACTATTGCTGGATGGCACAATCTCCACCCTAGAACGGTCAGCTAATGCCTCAAACTGGTGATGTACTGACAGGCGAGGAGGACAGACCCTATATACTAGGAAGGATATATCCATTACTGAGTAGTTTAATTCGTCTCCACTGTCTACGTGTGAGTAAGTAAAATGTAACGTAATGGCCTTGCTATAATAGGCCGTTGACCAAGACGAAATAAACTATTGAATCTCGCAATCGTTCCGACCACGGTCTCCAACCAACAGAATCATTTGCGGACATCCAAACAGGCCAGTAAAGCTGAAGTGGTACGTAATAAAGCCAACGGTCCATCCGAATCCCCAGCATCCCACACTCGGAACCATATTCCTCACTTGAGCCCGTGCGACCGCTTACATGTCTACAACAAGCTGATGCCATTCCGCCCTTGACTGATAATGCATCAAATCCTTGAACTCTTCATCCTATGAGCGGCACGAAAGTTGCCGGCCACCCCGGAAACATCTCCGCTCTCATCGGCCGAGAGATCTATCACGCAATCGGCGGCCCCGATTCCTAGTGTCCGAGAACCAGGGTGATCCCCATTTCGTCGATTACGCCATCTCAAATATACGGGTGATGTTGTGTGTTTCAGCGGGCCGCTGATCTCAAGTTGAGAGTTTGAAAAGGGGGTCTCTCCCACAATATCCCACCGGGAGTGATGGGGCCTTTCAATCTACGAGTTTGAACTATGGAGATTTGCGAACCAACGTGGATTCCGGGTCGAGCCGCTTCTTGCCGATGGATCCAAGCTCATGAGAACCAAAGTGGACCTTTCACTGTGTCTCTGTTTAAAGACGTGACGAGGTGATTTGGGACATGTCGATCACCGTTCATGCAGAGAAGAGTAGAACCCTTCTCGAAGAGTTCTACATAGTAGGTCAAATGTTTCTTCAATGACACGTCAAATCATCCGATAGTCTTTCAAAAGTTTCAACCCAACCTGATTTCTCTCCTACCTGGTGGTTTCGCCATGTTGGCGACGTCTGTTGTCATCGCGCACCCTGCGCATCCTCCCACTCGGCCCCCCTGGTTGTATCATTCGCCCCTACAATGTCGAAATAAACAACAAGGGGAGAAGCATCGCTAGAATGTCGGCCAAGTATTTGCCTCCCGAGGAAAAAATCATGTACGCCGAGGTCGCATTGTATAAGTAGCTCTGGGCTTCTAGCTTGTTTCTTGAGTTCATGCAGCAGAAATCCTTGGCTACAACTACGGGCTTGGCTCTCTTTTCTTCTTTGACCATCCCTGCTGTTTCTTGTTTTGTTTCTACGTCATGGCCTGGCGCAGACCATTCAGCGGTGGTGAAGCCGAGGCTGCCACTGTGCTAGAGGGCCAGAGGGAGGAGATTGCCGATGGCAACACTCACTACATTGCTGAGAAGGGAGGCAACAATGCTCAAGCTACCTATCAGGATGCCACTGGTGCTCCAGTTGAGAATAACTCTCCTCTGGGTTACTCGGTCGGTCCTGTTACCATCACCTTGCTCAACATTACCATGATGATTGGCGCTGGTATCTACTCGACACGTATGTTGTTGATGCCTGAACGGATTGAACAATACTGACTTCGCAAAGCATCTTCAATTCTGTCTGGTACCGGCTCTGTTGGTGTCAGTTTTGTCTACTGGACTCTCGGTTATCTGGTATGCCCCCTTGCTTATAAGATATAGTCTGCCAAGACCGAAGACTAACCTAGTCCCAATTAGCTGTGCATGGCCTCTGGAGCTGTCTACCTCGAGTTTACTGCCTACTTCCCCAGTCGATCCGGCTCCGAAGTCGTCTTCCTCGAACAAGCCTACCCTCGTCCCATGTGGCTCTTCCCTACAACCTTTGCCGTGCAGAGCGTCATCCTCTCGTTTGGAAGTGCAAACGCTACCGGCAAGTCAAACATCGCTCCCACATTTTATGCGTAAACTAATACGCCGTGACAGTCATGGCCAACTATCTATGGGCTATTTCTGGACACGAAGGCACCAACTGGCAGATCAAGGGCACGGCTCTAGCTTGCTACACTCTTGCCACTCTGACCCTCGTGTTCAACACCAAATACGCCTACTGGTTCTCCAACGCCGTCGGAATCGTCAAGGTCTGCACTATCTTGTTCGTCATCATCACCGGATTCGTCGTCCTCGGCGGCAACACCAAAGTTGAGAACCCCACCGCCAACTTCAAGGATGCGTGGTCTGGCAGCTCCAATGCATCAGCTTATGGCATGACCATTGCCCTGTACCGTATCATCTTCTCTTATGGAGGTTATAACAACGCCTTTAACGTCGCCAACGAGGTCAAGGTAAGAACACGAAGTTGTGGTGATGGGACTCGGCTGACTCAGTTCTTGACAGAACCCTGTGCGATCGCTCAAGATATATGCCACTATCGCCTTGACTACTGTGTATATCCTATATATGTTTGCAAATGTTGCATTTTTTGCTGCTGGTAAGTACACAATCACCGCCCAATCATTCATCTTGAACAGCCAAGTTGACCACCTTCGTGACAGTCCCTAAGGAAGACCTCGAGAACTCAGGCCTCACAGCCGCAAGCCTCTTCTTCAAAGCCGTTTTCGGAGATAGCGGAGCTGTCCGTGGTCTCAACTTCCTCATCGCACTTTCCTCATTCGGTAATATGATCGCCGTCATCATCGGCCTATCCCGAAGAATCCGAGAGTCTGGCCGACAAGGTGTCTTGCCTTTTACTAGGTTTTGGGTTTCCACAAGGCCATTTGGAACGCCTTTGGGACCGTATCTCGTTATCTGGTCGCTTACAGCTCTGATGCTTCTTGCTATTCCCGCTGGAGATGCCTTCACTTTCGGTTAGTGACCACTGCCCCTGACCGAGACACCTCGCTTACTAACACACCAACAGTCAACGATCTCGGCATCTTTCCTTCAGCTGCCTTCAACCTGGCCATGGCTGTCGGTCTCTACGTCGTTCGCTGGCGCCGAAGCAAGGCCAACCTGCCCGAGTCTGAGTTTAAGGCGTGGCACATTGTCATCATCTTTAACATTCTGATTCAGCTCTACCTTCTCATCATGCCCTGGTACCCTCCCGAGGGCGGACAGTATGCCGGAGACGTCAGCTTCTGGTATGCTACATATGCCGTCGTTGGTATTGCAATGTAAGCAACCCCTCATCTATCCCTGGGTGATGCACTGGCTGACACACTGTAGTCTTCTTATCTGCGGTGGATACTACTGGCTCTGGGCCTCCCTTCTTCCCAAGTGGAAGGGCTACCACCTTCGACAGGAGCTTGTCAGCTTCGAGGACGGCGCTCAGAGCAACCAGCTCCGAAAGGTTCCCAACGCCGAGATTGCAGAGTGGGATGCCACCCACGATGCTGCCGGACGTCGCATCGAGCCTTCTGCTACCTCGACTGGGATCCAAATTCAAGAAAAGGGTGTTCGAACTTCCTCTGATGATAGCAACTCGGATTCAGCCAAGAGGGTCAATACTCTTCGGGAGACACAGTTCTAGATGCTCAGGGTGGCTATCAGATCAGACTATCATTCAAATTTGCAGACTGAGGCTTTATCATAGAACTATCGAGATTGGTTTGATCTTGTCATACCGTTGATGGCTGTGAAGACTTCTCGCGGGATGTTTTCCTCATTACATGACCATCTTAATATCATCATCCTCATTCCCAAACGCCACAGCATTCTCAAAAGCCCAGTCTCGAATAGCATCAAAGTTCCGGCAGGTATGCAGCGTGCTAAAGTCAGGCCAATGGCTCTCAAACCCTTTGTAGTGCTTGAAGGTGAATACACCAGTATCACTTTGACACATCAGGTTCGTCCTCAACACTTCGATGCAATGGTCTGTACCAAGTTAGTACAAGCAATAGATTCATGTCAATCAACTCACCCAGATGCCCTCTCAGGTCCTTGGGCTCCACGTCGATGTCGCCGCCCTTGTCGGAGTAATACTCCTTGAAGCTATGCTGCCTCAACAAGTTCAAGCAGTGAAGCTGGTGAAAGACCTGCATGCCAACACGATAGCCTACTTGGCCTGTCTTGGGGCTCTTGATGGTAAGAGACGCGGGATCAAGCCCCAGTCGATCAAGCTCGTCCCGGGTGATCATTTGGTCTCCAACATCATATGTGATGTGATCCCATGCCTTGTCGACCTCTGGGCCATACCCGACAAACTCGGTTCTCTTGAGGGTTGGAGTTATGTTGTATCGCACCGTTCGGTAGTTGGCTACTACATCTGCGGGAGCTGCATTGTCTTAGAGCAAGCTCAAGGTGGAAGTTGAGGGGACTTACAATAGGGAGAAGTTGCTTGAGAGTAGCCAACGCTCAAGGGTTGTCGGATTTGAAGTATCAAAGACAAGACAAAGAAGGCCAGTGAAAACGACAACAGTATTCCATGGCACACCCAGACAATATACGGGTGTGTCGGATACCGTGCCAGAGGAGGAACGAGCTGTGTGTACTTTGGCAAAGGAGACAGAAGAGACTTCTCCTCAAACTGACGCTCTTCGTCTGAAGGAACAGGGCCGTATTTCGAGTCCATGATGAGTACAAGAATTAGGTAGTTGGAGAAAAAGGAATGAAAGAATTAGGTGCAGCCAGCTGACACCAAAAAAACACGAAAGAAAATGGCGAATCTATCGACAACGAAGAGAATGCTCAGCAAAAAAAACCTCACAAAATGGAACAGAGGCTTTCTATACTCACCTGCCATTCAAGTCGTGGTGCCACATCAACGTCATGATCTTTCACACTGTAAGTTGCTTCGGCGCTAACCGCCGACGCTTGAGACGCTAATCAGGCGGCCAAGACCGAAAACGCCAAGCTTTCCCGAGAAAAGGGACAGGGCGAGACGCCAAAAGAGTCGCGTAGGTAGCAAACGCGACCTCAAACGCAATGTCGAAACTCGCTTGGCGAAACCAAACAGAGGCGCCTATCAACGCGAGCAGGTCCCATCAGGATAAAACACTTAAGAAAGAAAACTTCAAACCTGACCAATAAGACAATCGTGGTTGGGGTGGTCATCTGTAACAGGGGTTGGTTGCAAAAGAGAACTTGAAGCATCTAGTGTCTTGTATTGGCTAGGGGTACACCGAAACGTTACTAAGACCTTGTGGCTAGCAGAAACCTGGGGAAAGAGGGATATATCCACGAATCACGTTGTTTGCCAAAGTTCTTTCTGGTAGTTGATCTTTTACGCGCTCAAGATGCAGATCAACCCCGATCTCAGTATCGTGGCTGCATACGGACGAACCATGGCTTCGGAAATGCCCAGAAACCGACTAGTATGAGAACCTCAAGTTTGGCGAGCGTGTCAACCGTTTCTATTCCTGTGCAAGTCGGATATTCGGCCCTCATAGGAACGGCAATTCGGCATCACTAGACTGGCATCGCGGCATTCAGGGCGTCAACTAGACTTCAGAGTTGAACGTGGAGGTTCTATTTTGAGAACTCTGTCTAAACTGTTGAGATGAGATCGAGGAGGTGAATGGTATAAGAAGCTCAAATCTTCTGTTGAGATGTAGTCTAATCACTCAACTCGACATCCATTCAACATTCTCCACAGCTTCGCCTGGCGCGACTTTCCAGCTTTTCTTCCATTGATTCCATTCTCAAGGGCTAGTCCCATCTTTTATTATCCAAATCTCTTTGACTGCCGGCCAGTTTTTTCTATCCACACTCAAAATGTATTTCTCCAACGTTATCATCGGCCTCCTTACGGCCCAGGCCCTGTCCAAGGGTGCTCAGCCAGGAGTTGCTGTCAGCAAATATGCAGTATGGCTATCTCATACCAGCCTTGAATCCCATGGTTCTAACTTTCTTACAGACTTTGATGGCTGCTGCAGCCCTGCCCGCCAGTGGTCTCCCACTCTTTGGCAGTCTCGAAGTTCGAGAGGTGAGGTTAAACATTCCGGCCCTGGTTCTCACTATGCTAACATCATGAAGCCTCATCATCAGGGCAACCAAGGGAATCAAGGCAACCAGGGCCAAGGTGGCCAGAATGCCAACGCCAACGCCAACGCCAATGCTGATGCGGCTGCCGGATGCAACAGCAAGAGAGACGAAGACCTTGTCCGTCGACATCACCAGGGAAACCAAGGCAATTCGAACGGTGCCAACGGCCAAGCTGCTGCTGGCGCTGGAAATGACAATGCCTGTGGCAACGACAATGCAGCTGGTAACGCCAACGGGAATGCTGCTGCAGGTGCTGACAATGCCGCAGCCGGAGGCAACAATGGCAACGCTGCTGGCAATGCTAACAGTAACGCCAACGGTAATGCTAATGGCAATGCTGCTGATGATGCTACTGGAAACACTGCTGGTGGCAATGCTGGTAACGCTGGTAACGCTGGCAATGCCTGTAATAACAAGAGAGGCATTATGGGGCTTTTTACTAGACACCATCAAGGTGGCCAGGGCAACGCTGCCGGCTGTAACTGAAGTGCAGTGTGGATACCTTCCTGGGCGAGCCTTGGGGCTCTCGAATTGAGGCATGAGATACTTTGTTAAGGGCTAGGCAATTCAAATATTAACAAGTAATCTGCGTATAGAGGCACAACCGCATCAACTATCATTACATAGGAAAGACTTGAATCTAGGAATTCGGTTGAGTTGGTGCAGCAGTAAGAAGCGTCTACCTTGGGCGTCAATAGGATACTGCGACAGAATCTCTATAATACTGTCACTTTTTCTTTTTACCTCTTCTACCTTCTTCATGGGACTCACTAAAGAATTGCAGGCCATAGTCATTTAATACCCACTAAATATATAGTACCTATTAAGGCTTCTTTGCAACATGCTTTAAAACCCTCAGTAGTCAATCCCCCGGAGTAACTGGCCAACTTCAATTTCCTTTAGGGCTTCCACCTGTCCCAACAAATCCGTAACGCTAGAATGCGCCGTAGGCACCTCAGACTTCATATCTGACACGATGCACAAGAAAGAAAACACAGGGCTCTGGGGGATTTGGGTTTCGTACGTCTCCAGGAACGTAGTGAGCGGGTCATCAGAGTCGCCCATACCGGCAACATGGTTGTCAGGGGGCTCTTCGATACGATCCTTTTCATCGATCGAGATTTGAGTGATGACATTGCTGAAACGGACTGTAGGAGAGCTCTTGTCTTCTCTCTTCTCGTTGTCGATGTCTAACATCTGAACAGCCTTGATACTGGTGCTCATTTCATTAAGTGTGTGATCCGTTGTATTGTCCTTGTCATCGCCGGATATTTGAAAGCGATCATCTTCAGAACCCGCCATCAATGATGAACGAGAGAGCTTGCTCGCCTGGTTGCCTATGAGAGACTCAAACTCTTCGATTACTTCACTGAGGAGGCCCTGGAGCCGTTCCAAAATCAGATTGTTTGAAGAAACCCGATTAATGTTTCGAAGTTGCCGAACTAGACTGCAAAGAAAAGAAGATAGGACTTTGGCGAAGTTTCGATCGTCGGGCTTCGTTTTCATGATACCGCAGGACTTGGTGAGCAAATTCGTCCACAATTTCAAGTAGTCGCCAACAAGAGATGACTCTACGGATACGCAGAGGGCTTTTGTGTAAGTTAAACTCCGGGAATTCGTCAAGATAAACCAACTAGGAAAATTTTGAAGGATCGATAGGGTGAATTTCATGGACTTCAAAATATCCTGAATTGAAGAGGCTGCATCTACTGTTGGGGTCGTTTCCATCACTTCGTGCTGTGGTTCGAAGAATTGATTGCGCAAGGTATTCAACAGTTCAGGAGCCACTCGGGTATCCTCGTCGTTCAGCTGGAAGTGAAAGAATGCCTTTGTTAGAGCATCTTCAGCTGGATCCGCCATGGTTTCTTGTGTCGAGTCTTCCAGAGAAGGTGGGCGTTCTGATACCTCCACACTGTCCATTCGAAATTGCATTGGGTCCTGAGAGACGAGCAAGGTCAAATGCACCGACCCGTCACTCAAGACAGTATCAATGTCCAAGGACGGCATCGTTTCTGGCCGCAACTTCTCAATCGCCCGTACGGCGTCTTCCACACCGTGCAAGTAATTATGTTGGGTGTTGACATGTTCGGTTCTGGGTTTCTTTGAGCTTGATGAAGCATCTAGGAATTCCCTAGCACCAGATCCGGAAAGCGGCGTGCTGGGTGGTGAATTTGGCTGATGGATTGATCGCCGTCTTGCTCGCGATTTTCGGCGACTGTTGGATGAACTCGTTCGGCTTATTCTGCTGGGAGATGAAATCCGCCGGCGGTGGGCTTCGTTGCTTGCTGGAGACACCTATTGTTAGCTCTTGTTGCCCAACGTGCAGTATAATATTGTATATTGAATGATGGGACACACCTTCATGTTCGGTGGCCCGACTGGCAGATTGGGGTTTCAAACCCATCCTCTGTTCAAAGGTGAATTGGTAGTCCGATGTACCCGCTGTATGCTTCCTGTGTAGTTGCCGGAGGGTTTTGGCAACCTCCATCGCCAGGAGACGTTCGGTGTCTCTCTCCAGGATTTCTACAGGGTCTTGGTCGCCTTCGGGGTCTGGCCTGGGTGTTGAGGACAACTGGCTTATGGCCGAGGTGGCATCCGAGTCATTGCCGTTGTCTGTCGGCATCTTTGCCCTTTCGACACTCTCCTTTAGAGTCAACCCAGCCCGACGGAGATGCTCGCTGATGCTCGGGTTTGCACTTGTGATGTCGACCACTGTAGAGTTCGTGGGATTAATCAGCATCATGCAGCATTCACTGAGGTATTGGGGGGAGAAAATAGTATTTCCCATTTGACTCTTCCTTCTCGCTTGTATACGTGATGAGGTTTCATTGGGACGGAGGATCACTCACTTTGGACTAGATTCTCACCGATGCTGATCAGCATTTGCTTCGCAGCTTTCACAGTGACCTCTCGAAGTGAAGAGGTACCATTGAAGACACTGCGAAATTCGTCTTCATCAAGATCAAGCTTCCATGTCCGTAAGGATATCATGACTTTCGTTATCATCTTGACGTGTCGAGAGATCCAATAGTCCCCGACATTCAGAGCCGGGCACGCAGGCCCAGCGGTATGGTCCACTTCCATGTCTGGTAGCCGGGTAGAGCCATGAGTAGATGACTGCAGGCTTTCTGGGACATCGCGACATGTCTCAGGACTGCTCTGGGCGTCATCTTCACTGCCCACCATGGTATTGGAGACCTGGTCCGGCGGCGGGGCTTCATGACTTTGACGCTTGATGATTCGGAGAGGGCTTGACTTTTGGGATGAAAGTCCTGCTAGAAATTTCAAGATCGAGTTGCAAAGCTCCATAAACGCGTCTGCCTCAGAAGAAGGTGAGGGTTGTATTTGAATTGAATATTGACTGAGTGGTCTTGATTTCCTCGATCTTTTTTCATAGGTCCTTGGAGGAATGATATCACTCTTGGATCTGATGAGCTTGTGTCGGGTAGGAGTTGGAGGGTCTTGGTCCTCTTTTGGATGTGCCGCACTGGGTATGTCCACTGAGGAGGAACTGCAGGAAATCGAGGGACTGGGGTTGGCCATTGTGTTGCAAAGGGCCGATCGAGGACCGACTGAGAAGAGGTAAATGAGAAAGACTCAATCTGATCTGAGGTAGTTTGGGAGAGTACTGGCGTACTGGCCCTACGCTTGAGCACCGAACCTGTCTGCGGAGGGATGAAGATGTGTTTCGCCCTGCTTCTGCAAAGATGGCGGTGACATGGCCAAAGGGGAAAGAGACGGCCTCAGCTCAGGCTAAACTGGGCGCCATTAGGCCCAGATAACACGTAAGCCCAACTTGCTCTCGGCTCTTCTCGCTGGAATAGCCGGGGTCTTGATGTTCAGCTCAAGGTTTCGTGGCACATCTCATGCGGAGCAGGGACAACCTCATTCGTTGCCAGCGAAGAGCACATCACCGCGAGGCTCGGCAAATGTCTCTTGAAAGTAGCTTCACAGTAGTTGACATCTGGCACGACTGTGTAAGACGTGTGGTATCAATCAAGTGCCGACCAATCAGGTCTTCCCCGTCCACCCCCTGGACGTTTTCAGCAGAACGCCCAGTGGGCTTGGACTTACGGGAGAGCCTTATCCTTGGAGACTCATTCGTCATGCTGTCGGCTGTGCCTTGAAAATGAGGCTATCCAAAACGCCTCCCTGATGCAGAACACTGTTTTCGACTAGTCGGGTGACTGCTTGCAGTTTTCATCCCACGTTAACCACTCAGGCTACGGTCCGTGGCCAGGGCGTGACCACTTCATCATGGGCTGACGAGATCGATGAGTTTGACCGGACACCAACAGAGATCCGTTGTCCAGTAGTATTCCTTTCAACGTCATGCAGGATGAGGGGAGATGAGGGGGAGATGAGCCCATCCGGAAGGCCTTTTAAGCGCAAGGAGGAATACTTGAGCATTTTGAAAGCAACGGAAATCCAGAGATATTCCGCTCACCTCAACGAGACCAAGCACTACACGAATGAGAGCGTAATAACAACTGTTCCTGAACTGGTCTTCCTTCCACTTGCCAAGTTCAATACCATGGTAAGTCCGACCACCGACCTTCAATTTACCACAGTTGAATGGGCTGAAGAAGCATGCTGAATATAACCCAGGCAGAAATCTTTGGTGCCGCTGCAGCCGCCTTTGGGGTCCTGGAGCAGGTATCCAAGTTCGGCAAGCGGATTCTCCGCGCCAAAAACAGCCCGAAGGACCTCCCTCCCGTCATCAACCAACACATGCTCATCGTTGATAGCAGTATGGCTATCATCACGTTGATTGAAAACGAAGAGCCCTTCAAGACTCGAGCCATCCAGGAGGTCCTCAAGAACATCCAAGCCTCTGGGGCAGCCATTACCACGCATCTCCAGGGGATGTGTGCAACACTAGAAAAGGGCGGTGCCGAAAACTTTACACATCAGCTTTTTGCCGGGGCCAAGGACCTGGATGAGCTTCAAAAGATGGTTGCTGAGTTGAAAATTCACAAGCAAGACCTTGGAATAAGTCTCGAGAGTGTCCATGTTGGATTGACTCAACAGGCCGGACAGGCAATTGCAGTCAACACAGCCGTAGTCCAGGAACTCAACGATACTCTCAAGAAAGCCTTAGGGGACACAAATGGCCTCAAAATTGCGCGAATTGTTCAAAACCGCCAAGCGAACGGTGAGTTTCCTCCGATCCCCCCCTAGTGTCTCGTTACATGACGTGAGCATTTTGCATAACTGACGATGGTCTTGATTAAGGCGAGGGGCTAGTCTTCCTACAGGAAAACGACATTACTGAGCTGTCTGGTTTGCCAGAAGAGGGCCCTTCAAAGATTGAGGACAACCCATCCGACTCTCATCGGAAGGAGAGATACATTGAGAAGAACAAAGCCATCAGGAACTCATTCATGCAAAATGTCCCGGTTTCCGATGAGCCTGATGCTTGGGCCCACATAGACATTATTAGGATTGCCGACAACGAAGCAATTGATGGTTCAACCATGGTCAACTATCCGGTATCTTCGGCGCACCTCATGGCTCTTATCAACCGGCCCATAGGTCGTTAGATCCATGCGGTTAACAAGAGAGGAAGGGGTCAGGAATTTTCTTAGCATGGGAAGAACAAGTGAACAGTGCCTTTATCCAGATTGGACTTTGAAGTTGAACGACAGATTTGCATTTAGCATCAGACAAATTGAACCTGCTTGTTAACGATAGAATAACTGACAACGATCTTCGGGCTCAGTTAACCCATCGAGGGCCGAGCTGCAACTATGAATAACTGACAACCAATGCGTGATTTGCATCCAATTAACGCTAAATTAGTGCGCGTGTATGTATCAACTCCCAGACCCCCAATCGTCTCCTTCAAATTCTCGTTGATCATCAAGCGATAGGCTTATGCTCTCTTCCGTCTTCTCCAAGCTGACAACAACAGCCTGATAGAACCCTTCCCATAGCTCCAAGTCGTCTAAGTCTTTGCGGAGGCTTGAGGAATCCATACAGTAATCCACTGCTCTCCGAAAATGCGTCCCACTCAGTATGCTATTGAGAGTCGCATTGCGCAACTTCCTCACTTGCGCGTAGCTGCTGTGTCGCCGGTCTATCTCCCCGGCGCCATTTGTCCTCAGCCCAGGCACGTGCTTACGATGTGCTAGCTCAAGAAGGGTGATTCCAAGGCCGTGGAGTATCTCTCGATTAGACGTTCCTCCAGCAGCTGGGAAAAGTTGTTCGGGTCCAGACCGACCAGCAAGCTTCACCGTGAAGTGAGGATCCCAGATCTCGCAATTGATGCTGTTTAGTATCATAATGCTCTCGCTGCTAAAGGGGATCTTGGGCCAGACCTCAGGTGTAAATCTGAGCACAGCTTCACATAGCAAGCGTGCGACTTTAACCCTCATCAGATTGACAGCCAGATCTGGCATGGTTTCATGAGAATTGTCGTTTACCCACTGTGATAGAGGTACAGGATGAATCTCTTCACGTGGCGGTTTGTCTGGAAAATCCAATCGGTTCTGGTTGAGAGTGCCGGTCTTCGGATCCAGCATTTCCGGTAGGTCATCAAGATCTGCAGCCCAGCCACCAATTCTTTGGCCATAATTACTCAGACAGAGCCCAGATCTAGACGGCAAGCAGGGGCTAATTGTCTGCTTTCGTTGTGTCGGTCTCGGCCTTGAATGCGTAGTTTGTGTCGTCAGCCTGGCGGCCGTCCTTTTAGAAACGCCACGCGGTCTTGAACCAACATGCTCCCGAGCTGGACGGCGTAGTTTGTTTAACTCATCAATTTCAAACTGCCTTGACGTAGATGTTGCTCGAAACCATATGAGATTTGTGCTGTTCTCACGTTGATGCATAGCCTTGAACGCTAGATGAAAACCAAAGGCTGGGGATTTCTGTTGCAAGTCTTCGTGTACATTGAGGTTGAAATACACCTCATGCTCGTCGTGCTCGGGACAGACTTGAGAAAGCTGTCGGCAAAGATAGATTGTGGTCTTCTGACAGAGTCCGAGCCGAGATAGCATCTGTTTCTCGGCCGGTGTCAATGGTTCCCGTTGATGCATCTCAAGAATGGTTGAAAGACGTTCACGCAGTTCCTTGAAGGACATCAAGGTTCGTGTTATTCGTTCAATACGATCCCGAAGACTGAGTCGGCAGAGTTTCGTGCCCCTGTCGCCAATAGGGAACTCAAGGGCGTTGAGCTTTTTAATGAGCACTTTCTATAGATATACAGATTAGCAATAAAATTGATGCAAGATGAACCTTGGTCGTGCCTGCACCTACTGGATGTTGAGGAGTATCGATTAATGTTCGGATGGCGCTAGTAATGTCCCGGAGCTCCGCCAGTGCATTGGAAAGCTTTTTCAAGGCTTGGTCAAGCAACGGGTGGACATCAACAGGCTCTTGCCGCTCTCTTTCTAGTACATCAATCTTTTTCGTGAGTTCGTGTTGTTGTACCACGCATATGGCCATCTGAGTCTCCAACCCTTTCATAATTCGTTTGATTTTTGCCTCGCGGGGTTGGAGGAGGTCGTATATTTCTTGTTGAGCCTGGAAGATCAACCTAGCTTGTTCACGACAGGATACCAGGCGGCTGAGCCAGGGCATGGGTGGGTTGTCTTGTACTGAACCATTCTGAATCCGAGTGCCCACATTCGTAATTGACTGAGTTGAGTCGGGACGAATTGATTGAGGCACAGGTTGGCCATCGCCTCGGCCAGAATCTGGGCGAGGTTCATGGGGCGCATTATCCTTTTTGACTCGCAGAGATGCCAATTCCTCCAATACTTTAAGAGACCTTCTATGCGAGGTAAAACTTGACTCGAGAGGCATGGAGCTTGGGGATCTCTGACTGCCATGACTGGTGGACGGAAGGGGATTAATCACCAATTGGCCAACGTGGCCAATCGTGACGTTATGTTTTTGAACGAGAAGGTTCACGCTATCGTCTTTCATAGAACCGACGAATGCACTCCTGTCAGAGACATTATTGCCTTGACTAGTAAAGCTCGTCGACACCTGCGACAAAGGGGAACCAGCGCTCATTGCAGAAAGCAACAGAGGCAGGATAGAAGCGCAAGGACGTCAAATGGATAATGAACCAGTAAAGGGGTAAGACCAAGGCCAACCATTGAAGATAAGAACGTACTGCAAACAATGAGACAAATTCGGGAGAAGAGCAACCCGATCAAGGAGTGAGCTAGATGCGAAGTTTGCAGGCATCTTCAGTAGAGCCCCATTGCTCGGGTGGTCTGTCTTATGACGAATACACCCTTGTTCCGCCCATGGGCCGAGGGAGTGAGTGGAAGCCATCCAAACACTCTTGGTGATTTGTGATATCTTGGGCGAGCCTGCTTGATGCGCCCAGCCCGGTCAATGTACACAGTGCAAAGTAAACAACTTGAGCGAAAACAGTCTCGCCGAGACCAATTATTTGCAATGCCCCATTTCAGCCGCCCTCTTCATCAGGCTGCCGGCACACCCTTGTGAGAAAAACTTGCATGTCGTTGTTGGTGGCGTCTGACGCCAAGCGAGATATTGCTCACCGGGACCCATTTTCAACGGAATCATTCACCAGCTGATATGGCCATGATCAGGCTCTCAAGGAGAAAGGAAAGCTGGAGCCGGATTCGGTGGCTGGCGGTTCGGAAACATGGAAAAATTACAAGCAGTTTGTAATTGGCAGTGATCAGGCTCTGGAGGATCGTGCAACCGTCGGACTTTGCAGCCGGAATCCCGAGCCTGACCTTTTCCAACCATTGAGTCTCAGTCTCTTTGTTTGACTTCCTCGATCTTCGAGCTCAGTTAACTTATCGAGAGCCGAGCACTATAATAAAGAATATATTTCTAACATATCATAGTATAACCTAATGCTAACATGGTGGCCTTTTCTAAACCTTCAGCAACAGCAGAAGAGTCATATTTAGCCATATCGTCATAAAAGATTCAGCCTGTCACGGGTATTTTAGCTGCTCTAACCTCCGTACGTGAAATAAGAGGGCGGTAGCTATTGGGGTGAGTCAACAAGAGTATGGGAAGGAAGACGTTAGTTAGAGCTTGAATATAATATCTCGGCGAGTTGCTAAGCTTTCGTTAGCACACATCATCTTCGAACATAATGGTTTGACTTCCACGAAAGTACTCTTAGCAGACTCTTGTCTATTTGAGCCTTACTTGAGTTTAGGCGTTTCTTAATCGCTATTCATAGTTCGGACTTGAGCAAGTGTCTGAAAACTTGACCTCGGACTGTAAAGTTTGCGTGCTAGATCTGTTGAGACTTGGTGACTCGGGCCGCAAAAAAACAATTTCGGCGTTGAGAACTCAAATGAAACATAAAACGGACTGCCTTCTGGATTTTCTTTTCTTTTTCTTTTTCTCTCTTTTTTCTCTCTTTTTTCTTTCTTCTTTTTGATTTCTTTTTGTTAAGTCCATCTCCCCGTACCAATGTCTAAGGGCACATATCTGTCGTCGGCCTCAACACCCCAATATCCCAATATGAACGACACATTCCATCGCTTCGTTCATCTCCCCTGGGATATTCGGGAGCAGATATGGAAGTTCGCACTTCGTCCTTCTCTCCCAGGCGTCCACATCTTCAAACTCTATAAGCCAAACCCAGGTGACGGTCCAGACAAGAAACTCGATATCATTTCCCATCACAGACGCCATGAATCCCTACGTCTTGCCGCCCCTGATGGTGAGGAAAGCACCTCTGCCGAGAACCACGATACAGATGTCACCCAGAACCGGGATAACCCCTCGACATACCTCATCGATGGAGGATTATGGACTGCCTGCAAAGACTCAAGGCACGTCATACAACGCCATTTCGGGTTTCTCAAGTGGCGATCTTTGCACGACAAAGACCCTGAGAGATTCCGACGCAAGGCAATACAGAAACTTGATATGCCAGCAATAGGATATTTTGCGGGCAAAGATCCCTACTCTTTTGCTGTCTTGCCGAACCGAGATCTCTTCATCCTTCGACCTCAAGATATAACCATGATGAAACCGGGCGATCTCAGCTGGCATACTGGCGTTGGAGCTCATTGGCAGGGGTTTCAAGGGTTCCAGCACATCGCCCTGGAATACAACAAGGAGTGGGAAGATTTATTATTCTCTTCCTCTGGCCCTAAACTTGAAGCGATGAACAGAGCCCTTATCACACTGGGGTACCATGCCGCCGGTCATACGCTATGGTTTATCGATTATACCCTCAAACGAAGACATGAAGCGATTACTGAGCCATCTTCATCTAGCAAAAAGGAAAACGCCAGTTTTTATCTCCAAGGTCAGCGGTTCTTTGATGTAGAACTTTCACCCAACCCCCTAGAAGACTGGAAGTACGTCGACATAGTGAGTGGTGCTGAAATTGAGCGGGATGCAATTAATGTCCATTGCAACTCGATGGACTTTATCGACATAGTTCGATGTGCTCTCTGGGATATATTTTTAGATCTTGAGCCATCGTATGGGTTGCCAAGGCAGGTAGGACTCCTGGCTTGTGAATCCTTCTGACCTTGTGTTCTGTGTCAGACGGGGGAGAGGCGGTGATGAACTTTGCGCTAAAAATAAGATTAGATGAACATCAAACGTTCAAGTTGGGAAGAATCTCTTCAAGGATTTAGCTTTATTGTCATGATGTGCTGTTTTCCAAATAATGTTGAATGTTTCCATCAGAAACTATGTGGACAACAGACGACGAAGGACAGAAATTGATATAAAAGCAACTTCAAATGTTCGTTACAAGTATAGCCCAAGCAACGGAACCTGCCTTCAGAAAAGAGGGTTTACAAGATGTTAAAATAACACAAATAACTCATTGCAGCCAACTCCAGCGCTTTTGCATGAGTTCCGGTCGCAATGTCGATGTCGTCGTCCCACCTTATCCTCTCGAACCGCTGAGAGCCTCGTCGGAAAAGCTGCCAGAGTATGCCCTTATAAGCCGTTATATACCTAGCACAACACCATTGCCTTGCTCAGAAGCCCCTCCCCGCTTCTTCAAGCCCTTTGACAGAAAAGGCCAACACTCTTTCAGCTGCACTGTGGCTGTGATGCTGGGTATCTGCAGCCTCGCCTATTAATATGCACCACAGTTCCCGCATCATCTCTGAAAGATCTCTGTTTCTTCCAAACTCAATCCTCAAATTCATCTTCGGACGTGGCCCAAACCCATCATAGCAGCAAGTCCCCAAACCTCCCGCATTTCGTGCGGCACTAGCCCACTATGACTCAACCTGTGTCGGACACAGGGCAACAGTACAGTGATGCGCCGGAAGTTGTGCCGGGTTCAGGTCTAGAGGTCGCCTACGATCAGGCGGGCATGTACTTGATCCAGCCCGACCGGCAGAATTATCCTGAAGTACATGCTCCACCAGCAGAGTTGAAATCCGGGGCGCACATCACAGAGCAGAAGATACCCAGTCCCAGGCGCTGGTGGAAACGGAGGAGGGTATGGATCATTCTAGCCGGCATCCTACTCGCAGTTGTTGCTCTTGTCGTCGGGCTTGTCGTAGGTTTGAAGAGCGCATCACCATCGCAGTAAGTTTTGACCCGATTCCGTTACCATTGAATCGTACATAGTGACCAACCGATTACAGCGGTGCCCCAGAAACCGGCGATGCCGATGCCGATACCAATGCCGATGCCGACGCCGACGTTGACCTAGACCCGCTATGTAATGACGATGTCTGCCGCCAAGTCGTCGCCACAGCGGCCTTCATAGATGAGCTGCACATCTTCATACGCTCCTCTAACGGCAACATACAGCACCGTTCAGGCAATGGATCTTCTTTCGATGACAGCTCCTGGGAAGACTTGTTCAAGACCGGCACGCTGACCCAGCCTGTCGCCATAGCCTGGAAGCCCAACCACACGGACCGCCTCAGCGTCTTTTCGCTCAGCTACCAAGATCGCACTGTTTACGGCCTCTACTTCCAAGATGGCAATTGGTCTGAATGGGAGAAGATTGCCTCCGGTGCTGACAGTCAGCCTATTCTATGCGAGGTAGACGAAGATCGCATTGACATGTGGACAACGGATGTGGAGAGTGACAACATCACTCAGAACTACTGGGACGTCGAGACGAACAATTTCTGGAGTCAATCGCAGGGCAAGGGCAAATTCAGGCCTAGTGACACTGGCCCAGCAAGATCGGCCGCGGGTATCGTCTGCCGCGACCACCGTTACAGCGACATCTGGTGCGATATTTGTTGGTATGATCGCGACAGGGGCTCCCTTTTGTGTCACTTTTATAAAGGCAGCGCTGGTTGGTCTAAGCCGAGGGGCTTTGGCGGTTTCTTCATCGGCGATCCGGTGTTGGTCTTCTTTGTCAACAACCCACAGCGGCTGGATTTCTTTGGTGTGGGGGAGGACCATCAAGTGTATCACCTCAGTCGCACGAATGACGAGTACTCAAAGCTGGAGGCGTTGGGCGGCAATGTGACGAGTACGCCCGCGGTGGTGTCACCGTTCAAGGGTGTGATGGACGTCGTAGCCCTAGGCAGGGATGGACGGATCAAGCATCTGCATTATAATGGGAGCGCGTGGGCGGATGAGTGGGAGGATCTTGGCGTGAGTGCGTCAGCTGCGCCACAGGTAGTCATTTTCAACGGGTAAGTTTTATTTGCGCTGAAGAAGCATGAAGTGCAGTATGCATCGTGGGAGTCGGGGGGTGAGAGTTCTTGGTCGAGCCTGGTTAAGATGAAGTCTCTACCAGGCGTCGCTCCGTCGCTGGACTTTTTCCAAGAGGAATTGTAATGGGGTATAAGTATTTTCTAAAGTTTTAATCTTGTAACTTGAAGCTCAACTTACTTGGCAGTTTAGCAAGGTATCTACAGCATACGATTGTAGATTGGGACTCAATCTCAGGTGCGCTGCGGCATTATGTGTCTTGGATGTGATTGAGGAGTGCGGCTGAGAGGCTGTGGACTGACGTGGACGAATAGTGTACATAACAGTCTTTTCAGCGCATGTGTAAATTGAGGGGGTTGGTTGCACTGCAAATATAGCGTAGAGAGAGTGTTGGCTCCATTGACCAAATCATGGAGCGCCAGGGGCTTTCAGGCAGGGCCTGACAGTTGCGCTCGAGATGGATACAACTATGGTAGAGTAGATTAAGAGGCTTAGAAGAGGAACGCCACCAACTGTGATTAATTGCCAGTCGATGTATGGTAAGTCTGGTAGTTCCTCTAGCTTACTAAAGACCACCAAGAGACTGCTCCTGGTGGTGCGTTTCGCGTAAACACGAATCCAAGTCTCAATAGTTGACATGCTGTTGAACAGGAGCCAGGATGACAGGGAGAGTGTATCAACTTAAACATCTATACTTGAAGGGACAGCTCGCTTTGCCTCTGGCCTTCAAACTGTCAACTCATCTTAGTCAACTCTCCGCCTCTTTCGCCTCTTCGGTCGACCTCCCACCATCACGTCCGTCTTCAATTCCCGGAAACGCTGTAGAACATGTTTGCTCCTCTCTATCAGCTCCGGCTCCCCAAATGACTCCTTGATCCAAGTCTCCACATCAAACCACACATCTGGCCTGGCCGTTGCCGCGGCGGCTACAAATTACTCGATAGTCGTCAATGCCGCCAACTTTTCTTGGATGGTAGCACCGAGTTTTTCATACTTTTGTTCCAACCAGAGGGTCCATAGGGAAGGGGTTGGTGTTCCATAGGTGCCAGGTAAGGGTTTGTTTGGATCACAGCCTACTGAGAGAAATAGCCTGACTACCGCATCCGATGAGCATGCTTGCAGCCCTGGCGTTGGCGAGGGTGATTCATTCCGGCATATGCCAAGAGGTGGCAAACAACGAATGATGTGCGAGAAGAGTGACCGACACTTGCACATGGGTTCACGGCATTCTAAAACTTTGAGCAAACACGGATGCTCCTTGAGATAGTTTATTGCGCCAGCATCAGCGGCCATGAGGAGCGTGACGTGCGAGAATTGATCCGCCCTGTCATGGTGGGCACTTGCCAACTCAAAAAGATGTGAACTCCCGGTGATGCTTGGTTTGGCGAAGCCCTGGGCGTGGAGCAAGTCGAGGAACGCCATCTTCCAGAATATGTTTTCCCTGTTCAAGGGCGCCTCACAGTCAGCCTTTGCGCCCCAGCGAAGGCCGTCTCGGAGACATGAGAGAGCCTGAGCCTCACGCGGAGACTGTTCGTGCAGGCTCTGCATGGCAAGGTGTAGTCTAATGAGCGATAGGTCCGTGGCTGCGTCGAATTTGCTGTCGGCTTCCATCCTGAGACAGTCGAGTGTCCATACCCTCTCGTCTTTGAGGAATTCGAACACAGTCCGATGCATAAATGACACCTCCTTGTCAACCCCTTCGTGGTGTATGGCACTACAGAAGCAGAATTTCGGGTTAATGCCAGTGTCAGGTCGTTCTACAACCTCAAAAATGCCAGTGTTGGGTCGTTTTACAACCTCAAGAAGGCCCCCGCAATGGCTTCTCAGCCGGCCTTCCAGACGTCTGCACAACTCGACCTTTTTCTCCTCTGACCAAACTTCAATCGGAGGTGGCTTGAGGTGATAGTCGGCAACCAACGCGAGGCCAAGAGCATAGATCCTCTGAACTTGGGTCCACTCCCGTGCCTCTTGTTCTGCGTAGCATAGCCGCAAGAGCCTTGAGGCTTGCTTTCGGTAGCGGGATTCGACCTTGATCAACATGTGTTGGAACATGCCCTCCAATTCTGGCGGCAGATCATCCACTCGGTTTTGCAGTTCTGCTGTATTATCGTTGCGCGCGAGCCCTGAAATGAGCGATCTGCATGCTAGAATAACCCACAGGAAAACGCCTGAAGACTTGTCAACGAGGTCTGATATGATCTGCTGTGATCCGCCAGGGTCGTCCTCGGACAGTCTGCTCATATCTGGGTGGTTGCCAATAATATCTTGTACATATGCATATATGTCGGGCCGTGTTAGGTCTGGAAGGTCAAGCTGTGGGAGTTCCCCGAAAGCTGCGACGCAATCCGGTATCGGCCTGCTGGAAACGATGACCTTGACGTTCTGGCCGGCGGCGAGACGCTTGATGAACGAGATGCCATCCTGGTAGTTTCCAACATACTCATCCAGGCCATCGATGAATAAGCAGAATCGACTAAGATCAGGAGAGGTTGAAATGACTCTGAATGCCTTTTCCGTCTCAGCGAGAGATGGAGACGCTATCTTGTCCTGGCCGTTGTATGCCTCCCTCCACAGAGTCGGCAGGGCTTCAGGAATGAGTTTCGGATGAGTAGAGAGAATCTTGTACAGAAGCGCTCTCGAAAGACCACCCTGGGTTTTCTGCTCAGGGGTTCCAAGGTACCAGAAGAAGAAGTCAGCCATGGTGCATGGGCTATCACCGGCCCACTTCAAGAGGAAAGTTTTCGTCTTGGTGGAGGAGAATATGTACTTCATGAGTGTCGATTTGCCGCTTCCCTCCTTGCCCGATATCCAATAGATACCGTTACCGGCCTGAAGCCAGTGAGATAGGTCATCCCAAGGCTGGTCGCGGGTCGGAGACTTCAGAGCCCATTGAAACGTCTGCTTGTGCGCATCAGCGATGGTCTCCCTTCGATCATCTATCGTCCTGAACCAGAGTGTTGAAAGTATACGCTCAGTGCACCTGCGTTCGATCTCCTCTCGTGTAGGCTCGGCGATGAAGGCAGAGTCGCTGAAGGCATCAGTGGCGGCGCAGTTGAACCCAGGCTTGTCGGGCTTGATGTAGCATAATAGTAGAGCCTTTGCTGCGGAGGCAGCCGTCGCAGCGGCAAAACGTTGCCACTTCTTGTTCTTGTGACTATCAGCGTAGTCGCAGGCCCCCTTGACGATAATACATGGGAGCTCATCCCAGACGCCAGCGCCTTCCATGTCAAACGCAATCACGCCTTCTTCTTTGCAGAGTCTGTCCCGTTCTGCCGCAGACCTCATCACCTTGTCCCCCGACGCGACAGGCCCGATGTGTATGGTGGGATGCTGAGCGGTCGCTTCACTTTCCTGTTCTGCCCGCTGCTTGGCCTGTAGTCGTTCCCTAGTAACAACAGGCCCGTTACTACATCCAAGTTCCGCACACGTCGAGTTGGTTGCCTCCTCACAAACTGGGTCGGCATCACTGAAGCAGGAGACGCAAACGCAGCTTGGTAAGCCATGGTGTTTGTGACGGTGGGATGTCTTGAACAGCGTATCCTCTGACGTTCCCGGGTAATCATACTTGCCCCGATGCTTTGTCTCGAAGACATCAGCCTGGAGCTTTTGGAGAAAAGATATAGTGCACTCTTCAAGACGGCTGAGCCCTCGGTCAGTGTCAAGGGTTATCAGTAAACTGCGTATATCCTTGTTGTGCCCCCCATGGCCATCATGGAGAGTAGCTTTCCGTACGAACTTGTCCGGATACTGCCTTCCGAAGTCATACTCGATGACGCGGCTACTTATAACAACGTCCCCAAGCAGGATTTCTTCGTCTTTATTCCGAGGCGCCGCGCCGCAGACTCCGACAAGAAGGGCTATCCGTAGGCCGCTGTAGCTCATGGCTATTGAAGCTGCGGTGCTTGCGGCGTTGGTCTTGCCCATTCGTGATAAGAGAGCGAGGACGACATTGAAGTTGCCGATGCGGCCGGTTGTATAGGTATTCGGATCATTAGGAGCTCGCCCGTACCGATCACCATCTTGGTCCCAGAACTCGTCGAAGGCGTAGGATACGGCGTCGTATTCAAGTGGTAAGGCACAAATGATTGCGACTTCGAATTCGTCACGGCGGGAGGGTCGTGAGACGGGCATTGTTCAACAAACAAGCCAAGCTAGGAACAAACCAACAGGGAGTCTTGTTTTCAGGCAGAATCAGACAGTCATAGTCATCCGTAGCATGTCGCTGAACGTGTCGCGGGGTGTTGTAATGTTGGGTTCATGGGCCTCAGGAAGACGAGGCTGAGAGACCCTTGCCAAGTCATGCATGCAGCGGTTAAACTTAATACCGAAAGCCACTGGGTTGAAAGTACTCAATAAAGGTATCTGCTCTCATATCTGCCTTGCAAAATGGCAACTGGCATCAGCATAGTCTCTATAATGCTAGATAGGGTGTATGTGCCCAAGTTGCTTCAAGGACGTGCCAAACGACTACCACATCAACGAGAGGAGCACACAATGTTGGGGGGGGGGGGGGGGGGGGGGGTTTCTGGAACACCCTCAAAATTTCGTCTGCTTCAAGGGTATATATCCCATCTTTATCCTCGTCGCATTCGATATCACCCCCCGCTAGCTCATGCTCCAACTCGGCCTTGATAACGTTCTCACTTGCCCAGTCGCCACCAGTAAACATCTCCCGCTGGTTATATTTGTTCTCCAGCAAAGCCATGCCAAATGGATTCTTCTTGAGGTCTTTGAACTTGAATCTGGGGTACCGCACACCGGTTGCGCGATCTCTCGGGGTCGTGAAAGACATGGGCTGCCCAGGACTGATCCCCATGTAGGTGACGCCCTCGGGATCCAGTACGCCCATCACTTCGCCCACAGTAGCCTCCCCGCGTATGTTGACCTTCCCTTAGCTCTGTCGCTCAGCCTTCGCCTCAGCGTGCTAACAGTAGTAAGCCCGACGACCAAGAACTGCGGGAAGTCTTGTATAGCCGTCTCCATCCAATTCCGCACGGCCTAACCAGCACAAAGGTCGATAAATAGCCTCGCAGCAGCAGCAGATGATACCTAATGACTTTTTGCATCTCCAGTTCGTCCGAATTGCTGCCCTCAAGGGAGAGGTCAGCTGTGAAGAGTTGGGTCAGAGGAGGGCGTCATCGACGGGCCAGAACTCGTCACACAGGTTGGGGACATCAGTCACGAGGTTGTCAAAAATTGAGCTTTTGAAGGCCAGATACCTATCTCAGAAGACTTCAGGCGTGGAGGCCCTGTCTGTTTCAAATGGTTAGATGAGTTGATAGAGGGACTTGGTTCATAGCTGGGGAGGGCGACTACAAGATCGCACATTGCCCATGAGAGGCAACCTACGATAGACTACTAAGTGTATGAAGTGTATCGGACTACTAGCCCTAGATAAAATATCTCACATGAATAATTGATTGGAAATCTAATTGAATATCATTTTGAGTCGCATGTAAGGAACTGAGTCGCGTGTATTGGACTGACAAAAAGTAATCTCTATCAGTGAGCTGGGGATGCGCCTAGGGTTAATGAGGTCGCTATATTGCGAACAAGAGATCGTATTTTACTCCTACGACCTCACGATCCTGGCTTCTCGCACATATAAAGGAGCATAACAAACACCAATCACCGAAGACTCAAACGACTACCTATATATTTATTTGTATCGTCATATTGCGGGATCCTACAACTTTGACATGGATCGTAAGCCCAGAGGTAAACATTAGCGCTACATATATGACAAAAGTCTGTGTCCACCCCCACTTTCTCACCTTAAATCGCTATTTTACTATATTTTTAAGTAAAAAAAGAATATATAAGATATAAAGGAAATTAGAAAATAAAATAATAGGTATAGATTTAAATAATTGGATTAATTTATGATAGTTTTTTTATTCTCTTATACTTAATAGCTAAGGAGGAAATTAGCTTTAAAGTTAGAGTAGAAAATTATTTTAAAAATTAACCGCTATAATTCCGCTCTTATCCCCTATAAGCCCCCTATAAGGAAAATTTCTAATTTCTAGTAACTTTAGGATTTTATCTAGCTTTAAAAGATTTTTCTAAAAGTCTAGAAAAAATATCTATTTTATATCTTATAAAAATCTATAGATGAGAATTTTTGTTTTCTAATACTCCTTATAGTTCTATTATTATAGCTTTTTAAAAAGGTAGTAAAATCGCGATTTAAGGTGGGAAATGCGCAAGTGGATACAGACTTTTGTCACATTACTGTAGCGTAGGTATCTAACAAAGGACTTGGCCGCTCACGTCAGCACCAAGGTTGACCAGACAGCATCCATTGCCTGATCTTCCCAAGCACGGTTTCATTCCTTGACTCGAAAAATTCACAGTCGAACTCGTGGTCAACATGCCTGCTCTCAGACAAGCCCTCGGCTTTTCCCGAGGCAGGTCGCTGGCCCTCTTCATTCTCTTCGGTGGGGCCATGTCGCTCTTCTCCATCCTACAACTCCCCTTCATCGACATCGACAATGTCTTTTGCGGAAAGGATCCATGGGCAACGCCGGGAGAATGCTACTGGTTTGGTAGGCCGGGGATTAACAAGCTTGGCATGAGGTTGCACCTTGCCACGTTTCTGCCGGCCGGTGCCTTGGTCGGTTGGCAGTTTGTACCAGCGAGTCGACGACCGCACTTGGCCAAGTACCACCGTATCAATGGTTATGTGGTACTTGTACTATCAGCTTTGGGTACTGTTGGTGCTCTCATTATTGAGAAGCGTGCCATGGGCGGGCCTTTCTCAGCGCGAATTGGGACCTGGATCATCGCTGTATCATTCACCACTGCCATGGTGATGGGTGTTGTCAGCATTAAGAAGCGACAATTTGACCAACATAGGGCCTGGATGCTCAGGGGTTGGTTCTATGTCAGTTCTTTCCCCACCCTCCGTTATACACCGAAACGCAGGCTAACATGCTCAAGGCGGGCGCCATCATAAGCATGAGAATCGTCCTCATCGCGGTGGCAATCATCGTTGGCCAGCATGGATGGCTGTATCGACCCCTTCAGTGCGCCGTGATTGAGTACTTGGGCGAGTTCAACCCAGATGGAGTGAAGCCGCTATACCCGAATTGCACCTCGTATCTAGCAGGGGAAGACCCAGGGCAAGAGGTTCTTGTAAGAACAAACTGGGACTTTAATGATCTTCCAGGAATGGCCGTCGCGTTGCGATACGGGTATCTGTTTGGAGGATGGACTGCTTTTACACTTCACGCCGTGGGGGTTGAGATCTATGTCAGTGAGACCATTCTCTGCTTGCGGACCTTGCGATTTGCTAACAGATATTCAGTTACGAAGAACGACTCCTAGCCGGAAACTTAAAAGTAGATAACAAATAATAGCTGAAGAGCAGATGGACGTTCCATCCGAGCTGGTCCCCTATATGTCTTGTCCTGTGTCCCCGCTGATCTAGAGCAAGGTGTCAACAGAGCCCTTCGCAACCCTGTCGTCTTGATCCACATCAACACTTCGGCAGCTACCAAACCACCCAGGGACCATTACATCGACTCTTCTAACGACTAGCAAAAATACAAGACAAAAAACATACAACACCGGGCATTCGCCGGTCGTCACCGACCCGACTACTACTCCAGCGGTCGCCAGTTTGACTAAGGGAGAGCGGACGGGATCCCGTATTCTCTAGCGCCTATGGTCGTATGTGACAGATTTGGTGCTGTGAGGATCTATGTGGTCGAATCTTGTTGGCCAGATCTCGAGTTTACGACCAAAAGCCGGTATATTGCTGGAACCAGGCCGGCCTAGAATACTAGCAACACTTGGTCGTTGGCAGTGGATGAACTAAGGGAATGACAGGACTGGCCGAACCTATCCATCTCGCAACCATGACATAAAGATACAATACGCCAATGACGAGAAAGAGCATCGTCAATTGCAGCTACCATGATGCCCCACGCCGGGAATCCGGGGTCGCGGGGAAGTGACTAGGGTCATGGGAGCTAATGGCCATAACAAGAAGTGATGGCCAGGGTTGTCGAGCTTATTGCCGCTGACTCCATCACGAGCAGCCGAGGTGAAGAAACCAGGGAGGGGACTAAGAACTAAATCCTCAATCTCGAAAGACAACGCATCTCAGGCCATCCTCATATCTAAACAATCGTGTATCCCATTGTAAACTCAGTCTCATCATGACAACACCTCCAACAACAAACCCTATGCCCTCGTGGATCCAACACCCCTACCCCCACGTCCAAGACAGCATCATTAACTTCCCCCGCAAAAACATCCTCCAAGTCACCCTCAACCGCCCAGAACATCGCAACTGCCTCCCTATAGAGGCAACCATTGAACTTGGAGCCTTGTGGAAATGGTACGACGCTGAGCCGGAGCTGCGATGCGCGGTCCTTACAGATGCTGGCGACAAGGCGTTTTGCTCGGGGATGGATTTGAAGGAGAGGCTTGGCATGGTCAAGTCGAAGGATGTTTCGCTTGAGTTTCCTTCGGGCGGCTTTGCTGGGATGACGAATCGGACAGGCAGGAAGCCCATTATTGTTGCCTGCAACGGCCATGCGCATGGTAAGACCTGTGTCAATCAGTTAAGAAGGAAAGCTAACAGCTCAGGTGGTGGCTTTGAGATCGTCTTGAATGCCGATGTCATCTTTGCCTCTCCCAACGCAACATTTCGGCTGCCAGAAGTCCTCCGAGGCGTCTCTGCTCTTGCAGGAGCGTTACCCCGAGCAATGCTTCTCTTTGGCAACCACCGGTGCATGGATCTCATCCTCACTGGTCGGGTGTTAGGCGTCGAGGAAGCAGTTCAATGGGGTCTTGTCAAGGAGATTGTGCCCCAAGACAAGCTTCTAGAAAGGGCCTTGGACTATGCAAGTGAGATTGCCAGTCACAGTCCCGATAGCGTCATCATCTCAAGGTTGGCCGCGAGAGAGGTGTGGGAGACGGGTGTGAGTCGAGCGACCATGAGGGGCCAAGAGCTCTGGGGCGAGGCAATGCTGCGAAGCAAGAATGCGAGTGAGGGTTTAGCAGCATATAAAGAGAAGAGAGACCCAAAGTGGTTTCCTTCACATATTTAGACATGAGGGGCAGTCCAGACGTGCCTCAGTTTAAACGACTGTAATCTACAGCAATGCGATAGAGAACGTGGGCCTCACGAACTGTAGACATTATTAATATTGAACGGGAAATCCATCCTACCATTAAAACGCGACTTGAAGACCAGAACTATAGCTTACTCCCCTCGTGAGCAATCCGCGCATAACCGTTTGACAAGGCAACACGTCCATCCCCCTTGACAACAGTCTCAAATAAAACATCATCCGCCCCATCACTAGTCCCAACAATCCACATCCTAGTCTCGAGCTCATCTCCAGGATACACAGCACTCTTAAACCTAGCACCAAACTTCTTGAACCTGGTAGGATCAGAGCCACCAAGTTCTCTCAACACTTGAACAGCGGTAATGTTCCACGTCCCCAAGCCGTGGAGAATAGTTCCCTTGAAGCCAGCGCGCTTACCAAAGGCTTCGTCGGCATGAAGGGGGTTGTAGTCGCCGCATAGACGATAGAGAAGTGCGACCTCGGGCGTTGTCTGAAAGGTGGAAACGGCATCTGGTGTACGGTTGGGGATCTTTGGTGTTGGCTTGGAGGGACCTCGAGGACCACCATAGCCACCTTGGCCCATGCCAAATGCCATCGAGGTCATCTTGACGTAGACAGTACCAGTTTTGGTGTCTACGAGCTGCTGTTCGGCGTCGAGGATCATGGCGCCACCTATTCAGAGTGAGTTACGAATACCAACAACGAGCTCAAAAGACTTACCCTTGTCGTAAACACCAATAACCTTGTTTCTAACCTCCAAATCGAGTCCCTCAGAGCTAACAGGCAAAGGCTTGAGAATCTCAATGCCTCTCTCCCCATCCACTGACTTCTGAGCATCAAACGGCGGAACTCCAGGCACGTTTGTCGAGCTCATACTAGCGATAAAGTCGATGACATCTTGAGAAGTCTGCTTGAAGGCGAGATTGATGGGGAAAGTGGGAAAAGCAGCAAACTTGGGATGGAGCTCGAACAAGAAGTGCCGCTCGGCTTGTTTGACGCCAATGGCATTGGCCTAGAACTTGGTCAGCAGTCTGTTTATGGGTAGAGAAGGGCCATTGACTTACAAATAGTAGCACATCGCGACGGTTGTAAGAGCACTTCATGGGAGGATACTCAAAGCCAGCAGCCTTGCTAAAGTCGACATTGTCGTATCGCCCCGAGGCGTTCTTTACAGGTCTGTCGCTCGTACTCATCTTGTGAATATGCAAGTCGCTGTAATCGAAAACTGATACAATTGAGTCTTGAGAATAGGTAGATTCAATGAATACACACTTGATAGGATGCCCCCCACACGCTGCGATGTGGCTATAAATGGTGGTTTACCCCGCGATCCAAGATCTGGGGTGCCGAGGCGCCTTACCGAGCCGAGGCTCGTCTTGGGGAATAAACTCAACAACCCTGTCTACAGTTTATTAATCCGTATTGAGGGGCTGTACGGGGTTACCGATGATCTCGTAATCGAGCAGGTCAAGCATGGTTTTGAGATGAACCGAGACTGTACAGTGTCCCCTGCCAGGTCGTGCCCATTAGGGGAGCCCTTTACTGCCAGCAGACTACCTGTATCGCAGCAGCCCAAAGGAGCTCCTAAACAAAGCATTGAAGAGATGGAACCGACAAACCAATATCTATAATGATCATAGAGGAGTAACATTAACTAGGGCAACCAAAGAGGGAAGCTATATTCCGCGCTGTCGCAGACCCAATTTGCCCTTCACGGAGCGACAACGACATCAAGTAAACCAGTCATAACCTTTATCCACGAATAAGAGCGATGCATGGAATCTAATACAGAGCCAGGTACAATCATAGACTGCTAGTCAGGCCTTGAGTTAGCTTCTCAAACAATTGGGATCGTCTCTTCCTACAGAACCAGCAGATACACCTGGTGAAAATCAGTTCAGGACTCGCCATAGCAAGAACGAATTCATCTATTACAAATTGTATAACGCTCCAGTTTTGCAATCTCCCATATCCAGGGCTCATCCGCAGACGATCTTCACCTCTGAATCCACATCCCTCCATTCCCATAAACCTGATCTCTCATAGCCCCAGCCTCAGACCTAACCCCAACCCAATGCGTAGGAATCCGATCCATCTGATGCTGAACCCTACTCGTCGCCTCATTCAGCCTATCACCAAAACTCCTCTCGCTCCTTAGTGCACGAATACTCGACGCCGCAATCTCGGGTCCCCATGTTTCTCTTGCGAGACTTGCCATGGTCGTCATGACATCTCGTCCGTGTTCTTCGACGATTTCTCCGTCTTGTTGGCCTGGTATCCATGGGTGGAGGAAACCCATTAGCATCACCTTGACTCTGATTTCGAAGAAAGTTACTTCTTCAAAGTCATGGATGAAGTGGACTGAGACCTTGTTCCGCTGCACGACTCCAGGAGGCCCGTTCCTTAGAGGAGCTATCGTCACGATAGCTGCGTACCAGTCGTCGTCGATATCCTCCATCCCCTTATTGGGAACGAGACGTGCCCACGCCGCAAACACGCCTCCCATGCGCATCTTGACCTCGTCAGGCACCTCAGTGAGATTCGCCGTCGGTATCCCAAGCTCCCTAGTCGACAGTCCAGTACCGTGAACCACCTTGCCCGCAAGCTTGAACGGAAAGGGCACTTCAGGGCCCTCATCGCTGCCAATGATGGTCAACGGACCCGTAAGCGCCGCGCCTCCTACCATGGGATCGTATCGCCCAGCTTTTCCATTCCTCCAACTCTCATTGACGGCGTTGCCAATGCCAGAAGTGTGATATGCGGCATGTGCGGCCTTTTTGATGGCCGCGTTTGGTGTAAACCTCTTGGATCCAGCCTCGACGACTGCACCCGCCACGCCCGTGTACTTCTTGGCCACCTGCTGTCCGATAGTACTGGCGACCTTGATGCCCATCTCCAACGGCATCGTACTCAAACTCGAACCTCGGACAACGCTGGCATCGGTGGATGTGCTGGCTATCCTAAAGACCGGGCTCCCGCAGAGAACCTTCTTCCCACCCTCTCCAGCACAAAGAACCAGCCGGAAATACCCATCCGTAGCAGCTGCAGGTATTCGAATGACATGAGTTTCCCTGGGAATGTGTTTCTTCAATCGACCTGACGCCTTCTTGACGAACCGCTTAAAGTCCCTCTGAATGCCTCGCTCCTCAGCTTCAGCCAGATTCTCAACACCAGCCTTTGACGCAGGCGTAACATCGATCCAGCTCCCGTTGGTGCCCACCAGAGCCTTGAGTGTCATGCCCATGTTTCCAGAGAACCCTTTTTGCTGCAGCCACACCGTCCTGCCTTGAGGAAGCGGCTCATCCGAAAAGATAGTAATGGGTACTGATGTCGCAGGACCGCGATACCAGACAAGGGCGTGAGAATGTCGAATGATGGTAAAGTGTTTGGTAGATTCAGCTGGGTGACTAATAAGTCCTCCAGCAAAATACTGCGCCTCTCCAAGCGCAGCCTTCCATTTCGACTGATCCTTTGGTTTCGAGGAGTCTGTAGTAATTGTCGAAAGTGCAGAAGAACTCTTGATCCTCCTAATCTCGTTGGTAGGACGAGGACCCAAAGACGATGAAGGCCTGGGAAGCTCATCGACCACAAAGTCAACAGGTAAATTGCCCCTTGGGTCAGCGAGGCCAGACTGCTGAGGAGCGTGAGCCCCCGTGAGGTTGGTAGCCGACCGAACGGGCCGTAGAGGCCGCGGCGGAGGTCCCGGAGGAGCTAAGCTTCCGGAGTCGTAAGCACTGTACGGGGGAGGCGCCGGTGCCGGTTTCCGGCGGATTGACGGGTCGGACCAGTTGTCCATGTCCGTAGCTGATCGAGAATACATGTTATAGGTGATTCGCGTTCATTTTGACGCTGGAGAATGACATCAAACGCAGGGAGGCCGTCTGGACGAGCGGTAGGATCTCCCAACAGAATCAGACGCGTCGTGGCGAGAAATTGCACAGTGCTAGTTCAGGGGTTGGGGAGAGATGACACAGTACGTATACGGATCCTCGTATTGCTGCCTATTGGAATGGATGACTTTTGTTAACGCTGCATCCTTGAGGGTTATTGCAGTTCTCGTATTTCTTCTACGCTTTGATAGACTTCATGGAATTTCTTTTGTTCCATAATCTACAAGTATTGCATGTCCCTCATCAAGACCGCCTACCAAGCCTACCTCAGATCATCCCTTCAGTTCGAAACCAGAGTCTCTATCTCATCAACCTCCTTTGGCGTAATGGTCAAGTTCTCGTATCCATCCTTGGTAATAAGAATGTTGTCCTCAATGCTGCCCACCGTAGTTAGCAACTGTAACCGTGCAGTCAATAGCGTGACGGTATGGCCAAGACTCACCGGACTCCACCGACATCCCAGTACTTATCAAGCACGGCCGAATCGATAAACTTGCTGTGCACGGGATCCTCCAGATACGGGGCGATGATGAAGTTACAGAAGTAAATCTGAGAGCGTTAGCAAGCGTCTCTCAATGCGTGTCTGCTTCAACTTACTCCGGGCTCAACGGTAATCACACTGCCGCTGGGAAGGTTGCCTCGCACGCGAAGGTATCGGAAGAGCTTGTCCTTATCCTCGTAGTTGGCATTACCACCAGTGTCATGAGTGTCCATGCCGAGATAGTGGCCCAGACCATGAGGTAAGAAGGCAGCGCTTGTACGGCCCTTGAGGATCTCATCCTTGTCGCCCTTCAGAATACCGATAGAGAGAAGGCCATCAATGGCAATCTTGTGAGCCAGCAGATGCACGTCATCCCACAAAACACCCTCCTTGAGCACTGCTATGCAATCATTCTGCATCTTCAAAACAATCTCGTAGATCTCACGAGACTCCTTGGAAAACTTGCCCGACAGGGGAAAGGTTCGGGTCTTGGCAATGTCAGATCTGTATCCACACAAGCATACACAGGTTCACTCACGATATCAGCAGCATAGTTGTTCCACTCAGCACCAGCGTCCATCAACAAGTTCAGCTTTCCCTCAAGAGGTGATTCGTTGGTCACATAGTGCAGAGTCGCGGCAGCCCTTCCACTAGCTGCAATAGGATGGTATGCCATCTCCTTGGCTCCATGAGCCACACATCTCTCCAAGAAAGCTGCCTCAAACTCTCTCTCGTTGACAGCCGTCTTGGCCTTTTCCAGAACAGCTCGGTGGGCAATGTCCGATACGTGGTTGGCCTTGCGGATCATGGCAACCTCGAACTCGTCCTTAACCACGCGGGAGACCTCAATGGCCTCCTTCAGAGCATCAAAGTTCTTCTTCTCGAATTCGAGGAATGTGACGTGGTCCGAAACCTGGTTCGCGATCGCATAGGCTGTGGATTGAGGGTTGGCCTGGCCGAGGTGCGCCAGAGTAGCGTTCAGCTCAGAAGTGAGCTTGACGTCGTCGACATCGTACTTTTGGAGGGCCTCGTCGATGCTAAGAGGGAGGCCAGACCAGATGACGCTATCGGGATCGATGGGAGGAATAAAGAGGATCGACTTGGAGGATTGGATGTCGTAGATGTAGTAGCAGTCGGGGAGGTTGCACCCGGTAAGGTAGTAGAAGAATCGGCGCTGACTATTGACTTGTCAGAGGGAGTCTTTAAGTTGTCCATCATAGTGAATCGACCCACCGGAAAGGTTCAGGCTCGTCGTTGTCCTCGAGGAGCTTGGTCATGCGAGACTCGAGGTACAGGATACCATTCGCATTGGGGATCTTTTCACGGATGAGGTCGACGACACGCTTGGCGTGCGACTTGCTCGGGTATTTGGCCTTGAGAACGGCCTCGAAATCTTCGGCGACCATGTTGGAAGCTTGCGCAGGACGTAGGGATGAAGCAGTCGAGATTGCTCTAGAGCTGGTGAAGCGGGGTTGTTCGCGTGGTCGCGATAACGATGAAGCTCGTGAAACACCGAGATATCCGGGAAAAGACAACTTAGCAGGTGTCGAGTACACAACAGACCTTTCTCGTGTTACTCTCAAACTCAACGTAGAGATTGACCTGACTTGATAAAGAAAAGAAGCACGACGAAAAAGATACGATGCGGAGAGCAACCCCGCCATGGATTTGTTGCTGATGACAGCAGCCATGAACCAAACAGGAAGCTCCCAGCACTATCGACCACCGGCTAGTGGTCGCATCCACTAAACAGCTGCCCGTTACAGGTGTGCTTCCAAAGTTCCAGGGTCCTTTTTACAGGGCTCCACTACGGCTGTCTACGGCTTCCGTAGGCGTCTTTTGTCTTGAGTCGAGTTGGAAGGATTGGATGGTGTGAGTTTTGGAGACGTCTACGTCATTGGTTCAAGTCGGGTCAATGATAACCCGGAAATGAAGCCATACCCACTGCTCAATCAACAATCCCAATTCTCCGCTTGAAGCGATTCAGAACTTCAGGGCACGGATGTCTTCAGCTTCAGCTCGGACTCGATAGATTTGTTTCCATAAAAGCATGATTCAGCCTTATTCCGAGTTCAGACCTCTTTAAACGCTCAGACAGCAAAAGTCAGAGAACCGAGGAGGTTGCTAAACTCTCGCTTTGACCTCAACCGATCTCGAGGTGGTTGCAAATTTCAGGAACAGGATCATGATTCAGGTACAAGTAAAAGTTCCGGGTATATTACTAAATTTGTCCGAGAAGAATTCAAAGTCTTAAAACATCCAGCTCAGATCCTGAGCTCATTCAGAGAGAAAGTCGAAAATAGCGTCGTAGGTCTGTCCACATGTGTACTCGAGGTTCATACCATGGCCAGTACCTGGGATAACAGTCGTGTTCAACCGCAAAGCATGAGGAAAGTACTTCCTGGACGTGTCAAGAAGCGAAGGGAGCTCCGAGTCAACGCCACCAGTAGCCATGCAGTTTCCGCCACAGAAAGGAACATCGCGATCTAATTAACCACCACATCGTTAGTGTCATGTCATTTCATGTCAGTGCGCATCAGGAACAGGGTGGTGTCTTACCGCCAGTAACCACAAACACGGGACCAGTGTACGAGTTCTCCTCCAGCATGGGTCCGGCGAGGGTCAGCAGCTCGCCAGGCGTTGTGGGTTGCGCAGTCTTGTACGCCAGCTTGAGCATCTGAGGGTCAAAGTTGCCCTCAGCGAAAAAGTTCATGTGAACGCTCACGGTCGAGGCTGTGGCGACATAGCCGGCGGGATAGATGTAGGCATTCGGCGACTCCTTGACGGGGATGAAGTTGTTGCTGACGGCGAAAAGAGATAGGTAGGTGGCTGTCTGGGCGAAGCCAGTCAGGACAATAGCGTCGGTGAGCTCAGGAGCAGTGTTGGCGAGAGCGAGGGAAATAACAGAGCCAAAGGAGTGACCAAGGTGAACAGCCTTGGAGTACTTGGCGTTGATACCGGGAAGCAGCCCCTCTCTAGCCTTTCGAGTAAGCTCCTTGAGAGCAGCAATCTCGAGAAAGACCTGGATCTCATCGATGGGGTGACCCTTGGAAGAAGCGCCAATGCCCAGTCGGTCCCAGGTCAGAGTCGAGTACTTGTGCTGGTCGACAGCCTTGGCAACGTAACTGTAGTCGTACCCGTTGTAGGACATGTCCCAGTAGCTTCGATCGAATCCGATACCGTGGGTCATGATCTGGATCTCATCGCCAGGGCCGGAGTCAGGCTCGCAGTAGGTAGCAGCAAGTTTGTAGTTGCCGGTAATGACAGTAGTCTGCACTAGTTAGCAACTATTGTCAAGATCTCAGACAGTAAATACTCACTCCCTTGGTAATCCCTTCAACAAAGTTATCCCCCTGCCGAGACAAGTTGAGGATAAAGTTGGTGACATCCACCTTGGTCAACGGCTTGTCCAAGTCAAAGACGGCATTCTCAGCCTTCAACGACACAGGAACCGTGATATCGGTGCACTGGCGCGCCGAAGCGGCAGCAAGGAGGGCAAAGAAGGCAAGAGGCTTGAACATTGTGAGCTACTAAGGCTGCGTAGGATGTAGATCGGTAATGACTGGGCGTGGAGAGGTGATGTTCAACGGTCAAGCCACTGGGAAGATGGTGAGACTTATACCCCAATCCTCGAAGATCCCGTCTCGATCTAACTTGTAAACATTTAATTGGCATCCTTGGCTCCCGGAGGTCTCGGCTCCGCAAAGACTCGAGCTAATGCTTCAGGTCGGAGACAAGAGACGGAGGCGTTGCTTTGCGTTTCCTCCCCCCTCTTCGGTTATAGAGACAACAAGAAAGACTCTCGGGCATCATCAAAGCGTTCGGCACTTGCAACTAACGTGTCCGAGTGATGTCGGGGAGATGATAGTACAGCTCTGCACCAACATCACACGGCATCATCTCCAGAAGTAGCAAAGCTCGCGAGCATTCAAGGCAAACAAAAAAGCGGGCGAACTTTTGTACCCCCATAGAATCCAACAAGGTGAAAAGATCGAAACAAATCTACCGATGGGCTATGCAGCCAACCGGAGAAAAGAAAAAAACGACCCTAGCAGGCGGGTTGATGATTGCGATCTTCACCCCCCGGCAGAGGAGACATCCGCACGGCCAACACATCAATGTCTCTTCCTGGAAGTTCCAGACCAGGGGCATTTCCTAATGAGAGAGAGAAAAGGTTTCCTGCTAGGACTTTGGAGGTTGCATCATCTCCACTCGGTCAGAAGGCCTCGGGCGCGCCGCCATGACAGCAAAAAGGATGATCTAGTTTACCCCCTTGCTGCTCGTTTGCTGCAGAGTCCCAACTCGGAATGAGATATGCCGGCACGGCTGGATCCGTGTTGTGCTGCAAGCCGAGCAGGGGGTCTTTGCCGCTCGCGAATGCATCTGATTTGAGGTTGAGGATCCATCCTGCAGGCAAAGAACCAATGTTAGCTCGGACGAGCTGCATGGAGATAACACGACGTCGAGGAGGAAACAAGAGCCTCTAGACGCTTGTCCAGCAAACACTCACATGAGCTCGGCCTCAGCTTGCCTCACCGTAGTCTCTCACCTGAACCAAATATCGTGATGTCATTGTCTGGAGACCTCTCAATCTTGAAACTGCCACAGCAAAAACTTTGGAGGAGAACGGCCTCGACCTTATATCCCGCCCGTTGTGCCCGAGCATCAAATGTCTCGAACCTCCCAAACACCTCCCTTGCATCGGGTACGGTGTGATTCCGAAAAGTCTCAGATAAAAAAGTCACACACCGTTGCGAGAGTTTTTTTGCTTATTGCCTTGCCGTTCTGCAGCCAGCCGAAGTTGGTCTGAGACATACAGGGTCCAAGTCACAAAATTGTCTGGATCAGGCGGCAGAGGCGCGCGGACGAACCAGGCACCTCCACATCAGATCTAGTGATGGTATCGTGTGCTACGTGATATCAGACAGGACACTAAACGAGATCAGATCTGTTGCGGCCTAATCTCGCTTGACAATAGTTCAGCTCATCGTTGAAGGAAGTGATCGACGCTCAGGGCTTCATTACTAACAAGACATTCTACCAACAAACAACTCTATTACCACCAACTCGTCTCAAAGCTCATCCTTTGCATCCAACTCATACTGCAACTGCGTCGCAGCCCCAGTACCAGAAAACGCCCCCATAGCCATGGCCTGCAGCACACTCTTCAGCACGGTCGCAGCATCGCCAGACGCGAAGCACCCCTTGACGCTGGTCTCGTAGAAGGGCGGTTCCACCTTGATCTCGCCCGAGGTCTGCATCTCGAGACCGAGCTGCTCCGCAAAGGGGGAGGTCTGGACTACTTTGGGGTGGCTGGCGACGAAGCCCTCGACCTTGGAGGAGCCGTCTTCGAATGTGATTTTGACGGCGGGGCCGTTGTCGACGAGCCAGAAGCTCTTGATGATTCGGTTGTCGTAGTTGATTTTGCTGCTGTGTAGTTTGGCGCGTACGCCCTCTGAGAGAGATTCGTTGCCGTTAGAGTAGACGGTCACGGACTTGGCGAGGCGTTTGGCCATGGGGGCGACGTGAGAGACCATCTCTGGAACAGTGAACAAGCCGCCAGCGAATACGCCAACGGATTCAGCGCCTCGCTCTTCAAATCCATGGCAATAGAGGCAGTGGAAGCTTGAAAATTGTCAGCTTAGACCCATGACAGAGACAAAGCCACTTACATGCCACGTCCCCAGCAATCAGCATAGCCTTCAGGCATATCCTCAAGAACATCCCTGACACCCGTACCCAGACCTAATCTCTTGCCTTGGTAGATAGTACCTTTGCTATCGACAGCTTCAAAGATGCCAGAGTCCAGTTTCTTGACCGTCTCAACGGTCGCTGACTTGAACTCGATAGAGCTGTACCGCTTCTCCAAATCTTCCCGAGCTTTGGTCCTAAAGGCAGCAGGATCAGTATGATCGAAGCCTATGACGTTGTGCATGTGCTTTGTTGGTGCGTTCCGGTAGACTCCCGAGTCAAGCACCAGGGCCGTGTATAGTTGTCGGGCAAGAGCTGTCGCCATAGAGAGGCCGGCGGGACCACCGCCAATGATGAGAACGTCGTAGAGCTTGGTCGCCATTAGTTCTGTTGCTAAAAAACTGTAGTAATTGTTCGTTGAATATGTTTCTGATGGTTGTTTTATTGTGCCTTCCATCTTCGAGCGGCCGGTGATTCTTTATACAAATCCCGGAGAGAATTGAAACCCTCCGGTCGGAGACTTCGGTCATCGGCCCCACTCCACCCCGGATTCAAAAAGGTGCCGGCGATTTTGTTCCGCCAGCGGACACGGAGTAGACCAAGTCCGAAGGACATGAGCTGTGTCATGATTCACGAATTCCCATGACTAATTCAGGTTTCACAGGGTCTTACAAGCACGCCAGCTGCGAATATTACGGTTATTAGCTTAAAGATCAACCCCTTCCTTCATGGAGTATGGAAATAGAGTCATGTCTTGTCACAGTGAGGTCCTACCCTTACTGCTAAGCACTCAGATGTTTTGAGCGTAAAAGAACCAACAGGTCGACGAATAGACGTCAGTGAAAAAGTTCCCGGGATCGATATAATCTTGGATCTTGTCCTACCTGCAATCCCACCCTGTACAGGGTTGATGAGTTGTCCAACGTCTATGTTCCGACCAGCATCTCAGCGGCAGAGCAGGGCCGAGTAAGCGCAGAGTGGTCATAAATAGCTACAAAGTGCATATCATTCTCAATCATCTTAGAAAGGACTGGCAATGTGCCCGAGGAAATGTTAGCTCCTGTTCTTGGCGATTACATCTGTCACATCACACAAAGCATCGAGGGCAAGTCAACATTCGACCAAATAATTTAATTCTCTCAGGTCAAAGTAGAAAAAAGTCCCGTATCAGGGAAATATCTATACATCAAAAAGCAACAACGCTCTATACAAGACCATGCAAGCAAAGCAGGTTCGTCAATGGACACTACCCATGTACAAAGTAGACCACAAGCTCCCGACAACCCGCGATGCTCAAGCAGCTTCTTTCGCCACGAGCACCAGGCAAGCAGCGGAAGCTGTGTTTATCCATTTCCATCCACCATCAACCCCCATCGTAACTCGAAACATCTGAGAAGGCTAGGTTTTGTGAGGACCAGTCCGCGGTGAGGCTCTCCCACCGTTACGCTGCTGCAGAATACCCATGGAACACGGGGGGTTTCTGAGGCGGACCTGCTACGAGTCGTCACCTAGCACGACCCAGACGTCTGAGGACGGAGTGGCTGCACTGTCGAGGACCTCCCGCTCTGAGGGGAGGTCGTCGAGGTCGCTGTCTGAAAAACAATCATAGTCTGAGAAGGGGTCGGACACGAGGTCCGGGGGCTGTGAGGTGTCGACGTCAAACGACGGCTGTGAACCGTCGAGCTCGTAGATCACCCGCAGGGGAGCAAAGGAGCGGGTCGAGGGCCCGTTTCCTTCAGGGATGGAGCCGTCGTCGGACGGCGTGGGAGAGAGGAACTGGGCGATGCTGTCATCGCCACCGAGGTCTGTGAAGGAGAGGTCCAGGTGCAGTGGGTCGTTGAAGCTGAAGCTGTGTGACTTCTTATTCTTTCGTGACCGCTTTGCAGGACGGATGGTATACACTGGCTCCTCGTGCTGTATACTGTTGAGGTCAAAGGCCTCTTCGGGCTGCTGCTTCTCTTCGTCGTAGAGAAGACCGATACGGTAGAGCTCGGCAATCTCGGCATCGTCATTCACAGGCTGGGTTCGTCGCAGACGGATGTTGCCCTTTGCTGTAGAGGCATCGCGGAAGGCCTCCTCGCGCTCGAGGGTGGGCTTTCGCACGAGGCGATATCGGTCGCTGGGCAGCGGGACCTTGCTGCGAGCAAGATCCCGGCCCTCGGCCTCATCGGAGCAGCATGCGGTTTGGGTGCGGCCCCGGGGGATGCCGCGACTCCGGGGATGACGGACTCGATAGTCTAAACGGAGCTGCTCGGGTCCAGTGAAGACGAGCTCGTTGCGCAAAACTCTTTCAAGCTGAGGACGACGGGCACCGCGATTTATCTGATCTTCACCGCAGCGTTGGCAGTGTTCGGTACCGCAGGTAGCTGTCGTGCAGTGGAAGCCGGTATCGCGGCAAACAGAGGTGCTGGTGCTCAGAGCCTGGCGCTTTGCGTTTGCGCGGATAAAGTGGTTGCGGGAAGAATAACCACGAGTCTTTGAGGCAGCATCAGGAGTGATGGGAAAGTGTTTATACTGCGAGATAGCAGAGGGAAGATCCCCAGAGCCGTTGAGAAGACTCTCCATGATGGGCGAAGCTATCGGTATAAGACGTGAAACTGGTATGTGGGACTCAGTGGGTATAGATGATGTGTATGCGTTGTAAAAGGGCGTCAACGATGGCGCAACAGGGATTAAAGATGCAATATCTTGCGTGCTCTTGCACATTCAGAGCAGGAATACAGTTGAAGCGTCTGGAACACTCTGGGCGAGAAGGGGGACTGGTATTATATCATCCGGGGGCGTGTTGGTGCGAGGCCAACGCTATTGGACGCCGAGCAAGAGTCATCTGGGCCGTCGATGGCGTACAGGCGACTGTACCCCGGAAAATCAAGCCTCCTCTCTTCAGCCTGGGGCCAAGGCATCCCTTTGTTCTTTCTGAGTCACGGTGCCTTGATCCGGGCGTCCTCTGTAACATGGGTGGCGCAGCCAACTTACCCCCCCAGCTTACCTTGGTGAGACGGGCAGAGTCCAATGTGATAGGCGATAAACCCCAGGAACGAAAACAGGTCCCCCGATAGCGTTATCAGCGAGGCACAGAGCAAGGCGCATGATGTGTTGGGTGTGCCAGGCAACGTCCTTGTGACTGTTTGCGTCTTCGGAGGTGATTGGCCAGTGAGCATGGGGGTTTGACTTTGGGGCTCACGCGGCGTCATGACGATAAGCAAAAGAGAGGGTGTCGTCATTTTGACACGAGTACTCCCTTAACAAATTCCTGTGTAGAGTACATCATCGCAAGGCAGCCAGCCTTCTCATCTCCGATTCTCGTCTCGGTTGCGCCTTGGAAGAGTCATCGCCGGATGACCAAGTTCCAAAGTCTCGGAAGACGTCAAGTCCTTGGAAAGAGTTTTTTTTCTGGGTCAAAACCTGATCAGTAAGAGCAAATTTTTATGAAACAATTGCGCATGAATTGTCTCTGTTGATAGTCCTATGACGCCTTGTCGCATTCATGCCGTCAAACATGCTCGGCAAATGGTTCAACCAACCACATGAGCATAGATAACAAATGCAATTCATGAATCAGGTCAAACCTGTACCGTCAAATGCTCGTTTTCGTTCTTAACTCTAGCACGTTCTTGAGATAACGGCGTCGATAAGTCAAACGATGGTTCCCTATCTGGGAAATCCCGATAACCAAAACCCCCGGACGTTTTCGGCCTCTCGGTGATGCGGATACGGATACTAACAAATCGGGACACCGGATAGGGCCTCATAAACGCCAATGTGCGTCGTATTCTTTCCCCATCTTTTGTAATGGAAACATGCAGCTACAAGGCATCCATACTGCAAGAACTGTACATCATGTCACCTCGCCCGAGGCAGCCGCATGATGCATCTTGAAGACAATAGGGTAGGTTGGGTGTGACACAACGGGAACAATAACAACTCCACCAACTGCTACGCTGCCCGGATGGATGCTTCAACAAGGTTTCATTCCCTAATTCGCCTAGGCCATGCTATTTCCATTTTCAAAGTTGACCCATCACATCTCAAATTTCTGAGCCTCACCTCACTTCACGTCCAGCGTCTTGAGGTACTCCTTCACGTCCGTCATCTCGATCCCTCTCTCCGCATTCACAGTCTTGCTCTTGTCCCACGCGACGCCGCGCCCTTGCGCAAATGTGTCCCTGTACTTGACCATGGTGCTCGGGTCCTCGTCCATCTGCCGCTTCAGCTCGTCCTTGTCCCACAGCTCCCGGTGGAACTTGGTCTCCAAGCGGGCCTCGACCAGATCCGCCAGCGCCCCGTACGAGATGGTGTCGCCGGCTGTGTAGACGACCTGGCTCTTGATCTCTCTTGGATCAAGCACCACCTCTGCCGTGACGCGCCCAATGTCCCGCGGCGTGGTCACCGTGATGGTGTTGTCCCAGCTGCCTAACGCTCGCACCGTCCTCTTCTCAAAGTCGACGACCCCAAAGGCCTCGAGGAAGAGGAAGCTCATAAACAGCCCCGTCGACACAATGACCCAGTCCACTTCACTCTGCGCCCTCAAGCCGCGGCGCACCTCGAGCTGCTCATCAAACAGGTCCTGCGAGCTCCCCTCGCCAATCACGTCGTAGTCCATCCCAAACTGCCACGGAAAGTAGCGCTTCACCTTGGCCTCGACGACAGCCTCGAGAAGCTTGACCTGGGTTCCCGCCGGTAAGCCCATGCCGTTGCAAGAGACGACAACGTCAAAGCCGGAAAAGACGGCCGCTAGCTCGGACACGCTGGCGTTGACCACGTCGGCGGCCTCAAAGTCGGCGCCGAGGGCCCGGATGTGCTGGATGAGCTTCTTCTTGTCCGGAGCAGCCGAGTCGAGCGTCGCCTGTCTAAGTAATACCGAGATCCGGGCTCGCCTCTCCTGCCGGAGCGGGTGTACGGCCAGGGCCTCGAGGACGCTGAGCCCCAGCTCTCCGGCGCCGAGGACGAGTATGTTGACGTTCATGATGCACAGTAAAGGGTCGTTGAGGCGGTCCAGGGCTTGCAGGTTTGCGACCGAGAGTCTGAGGGGTTGTTCGTCTTCCTGTTGGTCCGTCATTCTCATGGCTGAAGGGGGCGATGGCTCGTATATAGGCTATAGCATATTCTCCCGCCCATTACGTCGATTTACCGCTTGTGATCCAGAGTCGCCTCCTCTCCTGTGTCTGTGGGGTTTGACCTGCCGATCTGATGCGTTGGGGATCCGCTGATGTCACGCTGAGTGGCGCTCAACAGGCCCGAGGGCCGTACGAGACAACTTTTGGCCTGTTACGATCGGTTCTGTCTCTTGCTTATCCATAATCTCCGGGCACGAGGCTATTCTCAAGTTGCCCGTCCTCTCTAAGCGAGTACTGATTTGTAACGTCATTCGTTTAGTCTCATGTTGGACCTGGTATTCAACGTTGAGTTAATTACAAAGCGTCTTTACTTATCCCCACAGTCGTGTTAAATCCGGCCCATACCCCGGACATAGAGGATTGCAACTCTAACCATTTGGAAGCCTAGAATGCTACACTACAGTTCGAATGCGGATATTGAATTCTTGATTGATTTAAACTTGAATTTATTCATTCCATCCATAATAATGGGCTAGTCACTAAACTTTCAAGCTAACGCAGGGACCGGCCTGCTGCCACAAGACGCCATCGCTCCCAATGCAAACCACAAATGGAATTCAATTTTTTGCGTGCCTTGACCTTTCCGACCCTTCACTTTGTCACCGTCTTCTTGTTGGCGAATCCCACTGACCGTGTCTGGAGATCAAACACCACGAATTGCGCCTTGAGGAGAATGTCCCCTAGGATTGCGAAGCCAATGCCTTCGGAACTTTGAATGCCACCGTAGCATGTATCCTGGGTGAGACGTCCATAGTTGATGTAGCTCCCAGGAACCCTGCCACGGTAGGTGCCCATGCCAAAGTAGTAGTCAGGGAGCTTTGATGTGCAGGGGAATGTCCACACTCCGTGCTTAGGGTCAAGCTTGGCTCCCTTGACCTTCCTGTAGTAGCCCGTGACAATGAGGTTGGGCACCAGGAGAAGTGTTGTGCCAGTGTCGACGATGGCCGAGTACTTGTACTTGTGGTAGGGGGCGCCAGTTCCAATCTGGAAGCCCTCAACTGTAAACTGCCACCAGGGGCTGCTCTTATCGACAGTGTTGAACTTGATGGTCCCCGAGTACTCGCCCTGGTTGATGTAGCCAAAGTTGTAGTTGCCTGCCTTGCCCTTTTGCAGGTTGGCTGTGAAGACGGGGAGAGACAGGCTGTTCTGGACGTTGTCAAAGTACGTCTTTTGCACCGAGGGTCGGACAGTGTTGAGGCTGGTAAAGGCAAGGCCTACGATGCCATGAGAGAACTTGTCCCGTGCGATGCCTTCCGAGACCTCGGTCGCTGACTGCACTGCTTGCTTGGTGACGAATGTGTTGCCGACTTGGACTCTGTCTGTGTAGACGATGCCGTTGGCACCGGTGCCATCTCCGTACACGATGCTCCACGTCTGTCCGGAGAGTCGTCTGCTGGTCTTGGACTTTTCTGGCTTGTAAAGAATGTGGCCGGCCTGGTCAGGCAGGTATGTGTCGGAGGAGAAGACCCAGCTGCAACGGGTTAGTTGAGTTGCTTGAATGACTTCTTAGGACTCACAAGTCAGATGAACCAGTATCAAAGTTGAGATAGGTGGTCTGAGGTGGTGTGCCAATCTTGACGGGGACGACGTATTGGGAATCGTAGTACTGGGGAGGTGTTGCTGAGGCTGTGCCCTTCATGTTTCCTAAGAGAGTTAGACGTTGTTGATACAATCCATTCATCTTTACTCACCAACTTTCATCTTGAACTTGTCATTGGTAGCCTTCTTCTTGGCCGCTATGGCCTGCTTGAGCTTCTTGGGTACTGGCTTCTTGTACTTGTTGAACACCCGCAACATCGCCGTAGTGCCATCAGGTTGCGTGTAGTGACCATTGGTGACCTGGTCAAGGGAAAACTTCTTCCCATGGGCTCGGGGCACGAGGTGTGTGCCATTATCCTGGGGAACAAGGTCTTCGTCGATCTGGGGGGCCTCTTCGCTGTCGGCATCCTCGAGAGGGGCGGCGTTGGCATTGACGATACCTGCAAGGAGCAGGAGGGCAACCGAGCTGAACTTCATGGTGATTTGCGAAGGTGATGATTGATGTCTGTAGTCCTCGGCGAGAACTGGAGTGAGACGATGGGGCGCCAGGACCCTGATATTTCAAGACATTCGACCATAAGGCCAGCCCAGCAGCGCGGTAGCCCACGAATTCACGGCATTCTGGCCAAGCCGAGAGTAGGTGAAGCCATCGCGGGGAGCTTAACGAGGAATGTGGCCCGTGTCCAAGGGGATATCTGAGGAATGCTCCTGAATCCAGTAAAGTATGGCTGCCCTTCCACATTCCCAACGACTTGGACTAGGACTAGACCCGAGAAATACCTTTGACGGCGGCCGAGACAAGGCACCTCCCGCCAGGCGTGGCTAGCGATCGGAGGCACCTCCGGTCTTGGTAACTGGCACCGGTAACTGATTTGCTCCCGGAGGAGCTGAGATGGTTTTGAGTTGACGGTCCAGAGGGCCCGATCGCCAGGAACTCGCCCTCATGGAGGCCACATCGATACCCTATCACTCATGTTGGGGCAGTGATCAGCGAGTGTCGAATGGTCCCCAGAGCTGTTGAACAAGACCCTTTGCAGATCACTTGATCTGGAGCATCGTTGCTTTCCGCTCGGGTACCTGCGCAGCCACGCTACCACGGATGCAGGTCCCCAAATGTCATCGCGATAGTGGCGTCCCTTGACATGGCCCAGGCTCCCAGGGAATGAACTGGCTGACTCGACATTTTGATGCGAGCAGTGGTGGAGCTCAAAGTTGAATCACGTCTTGGCTCTGGGGAAGCTGGTCCGGGAGGAGGCCCGGGAGGGCGAGGCTGAAGCCATCTCCGCAATAAGGCTGGCTCACCCTATAGTTACTACGTAGTAGCAAGGCTGTGTAAACACCAAGACTGTTATCAACACCATGAGCTGTCATATGAGATATCGTCACATTATAGTAGCAATGGCTGACGATGATGCAAAATGATAATCTATGGCTCATCCATCTTGAAATTCGCCCCTCATGAGTCACCAAATACAGCAAGTCAACCCCACTAAAAAGTCCCTAAAAAATGCTCCTTCCGCGCACAATTTACGACTGGACGAGACGATAAGATAACGTTTTTGAACCCCGCGACAACTCAACTTCTCTCAAGGTTGCCCACAAAATTCCAAAGCGCCTCTTGAACTCTTGTTCCCTAGTCTCGAACCCTTAAACTTCACGAGATACTCGAAAATTGCCATTCTCGACATCATCGAGCGAATCCTTCACCATGGACTCTTCGGCAGGCGATGCCACCGCCTCACCGGCTGCTCCTCACCAGCCGCCATACACCTACACGGCCAACCAGGGCTACGAGAAGACAGAGGAGATTCCCCGCGAGCTGCAGACCCAGAAAGAGAACCCTGCCCCCGAGGGTCAGGAAGACGACAACGATCTCGACGACATCTTTGACGAGGATGAAGACTTTGACGAGAAGGAGTGGTCCGCTGACGGCGGCGACCTGACAAAATCCTACAACCGTCAACGCAGCGCCCAAGACGGCGCCGTTCTCCCCCGTTCAAACCAGCAAAAGCCCACCGCAAACACCTTTGCCAGTATCGACGATCAAGTCTCCGCCCTCTCCAAGCACGCCGCCAAGATCCGCCTTGACTCGGTCAAGCAGGATGCCGACAAGGACAAGGACAAGGCAGACCGCGCCACAAGTGAGCAGGTCCTGGATCAGCGCACCCGAATGATCCTCCTCCAGATGATCAACCGCGGCTCTGTCAGCGAAGTCCACGGCGCCATCAGCACAGGAAAGGAGGCCAACGTCTACGGCGCCGTCCTGCACGACGATCGCTCCGGCGAGACCATTCAGAGGGCCATCAAGGTCTACAAGACGGCCATCCTAAGCTTCAAGGACCGAGAGCGCTACATCACCGGCGAACACCGTTTCAAGGGTGGCTTCGACAAGGGAAACAACCGCAAAATGGTCAAGCTCTGGGCCGAGAAGGAATTCCGAAACCTGCGCAGGATCTACAACGCTGGTATTCCCTGCCCAGAGCCCATCAGCCTCAAGCTTCACGTCTTGGTCATGGGCTTTCTTGGCGACCGCAAGGGCTGGGCCTACCCTCGTCTCCGTGACGCTGTTCTGACGGGTGACGATGTGGATCAGCAGTGGTATAAGCTTTACGTCCAGCTGCTGGGCATCATGCGCCGCATATACCAAGTCTGTCGCCTTGTCCATGCCGATCTGAGCGAGTACAACATTCTTTACCACAAGGAAAAGCTTTACATCATCGATGTGTCGCAGAGTGTTGAGCCTGATCATCCTCGGTCGCTCGAGTTCCTGCGTATGGACATCAAGAATGTGGGCGATTTCTTCCGTCGCAAGGGCGTTGACACGCTCGCCGACCGCGCTATCTTCGACTTTATCACGGCACCTGAGGGAGCCGTTGAGGAACCTGCCATGTCCGAGGCCATTGAGAAGCTGTATGAGACTCGGGCAGATGCCACAAGTGAGGACCAGGCTGCTCAACTCGAGGTGGACAACGAGGTGTTCCGAAACCAATACATTCCTCAGACACTAGAACAAGTCTATGACATCGAAAAGGATGCGCAAAAGGTTAACCAGGGCCAAGGCAATGACCTAGTCTACAGCAACCTCCTGGCAGACCAGGTCATCGCTCCCAAAAAGACAGAAGAAGCCGACGAGGAAGGCTCCACATCCGACACTGACGACGAGGGTGCATCCCTCGACGACGATGATGAGTCGAACGATGAGAGCCGGTTCGAAAAGGGCACTCCCCGCGGGCGACGCTTCGAGGACAAGGACGAGAAGAAGGTTTGTGCCCCCCCTAATCCATCGCCCCTTGGCGCCACTAACCCCCGTTTTCTCTCAAACAGGCACATAAGCAGGCCGTCAAGGAGGCCAAGCGCGAGAAGCGCAAGGAGAAGATGCCCAAGCACCTCAAGAAGAAGATAGTCGCCACCACCTCTCGACGGAAGAAGTAGACAAGAAAACAAAAGAACAACTTACTTCAGTCTTGGGACATTCCTCCAGTCGCCGTTGAAACCATGAGGTCTGAATGAGTAAAATCTCCGAGATCTTCAGCGGCAGAGACAATTCGAATCCCTCACAGCACTTTGCGACACAAACCGCAATCGGATGATGAGCACTGATTTGTCGCCCGTGGCTTGTCTCACGGCCGAGACGGTTTAGCACCCCGAGACACTTGTGTTTACGGGTGTGTAACCTCCGGCCGTAGACTGCCCAGCGCGATCTGAACGCCTTCAGGGCGTCGGGAAGATCAAAGAGAGCGCTGACGATTGCAAGGTTTTGAACCAGAGCTGCCGTGGGAGCCGTTCAAGTGACGGCGCCGGCGCTTCTTCCCCCAAGGTAGAGAGAGATCTAGGCTACTCAAGCCCAGCTCATCACATCGGAAAGAAAGCACCGACCAGAAAAGCAATGATTTGAATATTACCATGATTTTTGAAATCCCTAGATGACGCTTGGCTCAAAAGCAAGTTGCCCTCCCGAAGCCCGTTCATGCCGTCGCGCCATATCTGTTGTGTGTGTATACAATCTCTCCATCGCCCAACTAAAAAAGATCCTCCGTCTATAAGCCCTCTGCAAGATACCAGGTCCCAAATTCCCAAATGCGGTCGTATTACACAGCTTCGCCCTGAGCCATGCTAAAAGTAGAACTGCTGCTGTGGCTGGCCCGGTGGCGGCTGAGCTAGAAAGTCAAAGTTTAACGAGTCCATTCCCGTATTCCACGGGTCCGGCGATTCTGAAAGGTAATGTTGAGTCAGTTCTGGACCAAGCTTCTGCGGGTAAAGCACGAGAGAGAGGGAGACTTACCACCCCAGATGGACTCGTAAAGATCCATGGGAGCCATGTACTGAGTGGGATCGACATTCATCGCGCCCATGCTGTCGAGATTAATGTTGTTATTAGCCTGCACCTGCTGACTATACGGGAGGCTAGATTTGTAGAGTGTGATTTTAGAAGAGTTTACACTTGGAGAGAGGAAACGACTCGGTACTAACCCAGTAAAGTCTTGGATGGTAGCGCCTCCGTTCTGCATCTCTGCCATGGCCAGGGCGGCATCCTCCCGCGGGTCGGCGCTCTGTGGGACGTTGCGGAAGTGCGGATTGCTGGATCCGGCGAGCTGACCCCCGGGTCCGAAGGGGAACTGAGGCGTCCGGCTGCCGCTGCCGGCGGCAGAGGCGTCACCCTCTTTCTTGAGGTGGGTGGGCACCACGGAGCCATGGTCGTAAATGTTCTTGAGCGCCGTCAGAGCTCGGTAGAGCGGCCCGGACAGCTCAATGTCCTTGTCCGTCGTCATGACGTGAGGCTCGGGTGAGCTAACGTCCTTGGCGGCCGTAGCAGACAGGGCTGCGATTAGGTCGCCCTGCAACTGCCGGACCTCGGGGTCGGTCTTTGTCTCGCAGAGTATTCCGAGCAGGAGAGCTGATGATAGGCCGTGGTACGTAAAGGCCCAGCTCCTCGTCGGGATAGCTGATAATTGGTGCATCGCCAGGAACATACGAACGGTTTCGGTTAGGTTGTCCTTGCAGCGATCGGCGAGGCTCTTCTTCTGGTCTGCATCAAACTCGCAGTCCCTCCGTAGCGCCGGACGACAGGCTACCGAGATGACAAAGGAAGTATGGAGGCGAATGGCGTAGTGTTGTAATCGATCAAGGGCCGTCTTGCAGCTCTCCTTGAATTGGAGTTGTGGCGAGGTGCGACTCCGAAGGCTTTCGACGGCCTCGCAATTATCGACGATTTGCGTGTACGACGAGCTCATCATTACATCGGGGTTTAGGCGGCGCGAGATGATTTCCATGAGGTGATACATGGTCTCGAGGTATGAGTAGTTGCCATTCGGGGTTGGTGACATGACAGGGATGGGACAGCAGGGAAAGTTGGTCATGGGACATCTAACAAGGGATTAGGAGATCAATCACATTACGTCTGGTCGAGCTCACCTGTCAAAAGAAAGCGACGTCAGAGTATCGTGCCAAACGCAGCTCCACCATAACCTCCGTCGGATCATTTCTTTCGATTGCGTGTTTGGGGGCGTACTGTCACGGCTATCGCTAGGTGTTGTTCGATGCAGACCTAGAGACTGAGCAAGGCGACACGTCAAACCCATCAGCGCCCACGATGCCTCGGCTTTCATGTCATTGAGTAGTACAAAGCTGGTAAGAAGGAGTGCTTGAATCGAATCGAACGAAGGTCTAAAACCAGTCAGCATCGCTAACTCGAGTCAGGATGAGAATCTGTCGTTACCGAAGAAGAAAGTTGCCCAGCCGGAGAAAATGGAAAGAAATCTGGATGTATCGCTGAGAATCTCTGGTTCGAATATGGTAAGGAGATTCATGGTACTGTGAACCGACGGCCAAGACTGCAAATAGTATGGCCAGCCATGATGCTTGGACTGGCTTGGTCGACTTGACGCCGTTAGTCGCGCTCCGGGAGCGATCTTCAAGGTAAACCATGAGCTTGGACTCGAGGTCGTCAATGTCCATAACAAATCCCCAGAACGGTTGCGGTATTTCCTTGTACGCACGGAACAGTCTGGAGAGCTTGTTAGCACTGCGGTCCGGGCTGCCCGCGGCCGTCGCCATTGCGGTCGCAAACTCACTTCATGACCTCGCGATCGGACGGCAACTCATTTGAAATGTCCTGCGTCATCCGCTGAAGGTGATGGGCCGACATCAGCGGGAACGGCGCCGACGTGTCCAGGCCAAGGATGGACCTCATGTCCTGGCGGATGTCGACGCTCTCTCCCTTGTTGATGGGTGAAGACTGCTCGCGCAGCAGGGCGGGAATGCTGTTTTGGCCCAGATAGCGGTCGCCCGCAGGCTCCGGCTCATCAAGGCTTGCTGTGGTGTTTCTGTTAGCTTGTGGCCTGACCCGAGGTTGTTCAGATTTGCGGACGCCCACCGATGGTCCGTGGCCAGCTGTCCTGGCGTTCAACTTTGCGCACGCTCTCGTCGGGTCGAGAGTCAGAAAAGGAGTGCGTTCTCTTGCGGTTGGTGACGCTGGCCTCTGAAGGCGCGGCCGACGCTGAGTGCTTGGCCCCCGAGGAGCGGTTGGGCTTATAGGAGCATAACCGAGGATGTTCTCTCTTGACGCAGTTTTCACAGGGCTGCTTGTTGTCGCACTTCACCTTGCGCTGGCGACATGGCCAACATGCGGTACCTGGAGAATCGGTCAGCGGATGAGACGGGCCGCGCGGCGCGAAGCTATTCACATGGCGCCGTGATGGATCTCAAGACTCAACTCACCATAGCGAACCTTGCGGTGAGAATGGATGATGCGACTGGCCTCCTCTGGGGTCAACTCATCAATGGGCACCCGCTCGTCTGGGCTAGGGTTCTCATCCATGATTAAGCGGGTGGGCGGCTCAGAATCGAGCCACGGAGCCAAACAGACGTCGCGATGATCCTAACGAAGCAATGTTTTGATACCAGATGAGGCTTCACGAATGCCGAATTCCGAGCGTCTCCATGCGCGATGCGGGCGAAGAGGGGAAGATGCGGCGGTGATGGCGGGGCCGGTTCGGCTTTCAATTCAAATCAAGAAGCGGCGGCGTTTTTCGGTTGCAGAAGGAGGAGCCTTGGCAATCTGTTTGGTTGGTTGGGTTGGGGCGGGTGAGCGGGAGGGATACAGTACGGACAGTATAAAGTAGAGGACGGTGTGAGCCTGTGAGGGCCGATCTCCGGGGCGGGTGGGCTGGAGGCTGTTTCGGATAAATAAAGGCCGTTTCCGGGCCGCAGCCCAGGTGCCCAATGGTTCCTGGTGGAGGTCAGGAAGTGAGATACAAAAGGTAGAAAGCTTAGCTCTGACTCCTCAAATGCTGCTGTTTTAGGAGAATAATTTGTAAAGAGGTACTGGAATAAGAGAAGAAACATCATCAGAAACGGCAATACTCTAGACTGTTCTTTTTATTATGCTTATGATATTTTAGCTATTACCCTTTGGGCGAGATAACCTGATGCCTCAGGTTGACTCATGTGCTTTGGCCTGTCTGTGGGCTGAGCCAGAGGCGAATTGAGTTGAGTGCTGAGACAAGAGACAACATGGCTGGCGGCTGGCCTCATGGCGGCAAGCTGCAGCAAAGTGCAAATCCTGCGACAAGCAAACATCCAAAGCCCGGTACTTGATCAATCCGACTGCTTTTCGCGTCATGTCTCGATATTCCTCACGTGGTTTATCCCCTTGCTCGCGTTCTCTCCGCGGGGGCATACCCATTCACTGTCCATCCCATCTCTACCACACTCTTCGCCAATCTCTCTCGCATCTGGGTCCGCTACCATCTTTTTGTCCAATCACCTTCCTTTTTTGTGACTTTCAAGCTGTTTGCTGCTCTGAACCAGTTCCTCAAGGCTGAGATTCCGAGTACCGCAGGGCTGAGCAGGTCTAGCGCCAGGAGATATCTGGCGCATTGACCGAAACCTTCCCAACGACCTCACCTACAATCGTTGGAGCGCCACGCCGTGGCTGCTTGAATCGCCTTCATTTTGACTTTTGGCTTATTGCGACAAGTTCGTCATGTCGGCCGCCCTTCCGGCTTCCCGGAGGTCTCAGGCGCAAGAGGAACTCAATCGCACAATCCGGTCGCTCAGCTTTGACTTCCAGCTCGACCTTGAGCTTCCCGACCCGACTCTGTCGCCCAGTAAGCGCCGGCTACAGCGTCGCACAAAGGAGCAGGACCGCGCGGATGCCATCTACCGTCGCGCGCACTACCTCAAGTTCCAAGATCCCAACCGTCTCTCGAGATGCTTTGGCCGGTTTCGCGAACAGGCCGACGAGCACCTGAGGCATTGGATCGAAAAGCCCCGCGCCGACCCTGACACCACTCCAAGAGCAACCAATGGCCCACATCGTTCCCGCTTGAGCCCCGAAGAGCGGGCCGAGCTACAGGAGTTTCTCCTGCAGCTGCTTAAAGACGACAACCTTGTGAACCAACCGCGGGCGAGATACTCGAAGCGTAATTCGGATGAGTTTCCAGATCCCAGTGCAAAGAGATACAGAAACTCCACAGATGGTCCTGGCGCAGAGTCGCCCTGCAACAGTGTCGATGACATCCCAGTTCGATCCAGCACTTCCAGTCGCTCATTCGCGGGACGGCCCGCAGCTCACGACGCAGGTACAGCTACTGCTACCACACGCTCTGCCACACGGTCTAGCACGCACTCCAATGGCGTCCAAAGTGCAACCACCAGCTTTTCCAATTCGAATGCTTTATCTTTTGGGAATAGATCCTTCAACTCTAGCAAAGTTTCACTTGCTCCAACTGTCTTTTCTGCTGTCAATGATGAATATGCAGCCAGCACTCAGACAACTGTCATGACCAACCATTCATTCAAGGATCCCCAGACTTCGTTTTCTCGCAGCATACGACAGTTCGAGTATCAACCCCCTGATGAGCCCGTCAAAAAACGTGTGGATTGTGAACCGGTCCCCTTTTCGGTGAACAAATATGAACGTCAAGTGCCAGCCGAACCCGTTGATGAGCCAGTGCTCCCGCCTGTGGTATTCCCACCTGTGGAAAAATCACGGCCTGTCATCCGGCCTCAGGCCCTTGATATCAGATTTGAGGCCCCTATTCGATCGAGCAGTCCTGCCACGGCCTACTCTAGCGTCCCAGAAATGGCTGACCTGGATACGCCAGTTCTTGGAACTCCAGTGTTTGCGAAAGAGCCGCCGTCGTGTGCCCTGAATGATCGGCTACGAAACATCTGGCGTGAGTAGTCCACTCGAGAGGGCTTGCGACCACTTACTGATGGTAATATAGCCAAGTTTCCAATTCCTGGATTGAACCATGCTCCTTTGATCATCTTGTGGGAGCTCACACGAGCCGCACTCCATTGCCAGGTGGACTTGTCTCAATGGGACATTGAATACAAGCCTAATGATATCTGGCATGATCAGAGCAAGTTTCGTGGTCAGATCTTGCTTTCTCATCGACTTTTCGTGGGCCAGGGACTGCCTCCTGCTTGTGAACGAGCTGCCTGGGATGCAGCCTTGGGCACGTTTGCAGCCCAAGACAAGACGGTCACCTTGCTTGCAGAGCTGGTTTACAACACTGAGGACTCTGGTCCATTGTACCGGCTCAAGCTCCAGCCACCTCGACTTGAACTTGGACATCGACTGGCTCGTCGATTCGGCGCAGATCGTTTCATGGAGATTGTGATGCCGAGCCCTACCACTAGAGATGCTCCGGACGTCGTCAAGCAGGATGAAGGGGGGCCAAACAAAGTCATAAGATGGCTTACTGACAGCTCTCACTATTTTGTAGGTCGTTCATGGGTGCCGTTCTTCACTCGTGACGCAAAGAAGACAGTCAAGGATCCCAACCCTCCTCACAAGAGTATGACGATCATGCAGGAGCGCGTCTACTTCTTTGCGACTGACGGGATCAACTTCCGTCTCCCTGATCATCAGCAACCACCACAGGAAGAGGCCACAAGCCCTGGAAATCGCACAAAGATGCGACGTTGTGACCTCTTAAATTGGGCCATCGGCGTTGAACGCAACTGTCGGCAGCCCGTTCCGAAATTGTTTTCTCGACTTGCTCTCAGTAAGTATCCCGGATATATGATGTTGAAGCTGGCTGACCTTTTGACTAGACCTCAGCAAAACAGTCCCCACCGTTGTGCTTGCCCCGAATCAGTTTCGCCATCAAGACACCATGCTTGGCTTTCACAAATACATGAGAGAAGAAGACAAAATAGAACAGCAAGACATGGGTGATGGTATAGGCCGAATGTCCCGAAGCCTTGCACGCAAGGTGGCGACTCATCTTGGTCTTCTCGAAGCTCCTTGTGCGTTCCAAGCCCGTATCGGCAGCGCCAAGGGGATGTGGATTGTCGATGTTGAGGATGACGGGCTTGACGACGACGATTGGATAGAGACATATCCTTCTCAGAGAAAGTGGGAGTGCGATTACTTGGATGTTCACCATCGAACATTTGAAGTCCGCGAATGGTCCCGAGAGCTGAGACCGGCAGCTCTCAACCAGCAGTTCATCCCAGTTCTGGAGGCTCAGGCTCCCCGACCCCGTCTCATGCGGGATGCCATCGCCGCTCATTTGGTCAATGGACTTGATGAAGAGATTGGTGGCCAAATGGCTGCCATGGCTCATCCCACCAATCTTCGCGGCTGGACGCATCGTGGATTCGATCGCTCGAGTGTTGGTCATGTCCCATTCTTGGGGGGTCTGCCAGAGCGAGATGAAGACGTCATTTCGTACCTGCTGGATGCAGGCTTCGAGGCAACCAAGTGCCGTCATCTGAGGGACCTTGTCTGGAGCATGCAGAAGCGACAAGCAGATCAGCTCAAAGCGAAGATGAACATCAAGATCCCGCGATCGACCTACGCGTACATGGTTGTTGACTTTACTGGAACACTGGAAGAAGGGGAGGTTCAACTTGCTTTCTCTTCCAAGTTCCAAGCCGACGGCGAGTCAGACACACTACTGGATGGTATCGACATTTTGGTCGCCCGAGCCCCGGCCCATTTCGTCAGCGACATTCAAAAGGTCAAGGCGGTATTCAGGCCCAACCTTAAGCGGTTGAAGGACGTGATTGTCTTTTCTTCCAAGGGAAAATCGCCGCTTGCTGATCTTCTCTCTGGCGGTGACTACGACGGTGACAAAGCTTGGGTTTGCTGGGACCCCAAAATCGTCAGCAACTTCAGCAATGCAGCCAAACCTGTTGAACCCGACCTTGTCAAGCAGGGTTATCTTCGAAAGTCCAACCCAAGCTTCGAGTCAATCCTGAGCACAAGCATGGATGTAGACAGTGCCTGCGCCGACTTTCTACACTCGGCTATTTCTTTCAGCATGCAGCCATCCTACTTAGGCATCTGTACCGTGTTCAAGGAGAAGCTCTGTTATTTCGAGCGAGGCGTCAACAGTGAAAGAGCCGTGGCACTCAGCACGCTGGTCAGTCTTCTTGTCGACCAAGCCAAACAGGGTCTGCTTTTCACACGCGAGGACTACGAGCGGCTCAAGCGCGACATGAAAATGCAAGGCAAGGACCCCGAGTACCACAACGATAGAAGCTCAAGGTATACCTACAGAGATGGCTCCAGTCACATTCTCGACTATCTCAAGTTTGATGTCGCCGAAAACACCATTAGAATAGCGTTGACGAAATTCTACGACGCTCTTCACGGCCACGAAGTATACGCCTGGGACAAGGACTTGGCCCGTCTCAACGACGAGTTTGAGGCCCAAAAAGAAGGCTCCAGGATCATTAAGAGGCTGATGGAGGTCCTGCATGCCAAGGTCTCGGAAATGACCAAGGAATGGAAGGTGACAATGGCCGGCAGCAAGGCTGACACTCAGAACAATGAATTTGGTGCCAAGGTTAAGGAACTCCACCAAAAGTGGTCTTCATTCCAGCCGCCGGCCGAGCTGATGACTTCCAGACAAGTCAAGCCTCTCTTTGACTCCTGGAATGGAGACCCTTCGTTGAGCAAATGGGAGCTCCTCAAGGCATCGACCATGTTCAAGCTCGGCTACAAGTTCGCGTATACTATGGTCTGGCGGCTTTCGGGCCAGCAGTATGCGTGGATGAAAGCCATGATGTCTCGTGGGGGATCAGACGTGAGCGCCGTGGCCGTCACCGCAGAAATGTGGAGTATTCTTCGACCGGACAACAGGCGCATCGCGGCGTTGACTGCTCGACGACAGGCTGGACACGATAACGAGAGTCTGTCGGCGCTGGAGGAGGTGATGGAGTATGATGACGACGGTACCCAGATCGACGATGCTTAGAAGCGCATCGGCCTGGCCAGTTCAATCATCTCCAACACTGGTTCTTCAAGAAGCTAGGACTCTTGATCCCAAGTATTATTCGCAATTCGGCGTCGCTATGGATAGGGAGGCGTTTGGGGTTGGATCCGACGGCTACTGCATGTGCCTCTTTTGACGCCTGCACTTGGGCACCGTTGGATGATGGGTTTTGTTTTTTTCGTATGGCGTGTTGGTTTGATACCCTGGTGTCTTGTCACATAATGCTTCATAGGTGCTCCCAAGGCTTTATACACGCACGCAGCTCTTTTAATTAGGCCCAACTGTTCGGGTTTTACTTGTGAATCAACCATGCGCAATCACATTCCACGCGACTTGGCGAGACATTTCAAGAAACAGTTAACAATCAAGACCTATCTGGTGTAGTGTCTGTACATTTGGCCATGTGCCATCCCCATGCTGTCTCCAGCGTGCAAGCTGGAGCAATCAAGCAACTCCCAAGTGTTTGTTTCCTCTCCAACTCACATCCCCAGAGCGAGGCACCGTTGCCGAGATTTCCCCCAGCGTTCCCCTTTACGTTGACCAAGAAAAAGATGTATGTCGTGTCTGGCAGCTTCACCAAACCTACCACCCCATGCTGTCCTTTATTAATTTAGGTAGGGACATTGTAAATGGGTGATCCATTTCCAGAGCCAGAGGAGCCGTTGCCCCCAGAGTTCTCCTCGTCGTCGTCGTCGTCAGAGGAATCCGAGTCGTAACCACCACTGTTGCCGCCGACTGAGCCCTTGCCTCCGAGTTTAACACCAACTCCGAGGTTGATAGAGCCCAGTAGACCTCCCACAGGGGTCAAGACCTCGTTAAGAAGATCACCAACGATCCCAGTACCAGTACCAACGCCAGTTCCTGTGCCAGTGCCGGTGCCGGTGCCGGTGCCAGTACCAACTCCACCAAGGACCGAATTGAGAAGGCCCTGAATGCCAGTGTCAAGGCTAGGATCAATATCGAGGAGACACTCAAGAAGGTTGGAGAGGCTCGTCGTGACGGGTTTCAAAGTGTCACCTGTGACTGGACCTCCTCTGACTGCTAGGGTACGGGCGACATTGCTGACGGTCTTGGAGAGACCAGTCACGAGGGGGTCGAGGATATCAAGGACTTCGTCGTTATGTTCACCGCCTCCAATGTTGGGGAAGCCGGTGAGTGTACCGACAACTCCATCGAGAAGGCCTGTGACTGTCTGCAGGAGATCAACGCACTGCTTGGTACCGTTAGGCCTGGTGATGCTGCCGGTCCTGATTCTGAGCAGAGTCTTATCTGGTAAGCGTTAGAAAGCGCAATTGTGTCCTCGAGATGGTTCACCTACCAATAGTATTGCTGTGGCCCTGGATATTGCCCAAAAGACCTTTAAGGGTCTTGACAAGCTGAGCACCCTGATCATGCCCACGCTTGACTTTGGCCTTGCTCTGCGTGGGAACCTCAATGTTGTTGAGACTGTCAAGCAAGTCTTCGAGGAGGGGCCGGAGACTAAGTGTGAGAGAGAGAGTACCGCCATTAGCAATGTCTTTGGTGTTCTCAACAGAAACGGCTTTTTCAGGGGCAGGGGCGGCGAGGGCAATGGTGGCCAGGGCAGCGGCGGTAAGGAGTGTGTACTTCATTTTGAAGGTTGGTTAAAGAGTGTGTGAAAGGAGTGTGTTGGAAATGGTGCTTTGATGGTTGATGTGATGATGAAAGGAAGTAGATATTGGTCGGTGAGAGATGAGGTACTTATACTCCTCTTTCTGTGGTAGATGGACGTGTTCAGGATTCGATATCCAGGAGAAACTGAGGGCATACTCGCCAACGCAGATCCTCCTCTTACCAAAATCCAGTCGACGATCACATCACGGCCAACATATTCACCAGGGAAAGCTTATGGCTCTACTGCACGGTAACGACTCCCCGGAAACATAGCCGCTGACGATGATGTGGAAATACAAGTAGATTGCGTTCATTGAGGAGAGCTGAATTCTGGCACCAAGTTGCTGGAGGATATGTCGATCGCCTTTCGGGAGGGCTTTCATCCGTTTCTTGGTGACACAGATGTATGATCAACATTGATGTTGGTGGAAAAGAGAGATGGTAGTTTAGTTGAAGGCATTGAGACTTGGGCTTGGGCTTGACCAGTTGTTGAGCGCCTTGGTCTGGATGTCATATGTGGTCGCTATGATACGATAGAAGAGGTCGAATGTTTACAAGGAAGCGTTTATATCCGCCTTCTTGGTTCTATCACATCGATTATCTTGCATACTGTCAAATTATCTGATGAGGATAGATGTCGGTCCCTGCCAAGAGGTCTCATCTAATCGAGATTCTCCTGCAAGGGCAAGCCACTTGCCTGCCCATTACCCGGCACACAGCTCGTCACATCCATACATGTCACTATCCCAGGGCATCCAACATCAGAGGGTATGTGATTCCAACTGAGGGATGCAAGCACCAATCTCCACCATTCCACCAACCACACAATATCGTGAATATCCAGGCTCCTAATCACCCACGTGTTTTTCCACAAAATGCGGCGATCAAACAGATCTCACACGCCGAGATGTGACGAGTCGATTGTTTGTGAGGGATTGACCTGCCAGCCCTGCGCTGGGGTTGGAATGCAGAACCCTTCTATTGTTAGAAGCGTGGATGTCGGTGTTTCAGGCTGGATTATGTCTTTGATGATCAAATGCTACAGCAGTTGAGGTTGCTATGGACGTCAGCTTGAAAATAGAAAACTAGCTGAGCGAGGTTCCGGGGTGTCTTCAAGAGGTAGACGCTTGCTGTAACTGATGGGAAGTTATCTCGATGTACAAGACGTAGTCCGAGTTGCCCCAAAACAGCGTCAAAGGCTTATGATTATAAAACTAAGCTTATTGTAAAGACTTGAGAGGATAATTTATTTATTCATTCTGCTCTAAAAGTGTCCCCGGTCTAATGCATTCCTCGGTGCCTCCAACGTATCTGCCATCTTTTTCTTGATCCAGGTGCTTGGGTTTCATTGAGTTTGGGAATACCAGTCTTTGATCTACCATCCTCTCCAATGTTCTTGATCTTTCACCAGCTAAGCATCCAACCAAGCCTTTGCAATCCACAAAGCCCTCCACTTCGTATCAACATCAAGATAATGCCTCCATGGACTCAACGCAACATGAACAGCATGACACTCCTCACTAAAAGCCACAGGCGCATGCTGATCAACGACATGCCTCTGCCTGAGAGAGTCGAGCGCTATCCGCACGTCAAAGTATACCGCAAATCCAGCGGCGATGGCCATGCAGATGATTATGAGGTACCATATGGTAGGTTTGTCTTTTTCGGTTTGGGAGTCCTTGGTGGAGAGGCGACGGCGGAGGATGAGCATTGAGATGAGGAGAGTCCATTCAACGATGTGGTAGAGGAAGAGGATAGGGCCGATTGAGGTTTTGTAGTTGAGGCCTGGGTAATAGCTCTTGAACATCCAGTTTTGGGAGCATAGTTTAGCTGGCGAGCAGGGCGATGTACCAGGCGCGTTAGCAATTCTGTCTTGAAGACACTGATATCCGGAGGGGACATTATATCCGAGTCCCCATCGCATCCAAACGATCATGGCGTAGATAGTCGCACACCACTGAGCAACAATCAACCCTTGACATACCCTCTTGATATGCCCCGACCATCTCGGAAACTTGGCCAAAGCGCAAGAGTAGGGATGATACTGAAGATCAAAGACGTGACGCCAAGTGACAGTCCACGCGGCAAACGACATGGAGCTCCATTGTGTAGAATCAGCAACAGATGAGAAGAACGAGATCCACCACCAGAGAAAAGCTCCGACAAAGTCAAACAGGTTGAAGCACCAGTCGAGAGCTCCTAAAGAGGACAATGCAGTACATCCCCCAAGGGCTTTGTGTCCGCCGTGGCTCGTTTGCGCGCTTTGTAGGTATCCCTTGAGGGACCATAACAGACTTATAGTGGCAATGTTGAACGAAACCCAGACTGAAAAGTCATTTGGGATATGGGCGGACGGGTATGGCTGTGAGGGTATAACCTTGTAGCCCTTGAAGCACTGCATCGCAGTACACCAGCCATAAGTCTCTTTTGGCTGACCCATCTCATAGATATGAGTAGCCAAGACGTTTCCGAGTCTCGTATCTCCAACCATCGCCTTGAGCGCCTTACAATCAATAGGTTTGACACGAACTGAAGAACAGTTCAAAAAGGCCGTGTTCTTGTAAAACGGAAACTCGGGGCTATCGGGAGGATACGTCGGTTCGTCCGAAGTCAACCCACGCGCCATGAGGTATATGGCAGTGCATAGTGACGCAGCCGTGGATGCCAGTAGAGTCCACACGACAAAAGACCCGATTCGTATGGCCCTGCTAGAATGTTGCCAGTCGATGAATCCTTTTGGCCACCTTGGATAGCGGCATTGTGTGTGTTGGTGGTTTGTATCATGGTATTCTGAAGTGTACGTATTGGCGTAGTTTTCTGAAGGAGGAAGCTCTTGGAATTCATGTAGCAGTGAGGCGCTGCTTGGGTTGGCCATGTCTCGGCGTCTGTCGTCGTACTGGCCAGGATAGACCAAGTCGATGTGCTTAAAAACCGTAGTCTCGTGGATCAATCTCGATTATTCGGTGTGTTTAGAACGAGTTGAATAAAGCCCAAGGCCAACTCTATTTGAGGAAGTAACCTTGTTTTTGTCCACATTGTCAAGGTCGTGCCAAAGGAAGGCTGCCCTCCGAAACTCATCATCCGTCCAGGAACACCAAACCCCCAGGTCCGAACACTTTCGGACGCCATCAAACACAATCCCACATCTGAAAGAAAAGAAAACATGGCTTTCAGGCTTACGCAGTGGACCATAATTAAAGGCGTGCGTTGGTTCGATCAGGCTGGTGTATTTGAAGCTATCATTGGACAGCAATTCAAGATCTGCTCGCCCGCTAGGCACCAAGATGCAATCTTGGGCGCTAAGTCTGTATCTGAGGAGAAGGAAATGGATCTTTGGTAATTCAGCCTTGGCAAGGCGTTTGGGAGAGGCAATTTTTGTCGACTTGAGGCTGAAAGGGAGCACCGTCAGTTGCAGGTTGATGCTTGTCAAAGGAATCATTAGCTGCGTTATGGGCTATGTACGTGTACATGTCCTAGATGAGATGCAAATACCAAGCCGGAAGGACGGCAAGAGGAGCCTCACACAGCAGAGGACGCGCAGTGTGCATCAACAGCCCGAAAGATCAATGTGTCCATGCCAGATGCTTCGATCCCGGCCTCCAACAAGGCCCTTGACATCAAGCACGGCGCTGTTCGCCAACGCCCAGCTAAACACCAAATCACCATCTACACGCTCAACTGTTCATCAAACTCATCTCCCATCTCAAGCCCTCTCTCCCTCAAGAGGCTTCCGCCCCCAAACAATGGTCCTACAAAAGTCAGCAATCTCATCTCCCTTTCTTGAGGAGTACTCACAATTGACACCACCCAAAGTTGCTCTTCTTTCTCATCTCAGCCCTAAACTTGGCAACAAGCACCAGAACTTCCTCTCTCTGCCATCCCAGTACCTGCGTCAACATGAACAACCCAAACCCCTCGACGCTCTCATCAAGCGCAAGTTGTAACAAGAGCCCAGCCTGTTGAAGCTTTGGGTCTTTGGGCCATCCGTGAATGGGGCATTTGACCTTTTTCTCGACAATGTCGATGAAGCCTGCGGCCGCGAGGTTGTCTCCCATGGTGTGTCCTTGAGCGACTGCGAATGAACGACCCATCTTCTCACCACCTTCGTAGAAGAGTTCAGCCCATCGGTTGAAGATGTGATCTTCAGGAAACTCGACGTGATCCGACTCGATCTTAACGTCCATCTCCAGATCCTGAATCCATCCCCGGGGCTTAAGATGGTCGAACGCCTTTTTGTAAAGAACCTCCCAGTCGGGAATACTCCCATACAGAGCGCGAATGTGCACAAAGTCAAAGTGCTCCAGCGGCCACGTCCAATCGAGCAGGCAATCCTCAATGACAAACTCGACATTGGGAGGCACCCACGTCGGCTGGATAGGACTCAAATCCGTCCCAATAACCTCTGTCTCTGGAAACTGATCCCCAAAGTCAATGGCCCAGATCCCGGTCCCGGTCCCAACATCAAGAACCCTGCCGGGATGATCACCAATCGGCGCAAAAAACAGCTTGTCGTCGAGCGTCATGAGCAAGCCATTATGGATCATGTCCAGACCCTCATTCTGCTGCTCATCATTAGGTGCCCAGTACTCTGTCGTCTGAATATTCTCATAGGTCCTCCCGTGAAGCTTGCGATAGTTGAGAATGCTACTCGAGACCGAAGTGGTAGAAGACGCCAAGCTGCCCTCGACCGCAGAGTCAGCATCATCAAACTCAACATGCGGATCGGCCTCGATCCTCGACGGGGAGTCGGGGCCGGATGACGACTTGGGGGAACTTCCAGGCGAGTTGTTTCGAGACATGACTGTGTTTCAAATGAACATTGGCAAAGAAGAGAAGCAGAATTGATCTCAGGCGACGCCGCAGCCGTGTTCGTGGCTTGCCGGACGGCATATCATATCCCCGCAGCGCAATCCCTGCCAAGAAAATGACAGAGAGCGTTTCATTGTTGGCCATTCATTGATGAATCAGCGGGTCGACGTGCAGAACTGTTGGTTCTTGTTGGTCGCGACTCTGCTGCTGATGGTCTCTAGGCTTCGATTGCCGTGGATAGAACTTCGTCGACGTAGGGCCGAGTGGTCTCGATTGTGGGGAGAAACCTTGAACTAGACGGATGCCGTTCCTTGGTCGCGTTTACCTTTGAGATATCAGAGGCTTAAAACGTTGGCGGAGACCTCCTTCTTGCTCGGAACAAGCGGAGAAGAGCGTGAGAAGACGGGTAGATCCGTTCTGGTGAGTGTGTTCTTCCAATGGTGCAAGTAAACGGCGCGCCCAGTCGCCCCTCGATGGCTTCAATTGCCCCTTCATAGTTCATCTAGACACCCTTTGTCTCAGATAAACCGATGATCATCAACAAAATCTCCACATCCAACGTCTTCCCCTGCCTCGTACGACGTGACGGTCTCAATCTACACCCTCCGTATCTCAAGACGCACAGCATCTACAATGCAGCCTGTGTAGCATATGAATCACCACATATCTGCCGGCCACACTTCCCTCGGGCAAAATCACAGCTCACGATTGACAATATCACACCAAAATAACAAGGTAGCATCAATGTTTTGTAACGAAAACAAAAGGAAAAAGCCATTAACAACAAACGCCAGCCAGTCATCCACCTCAGGGTATAAACGCCGCATCCCGAATCGTCCAGTTCACTCGATACGTCTCTCTTCAGATTCAATCCGCTCATACTTTGTCGTCTCGTAGTTTGTCGTCCAGTGCAGCTTCCGCGAGAAGAAGCGTCCGAGGAACAGGCCCATGCTCACGACGCAGCCCACAATCATGAGGATGCCAAACTTATTGCTGATCATGGGTTCTGACTCGGGCCACACGCTCGCGATGCTGCTCGGCATGAGCACAGGCTGACCATTCTGCATATCAACCACAAACGTAGACCCCATGATGGCGCCGTTCTTGTCGAGTGCCGCAGCGCCCATGTACCGATAACTAGTCCGGTTTCCTAGAAAGATCTGCGTCTCGAAGCCCGTCTTGTTAGCCAGAGCAACGAGATTGTCAAATCCACTGAGTCTGTTTGCGTAGGGCGATGCAAGCTAGTCCAAGTCAGCACAGTGAAACACTCGGCAAAGGGCCAAAGAAAGACTTACCACGGCCCACGAGGCAATATCCGTGGCACCGTTCCACGACAGGTAAACCGTGGCATTCTCCGTCGTCCTATGAGGGGCGTCGACGGCAGCGCTGGGGAGCCACGACGGACGGCCCGTCCATTTGCCCTTGTGGGCGCGGTACGCAAACATGTCGGCTTGGAATCCCTCGCCTAGCTTTCCTCGCTGGACGCTCATGACGACGGTGCCGTTGGGTGCGTATTCGACAAAGCTTGGAGTATATCCCCATCCAACAATCACGTTGCCACTCTCGAGTGTCTGCATGCCTCCCATTGCTCCAGAGTCGATGCCTGATGGATGATAGTACTCGTGCACCACACGCACCGTCATGTCGGTGGTGTTGATGGCCAGATGCAAACCGCGAGATCTGCAGGGTCCATCACAGTAGCCGGTATGCTCTCCATGATTGTCAAACATGGTGATATGACTCTGGTTCTTGTAGAATCGGGCATCGTGCTGCCAGCCAAAGTTGGTCGCCCTACCACCACTCAAGTCCCTGAACTGGTTGCGACGACCTCCAAGAATCCAGATAGGGTGTCCATTTGTACCGTCGATGAGTGCAATGGTTGAAGTGTGACGACTAGAGATGAGATAGTTGCCGTCATCCGTCTTCTCGACCGAATTGATGTGGAAAAAGTCGAATCCTGAGCCTTCCTTAACGCCGAATCCTTCCGTATAACGCGCATGCGTGTCCTCAAGACTAAAGTACTGAGACGCAGCCCATTGGAACAGAATCTTATTGGTGACGGGGTCAACCTCTTGGAAGCCGCTGTCCATGAGCATAGCGTCGGCCTGTCCTCCCATGATGGTGCAGTCGTAAGGGATGGTCCAATAGGCAGAAAAGATGATGGTGCCGCTGGATGTAAGTTGGACTTCGTGCATGTCGGCGAGAGAACCACCAAGACCCTGCGCAGTGACGTTGAAGACGAGGTTGTAATTTTCATCGTAGACAAGACCGTAGCCATTCGCGTGGCCTCGGTTGTGAACGCCCTCCCAAAAGACCAGATGCCTGCTCCCATTGAACATTTGAACATTGGAGCAGTAAGAATTGTCGTAATGCTGATCAGCATACACAAGACTAAAGTCTCTGGCATCGAGGATCATGGGACCCGCCCTCATCTGGCCGTAAACTGTCCCTAGAAAGATGTACGGCGCCTCATCAAGGCCATTTCGATTAAGTGAATTGATGTTGAGAATAGGAGCGACGATATCGGAGGAGCGGAAAGTCTGGTGAGCGAATCCATTAGACGACTCTGCGAGTGTCGTAAACTCGTTGGCCTGGTTGTAAAGGACCAAGTCAGCCAGCGACGGCCCAGCCAATGCAAGAACAGAAGCCAGGGCGCGGCTGCAAAAGGATGCCATTATGTTGGTTTAGCATATAACGAGTAAGAAATATTAAAAGGCGAAAGCAAAGGTCGGGAATGTTTTCTAGGTATCAAGTGGTGGGAGTCGGATCGAATAATAGGCCGTGAGACGTGAGCAGACAGATTCTAGGATACGCAAAAAGCGGGTGTAAGAAGTGTTCAAGGCCTCACAAGGTGCGATGTCGGAGGTGACGGGTAACGAAGCAAGCAAACTTGGAGGACTCTTAAAAGAAAGGAACGATCGATGGTTGATGGTCACGCAGGGTGAAGCCGCACCCAGGACAAGGAAAAGAATGAAGAAGGGGAAAGAAGGTGATTCTAGCGATAAAGATGAGAAAAATGAGGGGTGACTAGATTGATATATACACAACCAGTAAAAACATCCTGGTTCTTCTCCCTCCTGGTACGCGCGGAGGGTGGATGTAGGAGGAGGAGCGCTCGAGGGCCCGTGAAGTTGCATGTATCGATTCCATTGGCAGGCCGCTTTAACCATCACCTTTTCCACTACATTTCACTAGATAAATTCTTCCAGAAGGGTAAAAGCAGCGTCATACCAAGCCGGGTTTGGTCCCGTCCACCTCGAGGTTGACGCAAGCCCCGGACATGGGTTCGGGCGACCGCCCGGAGCGAAAGTCAATGGCGATCGACTTGGCGTGGAGTGATCTCTACATTAAACAAGTATATCAGGGGCTCACCATGAAATGGCATTTCTTGTTCAAGTAGAATATCCTCGACGGTGTACTCATAGACGTCAAATATCCATCTCGGACCTCTCGGATTGTCCTCTCCCCAATGTTCAACATCATCCCTCCCATCACCAAACGCCGAGACATCTCTCCAGTGGAACCTGACCATCGGACGACAGACACAAAGAAACCCCCGAGGGCTCCCCAGGCCTGTCCTCTGAGCCTTTGAAGGCGACGATCAAGGGTCCACTAACCACTATGAAACGCGTGTCCTGGCACGACCGACTTCCGAAGAGAATGCTTTCTATCAATAAATCAACGGTATGTGGGAGACGAACGTTCGGGATGCGGGTGAGGCCGTCTAGGATTACGCGGCTAAGCATAAGCTCCCGCAGAGAGACGCCGCCTTTAAACGTTGATCCACAATTGATTCTACTTTTATATCCAGATTCAACTACCTTGATTGAGTAACTAAAATGCAAGAAGGCAAAGGACGATTCATTTTAGATCGCAGACAAAAGATCAACTTCATCTACAACTGGCAAAGCCCCTGAGTTCTCACATACAAGGATCACCGTGATATGTAGAGTGTGAGTCTCTCCTTACAAGGGACCTTGATTCAGAATCCCCTGACAATCTTTACTTCCGGCCCCGCCGATTGCCGAACATCGGATGCCGGAGGTCCGATAGCCCGGGTCCTTCCCGTAAGGTTTCTCATCGCGGGATGACGATCACTTCAACTACAACTATCACAAGGTTGTCAGTACTTGCGGGGATGATCTATTAATTCAAATGTTTCATCACAAGAAACGTGTTTCCAATCCTATGGCTTTGAACCTGCACAAGGTCAGCAATTCACCGAAACTTGGGACGAAACGGAGAGTTTCAATACCTGGGCAGCATGATGGCCAAAGACATTAAGTGGAACGACAAATGATTACGCTTTGAAGGCCTTCGACATTACGAACTCCTGGCAAGGAGGTATTACTATCATCACAAAACATAGCAAAATCACAAAACATTCATATCACAAAGGCACTGAATATTCCTCAAATATATCACAATTGATGACCCCCACAGGAGGCTACCTAGAAGAAATATCTACAACAGAAACTCTCTCTCTCCTCTCCTCCAAACCCATCATACAGAAGGGCTACCTCGAAAACTTGACAAAGATGTCACGATGCTGAGCAGACAGAGTTTAGTAGTCCTCGTCGTACTCCTCATCAGCGGGGCACTCCTCGTCGTCAACGGGCTCCTCATCATCAATGGGCTCCTCGTCGTCGGCGGGGCACTCCTCATCATCGACAGGCTCCTCATCGTCGATGGGCTCCTCGTCATCAGCAGGGCACTCCTCGTCGTCGTCAACGGGCTCCTCGGCACCGGTGTCGGGAGCAGCAGTGGCAGCGGGGGCCTCGGTGGAAGCGGTCACGGCCACGAGAGTGGTGGGAGCGGGAGCCTGAGTAGCAGCGGGGGTGGAAGCAGCAGGGGCGGGGGCGGCAGGGGCGGAAGCAGCAGGGGCAGAGGGGGAAGAACCGCTGTTGCCAGAGCCAGAGCCGGAACCGACGACAAAGTCGACGCAAGACTCGTAGGTCTGGTCGATATCGGGAGCGTCCCAGAACCACTGGAGAACGCAGTCACCAGCAGTGGTGCAGTCACCACCAAGGCTGGAGGGGAGGGTAACGCTGAAAGCAGTGTTGTTGGCGTCAACACCAGCGTTGGAGGCGTAGTTGGAGAACTCGATCAGGGGCTCGCCAATGACAGTGTTGGAGCTGGTCTTGACAACGGAAACGTTGGCATAGCCGGTGTGAGGAGCGGCAATGTTGACGTCAAAGTCAATCTCCTGACCCAGAGAGTAGGTCTGGACGTTCTCGGTGTTGTCATCCGCCTGGAAACCCTTGCACAGCCAAAGGTTGCACTTGGCGGAGTCGGCGCCGGTGCCGACAACCTGGAAGATGCCCTGGACGTTGCCGTTGATGTCGGAGCTCTGCTGGTAGAAGGGCTGCTCACCGCAGGCGGCCTTGAAGGCATCACCGGGCTTGCGGGGAGGGGGAGAGCGGACGAAGCCGTGGGCGGCGACGAGGGGGATGAGGGTGAGAGCAGCAGCGTACTTCATTTTGGCGGTTTTGTTGAGTATTGTGATATAATAGAAGTCTCTTGGACCAGATGTTTGTGTTTTTTTAATGAGTGGTAGGTTGATTGAATAAAGGCTCAAGAGCACGAAGCAAATGTTGAGTTATTGTTGTAAATGAACGGCCGTCAAGGCTCGAAACGAAAGGTATGAGAATGAAAGGATGTACAAAAACGTACAAGAAAACACAATAAAATGAATGGATAATCTGGTCCTTCGAGGTCCTTGGAGAGAGAGGCTGAAGAAAGAAGACTTGAGAAAGAGGGCATCGTCGAGTTGATATACGGCCGTCCTGCCGGGGGAGGGTTCCTGCATCTGGTCTCCATCTCCGCTTCCAGGGGAGAGACAATGAGCAAGGACGTCTAACCCCCGGTCCTTGGGGGACCAGGAACCGAGGCCGGTGGCGGCAATGGGAGGCCGGGGGTTTGGCAGCTCTGGATGGACAAGCGCCGGCCGAGAGTGGAGGAGCTCAATGCAGTCAATTGCAGTCAAGCTTAACAGGGCAGTTGTCAATGATGACCAGGTTCTCAATTGTCTCTTTAGACGTTAAAAATCGTCCAAACATGATATCTACAAACCAAACAGTTTGCATAAACACATCAGCTCACATCACGTTTCGTTTACAGTCTCATCGGCATTAACAATTTGACCATGTCGATAACCTGTGTCAAGTTCATCCTAATCACCCCATCAACACTGACTGACACCGCCAAGATCTAAACCCACCGACTCACCGGAAATCCTAACACGGACCCTTGTCGCGGCGCGTTTGGAGCCAGCGCAAGGGGCGCACAGGCGATTGGTGGAACATCGACATGCAGCGTTTGAGCCTCAACTTTGGCCGCCGCCGCCCAGGGGAATCTTGTCAATTTTGTTCCGCGAGGGAACGAGGGAAGAGTTGGAAATTCGCTTAGATTTGAGAAGAGGGAAATACCGGAACAGAGTTGAAGAGCGGTGATGCCTTCAACTGCCACCACATCATCATTCTTCTCTTTTACCTCGATCAAACTAACAAACATTAATCAACACAATACAACAATAACCCAGTCTCTTAATTGAAACTCAATCTCCAAACCTTCATCCCCAATGCCCTCTTCCCTCTCCCCCTCCTTCAACCCCCTGTCAACCAGTGGATCCTCCATCTGCCAGATAAACGTTTTCTAAGCCATGGAAAAACTATGCCCATCTTTCAACGCGAAACGAGACAAAAGATGCCCTTGTTTCAGGCTTCCCCCCCGCCGTCGTCCAAGGGATATTTTTCGTCCGTAGATCCTTGACAAGGGGGGAATCTTTATTCCATTGGCGCTAACATTCATTCTCCTTGCTTCCTAGGCGAGGCGGTCTCTCTCTTCTACGCGAGCAAAGATTTCCACCTGAAGCGAGAAAGCTCCCCTAGATTTTTACAGTAAGAATTCAATTTCTTATTCAGCTTCAAAAAAGGGGTATAGGTTTACATATAGTATCTCCGCCGAGCGTGTTGAGACGCCCAGACCCAAATGTCCCCTGCCATTTCCATCCATTCTTGTATCCAACGCCCGTTGAGTCGCTAAGCTACATCATCATGATCCGATCATATCGTAGAAAGGAAAAATAAAGACAAATCCCTGATGCAGGAGGAAATCTAGATACATAGATGAAAAAAAGATTAATTAAACCCGCTTAGATAGGCTCATCCCGAGGCTCGATTAAAACCTCGTTGACTGCCACATGAGGAGGCTGGCACACGGCGTACACGATCGAGCTCGCAACTTCTTCAGGCTCCAGCACCTTGGCGCCCGTGGGCTCACCGTACTTCTTGAGCGCCTCCTTGTCCGTCGACATGCCCAGGAGGTCCGTCGCCACGTTTCCGGGCTGGATCGACGTCACTCGGAGGCCGGAGCCAGCTGTCTCGACTCGCAGAGCCTGCAGAGTCGCCTCGACAAAGAACTTGCTGGCAGAGTAGACGCCCAGACCGGGAAACACCTTGCGGCCGGCATCCGACGAGATGGCCACGATGTGGCCGCTGCCGCGGGAGAGCATGCCAGGCACAGTCGACGACAGGCAGTGTAGCAGACCCTTGCAGTTGACATCGACGGTGCGCTCCCACTCGTCCGTCTGGTTGTTGGCCATCATGGTAAAGTACATGACACCCGCGCAGCTGACAAGGATGTCGACAGGGCCCAGCTTCTCGCTCGCCTCCTTCATCAGTGACTCCACCTGGGCCTTGTCTGTCACGTCCGTCTTGTGGAGCAGCACCTTGCCTCCGTGCACAGCAATCTTCTTCTTGACGCCTTCGAGGGCCTCGGTGCGTCGAGCTGCCAGGGCGACGTGCGCACCCTCCTTGGCGAGGCCAGCAGCTACAGCGGCACCGATGCCAGAAGATGCACCCGTCACGACAGCAACCTTTCCAGCCAGACGGCCCTTGCTTGCCTTTTTGGCTACACCGTTGACCTGCGCGCGTTTAGGAGGACGAGGCAACCAACCTCGTGCGTAGAAGTGGCGGGTATAGATTTCCAAGAGACCGTCGTCGATCTTGGGTCTAAACACCTCGTACTTGTCTAGGGTTGGTTGTGTCTTGCCATCCTTGAGCACAATGACAGACTTGAGAACCTCTACGTTGGGCATACCACCGCGGAGAATGTCAACAGTGAAGGGGTCGTCGCCTCCCTTTCTGTCGCCTCGCTTCTCATGCCAGAGAGCAACCCATTCGTCCCATGGAAGAGGCTCTGTCTGGTAGCCAATCTTGGCCAGGGAGTCAAATACGTCCTTGGAGGACACAGGAGCAGGATCACCTAGATGGTACAGAGTCTGGTCTTCATCATCTGTGTGGCTGGCGAGGGTAACAATGGCCTTGCTAACAAAGTCCACAGGCGTCATCTCTAGGAACCATCCATCGACATCCGGCGCACGGCCGAGCTGCAATGACTCAACCAAGATGGCGTTCATCAGATCCCAAGCGTTCGTCGAACCAGAGTGGCTGTGACCGGTAATGGTACCAGGTCGATACACCCGGACAGGAATACCTCGACGGCCGGCCTCGTAGACGAGCTTCTCAGCAACCCACTTGGTCTGACCATAGCCATCCAGCAGCTTGGTCGGGACATCGTCAATATCAATGACAACATCCTCAGACCAGCCCTCTGTGGAAGGGGGGAGAACACCGTTAGTAGAGACATGATGAACAGTCGCTCCACTGCGGCCTGCGAGTCGCAGAATCTCCCTCGTACCTCCCACGTTGGCATTCCTCAGAGCAGCATAGGGATACACCAAGTTGACGGTGGCGGCGGCGTGCACAATGACTTGCACCCGAGTCGCCAGCTCGTCAAAGGCTTCAGGCGAGAGACCAAAACGCTTCCTAGCGAGTGTCCCTGGCAAGATCTCCATGCGCTCCAGCAGATAATCCTCCCAAACGCCCAGGTCGATCAAGTTCTTTCGGATTCGGGCCATACCAGCCGGTGCACAGTCCTCCACGGGTTCAGGGAATCGCACGAGACAGATGATGTGAGCATCGGTAGAGTCAACCAAGGTCTTGAGAAGGAAAGCTCCAAGATATCCAGTGACACCAGTCAAAAGAATAGTGTCAGCGTCCTTGAGAGCACGCATCGGGGTACCATTTGACTGAATCTCCTCAGGCAGTGCTGAATCCGCGCGGAGAACAGCTGGCAGATCAGCCTGCACAGCAGCGGTATGTCCATCGCGAGCCGCCTTGACTGCTGAGAGGTGTCCTTCGAGAGTAGGGTTTCCGGCCAAAGGCGCAAGAGGAACAGGGAATCCAAAGGTTCTGGTAAGTCGATTCGCAAGGTCTGCAAGAGCCAGAGAGTGACCACCCAGATCGAAAAAGTCGTGCTTCGGTGTGATGGCATTAGCGGGCATGTTGAGAGATGCTGCCCAGAGCATGATGATGGTCTCCATCTTGATCTTGATGTTGTGCTCCTTCTTCGGGGGTGCCTTGGGTGACCGAGGAGATGGTGGCGGAGGCAGAGCCTTGAGATCAGTCTTGCCAGAAACACCATGTGTAGGGAGTTCGTCGAGCTCAACCCAGACAGGGGGAATCATGTAGTGAGCAAGGTGATCTGAAAGAGCACGTCGAGCCACCGGGCTGCGTCCGTACTCATCAATGATGGGAATAGTTCGATCTCTGGGCTCGCCCTGTTCGCGGACAATGTATGCCACAATCTGTCTCTCCAAGCCCTCACCGTGGGCAATGACTGCACAGTCCCGAACAGCCAAGTGTTTTCGGATAGCGCTCTCAACGGCGCCAGGCTGGACAGTGTAACCACGAGTCTTGATCATGCCTCCAACGCGGCCTGTGATCTCCAAAAGTCCGCTAGGAAGCAATCTAGCGAGATCGCCAGTCCTGTACATGCGCGCATCCGCTTCAGGGTCGAAAGGATCCGACTGGAACGCCTTGGCAGTGGTCTCGGGTAGGTTGAGATATCCTCTTGCCAGGAGGTCACCACCCACGTACAGCTCACCACTTACACCGGGACCAACTCTGTTGCCGGCCTCATCAAGGATGTAAGTGTGCTCAGGGTCGGTGAGAGGACCGACAGGACAGACTCTTGTGTCATAGTCGATAAAAGTCTTGATATCACCCACTGCAGTTTCGTGGGTTTCGCTAGCGCTGTAGACGTTAAGAAGACGGGCGTTGGGGAGAGCGTCAACGGCACGGCGAACAAGGTCGGTGGTAACAACCTCGCCATTGAGCCACAATGAGCGAAGATGAGGAAGACGCTCGCCAAGCTTAGGGTGTCGAGAAAGAACAGTGGCCAAAAGTGTCGGGGTCATGAGGGTATCGGTGATGCGCCACGAAGAGAGAAGCTCAACAAGAGCAACAGGATCATAGCTGGCGTGGTCGGGGATAGCGACAGTGGTGGCACCCCGCAAAAGAGGCCGCAGCATCTCCCAGATGAAAAAGACGTTGCAAGCTACCCTATCACCGGGCTTGAGGTCGCTGACGCCGAATCGCAGGTCGTATGAGCGGATTGCGGCTC